ACCTCGCTGAGAGTGCCCTCTGCTGGATCATATAACGGCCACTTCCCTCATGACTCTTTCTAATCAGACTGCAGTGAAAACAGCAGATTCTTGATTTAAAGTCATGAAATAATCATATAAAAATCTCACATCATGTCGGCATCTTTAAAAAAAGGTCTCATAATTTTTATCTCAATCATCAAAATAAAAGTGAAAATTTGAAAGAGTCAGTGTTTCAGATGGAGGCTGAAATCATATTTAAAACACCAAGAGGCTGTTTCTAATCTATAAATCATATCAAGATGTTAAAGAGGAAGTATAGTGATAATACACCCCCTTTAACTTAAATCAGAAGAAACTGAAGAAACAGCAGCAGATCAAGACCCCATTAAAATGAATCGTCTTTTAACCGTCTCTTGTAAAACCTCAAAAACAGACAAAGATCTTTTTTTTTCTGACTGTCAAACTCTGATTTTATTTATTGTTCTGAAACAAAGAAACTCAGATTATTCTGCCTCATGTATTTTGTTGTCGATTATGTTCATATTCTCTGTCTAATAAAGTTCAAACTAACTCTCAGTATGTATATGTACATATATTAAACTAACACACACTACACTCAATATTAGACTTTCACTCAGCAAACAGAAAGAGGGCAGATGCCAGAAAAACGGGTGGTGGTCCAGCAGCCCCACCTTTAACGGAGGCAGAGGAGCTGCCCCCCCCCCCCCCCCCGACGATCGAAACCCCCACCTCGTAGCAGCGATCGTCGGACTGGTGTGCGTGCGTGCGTGTGCGTGTGCGTGTGTGTGTGTGTGTGTGTGTGTGTGTGTGTGTGATCGTCGAACGGGGGGGTGGGGGGCAGCTCCTCTGCCTCCGTTAAAGGTGGGGCTGCTGGACCACCACCCGTTTTTGTGTTAGTTTAATATTCCTAATCATTTAACGGAACATCATAAGAGAGTAAAATTCAGTTTTGAGTGTGAAAAGAGCATTTTTTAAGGGATCAAACTGCCACTTAATACTTACTTGACAATGTAAAACATGATCAAAATGATAAAATGCCGATGTCTCACCTGAAACTCTGGGTTTACTGAGTTAAACCTGCTCCCGAGCAGGTTAGGTTCACGGAGTCTGTTACTGTGGTAACTGACCGCGAGGTTGAGTTACCTCTCTTTGTGAAACAGGTTAGAGTTACCCCTCTCTCCCTGGTTTAACTAACCCTCCTTTGTGAAACGGAAAACTCAGAGTTTCCCTGATTTCAGGGTTAACAAACTCGGAGTTTCCATTAAACCTGCTACGTGAAACGGACCTCAGGTCTAGCATAGACAGAAAAACACCCTTTTTTCGGAGTCTTGAGACTACCTGTGACCTCGCTGTGCAGTGTTTTCTGTGGCTGTTAAAACTAAAATCTCTGCAAGTGTTTTAATGTAGTACTGATTTTCAGCCACCTGCCTCTTTTTTTGTTCATCCATTACCCCAAACATTGAGCTGTTTTTATCTGTGTTTCTTTTATTTTCTGCCCATGCAAACATTGCATTGATATGGCCTTCAGATCTTGCATGAGAAGCAAAACCACTGTCTTTCATTGTTGCTTTTTTCCAATTTCGATATCCATCAAATGAAGTAAACACAGTCTTGGGAGTGTCTGGAAGGGAAAAATGACGACAGGCAAAACAGTATGCTGCGTCCTTGGACTGAGAGTACTCTAACCAGGGGTTAGCTTGGTACCACTCACTCCGGAAGCTTCTCCTGGCTCCTCCCTGGAGAGTCCTTGGAAAACTTTCCCTTTTTGGCTGTGTTGCCGGTTCGCATCTGGACTTTGATAAATCTAGAAGATGGAGGGGAGAAGGTTCACAACTATACGGAATCTGCACTAATTTAACAAAATATCAACTTAAAACAATTCATTATATTCATCAGACTGTGTAAACACACATACATAGAACATTTTAGCCAGGGAGAATATTTTTGGATTGTTCGATTTTTGGAATTTAAACTGAGCAATAGATCTAAAGTACATTGTACACAAAGTATTAATATTCTGTTACCATCTGACTATACTTAAACATTTCCCAAGTACTTACATTTAAGCAAAGATGAATATTTCTTTGAAGAAGTTTAAACAATAGCTGTTAAATCGAATGACAGCAAAATGTCAATTTCTGTAATTGTCCTTTTTCATATGTAACTTGGTCAATTATGCAGAAACAATTTCCATACCATGTTCTCCCACCTCCTCCTGTCTATGGTAATCTTGGTCAGATTTTCTTTGCTCGCCTCTCTCTTCCGCCAGCTCGTCTTTATCTTCACCCTCTCCTTCCACCTCATGCTTGTCTCTCTCTCCTTCAACGTCTTCTCTCTCTCCTTCCACCTTTTCTTCATCCTCTCTCTCTCCTTCCACCTCATGTCCTACTTCATTTTGTAGTCTGGCCCTCTGGAAAAAATTGTACAGGGTCCCTTTTCTCTTCATTTCTGTAAGATTCAAAGTAAATTTGCAAGGTTTCCCTTAACAGAAACTGAATCAATATTCAGTGTGTTTATAAGCTATAATGTGTGGATCACTGTCTGTGTTTATATGCTAGCAAGACATATGGGGCTAATTTCGGTTCGAATCTGTGGGTTTTTAGCAGAAACACGGCCACTTTGGACTCTGATTTTTCTTCCTGTGATCGTCTTTACAGCGTGTAGCATAACTTACACTCACACATGCCCAGCCCCATTATTCGGTTGAGTAGCAGAGAATTGAGTCCGGAGTGTAGTCACATTGTGCTTTCCTTATCATTTCGTTATTTGATAGATATAGGAAAATGGCTTTTACCTCTTTCCTCGTGCCTTCCTCCTCCTCGGCTCCCGACTGTCTCTCTCTCGCTTCGAGCCCATAGACCGTATGTTCGCGCCTCTCCCGTCAAAGAAGTCTCGTGTCGTTCTTGCGCTCTCTCGTGCTGCATTCACTGTCGTCGGACATCGGAACTTCGCGCTCATAACGGTTACATTTTTCTATCGGTTCATTGCTGCCGGTTGGGGTGGCAGCAGGGGTGGCAAGGGTTAATTTTAGGGTGGCACCTGCCACCCCATGCCACCCCAGTAGATCCGCCCCTGTGTGTATGTAACAGTGAGAGAGAGGTGTGTGTGTGTGTAAGTGTGTGTGTGTGTGAGTGAGTTGAAAATATGAACCTCAGCCTCCAGCAGACCAGTTACAGTTTTATCAGCTGTACTGTACACACTGATACTACCCAGTACTCATGAAACACAGCTTATGGTTTAAGGAGTATAAACTTTATTAAAGGGGGGGGGGGCATACACTGAGCTGGAGGGGGTCTGGTACTGGTTCTGTCTGGTGGTTCTGCCCCCTGTCAGCTCAGCATTCCAAGTTTAATCATCGGGTCAGTTTCTTTTATGAGTTTTTTTCTCCCGCCCCCCGGCCCCCCCACCTCTACAGCTGGATGAAGCCCGAGAAGAACCCATCTGTCCTCTGCTCCTCTGAGCCCTGATCGGGTCCCGACAGTCCGATGGCGTGGACTTTGAGGTGTCCGTTGAGGGAGCGTTTGGCCTGGAAGCTCTTCCCGCAGAAGGTGCACGTGTAGGGTTTCTCTCCGGTGTGGATCAGGATGTGTCTCTTCAGGTCCACGTCCTGCATGAAGCCCTTCCCACACACCTGACACAGGAAGCGTCTCTCCTTGTTGTGGAAGCGGATGTGTGTGTCCAGCGTGTTCTTCTGGGTGAAGCCCTTCCCACAGAGGCTGCAGGAGAACGCCCGCTCCCCCGTGTGGATCTTCAGGTGCATCTTCAGGTTCCCGCTCTGGTTGAACGCTTTCCCGCAGAAGTTGCAGGTGTACGGTTTCTCTCCAGTGTGGATCCTCAGGTGCATCTCCAGCGCAGCGTGGGCGGGGAAGGTCTTCCCGCAGATGTGGCAGGTGTTGCTGAAGTCGCGGTGTGAGCGCAGGTGGGCGGTGAGGCTGGCGGTGGACTCGTACTGGTCTCCACAGAGTCCACAGATGCGGTCCGGGTCCTGCAGGTGAGTCTCCACGTGTTTGACCAGGTACGTCCTCCTCTGGAAGATGGTCCCGCACACTTTGCAGAGATGGGGCGGGGTGGATCGGCGCTGTGTCGCTGGTACGTCGGCTCGCTGTTTATGGCGTTTGGACATGTGTCGCTGTAGGTCCTGCCTCTTTGTGAATTCCTCGCAACAGACACTGCAGGTCTGCACCTCCTGGTCTCGGTGCTCCTGCAGGTGTCTATGCAGCGAGGACAGGTGGCAGAAGGCACGGCTGCACTCCTTACACTTGAACTGTTTCTCCTCGGTGTGGACGTGCATGTGCGACGCCAGGTTTCCTTTCTGGCTGAACTTCTTCCCGCAGACGTCGCAGCTGAAGGGTTTCTCTCCAGTGTGCAGACGGACGTGAAGTTCCTGTGCCAGGATGGACTGGAAGGTCTTCCCGCAGTACGAACAGGTTTTACTTTTCTCCTGGTGCATCTGCAGGTGAGCCGCCAGCTCAGGGGCGGAGTCTAAACCCTCGCCGCAGAAACCGCAGCGACAGTCTTTGTCCTGGTAGCAGACCTGCAGGACGTGTTTGAGCAGGAAGCCCTTCCCCTGCAGAGAGCGGCCGCACACCTGACACTCGAACCTTTGAGCCGGTGCCGAGCGCTTCCGTTTGGCCGGTTGGTTCGGTCTGTTGGCGAGCGGTGGCCCTCCTCTCTTCCTTTTGATCTTCGGGGACGTCAGGGCCCGGTTCTGGGCTCGGTTCTGGGCAGTACACTCGCCATCGTCCTCGCTGAGGACGGTCGAGCTGCTGGGTGAGGAGGGCTGATGATAGGAGGGGGAGGAGGAGCAAGGAGAGGCGGGACAGGAGGCGAGGGAAGAGGCGGGGCTGTCGGGCTCCTCGGGTTCAGAGGGGTTCAGGGCTGCGGGGTCCAGCAGAGGCTCCAGGTCTCTGTGGTCCAGGATGATGGTCTGTAAAGTATCTGAGGAGAAGCAGAAACACGGAGGGGGGGGGGGGTCTGTGATTTACTGGATCATAGAGGGAACAGATCACACTGTAATACAGCGAATAATACTGTGAATAATACTTTCATAATGTGAATAATACTGTTAAACTGTGAGTAATAATGTAATACTGTTAAAAATACGGTAAAACTGTGAATAAAACTGTTACACTGAAATACTGTAAATATTGTGTTAGAATAATGTGCATAAATGTATATAGAAGTTATCATTATTCCTCATATTCTTATGTAAGAATTTACTACAAGTATAAACTGTTTTGACCTCTTTTATACATCACATAAGTGTTTTTATCATATATGAGTGTTTTCTAACTTCTCTCTCCAATAATTACACAGCACATGAATGTTTCTTAACTTCTCTGTGAACTCGTTTTTCCTATCAGCAGGTGTGGGGGTGTGGGTGATGTATCCTCCACTATGAATCATGGGAAGTATTGAGGAGGATCCGCTCTTATCAGAAGGAGCTCGTTTGATAAAACCATGTCGCCTTGACCTTCACATATTCACAGTTGTTCATTATTATGTTTTATGAATATGCTTACGTTGCTGCACATATTTTTCCCCCACCCTTTAGAAACATTGTGTAACCAGGGACAACCCCAAATAAAAGAGGGAGGACAGAAAACCACTCTCAGAGTGGTCTTGAGAAAACACCTGATGCTATCTCTGTCCATTCTCCTCGAGCATAAACCATTGTCTTTCTCTTCTTTATATGTTTTCAGGTATTTGGGCAGGTTTTAGACCCAACATATTGTAAACTGAAAATTATGTAATACTGTGAGTAATACTGTAATGCTCTGAGAAATACTGTAATTCTGTTAAAAGTACTGTGAATAATACTGCAATACTGTGAATAAAACTGTGGATAATACTGTAATACTGTGAATAAAACTGTAACATTGTGATATTACTGTGAAAAATACTTTAATACTGTGATGAAATACTGTAAATAATACTGTAATACTGTCAATAATACTGTAATATTTTAAATAAAACTGAAAAATACTGTAAATCATACTGTAATACTGTGACTAATACAGTGAAAAATAATGTAAGACTGTAGATAATACAGTAAATAATACTATTATACTGTGAATAATACTGAACTACTGTGAATAGTACTGTAAATAATACAGTAATACTGTCAATAATACTGTGAATAAAACTCTGAATAGTATAGTAAATAATACTGTGGATAATACTATATATTTTAAATAAAACTGTATAATACAGTAAAAAATACTGTAAAACTGTGACTAATACAGTGAAAGAATTTTAATACTGTAAATAATACAGTAAATAATAGTGTTATATTGTGAATAATACTCTGAATAATACTGTAAATAAAACTGAATAATACTGTAATACTGAAAAAATACTGATATTTTAAATAAAACTGTGAATAATACTGTAAATAATACTGTAATACTGTGACTTATACAGTGAAAAATAATGTAATCCTGTAAATAATACAGTAAATAATACTATTATACTGTGAATAATATTCTGAATAATACTGTGAATAAAATTGTGAATAATACCGGAAATACTGAAAAAATACTGTGACTAATACTGTTATATTTTAAATAAAACTGTGAATAATACTGTAATACTGTGACTAATACAGTGAAAAATAATGTAATACTGTAAATAATACAGTAAATAATGGTTATTCTGTGAATAATATTGAAATACTGTGAATAATACTGTAAATGATACTGTAATACTGTCAAAAATACTGTGAATAATACTATAATTCTGATAAAATACTGTCAATAATACTGTAATATTTTAAATAAAACTTTGAATAATACTGTAAATAATACTGTAATACTGTGACTTATACAGTGAAAAATAATGTAAGACTGTAAATAATACAGTAAATAATACTATTATACTGTGAATAATACTGTAATACTGTGAATAATACTGTAAATAATACAGTAATACTGTCAATAATACTGTGAATAAAACTCTGAATAGTATAGTAAATAATACTGTGAATAATACTGTAATACTGAAAAAATACTGTGAATAATACTGTAATATTTTAAATAAAACTGAATAATACTGTAAAAAATACTGTAAAACTGTGACTTATACAGTGAAAAAAATTTAGTACTGTAAATAATACAGTAAATAATACTGTTGTTCTGTGAATAATATTGAGATACTGTGAATAATACAGTAAATAATACTGTAATACTGTCAAAAATACTGTGAATAATACTATAATTCTGATAAAATACTGTGAATAATACTGTAATATTTTAAATAAAACTTTGAATAAAACTGTAAATAATACTGTAATACTGTGACTTATACAGTGAAAAATAATGTAATACTTTAAATAATACAGTAAATAATACTGTTATACTGTGAATAATACTGAAATACTGTGAATAATACTGGAAATAATACTGTAATACTGTGAATAATACTCTGAATAATACTCTAAATATTACTGTGAATAATACCTGTAATACTGAAAAAATGCTGTGAATAATGCTGTAATATTTTAAATAAAACTGTGAATAATACTGTAGTAATGCTGTAATACTGTGATTAATACAGTGAAAAATAATGTAATACTGTAAATAATACAGTAAATAATACTGTTATGCTGTGAATAATACTGAAATACTGTCAATAATACTGTAATACTGTCAATAATACTGTAATACTGTGACTAATAGAGTGAAAAATAATGTAATATTGTGAATAATACTGTAAATAATACTATGAATGATTTTTCAAACTTTATAAATACTGTGAATAATACTGTTATACTGTAAATAATACTGTAATTAATACTGTAATACTGTAGATAATACTGTGAATAATACCGTAAATAGTACTGTAAAACTGTGAATAATACTTTAAATAATATTGTCATAATGTGAATAATACTGTTATACTGTAAATAATACTGTGAATAATACCGTAAATAGTACTGTAAAACTGTGAATAATACTGTAATACTGTAAATAATACTGTGAATAAAACCAAATAATACTGCAAAACCTAGAAAATACTGTAATACTGTGAATAATACTGTAATACTGTAAATAATACTGTGAACAATACTGTAAATAAAACCATAATACTGTGAATTATACTGACAATGATACCGTGATACTGTGATACTGTGAATAATTCTGTGAATAATACTGTAATACTGTAAATAATACTGTGAATAAAACCAAATAATACTGCAAAACCTAGAAAATACTGTAATACTGTGAATAATACTGTAATACTGTAAATAATACTGTGAACAATACTGTAAATAAAACCATAATACTGTGAATTATACTGACAATGATACCGTGATACTGTGATACTGTGAATAATTCTGTGAATAATACTGTTATACTGTGAATAATACTGTGAATATACTGTAATACTATGAATAATACTGTGAATAATACTGTAATACTGTGACGCTTCAAATTCGGTCTCAAAACCACACTACACCCCTTTTGTGCCGTCGGTACCGTGCCGATGCACAGCTGCGCATTTCGGGTGAGAGGCAGGACTCGCTTGGAGATGCAGCACGTCTTTAAAGAAAATAAAGGAAATCCAAAAACAGCAGACAGTCAGCTCAGGCTGTATGAGCGCATGATCTCTTAACTCACTAAAATCTGAAAAACCAAACATTATAGATTTAGAGACGAACTGATCCGCTCTGCTGCCATCATCAAAGACATTAGAAATAAGAAAGCTGACAAAACTACAGCAGAGGATCAGGACAACATTGAGATTTTTTATTTTTTTTTAAGACTTAGAGATTGAATTTGTAAACTTGGGAGAATAAAGTCATGAAGTAAATAAAGTCATAAAGTAAATAAAGTCATAAAGTAAATAAAGTCATAAAGCTGCTTTTGTGGAGGGGGAAATGACTGAAGTTGGTCATCTGCAGGGTTATCTGTGGATGTATCAGCGGGTCATTCAGAGAGATTTTGTGGTTTCTGAAGAAACAATCAAACTGATGATGATCAACATTTGTGATCCAGAGGGAGTCGAGCTCCGACGAGCACCACGTCTCTGACACCGGCGGTAACCTACACCTGCAGAGACACCAACACCTTATTATGGCATATGGATTCATATCATAAACTAAAGCTCAATGTCATTCATTTTACAGCTGCATTGACAGATATAGCCTCAGCATATTCATTCCTGCCTCCACAAAAGCAGCGATTTCCTCCAAGTACACCACGTATTTCTCATATATTCTTTATACTTTTGACAATGTGATGCTGATGTGCCAAAGGATGAAGTATCTCCTTGTTTGTGAGACCTATACTGAACCACAGTTCCGTCAAATGCTCAATGGCTCTAATTTTAACAACTCTCCTTTGAAATAACAATTACAACTTTATTCTCGTAAATTCACGACTTAAATCTCTAAGTCTTTGAAAAAATTGTCTATATGGCCCTCATACTCCTTCATACAAAACAATCACTGGAAGAATTTTGTGGAAATTATCTGTGCTTGTATGTATCTATTGTTTTGTGTCTGTGCAAGGTCGTACAATTAAAAAATAACTGCTGCGCTCCGCGGCTTTTCTTCAAGTCAGTCGTGACGCGAGCCTGAGGGTGGGGACATTTGGCAACTCAACCAGGAAGTCCTCCGAAGGGTAGTGTGTCCCATTTCACAAAAACCGGATCATCTCACTTAGGGTACTCCAGTCCACATAACAGCAGTGCGCTCAGCTAAGCGCGCATTGAGATTTTTTTTTTTTTAAAGACTTAGAGATTGAAGTTGTAAACTTGGGAGAATAAAGTCATGATAAGCTTAAGCGCGCTTATCCTGATGCAGTCTCTGAAATAAGACACAAGCTGCATCCAAATTGCCAAGTAGTAGTCGAAGTAGTATCTAGCATGTCCGAATTGGCCACCGGAGCGAGTAGCATGCTACTTCAGATACTACTTCAGATACTAGACACGCCCACATTGTAGGTTGGTCTCGGTGCATCCTACGGGCATGCTACTGACCCAAAATGCACCGCGGGCTTCTTCTTCGTCCTCTTAAAAGTTGTAGAAGCGCGTGATACTAGCGCGACCAGCTGCTCTGCCTATTTAAATGTGTTGCGAACGCCGGCTGGCCACAGCAGCGCAGTACAGATGTAAGTTTCATGTAACTTCACACACTGTCCTAAAAAATGTGTGGTTGTATCTCTTTGTCATGTCATGGTGTCATATTTGGCCAAGTAATCATTTTATGAGCAAATATGTGGCGACATCATGGCGGTAAAGCTCACTTATTCCATCATTAAACTGCACAGCTGCAGTAATCAGGCAGATCTCATTGAACAAACGATCACTACGTGAGTGAATGAAGGCTAAAAGTCATGGAAAAGCTACTTTGTGAATTTCTAAAGCAGTGCAGGAACATAATACAGCAGCATCCATCACAATTACCATTCAGTCTAAAACGGGCGCAGTACCTACTCTCTGCCTGCGGGGGTCGTCTTTCCCCACCGCTCGTCTCGTGTGTCCGAATTGGGCCAACGTGTTTAATATGTAGGAGTAGGATCTAGCAGTAGCACGTAGCAGTAGCATGTAGTATCCGAGCGGGCAATTCGGACGCAGCAACAGCCTGTGTGTGTTTGTTATGTTTGTGTTATCTGGGTCCTCCTCCGGGGCGCTGTGGTTCCGGTACTGACCTGTTCTGTTCACCTTTTATTTTGAAGGTGAGCGGAAGTGTGTATCTGTATATGTGTGTGTGTGTGTGTGTGTGTGTGTGTGTGTTTAGTGTTCTGCGGGTGTCTCTCCTGGTTCCTCCTTCGGGTCTCTGTGGTTCCGGTACTGACCTGTTCTGGTCAGCTGTACTCGGGGCTTCAGGACGGCCTCGAGCAGCCTCCTCTGGCGGCAGATCTCGCGCTCTTTGCGCTCCACGCGCTCTTCGTACTCCGCCACGGTGTCCTCGAGCAGAGCGACGATCTCCTCCGCGGCCGCCTTTAGCCGCTCGGTGAGCAGCGCTCTCAGTGCCGCCGGGACTTCCGCCGCCGCCGCGTCTTCTTCTTCTTCTTCTCCACTTCTTCTTCTTCTTCTTCTTCTTTCCAGCTGCAGCAAGAAGGCTTCAGCGGCGGCGCTCAGCCGCTCATGGACCGACACCCGCAGCATCTGCACCCCGCACATCCTGCTTCTGTCTACGGACAAAGACGACCAGCACACCCGCAGTAAACACGCACCGAGTTCCGCGTCGACGACTGTTCGCCTTAAGCCGAGCGAAGCGCACAGACGAACAGAGACCCCTGCTTGATGGGAGGAGAATGACAACTACAACACACATACAAACACGTGGTTCAGATTTTTTTTTTTTTACAATTTTCTACAGAGAAAAACACAGTTCACACGGTTCAAAAGTTACCAAGTTTGGTGTCCAGACTACAGGTATGGTAAGTTTCAAATCACGGGATAAACAGATTTCGTCATAACCTTAAAATGAAGATGTTAATATGTGAGACTGTAGTTTGTTGATGTGACTGACTAAATCTCTCCTGACTGTTTCATCTGTGGGTCTGACTCCAACACCCACAGAGAAGCTTCTCTGCTGATCGACCACAGTAAAGGGGGCGGGGCCAAAACATTGCATTCCAAAAAAATGCATTATATCCCCCACACACACACACACTTTTAAAAAGTTAACTTTTTAAAAATGACAGCCCAACAAACAAACAAACTGACTTCCCCTCACAGTTCAGACTTACAGACTGAGCATGTAATATTACTGTAGTTACTGTAAACTACAGTAATATTACTCTGTAACTGTAACTACTGTGATATAACTGTATAACTGTAATTACTGTAATATAACTATTACTGTAATATTTTTATTACTGTAAATTACTGTATTACTGTAATTACTGAAGTATGACTGTATTACTGTAATATTACTGTTATTACTGTGATATTACTGTAATAAATGTTATATTACTGTAGTTACTGTAAATTACAGTAATGTTACAGTAATTACATTAATATTACAGTAATACAGTTATATCACAGTAATTACAGTAATGTATTACTGTAACTACTGTGATATAACTATTACTGTAATATTAATGTAATTACTGTATAACTGTAATTATTGTAATATAACTTTAATTACTGTAATTATAGTATTACTTATTACTCTAATTACTGTATTACTCTAATTGCTTCAGTATAATAATTACTGTATATTACTATATTACTGTAACAACTGTAATATAACTGTAACTACAGTAATATTACTGCAGTGCTGTAATGTTTGTTATATTACTGTAATAAAACTGTTATCACTGATATATTACTGCATTGCTGTAATGACTGTAATATTACTGTATTACTGTAGTTACTGTTACATAACTGTAATTACTGTAATATTACTGCATTGCTGTAATGACTGTTGATATGATATTATTGTAATTACTGTAAATTACTGTAATATTACTGTAATTACTGTATAACTCTGATTACTTTAATATTACTTTATACTGTAATGACTAATATTACTGTAATAATTGTAATATTACTATATTACTGTCATGACTGTAATATTTTAGTAATTACTGTAATATTACTGTATTACTGAAATGACTGTAATATTACTGTAATTACTGTAATATTACTGTATTAATGTAATTACTGTAATATATATATATATATTTTACTGTAATCACTGTAATATTCCTGTCTAACCTGATGACCTTCTTGTTCACAGATGACTTTACTGTCCAGTCATCAAATTTAAATTGAAGCTGTGGCCTTCTTTCTTTTTTTATATATATTCATTCAAAAATTCACCATTTCTTTGTCTTCATATTAAACAGTTTCTTCAGTGACATATAAATTAATATTCAATAAAAGTTTATTGAAAATCCTGACATCGCGGTTGAACATATGCATCAGAGAGAGAGATACAGAGACAGAGAGTACAGGGTAAAGTTAGAGCAGCTCAATGGGTCCGGAGTGAATTCTTGAGTCAGAGGAAAGATGGAAGGAAAACAAAATTCTGCTTTTCTCAGAGAATCTAAAGTTGAGATATGAGGTTACACACTCTACAGTAGGTGGCGGTATGCACATGAATCCGCTATTAAACGAAAGAAGAAGAAGACGTCACGGTGCAACATGTTTTTATTTCTTGTAGATGTTACAACCGGGAGAGGCAGGTACTGGTGGAAAAGATGCGGGAAGTAGGGCTTGAGGAGGTGACAGTCGCAGCACTCTTGGAGGCGGGGAGGTACGGTGGCCTGGAAGTGCAAAACACAACCGCAAAAGAGAAAACACGAAAGCAAATCAAAACGCAAACGCAAAAGAGAAAACGCGACCACAAATCACAAAATGCAACTGCAAATCACACGTGCAAACACAAAAAAGAGAAAACACGACAGCAAATCACACATGCAAACACAAAAAAGAAAACGCAACCGCAAATCCCAAAACACGATAGCAGCGTCTGTCTTCTTCTTCTTCTTCGTTGTAGTTTAATGGCAGTTTTCTCCGCTGGGGGTGGAGTACTACTGCCACCTGCTGGAGTTTGGAACGGGAAAGTAAACTTGAACATGGACGCCGAAAGCGAAAGTGTACTCGAAATTATCCAGCAATATTTTGAGGAGGAGGGGGAGAGGCAAACGCTGGCTGTTTGAGTTTTTAACCACCACAAGATTGATACAAAGGATATAACTATGTAGTGCTGTGAAGATCCAGCAGGAGGCAGCAATGCAACTATTGGATGCAAGCTGCCGTTAAACAACAAAGAAGAAGAAGAAGAAGACGTCACGGTTGCTAGGATACAGTTCATTCAAAGCGCCAAGCCGTTACTAGGAAACAACAAACTTGAAATCCTCCTGTGGATTTGAGTCAATGTTTCAGCTTTTTCCACTAGACAAGATCTCAACCTACAGTCGGCCTTTTTACCGGCCTTTCTCCGGGTCACAGTCAGCCTTTCTACCGGCCTTTCTCCGGGTCACAGTCCACCTTTTTACCGGCCTTTCTCCGGGTCACAGTCAGCCTTTCTACCGGCCTTTCTCCGGGTCACAGTCCACCTTTTTACCGGCCTTTCTCCGGATGGAGATCGTCCACGTCTACACGAAGCTCCGGAGTGAGTTCGGCCGACAGTGTCTCTTCTCGGACCGGCCCGCTGAGCTCCTGGTGGATGTTTCTCCGGACCCGAACCTGGCCCTGCAGTTCATCCAGAAAACCCGCCGAGACCAGGCCATGCAGGCCAGCAGGGACATGTCCGAGCACCAGGTAAGTCTGGAACCACGCGGAGGTTTATAGAGGTTATTATTTTGTGCACGTGCTGTTGTTGCCTTGGAAACAACGGTATCATTATTCTTTTCATAACCTGACTGAAAATGTTCGGAGGTTTTAATTAGAACGAGAGTAAAAATACTCTGAGGCTTCAGGAGCTGATTTTATTTTCTTCTCACTATTTTCTTCTCTCAGTTTTTTTTTTTCATCTCTATTTTTTCCTCTTTTTTTTGTTCAGTTTTTTCCTCTCAGTTTTTTCTTCTTCTCATTTTTTCCTCATTCTCTTGTTCTCTCAGTTTTTTTCTTCTCACTTTTTTTTTCTTCTCAGTTCTTATCTCAGTTTTTCTTCTTTTTTTTTCTTTTTCTTAATTTTCCTCATTCTTTTGTTCTCTCAGTTTTTTTCTTATTTTTTCTCCTGAGTTTTTTTGTTTTTCATTTTTTTCTTTTTCTCAGTTTTTTCTTCTCTCAGTTTTTTTTCTTCTCTATTTTTTCCTAATTTTTTTGTTCTGTTTTTTCCTGTTTTTTCTTCTCAAGTTTTTTTTGTCTCATGTTTTTTCTTCTTCTCATTTTTTCCTCATTCTTTTGTTCTCTCACTTTTTTTTCAGTTTTTTCTTCTTAGTTTTTTCTCTCAGTTCTTTTCTCAGTTTTTTCATCTCAGTTTTTTCTTCTCAGTTTTTTTCTTCTCTGTTTTTCTTCTCTTTTTTCTTTTCAGTTTTTTTCTTCTTTAAGTTTTTTTTCTGCTCTCAGTTTTTTCATCTTTTCTCTTTTTTTTTCTTCTCTCAATTTTTCTTCTGTCTTCCCAGTTGTCTGTGTTTTCAGAGGCCTGTTTTTGATTCCTTTTCTCGGACGAGTCTTTTTCACATGATCGTCTTGTTTTTTTATGACCGTGTCAAACATTCATTTGTTCACGATTTTTCACTCTGTCGTGTCAGTGAGTCAGTGATGTGGACTGATGATGCTCCTCCACCTTTACATGTTTGGTTTTCTTCCTCCTCTCTAGTCCAGTTTACAAACACATTTTAAACTTGAAGATATCCAGTTCCTGGTCCAGGTCCAGCTCCAGGTCCTGGTAAAGGTCTGTGTCTCTGCAGGTGAACACGGAGCGCTTTGAGTCGGAGAGCCGTGGAATAAACCACCTGGAAGGGGGGTGGCCCAAAGACATCAACCCTCAGGAGATGGAGCAGACCATCCGCTTCAGGAAGAAGGTGGAGAAGGACGAGGTCTACATCAACAGTGTCCTACAGCTGGGCAGCGTAAGACCCACAGTCCACCCACCAAGACCACCACAGTGCACTTCAGAGGACATGACTCACTGAGAACCACCACAGTCCATGTAGACTTGGGTTGGCCCAGTATAGCCAACATGGACCAGTCCAGTAAAGTCCACTTCAACCCACAAAATCCACTAGAGTCCAGAACGGTGCACACTTTAGTCCAAATAGACCCCCTTGAGTCCAGGGGGACATGCTTTAGTTCACATTATGGTCCATATTGATCCATTTGACCAAATGAACACACAATGGACCACATCAGTCCACCTCAGTCCATATTGACCTAAGTAAATCCACACGGTCCACTTACAGCCCAAATAGTCCAGTAAAGTCCACATTGGTTCTGGTTTTGAAAGTTTATCATTACTGGCTCCATTCAGTCCAGTCAGACTTGTTCTGGTCCTGAACCTAAGACCGTGGTCTAAACCTAGTCACTGTTTGGTCCATGTGGACTAACTTTGACCTGGTGAAGAGACACAGAGTCCAAATGAAGACCCAGAAGTCCACTCTAGGGAAACCATATGACTGTCCCAACTTGTGGGGTATGTCTTGTGCTGCGTTCCAGTTTCCCCAGAGGTGAGATTTCGGAGCTGGGAATGACATTAAATCCAAGGTCACGGTGTTTCAGTTAACAAGTCGGAAAATCAAGATGGACGCCTACAGTTACCCGTTGTCAGTTGTTGTTAGCGGTTGTCAGCTGTTGTTAGTTGTTGTTAGCGATACCAGTTGTAAACATAATACAGTATTTGACTCTTACAAACACCACAGCACCGTGTTCACAGTTAGACGTTGGGCAGTACAAAATAAACCACTTATTTAATTTCACAAAAACAAAACAGAAGAGAGCTTTTACTGTTACTCTTTACCTTTGATGGACTGTGCTGCCAGTGCGAGGATCGTCCGACGTTCCGAGTCGAAAATCCGACTTCAGGGAGGCGTTCCGGATGAATTTCCGGCTCGGTGCTTGGATATCCTGACTTCTGAGTACAACTGGAATGCAGCATTAGGTCATAGCCCCGTCCCTGGTTGTGATGTCATTAGGTGTGTCGTCATGTGTTGTACAGATCATGGAGCACTGCATCCGACAGAACAACGCCGTGGACATCTACCGGGAGTACTTTGAGGACGAGGATGAGGTGGAGGAGAACCAGGAGCCGCCGTCTGCCAAGACCATCAATGTCTTCAGGTCCAGATGACGCCCTAGCACACAGGAAGTAGTCCAGCATAGTCCTGACAAGTCACAGACAACCCCCAATTGCTCAGTCTCAGGCTGTGTCTCATTTCAGAGACCGCATCGGGCTAAGTGCACTTCTGCACCGTCGAACGGTGCATTTGAAGCGTGCATGACGTCATGACGGCGCGAACGGTGTCCCATTTGGCACGAGATGCTAAGCGCGCTTAGCATTTTTTCAAGCGTGCATTTATGCGCGCTTTCGTGCCATCGGTATCCCAGAATGCTTTGCGTGCCGCTGCACAGCTGCGCATTTCAGGTGAGAGGCTGGACTCGCTTGGAGACACAGCGCGTCTTCAAAGAAAATACAAGAAATCCAAAAACAGCAGACAGTCAGCTCAGGCTGTATGAGAGCATGATCTCTGAACTCACTAAAATCTGTAAACCAAACATTATAGATTTAGAGACGAACTGATCCGCTCTGCTTCAACAATCAAAAACATTAGAAATGAGAAAGCTGACAAAACTACAGCAGAGGATCAGGACAACATTGAGGTTTTTTTTTCTTTTAAGATTTAGAGATTAAAGTTGTAAATTTAGGAGAATAAAGTCATAAAGTAAATAAAGTCATAAAGCTGCTTTTGTGGAGGGGGAAATGACTGAAGCTGGTCATCTGCAGGGTTATCTGTGGATGTATCAGCGGGTCATTCAGAGAGATTTTGTGGTTTCTGAAGAAACAATCAAACTGATGATGATCAACATTTGTATCTCCTTGTTTGTGAAACCTATACTGAAGCCTGAGGGCGGGGACATTTGGAGACCTTCGGAGGACTTCCTGGTTGAGTCGCCAAATGTCCCCGCCCTCAGGCTCGCGTCACGACTGACTTAAAGAAAACCAGCTGAGCGCAGCAGTTATTGTTTTAATTGTGCGACCTTGCACAGACACAAAATAGTAGATACATACAAGCACAGATCATTCCCACAAAATTAATCCAATGATTGTTTTGTATGAAGGAGTATGAGGGCCATATTGAGAATTTTCAAGATTTAAGTCGTGAATTTACGAGAATAAAGTCATTAATTTATGAGAATGAAGTCATAACCTGTTATTTCAGAGAGACTTGTTAAAATTAGGGCCATGAAGCATTTGAAGGAACTGTGCTTCAGTATAGGTTTCACAAACAAGGAGATTCTTCATCCTCTGGCACATCAGCATCACATTGTCATAAGTATAAAGACTTAAAAAAAAAGAATATATGAGAAATACGTCTTTTCCACGGGGAAAAAACAGGTGTACTTGAAGGAAATCGCTGCTTTTGTGGAGGCAGAAATGAATATGCTGAGGATATATCTGTCAATGCAGCCGTAAATATCCGTGAATGACATTGAGCTTTAGTTTATGATATGAATCCATATGCCGTAATAAGGTGTTGGTGTCTCTGCAGGTGTAGGTTACCGCCGGTGTCAGAGACGTGGTGCTCGTCGGAGCTCGACTCCCTCTGGATCACAAATGTTGATCATCATCAGTTTGATTGTTTCTTCAGAAACCACAAAATCTCTCTGAATGACCCGCTGATACATCCACAGATAACCCTGCAGATGACCAGCTTCAGTCATTTCCCCCTCCACAGAAGCAGCTTTATGACTTTATTTACTTTATGACTTTATTCTCCTAAATTTACAACTTTAATCTCTAAATCTTAAAAGAAAAAAACCTCAATGTTGTCCTGATACTCTGCTGTAGTTTTGTCAGCTTTCTCATTTCTAATGTTTTTGATTGTTAAAGACGCGTTGTGTCTCCAAGCGAGTCCAGCCTCTCACCTGAAATGCACAGCTGTGCAGCGGCATGCAAAGAATTCTGGGATACCGACGGCACGAAAGCGTGCATATATGCACGCTTGAAAAAGGGGCGGGGGCAGTGTGGTTTTGAGACTGAATTTGAAGCGCGCTTAGCATTTTGTGCCAAACGGGACACCGTCCGTGCCTCGTGATGACCTCACGCATGCTTCAAATGCGCCGTTTGACGGTTGCGGTCTCTGAAATGGGACACAGGAAGGGTACATAACGGCACAAAATGGCAGTGCGCTCAGCTAAGCGCGCTTATCCCGATGCGGTCTCTGAAATGAGACACAGCCTCAGTCTGTCTGCGGTGAACTCATTTTTATAGTACCAACAACCACCACCAGAGGGCACCAGGTCTGCATTCAGATCAGTTCTTGATCCACACACACAGTCTCTCACTGCCCCCCCTGACTTGGTCAGGGTGACCCTGGATTTCCACCCATCCAGAATGGCAAAGATTTTTGCCATTCGCCAATTCCTTCTGGATCCGTTTGCGAGGCAAATTTCATGGCAGATTACAGACAGCAGTTATCGTGAGAACTCACAAGAACCCACAGGTTCACGTTCAATCGCGCCATAACGAGTTGTCTCTATAAAGACAGCCACATAGACATATAAGCAGTAGATTGTGTCCTTCCAGAGGAGGAAATCTACTTCTAGTCTTCTAGAATCATCCATGGTGTCATCGGGGTGAAATGACGTCTAAAAACCTTTCACTTGTTCGTCTCCGCCCGTTTGCATGGTGTGAAATACGATCCTCCTGAAACACGGAGTGTTTTATTTTTGAAAAGAAGCCGGATGTTTTATTTTGTGTCTGTGCCCGACTTCCTTTCCAGCACGGGTTAATCTGTGCTGAATTTATCCGCCATGCTCCGGCGTCCAGAAAAAATAGAACTCTTGCGATCAGCTGAGGAGTCCGGCGATCCGCAGAGGAACGGAAAGAAGCCAGTGAAAATTGACACACAACCTAAGGCGAAACGTCCCATGTAAGTCCAGTTGTCCTTTCAAAAAGATTGCTAAATTTTGATTTTGATCTGCAGTAGATTGGAAAGAAGCCGGTGGAAATTGACACGTTAACTTGAATGGTTACGATCAGCCACGATTGGTGGGTATGACCTTTTCGTAGACGTTCAGGATGCGGTGGAAACTGAGGTTAAGAAGCTGCTAAAAGACAGAGTGGAAGAAGCACCAGGTCGAGCAGGGGGCGCTCTTGTCACACACTCAACAGAACCACTTAAACCCGTCCTGTGGTCCCATGGTCCCAGCTGCTTTGACCAAGTTTGTGTCTCTGCAGAGATCCAAACGAGCTGAAGAGGACCGTCACAGACCTGTCCTGGCGTCCTGATGGCGCGAGGAAACTGGCGGCCGCTTACTCCTGCCTGGAGTTCCAGAAGAGCTGCAGAGGCTCGAGTCTGGACTCCTACATCTGGGACATCGGTGGGTAAGACAAAAGCAGCAAACTCAGTCCCCACAGAGTCCTGTCCACTCAGACCGGTTCTTTCTGCTTCAGAGAACCCCAACAAACCTGAGCTGACCCTGAAGCCGGCCTCCCCTCTGGTTTGCCTGGACTACAACCCCAAAGACCCCCACACCCTGGTGGGGGGCAGTTACAACGGACAGATCGGTGGGTTCAGGTCAGTCTCATGGACAGGTGAAGATCCCAGAGAGACATCCACACTCACCTGTGTCTATTTCAGTGTACTGGGACACCCGCAGAGGAGGGACACCTGTGGAAGTGTCCTCTGTGGAGCAGAGCCACCGAGATCTGGTCTACAAGATCCTCTGGCTTCAGTCCAAGACTGGGACAGATGCCTTCTCCGCGTCCACTGATGGACAGGTAGGACAGAGAGGGGCAGTTGGAAAAGTGAGGTACAGGTGGAACAGAGAGGGACAGTGAGGGACAGGTGGAACGGAGAGGGACAGGTGGAACAGAGAGGGACAGGTAGAACAGAGAGGGACAGGTGGAACAGAGAGGGACAGGTGGAGCAGAGAGGGACAGGTGGGGCAGAGAGGGGCAGGTGGAGCAGGAGGGACAGTGAGGGACAGGTGGAACAGAGAGGGACGGTTGGAACGGAGAGGGACAGGTGGAACAGTGAAAGACAGGTGGAGCAGTGAGGGACAGGTGGAACAGAGAGGGACAGGTGGAACAGAGAGGGACAGGTGGAGCAGTGAGGGACAGGTGGAGCAGAGAGGGACAGGTGGGGCAGAGAAGGACAGTGAGGGACAGGTGGAACAGAAAGGGACAGGTGGAACAGAGAGGGACAGGTGGAACAGAGAGAGACAGGTGGAACTGTGAAGGACAGGTGGAACAGAGAGGGACAGGTGGAACAGTGAGAGACAGGTTGAACTATGGGGGACAGGTTGAACTATGAGGGACAGGTGGAACAGAGACAGGACGATTAGAGATGGACAGAGAGACAGATGAAAGAATGATAGACAAGGACATACAGACATATAGACGGGTCAGAGAGGACAGGTGAGCAGGGAGGGACAGAGTTCCATCTGTCATGTTGTTAATCTCAGGTCTGTTGTAATCTGCGGACTGGTCCTTAAACTGGCTCCGCCCCCTCTGTCAGGTGCTGTGGTGGGACGTCCGCAGGCTGAGCGAACCTACAGACCAGCTGGTCCTGGACCCATGCCGGGAGGGGAACCTAGATCGAGCTTTTGGAGCGGTCTCCTTAGAGTTTGAGCCCACCATGGTGAGAGGTCAAAGTTCAGAAAACATACTCAAAGAACTACAAAGATGGCCGCCTCTATTGATTGTTTGCTTTAATTAGAATGAGTAAAGACTGTGGACCAATCAGAGAGATCCTGGTCATTAAACGTAGTCCTGGTCCGTCTCAGAGACCCAGAGGTCCTAGAGGTATACAGGACAAAAACCAGCTGAGACAAAGTCCAGGTGATAATGTGGACTGATCATTTTACCAACTTTTCTGTCCTCTCTGTCCTTTCTCTGTCCTACTCCTGTCCCCTCTGTCCTCCTGTCCTCTCTGTCCTCCCTCTGTCTTCAATTTGTCCTCTCTTTATTCTCTCTATTCTCTCTGTCTTCTCTGTCCTCTTTCTGTCCTCTCTCATTTCTCCTCTCTGTCCCCTCTGTCCTCTCGCTGTCCTCCTCCTGTCCCCTCTGTCCTCTTTCTGTCCCCTCTCTGTCCTCTCTCTGTCCTCCTTCTGTCCTCTCTTTATCCTCTCTTTACCCTCTCTATCCTCTCTCTGTCACTCTGTCCTCTCTCATTTCTCCTCTCTGTCCCCTCTGTCCTCTCCCTGTCCTCTCTGTTCTCCCTTTGTCCTCTCTCTATCCTCTCTCTGTCTTCTCTTTCCTCTTTTTGTCCTCTCTCATTTCTCCTCTCTGTCCCTTCTGTCCTCTCTATCCACTCTCTGTCCCGTCTGTCCTCGCTCTGTCCTCTCTCTTTCCTTTCTTTTTTGTCTCTTTTCCTGCTCTGTCCTCTCTTCGTCCTCTCTCTGTCCCCTCTGTCCTCTCTCTGTCCTCCTCGTGTCCTCTCTGTTCTCTTTCTGTCCTCTCTCTCTGTCCCTCTGTCCTCCCTTTGTCCTGTCTTTATCCTCTCTCTATCCTCTCTCTGTCTTCTCTTTCCTCTTTTTGTCCTCTCTCATTTCTCTTCTCTGTCCCATCTGTCCTCGATCTGTCCTCTCTCTATCCTTTCTGTTTCATCTCTTTTCCAGCTCTGTCCTCACTCTTTTCTCCTCCTGTCCCCTCTGTTCTCTTTCTGTCCTCTCTCTGTCCCTTCTGTCTTCTCTCTGTCTCTGTCCTCGCTCTGTCCTTCCTCTGTTCTCCTTCTGTCCTCTTTATCCTCTCTCTGTCACTCTGTCCTCTCACATTTCTCCTCTCTGTCCCCTCTGTCCTCTCTGTGTCCCCTCTGTGTCCCCTCTCTCTCCTCTGTCTGTCCCCTCTGTCCTCTCACTGCTCTCCTCCTGCCCCCTCTGTCCTCTCTCTGTCTCCTCTGTCCTCTCTCTGTCCCCACTGTCCTCTCTCTGTCCTCTCTGTCTCTGTCTGCTTTGTGCTGCCTTGGTCCTCCTCCTGTCCGCTCTTTATCTCTCTCTATCCTCTCTATCCTCTCTCTGTCTTCTCTGTCCTCTCTCTTTTCCCTCTGTCCTCTCTCTGTCCCCTCTGTCATCCCTTTGTCCTCTTTCTGTCCCCTCTCTTCTTTCTTTCTGTATCCTCTGTCCTCTCTCTGTCCTCCTCCTGTCCCCTCTGTCCTCTCTGTTCTCTTGCTGTCCTCTCTCTGTCCTCTCTCTGTCCCCTCTGTCATCCCTTTGTCCTCTTTCTGTCCCCTCTCTTCTTTCTGTATCCTCTGTCCTCTCTCTGTCCTCCTCCTGTCCCCTCTGTCCTCTCTGTTCTCTTGCTGTCCTCTCTCTGTCCTCTCTATTCTCTCTCTGTCCTTCTTCTGTCCTCTCTCTGTCATCTCTCTGTCCTCTTTATGTCCACTCTCTGTCCCCACAGCCCACTAAGTTCATGGTGGGAACAGAACAGGGTCTCGTTGTCTCCTGTAACAGGAAGGCGAAGACTCCGGCTGAGAAGATGGTCTGTACCTACGAGGGACACCACGGACCAGTCTACGCCCTGCAGAGGAACCCCTTCTTCCCCAAGAACTTCCTAACCGTTGGGGACTGGACCGCTCGCATCTGGTCTGAGGACATCAAGGAGTCTTCCATCATGTGGACCAGGTAAGAACCAGAGGACAGAGATGGACCAGTCTCTGAGGACAGAGATAGACCAGGTTCAGACCTGTCTCTGAGGACAGAACCAGACCAGGGTCAGACCAGTCTCTGAGGACAGAGATAGACCAGGGTCAGACCAGTCTCTGAGGACAGAGATGGACCAGGGTCAGATCAGTCAGTTCCGGCTCATATCTTTATTGTGCGTGTGTGTGTGTGTGTTGTTCACCCTGTCCGTCTCAGGTATCAGATGTCCTACCTGTCTAACGCCTGCTGGAGTCCCGTCCGTCCATCGGTCTTCTTTACAGTTAAGATGGACGGAACTTTGGACATTTGGGACATCCTGTTCAAACAGAACGACCCCACACTGAGCCTGAAGGTTTGCACACCTGTGAAATACACACCTGTACACACACCTGTCCCCACCTGTCCACTGTAAAACAAACACACACCTGTCAACACCTGTCCACTGTAAAGTAAACACACACATTTATCCACACCTGTCCACTGTGAAATAAACACACACACACACACACACACACACACACACACACACACACACACCTGTTAAGAACACCTGTCCACACTTGTCCACTGTGAAACAAACACACACCCGTGTGTTGTGGTGTCCTGTCCTCAGGTGTGTGATGACCCCCTGTACAGCCTCTGTCTCCAGGATAACGGGCGTCTGTTGGCGTGCGGCTCTCAGGGGGGCGGGGCAACGCTGTTGGAGGTGTGTTCAGGACTGTCCACTCTGCAGAAGAATGACAAGAGTCTTCTGGCTGCGGTGAGACCAGACCCACCTGTTGTTAGTTTGTGGTTCTACTGAGGTGTTGGAGGCTGTTTCCATGGAGCTGACATCACTGTCTCCATGGAAACAGAGCGATGACTCGTCTCTGACTGTGTGTGCAGATGTTTGAGCGAGAGACCAAGAGAGAGAAGATCCTGGAGGCCCGGCAGAGGGAGATCCGTCTGAAGGAGAGGAGTCGCTCCGAGCAGAGCCGAGAGGAGGAGGTGGGGCCGGAGGTGGGAGACGACAGTCCGCATCAGCTGATCACCTGGACAGAGAAGGACTTCTTCAGCCTGGTAGAGGCGGAGCAGAGGAGGAGGAGCGAGAGGGAGGGGCGGGGTCAGCAGGTGAGACACAAACACTGACTCCTCCTCCTCCTTCTTCTTCTTTGATCTGGTCAGGAGCTGCAGGTTCAGGATCTTGTAAGCTGCGTCCGAATTGCCAAGTAGTAGTCGAAGTAGTATCTAGCATGTCCGAATTGGCCACCGGAGCGAGTAGCATGCTACTTCAGATACTACTTCAGATACTAGACACGCCCACATTGTAGGTTGGTCTCGGTGCATCCTACGGGCATGCTACTGACCCAAAATGCACCGCGGGCTTCTTCTTCGTCCTCTTAAAAGTTGTAGAAGCGCGTGATACTAGCGCCACCAGCTGCTCTGCCTATTTAAATGTGTCGCGAACGCCGGCTGGCCACAGCAGCGCGCACCATGTCGGAGCAGCAGCAGCAGCAGCAGCAGGCGGGACCGCAGCAGTACAGATGTAAGTTTCATGTAACTTCACACACTGTCCTAAAAAATGTGCGGTTGTATCTCTCTGTCATGTCATGGTGTCATATTTGCCCAAGTAATCGCAGATGAGGGGCTTCAGTTACCACTGTCTGCACGGGCGCAGTACCTACTCTCTGCCTGCGGGGGTCGTCTTTCCCCACCGCTCATCTAGTGTGTCCGAATTGGGCCAACGTGTTCAGTATGTAGGAGTAGGATCTAGCAGTGGTATGTAGCGGTAGCATGTAGTAGGCCTGAACGATATATCGTTTGACTATCGTCATCGCGATGTACGTGTGTGCGATAGTCACATCGCAGAGCCTGCGATATTGGAGGTGAATGAACTCATTTAATTTCAAGGGTAACCGACTGAGATACACTCCATGTGACTCTGCATGTGCTGTGCAGCGATCCACCAATCGCCTTCGTCCTTAACTCAGTTGCCAATCAGACTCACTTCTCAGTTGCCAATCAGACTACCCTGCCAGCTGTCAATCAAAATCAGGGAGGAGAAAACCCACCCCTGCACATGTTCTGCACATGGAGGGAGACGTGTGTCCGCTGAGAATTACTTTCGGAACTTTACTCATGACTATTAAGCCCAACAAATAAGAACTGTATGGGTTTTAAATTGTACATTTCCGTGGACCACTCTACTATAAGCGGTGCGCGTTTTGCGAGGTGCATGCAATTCTCGGAGGACATGCGTTTCTCGGCACAACACCGCTAACAACAACAACAACGATCGCAAAATGAACAACGAACAAGCGAAAACCACCGAAAATGAAGATTTGTTGCCAAAAAGAAAAGGAAAGTCAGTTATCTGGAATTATTTCGGTTAAAAGAAGGATGATGTCGACCAAAACACGTCTTCTGTGTTCATCTGTCGCCACAATAACGTCCCAGAACAATAAAAGCTAAAAATATCTCTGAGACAGACAGAAGCCGTTCTACTAACATTCACCAAAAGAGGTAAGATCAGAGCAGATTAACTGTCCTCAAGATTTCAGCAGTGCAGCATAACATTAAGTGCTATTCAGGTCATCTGGTGAAAATACTGTATTTTTAATATCGCAATATATATCGCAGGGTTGAAAAAATCGCAATATTATTTTTTTCCAATATCGTGCAGCCTTAGCATGTAGTATCCGAGCGGGCAATTCAGACGCAGCAGTAGTTCATGTTTCATCTGCACAGAGGACTTTAGTTTTCCTGGTTGAGAAACTCCGTCTGACTGAAGGTCGTCTGTTTGATTCTTATTTTCAGGAGAAAGACGTCTGTGAAGAACGGGAGGAGAAGAACGAAACAACATCAGCAAAATAAAAACAGCTCTGTGGTCACAGCAGGTCTGTTAGAGTTCAGGGTTCTGTGTTTAAAGGAGATTTAAGAACTCAAATGAGGAAGGGGGAGGAGAGGGGAGGAGAGAGGAGAGGAGAGAAGGGGAGAGGAGGAGAGAGAACGAGAGGAGAGGAGGAGAGTGGAGAAAAGAGGAGTAAAGGAGAGGAGAGAGAAGGAGAGGGGAGAGGAAAGGGGAGGTAAGGAGAGGAGGAGAGGGGAGAAGAAAGGAGAGGAAGGGGGAGGAGAGGAGAAGAGATGAGAGAGAAGGAGAGAGGAGAGGAGAAGAGGAGAGGAGAGACAAGTTAGGAGAGGAGAGGAGAGGAGAGGAGGAAAAAAGAAAGGGGGGAGAGGGGAGGTGAGGAGAGGACAGGAGAGGGGAGGAGAGGAAAGGAGATGAGAGAGAAGGAGAGAGGAGAGGGGAGGGGTCTTAAACGATCTGTGTTTAAATAAGACAAAGGTTTCTGTTTCTTAAATAAATTTGTATTTATTCTTATTTTTTTATTCTTAGACAAACACTCACCACCAGAGGGCAGAGAGAGCCCAAACAACGGAAGGGGGGGGGGGGGGGGGGGTAAAAGTGAGCAGCTGTGTTCCGGGCTCCTAGTTCCGAGCTGCTGTGGATCTGGTTCTGGTCCCACATGAACCTGTTGTCTTTAAAGGTCCAGTCTGCAGAAAAATGAGGATTTAGAGATGTTAAAAATGGAAATGCTCCTTTGCTCACCCCTCTCTCTGAGTAAACTGATCAGTCAGAGTAAACAGTGTTAATCATTTTACTTTCACTACAGCGGATACGTGTAAATGTGTCACTTTGGTCTGACGGGGATAAATAAGTTTTTGTTATCTCACATTTATCAACATAACGAGCTGGTTGTTGCTTTGATTTCATGCCGAATTTATCCGAATTTATCTAAATGATCAGAGCAGGTGTTAAATTTTCTCTCTAAATGTTTTTTTTTTGTAGATTAGAAAAAAAAGTCGAAATAATAAAAATGCTAACGGAGTTTTGAACTCGGCGTCTGTTCGCACGTCCTGCTGGGTTTTAAAAACAACAATAATAGAAACGACCCGAAGGCGGCCGGAAAGTCCCGAAGATAAAAACGAGTTTGAAGGTTTTATTTCGGAACAGCTCGTGCGCCGACTCACGCAGGAAATGACGTCACGCGCAGACGCTGGTAAGGGGACCCGGAAGTGTCCTCGCATTGTTTACGCTCCGCTCTTTGTTCGGTGGGGGTTCCGCCAAAATGCCTAAAAAGAGGTCCAAGAGTTCGGAAAACCGGACTTTGCGTGCGCTGATCGACGAGCAGCTGCAAACGGCAGCGGAGCGGATCTTCCTAATGCTGAAGGAACGGAGGGACGCGGAAACCGAGCGGCTGCAGGAGCGACTGACCGAACTCATCACCGCCGCCGTGGAGCGCATCCTGATTGGCTACAGAGCCAGCAGAGCGGCCGGAGGAGAAACCGAGGTGCCTGGTGAGAGTTCAGATACAGGTTTTATTGAGTCCAGGTCGAGATTAGACTGGATTCAGAATCGAACCGAGTTCTGGTGGAGCTCAGATCAAGTTCTGATAAAGTCAAAGACTCCAGAATCAGAGTCCAGAAAGAGGTCAGACAGGGTCTAGAGGTAGATCAGGTAGGTCTCAGGAAGGTTCATGTGGTTTACAAAAACTGGACCCAGATCCTGAGTCAGGGTCCACTTCAGGAGGAGGTTTTATGTCAGAGCCAGTTCAGATAAAGGCTGATGGACCAAAACTGGAGGAGAGAGGTCCAGGAGAAGAAACTAACGAGGAAATATGTGGAAGAGAATAATATGAATATAATTTCATATAATACAATATAATGAATGTAAAATAGTATAATGTGATATAATGTTATATCATGTAAAAGAGAGGAAACTGTTTCAGTGCCAAAGGGTCAGCAACAAACCCACCTTCACCTCAGGGGCCTCCAGGTGCTCGGGTCCCAAAGGTGACCCGGTCTGATTCAGGTCTACAGCTGCCCTAGAATCACCTGATAGTAAATGTTCTTTATTTATATAACCCTTTAAAACAACCCTTTAGTGAACCAAAGTGCTTTACAATAGAAGATCAAACTGAATAAATAAAACAATAAAATGCAATGCAATAAAATAAAGTGTCACCACGCTACTGGATATTAAAAGCCAGCATAAATAAATGTGTTTTTTTTTTTTTTAATGAATGCATGTTACCAAATTCACAGCAATATAGTAGAGTTGCACTTGTATATTGTATATTATCTCTATATTTTTACTCATTTGACTTATTTTATCTAATTATCTCTATATTTTACCTATTTAATCTTTTATCTTATGTATTATTCACCTCCTCTTTTACTGTATTTGCACTGGAGTTACTGTGACAAAAGCAATTTCCCCCTGGGGATTATTAAAGTATTTCTGATTCTGATTAGTTATATTTGAATAATGATTGAATTATTTATATGGTTTAATTTTAAATTGATTTAAAATTAAACTAGTTACAAAGTACTTTGTAAAGTACTTTATAACTTGTTTTGGAATATTTCAGTAATTATTTTTTTTTTTTCAATGAATGCATGTTACCAAATTCACAACAATACAGTAGAATTGCTTAAATTTTTCAGATTAGATAAAAGTAATCCTCACATGAGTGATTCCTTCCTGTTTGTCATTGTCACTCCTCATCCTGTGACATGTCATAACTATGTCGCTAATATCAAACCATTTTAATGAGTGCCAATAGATACATTTTTTATTGAGATTTAAAAAGGCCCAGGTCAGAAATAAGTCTTATTTCAGTGGGGAGTTTATTCCAGAACCTGGGACCAGCGACTGAAAAGTCTCGATCACCCCAGTGTTTGTGTTTTGACCTGGGCACCTCCAGCAGAAGTTGGTTTGACGACCTCAGAGCTCTACCCGGCTCCTGAACGGTTAAAAGCTCAGTTAAATAGATGGAGGCGAGGCCATTAAGAGCTTTAAAAACAAACACTAAAAATTTAAAATCAATCCTAAAAGAGATGGGGAGACGATGAAGGGAGCTAAGGACAAGAGTGATGTGTTCATGTCTGTTAGTGTTGGTTAAAAGACGGTCAGCAGCATTTTGGACAAGTTGAAGGAGACTAAGAGATGATCGGGAGATGCCGACATAAAGAGCGTTACAATAGTCTAATCTTGAACATGGATGGCTATCTCAAGGTCGTGACGGATAAAAACATTTTGACCTGATTGACCCGAGCATTTGGATCATGTCTGCCCACTCCTCCTCATGTGACCATCTTACAAAGTCAGATAGACAGACAACCAGCATGTTTGACTCCATCCTCAGTCTCTTCACGTTCAGTGATGTGTCTGCAGAAGGTCTCCGTCCACAGGAGCTGAAATCTTCTCATCTGCAGATCCTGGGGTCCTCCAGTTAGAGAGCAGACTGATGATCTTAGATGTTTGAGAGTCTGAATGATGGTCTCCCCTGTCGCATCAGTCCAGGACTCTTCTCCTACAGAGCCATGCTGTTATCAGAAGGTCTTCACTGAAGAAGTCCTGGCCTGGATGGACGCAGATGTTGCTCCTAAACCTTGAGATATTGTTTAACACCGAGGATGCAGCATCTATGATTTCTAATTCTTCGTTGAAAGGACAACTGGACTTAGTTGAGACGTTTCACCGTATAGGTCTTTACACACCAGAACCGTTTTTGTCATGCAATTATTTCGGACGTCAATATTTTTTTCAAACCCGTATCCTGTCAATACAAGCGTTCACATCAGCGACGTTTTCCCGTCCTGCGATATTGCAGCATTTATTTTTTCACATCATGGTTGATTTTTCTAAAGCTTCGCAGACTGTGTGTCCACTTCTGAGCAATCAGATAGCGTGTTGTTGCGACGTCAGATTCCCCGGTATATCCAACATGGCCGACTGGCTGATTGTTTACGTGTCGGAGAACAGAGTGCTTTTTGATAAAAAACACAAATATTACAAAGATAACAACCTGAAGGACAACATAGTGTCGGATTTCTCATATGACGATGTTTTGTGTGCTGCTGTACAGTTTGCTAAACGTCTTTGTTTTAACTTTCATCTGTGCTAACGTAAGCTAACGGTTGTTACCATAGTTTCATGTGCTTATCTTATCGCCTCTGATTGCCTATAAGCACTGACCGTTTGGCTTGAGCATGTGATGACGTTTTCAGCTTTTCTAGCCAATCAGAGGCAAAGGAGGCGGGACGTTCCCCGAGAAAAGTCTTCCTGGGATGCATCCCCCCCCCCCCCCGGAAAGTCGCAAAATCACATTGGGCTTGATGTGTATAGTCAGGCGCATCAAAACTTACCTCCGAATATTTCGTGATTTCGCGTTCTATATTCTTGTCTGCCCTGGTGTCTAAGGACCTTCAGGCGAAATGTCTCAAATAAGTCCAGTTGTCCTTTCCATGTGGTGATTCCCACTGAAGGGTCCTGTCTGTTTTAAATTAGGGCCTGACCGATTTATCGGCGAGCAGATTAAATAGGCCAATTTTAGCCCGCTTGAGACTAATCGGTAATCGGCCAAAACTTCCAAAAATGCGGAGAATAAGATTTGCATTTCACTTCAAAAATTTTCCACCATTTGAAAAGTTCCCCGACTTATCCTGTAGATGGCGCAGTGACCTCATGACAATCTTCATATATGATATGAGATCAAATCAGGACCATTCAGACCTGGTCTTGTACCTTGTCCCCCTTTGAAAACTGTTGACCTGTTTGCTCACGCGGTCTCTCACAGAGTCCTAGACCTCTTCCATGGTGTTCGCCTCTGTCTGTAAATCTGTCCCTGTCTTTGTCTTCATAGAGTTGTGTCTCTCTGTGGGGGTCCGGAGTCTGAAGCAGGACGTCTGTGTGGACAACGGGCTGAAGGCTCCTCGGCCCAGTTCCTCCTCCAGACCTGAGGAGGTTTCTGAATTGGACCACAGACCGACCTTTCAAGATGATCCGCCCAGCGAAGAGGAGGAGGGGGAGGAGGAGAACGATGAAGAAGAGGAGGAGTTTTCACCTCACTGCTGCAGAGTCTGCGGGAAGTCCTTCGACAGAAAAGGGTTCCTGATGAAACACGTGGAGAAACACCTGAAGGAGGCGAAGTTTCAGTGTGGTCTGTGTGGAGACCGTCTGGACTCTGGTGACCAGCTAAGACTGCACCTTCAGGGTCACCGGGACAGCAGCAGGACCTGCGACATCTGCGGGAAAAAGTTTCCTTCAATCCGAGCGCAGGAGACACACCTAAGGCTGCACACCGGAGAGAAACCCTTTAGCTGCACTGTCTGTGGGAAAGGCTTCAACCAGAAGGGCAACATGGTGACCCACCAGAGGATCCACACGGCAGAGAAACCCTTCAGCTGCTCCGTGTGTCGGAAAGAGTTCAGCCACACCGGCTCTCTGGAGCGACACATGAAGGCCCATGATGGACAGACGTCATTCAGCTGCGAATCCTGTGGCCGAGGTTTCAGCAAGAGTGCCGAGCTGAGAAGACATGTTCTCAGCCATAAGACCGAGGAACTTCCAGCCGTCAAGAACCAATGCAGGAAACCCAGTCTGACCCCGTCTCACTGCTGCACCGTCTGCGGGAGCGCCTTTCACAATAAGGGGAACTTTGTTCGGCACGCAGAGACTCACTTAGACGATCCGGAGTGTCGCTGCGGTGTCTGTGGGGAGACGTCCGAGTCCTCCGAGAGGCTCCAGCTCCACATTCAGGGCCACAGAGAGACCAGCCGGATCTGCGTCATCTGTGGGATCAGCTTCAGGGACATGGAGATCCACATGAGGATGCACACAGGCCAAAAACCCTTCAGGTGTAAAGACTGTGGGAAGGACTTCCCCAGGAAGGGTTCGCTGGAGCGACACATGAAGCTTCACGCCGGAGAGAGACCATACATCTGCGAGTTCTGCGGGAAGACCTTCATCGAAAACACTGTCCTGAGGAGACACATCAAGAGCCACACGGGAGGGAAGCCTCGCATCTACTCCTGCGACGTCTGTGGCAAGAAGTTCACCATGAGTCAGCATCTCGACGTGCACAAGAGGATCCACACCGGGGAGAAACCCTACACATGCAGGGAGTGCGGTAAAAACTTCAGACAAATTGGAAACCTTGACTCTCACATGCGGATCCACACGGGTGAGAAACCGTTCATCTGCAGCCTGTGTGGGAAGAGGTTTCGCCAGAAGATCTCCCTTGAGACCCACGAGAGGTTCCACAAGAAGGAGAAACCGTTTAGCTGTCAGCTGTGCAGTAAGGGCTTCGTTCAGAAGATCGACCTGAAGAGACACATGCTGACCCACACCGGGGAGAAACCTTACAGCTGCAGCATCTGCGGGAAGAGCTACCAGGAGAAACGCTCAGTGGATTCGCACATGAAGGTCCACTCTGGAGAACAGACCCCTAAAGACACAGGCGGGACCCCAAATCTGAAACAGCAGGAGGGGGGGCAGATGGACTTCATCCAGCTCTAGTTTTAGGACTCTGGACACTGTCCTGGGAACTCGGTGGGTCTGATACGGACGAGTGATGGCTGTCATGCCTCCACATTTGGGTTTGGTGTGTCGGCACATGGACAGCAGGGGGTGGTGTTCAGGTCCTAACACACCGGGAGAGTTTTTGTCGTGCGATTATTTCGGACATCAATATTTTTTTTTCGAGCCCGTTTCCTGTCAATACAAGCGTTCACATCAGCGACGTTTTCCCATCCTGTGATATTGCAGCATTTATTTTTTCGGATCATGGTCGAGTTTTCTAAAGTTTGGCATACTGTGTGTCCACTTCTGAGCAATCAGATTTCGTGTTGTTGAGACGTCAGATTCACCGGTATATCCAACATGGCCGACCGGCTGATTGTATACATGTCAGAGAACAGAGTGCTTTTTGATAAAAGACACAAACATTACAAAGATAACAACCTGAAGGACAACTTGTGGTTTGTGTGCTTTAACAGTTTGCTAAACGTCTTTGTTTTAACTTTCATCTGTGCTAACGTAAGCTAACGGTTGTTACCATAGTTTCATGTGCTTATCTGGTTCTGGCCCATACTCAGTACATGCTATCATGACAGAAAGCCATCTCAACACTAGTGTCTAGTGTCCAGTCCTCTGTCTCTTCAAACTTGGAGCTAATTGTTTCAGCAGAACTTCTAATTGTCCAACAGACATCTGAAAATAGGTTCTGAAGCGACCGTGGTACAGTTTCAGCTCCTGAACCAAGCAGTGAAACTCACCAAGCTCTCTTCTTTTTTGTAATATTGGATGCACCCATGTGCTACGTTTCTTTTTCTTTTGAGAAAGCAAAAGGAATACCAATTCGCCATCACTTGAAATTGTAGTAGACTCCATTTTTGTCCTCTCGCTTCCACCTGGGACGCTGTAGGTTGTTAAGAGAAGGTCCTGCTCTTCTTCGCCTCTGATTGGCTATAAGTGCTGACCGTTTGGCTTGAGCGTGTGATGACGTTTCCAGCTTTACTAGCCAATCATAGGCGAAGGAGGCGGGACTTTCCCTGGGAAAAGTCTTTCCCGGGATGCACCCCCCCAATCGGAAAGTCGCGAAATTGCATCGGGCTTGATGTGTATTGTCAAGCGCGTCAAAATCCGCCTCCAAATATTTTGTAATTTTGCGTTCTTTATTCACGTGGGCCCCGGTGTGTAAGGACCTTAAAAATACAAGGATGACTCCTTTAAATCTAAAGAGAATAAACAGATTCATGTGTTTAAAAAAAACCTTCATCCAGAGATTATTGAATCTGATCAGCTGACACTTAACAAAATAATAATCATGTATTCAGTCAAGACAAAAATACACACTGACACAACCACACACCTACAGAGACATGGACATATAATAATAATAATGTTGATAATAATAATAATTATTATTATTATTATCATAATGATAATAATAATTATAATAATGACAATGATAATACTACTACTAATAATGATTATTATAATAAAAAAAATAATAATAATAATAAATAAAACTAGAAAAATTGCATTTCATTGCAGGTAATGCGTGGAAATGCTTAGTGCTGAAAGCTAAAAAAGCAATGCAAAACTGCTTCTAAAACATGGAGGAAGGTATACATGTAAAAGCTTTTGAAGGGGTGAAAAAGAAATAGAAGTTGGATAATTGTGAAAATCGTTGAAGGACAAACAGTATGAATATTCCCCATAAATTGAAATTTTATTCATGCTGAAAGAGGCCGGAAAAATGACTGAAATTGCACAAAGTTTGAATGAAGAAGTAAATTACCTTAAAAGGCAGCTAAGTGAGAAGTGACATGAGTTTAAGTTGTAGTTCGAGTGGTAGTATAAGTTGTCATAGTAGTGATATTAGTAGTCATGTGAGCAGTAGAAATAGTTTGAGAATTGAAGAAGAAGTCAAAGTAGTAGAGCTAGTGGTAGACATAGCATTAGAAGTAGAGAAAGTAAAAATAGTAGCAATAGTAGTTGAAGTAAAAGTCAAATGACTAGTTTAATTGATATTAGCAGTAGTTGTAGTAGTAGAAGTGGGATTTTGTTTAAGGGGTGAATAATGCATGAATATTAAAACTATTTTAAACAGGGAAAATTTTAATAATTAAAAATCCTCAAATATATATATTATATATATATATATATTATATATATATTATATATAAATATTAGAAAGTTTTCAAGTATCAGAAAGGTCTGAATCAGTTTGAATGAGTTTTAATTTGTTCGAAGAATTGAACAACAATCACTGAGTGATTTTAAAATGGGGGAAATTTAATTGAATAAAAATCCTGAATACACCCCATAATGTCCCCGATGCGTTGAATTTTTGAAGCCCTGAATGGTTTCTGTAGCTCAAAGTTTGTGGGAGGAGATAGAGGCCAAAGTTTGTCAGGTGCTCTAGTGAAGGGTTTTAAATGTAACCCCAGTGCTCTGTGTACTGAGCCTGGCTTCATGTGTCTCATATGACCATTAGAAGCAGCTTTCCAGTCAGCTGTGTGTCTTCAGGTGCACTGATTGGTTGCCATGGGGAAAGTAGATGCATCAATACAGCAGGAGAAAGGAGGCTTGAAGCTGAGGAAACAGCTCTCCTACTAGGCACTGATTCTCTTCCTCTGTAACTGCTACATTCATAATAAGGAGCTTATTAGAACCACAAGATTCTGCTGAACACGTTGATGTAATTAATTAACAAAATCCTGAATACATCCCATAGTGTCCTTAATGACACACCGGTCATTCGTGAAGTTGTCCACATTAATGGAGCGGTATATGGCCCCAGAGCCTGAAACTGTAAGGGCTCCAGTTCCAGGTAACATACGAATATCCATCGTCCTCTACAAATTGGGGAGCTGTGCGGAGTACAGGGTCATTGCTAACCAATTTGGTGTCCATAAAAGCACCGTCAAGAAACTTGTTTATCTTTTCTGCAAGAGCATGGTGGACGCAGAGCAATGGATTAAACAGAGTGGCGACAACTTCAGATCTCGCCGCCGGAGCGGTCACGTGGTTCATGTACCCCTCCATAGTTCCAAACGCAGCCTGCACTGTCCATGCTCTTCAACGGGGCAGACTGCAGTGAGCGCGCATTTAAGAGGTAAATATTAAAATTAACCGTAAAAAGTCAACATTTGCAACTCTTATTGGATTACTGTGTACACGTCAAAGTCACGTACGTATATTTAGCGGCTGGATGACAAATAAAAGTGAAATAAGACAAGTTTGGTAACACGTGTTACTTTTTAATAAGAGAAAATAATACAATAAAGTGGTAAGTAACAGGTGTTACAAGCTGTTTAAACAATTGTGCAATGTTTTGGTCTTGCAGCATTTTTCCATGTTAAACATACGCCTTAAATGCTGACAGGATTTAAAAAGTAGCGGTCCCTTTACTCTATCATCCCATAAGCAGAAATCAAATTACATAGCACTTATGTTAGTCGAAAAAGAATACATTGCACATAACATCGGAAACTGATAAAGGCTGAAATCTAAAATAAAGCCCATAAGTAACCATCTCAACATATGATTGATGATGATGATTCATCTGTGATTCATAACTCAGGCACACAATAGATTTTGGCAGGTCTCTACAGCTGACGACGTCCAGCTAGCAGGCCGTGGCTAAAAAATCGATCCCAATTCCTAACTAAAAAAAACGTAATTACATTTCAATTTGAGCATACTAAAATTAAAATCATTTTACAGGGGTAAAATGAGTCCCTCGATACCATTTACACACGTATTGGCATTACATTCGTTGATACAATATTTTACCTCGGGGAGTGTGGGAGCAAACCGTGGCTAAAAAAATCAATCCCAATTCCTGACTAAAAAAACGTAATTACATTTGGGATATACATTTTTACATATATAGGGGTCCCCTCGATATCAATAACACATGTATTGGCATTAAACTTGTTGATATTTTATCATTTAACCTCGGTGAGCGCTTGCCTTGTGGCCATAGAAGCGAACGGCGTCCGACGTGACAGGCGGTCATGTTGGAACTATTAAGAGTTCCATAACCCGGAAGCGGGGTCCGCCGGGCTGTACAGCGTATGCCTATGGGAGTGTTGCCACTCTGTTTAATCCACTGCTCTGGATTGCCCTCCAAACGCTAGGTTATTAGTGTAGCGATTTGAAATGAGCCTCACACAGCCGCACCAAAATAATACGGTTTGAAATGAGCCTCACACGGTCGCACCAAAAATAATACTGTAGCGATTGGAATTTATAATAAATGTCTGAAGATTAATAATCTCAAATTATGACATTTATGCACTCGTTGAAAGGGGCACCACCCACCCTTAATGGTGGGAAAATAAAGAAAACAAAAGTTTAATTCAGAAATCAAACATCACGTCAGTTTTAATTAATCAGTCGCATATCTTAAGCCGAAATTCTCATTTCAGGGACTCCACTTCTGGAAGAACACTAACAGACAGGAACTTAGAAAAATAATGATCTGTTTATTACAGGATAAATGATGGTACAACACACATGCAATAAATGATGATAAGATAATGAGGATAAAATAATAATAGGTGAATAAATAAAGATTCTGAGTCAGGCTAGGAGCACTAAAGTTAATGATAGTGAGTGAATATGCTCTAACATATTAACCTACACTAACTTTGGTGTCGAGATAAACTCGGATGTGGATTTGGAGGAATCTAAGATCACCAGAATAAGTGGATATCTGAGTTATGAACGCATGAGACAGCATCAGCCCTGTTTGGAGCTCTGGAGGTTTGCATACTTAAGTGAGACTGGTCCTTGGAGAAGGTGGAGCAGGTTCCGAAGGTCCGGGGCTACCAGCGGGTTAGAGCGGTTCAGCTCAGAAGACGACTGAGGTCAGCCGAAGGATGGGCCAGGAGTTGTAGCACTCGGGCCTGAAGTAAAGCCGGCGCCTGTGGATCCTGTGGATGCTCGTTTGGACGGTTCTTTGGTCTCACTCAAAAACTCTGGCACAGAGGATGACCTGGGCCTGCTGGGTTGCGTTCAGAGATGACTTTGAATCACGCAGATAACTCAGAAAAACAAGGCTCGAAGAGTAGAGAAAACTTTCAAAAATGGCTTCGCGAAATTAAAGAAAAATCAATCAAGGGCTTAATCTTGAATTGCTATGCGCACAAAAAGTTGAAGTTTCAAAACTTGAACTAAGACGATGTTAAAGAAAAATCAACGTGAATCAACACGTGGTGTAAAACTTAGTAGACTAAGAAAAAGTTCTAAGAGAGAACAAAGAAAAAGAGGACCACAGAAGGGTGTGGACAGAAGAGAAGGGCCCAAGAGTAAGGGGCATAAGCAAGTGTACAAGAGAGAGCGTGAGCAACCCCACTTCACTGGTTTTATCTTCTCACACTGGGAGTGTCTCTGGCGTGTGTGTGTGAGGAGAAAGAGGAGGGTTCATGGGGTCTCTGATTATTTGATCTAACTTATTCTTTTGGCTGGTAAAAGAGTCAGATCTGATATTCACTCACTATGATTAATATCATTGAATGCTTGGTTTCATGATAAATAATTTGATACTAAACACATATGAATGAAATGTAGGATCACATCAAACATTCTCATTATGTTTTAAGTATCACATTGAACATGCTAAATTACTCTGAAATGAAGCAGATAGTAACACATGGAAACTGTGAACAACAAAAGAGTAAACATATGTGAATGAACTTCATCATGATTAATAATGGATTCTAAATACTCACATTCAGATTATTCAATGATATTATAACCACCTAATGGTTAAAAATACTAAATAAACAACTAAAATATAAACCAAACATTTCTAAACCATTTCTGTTACTTAAGAGTAAAGTTATGATTCATAGTCAATAAATTTAACTCTTAAAAGTTCATGAAACAGTCTGAAAAGCTGTTGGTCTAAAGAAACTAAAGAATAAAGGATTTATTCTGTCAGAGTGATAACTCTGCTTCTGGAGCACATAGAAAAACGGGAAACATCTCATTTTAACACAAATTTCATGATTAGACAGATTAGTACATTGCTGAATGCATAAGATGTCAGAATCAGTCATTTGTATTCTTTCACCAAAGGAATGCAGTCTTTATCAGTGTATGGTCGAGCAGGGTTTTACGACCGAGGTCTGGAGGTCAGTGTCTCCCCTTATCCTGGGGTCCGTATGTTCACACACTTTAAGAAGGTAAATCTCAAATGGGAGATCTGGGTTGAGACGTTAATGTTTATTTAGATGGTCAGCAAATGGAGTCAGTTTGAAAGGTAATAAAAACCGATCGTGAAGAGTCAGAGGTTTAGTCAACCTCCGGTCGGGTCATTTAGGTAACCTGAAAGTACAAACAAGTCTGGAAAGATTTATATCCTGTGTCCTGGGACCAGATAAGGAAACTTTCCTGTGAGGAATGTGTGAGTTTCACACCCAGGGTTGTCTTGATTGCTACATCAGTATAGTTTAGAAATAGTACTGCAGTATCAGTATGCGGTATTATTAATATATATCACTGCAGTATGAGTATCAGTGTAGTTAAGATATAGTACTGCAGTATTTGTATCAGTGTAGTTTAGATATAGTACTGCAGTATTTGTATCAGCATAGTTTAGATATAGTACTGTGGTATTAGAATCAGTCTATTTTAAACATAATACTGTAGTATTAGAATAACATGTAGTTTAGATATAGTACTGTCGTGTTTAAGTGTAATTTAGATATAGTACTGCAGTAGTATCAGTGTAGTTTAGATAAAGTACTTTAGTATAATTAAGATATAGTACTGTATTATAAGTATCAGTGTAGTTTGGATATAGTACTGCAGGATTAATATCAGTGTAATTTATATATATTACTGTAGAATTAGTATCACTGTAGTTTAGATTTAGTGCTATAGTATTAGTATCACTGTAATTTAGGCATAGTACTGTAGTATTATCAGTGTAGTTTAGATAAAGTACTGTAGTATCTTAGTGCAATTTAGATATAGTACTGCAGTAGTATCAGTATAGTTTAGATATAGTACTGCAGTATTAGTATGCGGTATTATTAATATATAGTACTGCAGTAGTATCAGTGGAGTTAAGATATAGTACAATAGTATTAGTATCAGCATAGTTGAGATATAGTACTGTAGTATTAGAATCAGTCTAATTTGAATATAGTACTGTAGTATTAGAATAACATGTAGTTTAGATATAGTTCTGCAGTGTTTTAGTGTAATTTAGATATAGTACTGCAGTAGTATCAGTGTAGTTTAGATAAAGTACTATAGTATTAGTATCAGTGTAGTTTAGATATAATACTGCAGTATTAGCATCAGTGTAGTTTAGATATAGGACTGTAGTGTAAGTATCAGCACAGTTCAGATATAGTACTGTAGTCTCAGAATCAGTCTAATTTTGACATAGTACTGCAGTATCAGTATCAGTGTAGTTTAGATATTGTACTGCAGTATTAGTATCAGTGTAGTTTAGATATAGTACGGTAGTATAAGTATCAGCACAGTTTAGATATAGTACTGTAGTATTAGAATTAGTCTAATTTAGACATAGTACTGTTGTATTAGAATAACATGTAGTTTAGATATAGAACTGTAGTATTTTAGTGTAATTTAGATATAGTACTGCAGCAGTATCAGTGTAGTTTAGATAAAGTACTATAGTATTAGTATCAGTCAAGTTTAGAGATAGAACTGTTGTATCAGTATGCAGTATAATTAAGATATAGTACTGCATTATTAGTAACAGTGTAGTTCAGATAAAGTACTATTGTATAAGTATCAGTTTCATTTAGATATAAAACTGTAGTTTTAGTTTGCAGTATAATTAAGATATAGTACTGTATAATTAGTATCAGTGTAGTTTAGATATAGTACTGCAGTCTTAGTATCAGTGTAGTTTAGATATAGTACTGCAGTAGTACCAGTGTAGTTTAGATATAGTACTACAGTAGTATCGGCAGTACTTCTGGTAAACATGCCAGTGCTACTTCTAAAGTTCTGTGTGGTACTTCTTCCTCCCGTCCTGCAGGGGGCAGATTCCTGTTCTAACCCCCCTTTGCTTCTGAACTCTGACCCACAACAGACCGGTTTGTTTTGGCCACTGTAAGCCGACAGTCAAGCTTCTTTCCTGGGATGTCTCTGCTGGACGCTCCGCCGCCCTGGAGCTCCGGGCTCCGGTTTCTGACAGAGGCGGTGTCGGAGCAGCTGGTTCGAGTCGGGGAGGAGATCCTGGGTCAGGTGGAGAAGCGGCGCAGGACCCTGGGGGGTTTCGGGGGTCCTCTGTTGGACCTGCTGAGGCTGGTTCTGACGGAGCGGCTCTCGGCGGCGGCGGAGCGGATCGTGGAACTGCTGGAGCGGGAGGTGGAGGAGTACCAGCGGAGGCTGGAGCGGCAGGGCCGGCTGCTGGAGGCGGTTCTGAGTCCGGTGGTTCGACTGATCCGAACAGGTGAGTCCCAGAATGACACCGCCATGTTGGACCAGATCTGCGTGAACATAGATATACATAGAAAGGCTAGATAGCTTACCTACGCTGTGTGAGCCAATGGGTATTGACGTCGTCACACGGCGGCCATCTTACCTCGGGGCTGATGGCCTACTGATAACATTAATGTCTATGGTGCATGTACTGTTTCAATGACCATATCCTGCTCAAATTTCAACTGATTTTCAAACGGATTGGTTTGTTATAAACGCCAGAGATGCATTTATGTTTCTGAATATTTATGGATAATTATAACCATGGACTTTCATATTAAATCAAAAAAGTATATAGGAGAGCGATACCTGCCATAGCTGCACACATATACACACAGTGAAATTAAATTGTCAGTGTTTTTTTATATTAAACATTTAATAGTTGAATATTTTATATTTCTATTTAATACATATATTTAATATAAAGGGGTGAGTTGACCCACATGATATTTTAAACTTAAGCTTAAAACTTTAACAAATAATTATTTTCTTTGGGTTATTATAAACAATATAAAACCAATTAAAGTTTGTTTTTCAGAACCTTTTAATATTTGCAATTATTAATATAATATTGAAAACTTCTCTTGAATGAGTGTATTTATCAAAAATAAAAGATCATTCTGCTAATTTGAGTAGCAAAGACCTAATAAAAATTAGATAAATTGTGATTCATGTTCATTCAATTTACCCCAAGGCTTTTGGTTCATCTTGCCCCATGGCCATCGTTTTGATAAAACCTAATTAATTTAATGCTTCAGAATGATATTTTGCTAAATGATTCACATAGTTCTATACAATGAATATCACCACATGCATGATGTATAAGTTTAGACCTGGGTCCATTTGCTTTAACATAAAAATAACTATACCACAAATTCCACGGCCTGTTGGAAATGATGTTTGTGTTCTTATTTTAGGGTCACATAACACTCATGTCAACAACCAGCACAATTACTAAACAATTCAACATTCACTCCAAACTAACAGTCACTCACATGGTCGCAACAAAACCAACATATATACAAGTGCACGGACAGTTTTAGCTACTGCCCCTTGAAAAGAAAAAGAAATATCCAATAATTATTATGTAAACAAATGGTAGAAACATTTCTAAAAGGTCAGGGTGAAAATAACTTGTGTTGTACAAGTACAAATTTAACTAAGTTAGTAACATTTATCCTAAATATGTCCCTCAAGTCATTTCTTATGAGTGAAAGGTGATTCCACGGGCTCTTGTTTGGATAGAACTGAGGTTAGTACAGGTATGGTCCCAGCCGTAGTACTAGCCACCAAACATCTTTTTAACTTTGACTGATTTCTTTAGCAAAGAGACTAAACACAACTCACCTACTCTCTTTCAGCAGCTGCTTGTTTTTAGCGAGACCTCAGGCCAGTCCGTTACGGACTACAGCGGGGTGATGCAGCCCAAGGAAGAACATTTATGATCACGTTAAAGACTGACCTCAGATGTCCGCTCGGCTTTCCAAAGCAGCTCCTCTGGACCCTCAGAGATCAGAGGTCAGGGACTTATCCAGACTGACCGTCTCTCTCATGTTTATTTCAGACTCGTCTGCTCTGAGGCTGTCCAGCCCTGAGAATGAGCTCCCCGACCTCTCCACCGCCCTGCTAAGCTCGGCCTCCTCAGACAGCGACGCTGACTGGAAGGAGAGTGAGGACTTGTCCAGCAGAGCGGGGATGAATGAGTCAAATACAAACTCGTCAAATACAAACGAATCAAATACAAACGAGTCAAACCCAACAGACCCAAACAAGGACACAGGGCAGGGCTTTAGAAGTCGCAGACAGCAGGCGGCGCCATCGGAGCGTCCAGGAGCTCATCTGTGCGTCGTCTGCAGGAAACGATTCCGGCACAAAGGAAACCTGCTGAAACACGCCGAGACTCACAGGGATGGTCCTCAGTGTCTGTGCGGGGTCTGCGGGGGACACTTCAAGTCCTCAGACCATCTGCTGGACCACCTCAGGTCTCATAAGGACCTGGTCAGCAGTGGGGGGACCTGTCCAGTCTGCAGGAAGACCTTCCAGAACCTGGAGACCCACATGAGGAGTCACACCGGAGAGAACCCGTACCACTGTGAGGTTTGCAGGAAGGACTTCCCCCGACCCGGGTCCCTCAGGAGACACAAGAAGATCCACATCAGGAGGACGGTCCAGGTCCAGGGAGGCAGGGAGGAGGGTCAAGAGGAGAAGGGAGGTCAGGGGTCAAAGACTGGCAGGAGTCCAGATCCTGGACTGAAGTGGTCCCAGCTCTGCTGCAGGGTCTGTGGGGACCTCTTCCACAGCCGAGGGTTCCTGAGGAAACACGCCGAGACGCACCGCCACGACTCACAGAGCGTCTGCGGCGTATGCGGGGAGCAGCTGGACTCACCTGAGTATCTGCAGGCTCACCTGCAGTCCCACAGGGGGACCAGCGGGACCTGCAGTGTCTGCGGGAAGACCTTCCAGAACATGGAGACCCACATGAGGGTCCACACCGGAGAGAAACCGTACCTCTGCAACATCTGCAACAAAGGCTTCCCCAGAACGGGGGCGCTGCAGCGCCACAGGAGGATCCACCGCAGGGAGAGACCGTACGTCTGTCAAGTCTGTGGGACAACCTTCAAGGAGGGCAGCGCCTTAAAAACCCATTGTAGGGCCCACCTCAGGGGGGCCCCGGACTCTGGAGGGCCCACTGAAGTGGACTCTCAGGACCCCAAACCTCTATTAGAGAAGAATCTGACCACCAGAGATCACACCACGGCGCCTCAAACGCAGCACCGCTGCAAAGTCTGCGGCGAGACTTTCCAGAGTCAGGGAGGTCTGAGGAGACACTCCAAGATCCACTCAGTGGAGTCCAAGTGTGGGATCTGTGGACTCAGTTTGCTGCCCTCAGAGACCCTCACAGACCACCTGCAGGTCCACAGAGACGGCGCCAACATCTGTCACATCTGCGGGAAAACCTACCAGAACATCGAGACCCACATGCGGATCCACACCGGGCTCAAACCGTACCGCTGCGGCATCTGCGGTAAGTCCTTCCCCCGACCCAGCGCCCTGCGGCGCCACAGGAGGATCCACAGCGGGGAGAGACCCTACATCTGTGAGTTCTGTGGGAAGACCTTCATTGAAAACGGCGCTCTGACATCACACCTAAGGAAACACACGGGGGTCAAACCGGTCCACAGAGTCTCCTGTGAGACCTGCGGGAAGAGCCTGGCCTCAGTCCACGTCCTAGAGGTCCACAAGAGGATCCACACAGGGGAGAGACCGTTCCCATGCCGGGTCTGCGGGAAGTCTTTCAGGCAAGTGGGGGGTCTGAACGCGCACACGCTGACCCACACTGGAGAGAAACCCTTTAGCTGCTCCATCTGCTCCAAGAGCTTCAGCACCAAAGGGTACCTGGAGACCCACATCCGCTTCCACAGGAAGGAGAAGGCTTTCAGCTGCCCCCTGTGCCTGAAGGCCTTCGTGACCAAGAACGACCTGAAGAAACACCTGCTGACCCACAGCGGCGAGAAACCTTATGGCTGCTCTGTCTGCGGGAAGACCTACCAGGAGAAACGCTCCCGAGAGGTCCACATGAAGGTCCACCAGGACCACCTGACTAGCAGGGAACCAATCAGAAGGCAGGACAGTCTGAGGACTCCAGACTTCATCCAGCTGTAGAGACCAGACCAGGACTGTACTGGTTTACTTTAAGACCAGGACCGGACTGGTTTACATTCAGACCAGGACTGGACTGGTTTACATTCAGGACTGTACTGGTCTACATTAGGGCCCGACCGATATGTTTTTTTGGGGACCGATTGGGGGGGGGGTACGATTCGGTTTTTACTTCGAAAATGTTCCGCCATTTGAAAAGTTCCCCGACTTACCCTGTAGATGCCACAGCAACCTGCTATCAGCCTTGCTACACTATTCGCCGTGTCAGTAACGGTAGAATAAACAACAGTACACATTACGTGATCGAGCTACTTCTCTTACTGAGGCAGCTGCATGTCTCCAGATGAGACCAGACCAGAAATGAGTAACGCGAGTTAAGACGTGGAGGCACCGATCGGCGGAGGGGAGGGGGGGTGTAGAAAACGCTTTTCTGGTCTGATTTTGATCAGTCAGCCTTCCTGTCGGCGTGAAAAGCAGTAGCCTACAGTATATCTACAGAATATAGTATACTGTAGATATCTACAGTAGCCTTTATATAAATATATTTTATAACTTCATAAAAAAAATTTAAAAATTGGCCGATTAATCGGTAATCTGATATTTTTCCCCCCTAATAATCGGCATCGGCCCCAAAAAATCAGTCGGGCCCTAGTTTATACACCCAAGTACACCTCTATATGTGCATTTTTGAAACACATCAAAACATAACAAAAGTTTGCTGCTCCATTTTACATGTTGTCATAATCCAATACTCGTGTTTTTTAAAATATTAGATCATTTTATTCCACTTTAAGAAGCTAATGAGTGGAGGGGATGCATTCTACGGCACAACACCGGTCTTCTGCTAACCAGCCAGAATCAGATATGTGAAACAATGAATTACTTCTGTCTTCTGCTAACTTTGAAGCGGCAAACAGTTATACTGTGTACTGTGGGTTAACTTGAATATCCAACTAACGTTAGCCCTCGTACTTTTTCATCGACAAACGACCTGACAACAAATATAGATATTTATATACTGGTTGAAAATGTGAGAAATTCTAAGTAAAATTCTTAAAAAGTTAAAAAAATTAAAAATTCATGGAGAAATTCAGAAATTTCATCCAAAAAGAAGAACTCTGGTTAGCACCCTCATTTATTTTTGTATATCCTGCCTTTTAAAAGAATCGGGATAGAGAATCGATAGAAATCGGAATTGAAATGAGGAATCTGGGCTGTAGACCAAAGATCAAACCAGTTCAATAAAAAATGAAGAGGATTGTGTTTCATTTCCTGTCCCAGTTCAATCACAGTGATCAGTTCTAGTCTCTGCTGTTTGTTAGTGTGATGCAGCAGTTTAGCCACTAGATGGCACTGCTGGTGAAGCCAAACAGGAACCCTCTTAATTTAAACAGGTTGGCATAGTAACGCTGGACTGTAACTCAAGGAAGTGTTGGAAAGTGGTTTTAGAGAGGATCACACACACATACACACACCTGAGTCTGAGAACTCACACACACACACACACACACACACACACACACACACATTGAGTCTGAGAACTCACACACACACACACGCACACACACACACACATTGAGTCTGAGGAACACACACACCTGAGTCTGAGAACACCCACACACATCTCACTTCCTGTCAGCCAAGACGGCGCACTGCGTTCATGTGCAACATTTACCATCAGACAACAGAAAGTGTTGAGTGTTTTCATAACGAGGGGGAGTGTGTGTGTGTGTGTGTGTGTGTGCAGTGACCATTTCCAGGAAGAGGTACAGAGGGGGCAGCAGTGTGTGTGTGTGTGTGTCAGTAACTTAAGTGACTTCCTGGTCTACCGGGTGTATCCTGTTAAAACACACTTAGAGGGTCGAGTGTGTGTTCATTAACTTTATTAACAACAGAACACACACACACACACGCTCTCACACACACAGCTGTAGCAGGCGGACACCTGAGACCAGGTACAGGACCCAGAGTCACATGACCAAGACACACCAAAGGACAGGGTTTCATACAACACACTCCTTACAAAATGTGTGTGTGTGTGTGTGTGTGTGTGTGTGTGTGTGTGTGTGTGTGCGTGCGTGCGCGCACCACCAGGGGGCGTAAATCAGAGCTGAACCAGAAGAGGGTCAGACCTTCAGGTGGACCCCCCCCCCCCCAATCAATACAAACTGATAGATGATCAATAATCAGCTGGGGGGTATTCCACGAAGCTGGCTTAGCTCAAAGCCTGGCTTATTTCGGTTAGCTTGGCTAATTTTAATGAGAGTTCAGTTCCACAAACCAGGCTTAGGTCTAGCGTGGCTTGGTAACCATGGTAACTCAGCCAGCGCGACAAGCCTGGTCCCAGGCAGGCTTACGGTCAAGCTAACCTTAGCTGCGTCTCAGAGAAGGTCCGACGGGCTTCCAGAAGACGCTTTGTGAGCCGTATGTCACACAGTAATTTCATCTTCATCTGTAATAAATGATGCTCTTGTTTGGAAAAATAAATTTAGAGCTTTTACTACAAAAAAATACTACACCAACCTCAAAGAGAAAGAGAAATTCAGTAGCTGAGTGGGTAAAGAGAAATGTCGGGTTGTGGGTTTGATCCCGTCAGCGGTAATTATTTGGAAATATCTGATTTTCTCTCTTTTATTCTGTGACTCTCAATTTACTGTCAACACATAACAGAAAAAAGGCACAAACGATCTCATCCAAAACACTGAAGGCGACAACAGCAACAATTTCCCATTAAAAAAACCTTCCTTTCACCAGTGGTCCATTCTGATTATGATGATGATAATGTAAAGGTGATGGCAAATGACGACATGACTACTCTGTGTACAAGCTCATTTGTGTCTTCTCCCTTATTTAAAAGAAGGGCGCTGTGCCACCATCATCCCTAATAAAAAAAAGACATCTCCAGGTACATGTTTTTCTTCACTTTTTGTCTAAGTTTGCCTACTTTGGTTTTAGGTCTTACCTGTAGCTGCTGTACTAATCCATTATGGATATCTATTTGTCAAATCAAGAACATGAATTATGCCTACAGTACAGTAGCGGTTCTTGGCCCGGGGCGGCATTTGTGTCATGACTCATGGGGGGCGGCACGAGCACTTCCAAAATAGAAAGAAAAAAGATAATTATAATAATAAATCTGCACTTCAAAGCGGTTTTGTATTAACTCTTGTCAAATTGGCGCCCCCTGCTGCTGTAGGCGCCCCTGCTTGCTGCTAAGGTGCTGCACAGAGGCTGACAGACTGTATGAGTGAGCTGCACATACATGAGATGAAAAGTTTTTTTAAAAAGTGTTTACAGTACATGCGCAGAAGTGAGGAATAAAATTAGACAGCCAAGCAGGCTGACTGCATCGAGACGTGTCTGTTGTAAAATATTTGTCGGCTGTAACTAACTAATGTAAACGGTCCGCGATACAGTGTTGTCCTTCTTTTAAATTCTTCCCTTGTACTCTTCGTACAACTCCATGAGGAGTGCTCGCTGAGAAAGACTCCGCTCTGCCCTTTTTTTTCCATGATCTCGTCATTTCGACAATCGATACGTCGGGGCTTTCTTTGTAACGCGGAGGCGCGCATAGCCGCGGCTTGGATCAGCCTGGCTAGAATAAGCGTCTCTGAAAAACAGCTGAGCCTCGTTAGTGGAACGAGTCGCAGCTAAGATTAAAGTGGCCACTTATTCAAGCCACGCTTACCGGCGATAGCCCAGACTTATTTAGCCAGCTTCGTGGAATACCCCCCTGGTCTGATCAATCAAAGTGTTTTATTTAGCTCTGTGTTTGTGTTTGTGTATGTGTGTAAGTGTGTGTGTCTGTGTGTTTTAAAGTGTGTCTCTGTGTGTCTCATCAGTTTAATTGAATCTCTTTCACGGACTCTCAAGAGACACGACTGCGCACGCGCGCGCACACACACACACACACACACACACACACACACACACCCTCCCTCCCTCCCAGTGTGTGTGCATGGCAGTGCGTGCCTGCCGGTAGGTCGGTCAGATTTAGACCCGGACTCAGAGGACTGCAGAGACCCGCACGAACCCCCTTGACTAACGAGAGACGGATCCCGGTGCACGTGCGCGCGACCAGCAGGACTCCTTTTCCTGTTTGTGTGTGGAAACCTGCGCGCGCTCTAACCCGTCTCTTCTCTCTTTTTCTTCTTCTTCGTGGGCTCATGGAGCTTCAGGAGGACTGAGGACCTGAACAGGTGAGTGCGTTTACCTTTACTTTGATTGACACGTGTCTGAGAGGCTCCCAGGATTCTGATCAATCAGCTGATCAGGTTTACTCTGGTCTGATTAAGTGACAGGAATCTATACGATCACAGCACAGCACACGATCAATAATCAGTAATGTACATTTAACAGCATGAGAATCAAGTTACTGACAAAAAAACGACAAACTGATGAGAAAAAAGAGACAAAAACGGACTGTAAGGAAAAAACATGAAAAAAAAGAGACTCTAGACTTTAGACAACATAGATCTGTAACATGGAACTGTATCATAGATCTGTATCATGAACACAGATCTATGTCACACAGATCTGTGTGATCTAGATCTGTAATATAAGCATAAACATGTAACACGGATGTATAACATAGATCTGTAACATGAATATAGATCTGTGTTACATAAATCTTTAACATAAACAGATCTGTGTGACATAGATCTGTAACATAGCTCTGTATCAAAACACAGATCTGTGTTACATAGATCTGTAACATAAACACAGACCTGTAACATAGATCTGTAACATAAACACAGATCTCTGTTACATAGCTCTTTAACATAAACACAGACCTGTAACATAGATCTCTTACATAGATCTGTAACATAAACACAGCTCTGTGTTACATAGATCTGTATTACACTGATCTGTAACGGAAACACAGATCTGTATTACACCGATCTGTAACAGAAACACATCTGTATTACATAGATCTGTAACAGAAACATAGTGGCCCTGCAGTGGAGCCTTGAGGAACTCCCTGCTATTTCCCATCAGTCCTTTTCATGAACTCGGTACTCGCTCTGCAGTGAGAAAATAAGAAACCAAATCTCTGCAACTTTTGTGGTTTTTGTGATGAAAACAGATCAGATTTTCTCACTGAACTGAACAGCTGATTCCCCCGTCACATAAATCAAACTCTTCACAGCAAATCAGTCAGACACATAGACTGTTTATACTGTGGACAACTTGGTTCCGCCTACCGCCTGTATTTAGATTTGAAGCCAAATAGCTCTCGTTATTTCCGTGATTTTTCTTCATTTCCTGAAACCAGCGCTGCGCAGTAGCAATGCACGCATTCGGCCGCGCAGTCGCAGAGAGTCGCTGTGATGACGCTCGGCTCAAACAGAGTATCCCCCAGGAGAGCTACGCAATCCCTGAACGCCCATAGGCTGTTTTAGCTGTCAATCATAGAAAACATGAACCCCCTAATAACTTTTAAAAACGGAGCTTCACAGAAAAAAGAGGACTTGAGCACAAACCAGTCTTACAATAACTACATGTCAACATCACAAGCAGGGGGGAGAAAAAATTATGTTCTGTGTAATAAATTTCTAAAGTTTGTCCACAGCTCCATAAGCTTTGCTGGCGGAGGCGGGATTTATAACCTATACTGCAGCCCATCAACAGAGGGTGCTGTTCTCGGAGTGGCTTTACCCAGCAAGGAGGCAGACTCTGTCCATTCTATATACAGTCTATGGTCAGACATAAATGCGTGACTGTGCCTTTAATAAAAGTTTACACCATCTTTGACATATTGGTGAAAATCTGTGACTGGACCAAACAGTTGTTCAGAGAGCCAATCAGCGAGCAGAAGCTTTTTTTAACACTGATAATTTTTTTTTCTTTTTCTTAATTTGTGTTACCGTGGCGATCATGATCATACAGACATGTTCGACCATCATGGTGATGAAGCATCTTCACTGTCCGCTCCAACGAGGAGGAAACTCGTTGATGAAGCTGAAGAGTCTGAAGACCAATGTTGAAGTTTGTTTGTTCAGATGATCCATAAAGTGATCCTGTTTACAGTCAGAGAGCATCTATGATTTCTACGTCTAACCTTAGAGACCGAGAGACACATCGCACCTGAGCTGTCCAACAGCTGCACCTGAAACTCAACCTGCAGGAAGTTTGTGAACCCTCACTTCCTGTGATCGTGATCGGACAGCTGATGATTGAAGCGGTTCTGATTCGAGTTCTGAATATGTCTGTGAACACAGTTGACCAAAGAAGAGCATCACATCAGAACACAGAGGTGTTCCTAATAGTATGGCTCCACAGATAGATAGATAGATAGATAGATAGATAGATAGATAGATAGATAGATAGATAGATAGATAGAGTGGTGGTTAGTTAAACAGCATGGTCAGTTTCTTCGCTCTGCAGCTGTTTTATAACTGCACTTATATAACACTGAGGGCTGCAGAGGAACAATGACACACACAAACACATGCTCATGCACATGCTCACAAATACACACACACACACACACTAGAAAACAAGGACTCTGTAGACATAGAAAGTTAATCATAGAATATCAGCAAGTTTTCAGTTTTGTGATTCAAACTAATTAAATTAAAATCATTCAAAGAAAATTTAACTTAATCCACCACATTTTTAATGTTTGAGATTGAAATAAAAAAATTTAAAAAAATTATTTAAGTTCAATGTAATTATCGGGAGACAACAAAAAGTTTTTATGTAGTCTATAACAGTCTGAGTCCATAACAGTCTATGACAGTCTATAACAGTCTAAGTCTATAACAGTCTGAGTCTATAACAGTCTATATAGGTCTAAAACAGTCTGAGTCTATAAAGGTCTATAACAGTCTAAGCCTATGACAGGCTGAGTCTATAACAGACTATAACACTGAGTCTGTGACAGGTTGGGTCTATAACAGTCTATAACAGTTTAGGTCTATAAAAGTCTATAATAGTCTGAGTCTATAACAGTCAATAACAGTCTGAGTCTAAACAGTCTATAATAGTCTGAGTCTATAAGAGTCCTTAACAGTTTAAGTCTATAACAGTCAAAAACAGTCTGAGTCTATAACAGTTTGTAAAAGTCTAAGTCTATAACAGTCTATATATCTCAATAACAGTCAGAGTCTATAAAGGTCTGTAACAATCTGAGTCTATGATAGGTTGAGTCTAAAACAGTCTGAGTCTGTAACAGTCTGCCACAGTCTGAGTCTATAACAGTCTATATAAGTCTATAACAGTCTGAGTCTATAAGTGTCTATAACAGTCTGAGTCTAGAACATTCTTTAACAGTTTAGCTCTATAACGGTCTATAGTAGTCTAATTCTATAACACAATAACAGCCTGAGTCTATTACAGTCTATAAGAGTCTCAGGCTAAAACAGTCTATATCTTTACCAGTCCGAGTCTATAACAGTCTATGATAGTCTGTGACAGTCTTAGTCTATAACAGTCCATAACAGTGAGTCCATAACAGTCTCTTATAGTCTAAGTAATAATAGTAATAATAGTCTATAACAGTCTATAACAGTGTGAGTCTATCACAGTCTATAACAGTGTGAGTCTAAAACAGTCTATATCTTTACCAGTCTGAGTCTATAACAGTCTATGATAGTCTGTGACAGTCTCAGTCTATAACAGTCCATAACAGTGAGTCTATAACAGTCCATAACAGTTTAGGTCTTTAACAGTCTATAGTAGTCTGAGTCTTTAACAGTCTATGAGAGTCTCAGTCTATGACAGTCTGTAACAGTCTGAGTCTATAACAGTCTATAGTAGTCTAACTCTGCAACAGTCTGAGTCTATAAGTCTGTATAACTCTGTAACAATATGAGTCTATAAAGGTCTATAACATCTGAGTCTATGACAGGCTAAGTCTATTACAGACTATAACTGTTTAGGTCTATAACAGTCAATTATAGTCTGAGTCTATAACTGTCTATAACAGTCTGAGCCTATAACAGTCTATAAACTGTAAGTCTATAACAGTCGAAGTCTTTAACAGTCCATAAAACTCTGAGTCTATAACAGTCTATATAAGTCAATTAAGTCTGAGTCTACGACAGTCAATAACAGTCTGAGTCTAAAACAATATGAGTCTATAAAGGTCTATAACATCTGAGTCTATGACAGGCTAAGTCTATTACAGACTATAACTGTTTAGGTCTATAACAGTCAATTATAGTCTGAGTCTATAACTGTCTATAACAGTCTGAGCCTATAACAGTCTATAAACTGTAAGTCTATAACAGTCGAAGTCTTTAACAGTCCATAAAACTCTGAGTCTATAACAGTCTATATAAGTCAATTAAGTCTGAGTCTACGACAGTCAATAACAGTCTGAGTCTAAAACAGTCCATAAAAGTCTGAGTCTATAACTGTCTGATTCTACATCAGTCTATAACAGTGTGAGTCTATAACAGTCTGAGTCTATAACAGTCTATAACAGTCTGAGTCTACAAGTCTGAGTCTATAACAGTCTATATACACTCACCGGCCACTTTATTAGGTACACCATGCTAGTAACGGGTTGGACCCCCTTTTGCCTTCAGAACTGCCTCAATTCTTCGTGGCATAGATTCAACAAGGTGCTGGAAGCATTCCTCAGAGAGCTTGGTCCATATTGACATGATGGCATCACACAGTTGCCGCAGATTTGTCGGCTGCACATCCATGATGCGAATCTCCCGTTCCACCACATCCCAAAGATGCTCTATTGGATTGAGATCTGGTGACTGTGGAGGCCATTTGAGTACAGTGAACTCATTGTCATGTTCAAGAAACCAGTCTGAGATGATTCCAGCTTTATGACATGGCGCATTATCCTGCTGAAAGTAGCCATCAGAAGTTGGGTACATTGTGGTCATAAAGGGATGGACATGGTCAGCAACAATACTCAGGTAGGCTGTGGCGTTGCAACGATGCTCAATTGGTACCAAGGGGCCCAAAGAGTGCCAAGAAAATGTTCCCCACACCATGACACCACCACCACCAGCCTGAACCGTTGATACAAGGCAGGATGGATCCATGCTTTCATGTTGTTGACGCCAAATTCTGACCCTACCATCCGAATGTTGCAGCAGAAATCGAGACTCATCAGACCAGGCAACGTTTTTCCAATCTTCTATTGTCCAATTTCGATGAGCTTGTGCAAATTGTAGCCTCAGTTTCCTGTTCTTAGCTGAAAGGAGTGGCACCCAGTGTGGTCTTCTGCTGCTGTAGCCCATCTGCCTCAAAGTTCGACGTACTGTGCGTTCAGAGATGCTCTTCTGCCTACCTTGGTTGTAACGGGTGGTTATTTGAGTCACTGTTGCCTTTCTATCAGCTCGAACCAGTCTGGCCATTCTCCTCTGACCTCTGGCATCAACAAGGCATTTCCGCCCACAGAACTGCCGCTCACTGGATATTTTTTCTCTTTTCGGACCATTCTCTGTAAACCCTAGAGATGGTTGTGCGTGAAAATCCCAGTAGATCAGCAGTTTCTGAAATACTCAGACCAGCCCTTCTGGCACCAACAACCATGCCACGTTCAAAGTCACTCAAATCACCTTTCTTCCCCATACTGATGCTCGGTTTGAACTGCAGGAGATTGTCTTGACCATGTCTACATGCCTAAATGCACTAAGTTGCCGCCATGTGATTGGCTGATTAGAAATTAAGTGTTAACGAGCAGTTGGACAGGTATACCTAATAAAGTGGCCGGTGAGTGTATATCATTTTAAGTCTGAGTCTGTAACAGTCTATAACAGTCTGAGTCTATATCAGTCTTAGTCTGAGTCTTACCTCTAATTTGAACCTGTATTTTTGTTTTAACTCTTTAGTTTAGATTTTAACAGATATCCTCTCTCCGACTCTGTCTGGTGGATTATATTTAAGTAGACTATCCTGATAATCGTTGATGAATAACAGGTCATTAAGAGTTCTCTGAGATATGATGATTCCAGACCATGAAGAGCTTGTATGTCAGAAGATCAGAAGATCTCTATGGTTTCTCAGGTTTTATGGAAAGATCAGATTTATTTCTGTTTGGTAGAAAGGGATTTACTTTAGGGTCATAACTCAAATTTAGTCACTTTATAATGTTTGATAACAGGTCACTCATTCACTAACATCAGGAGTTAGTTCCTCCTCTGTCACCAAGGTAACAGCCTGCTGCTCTGTGTGTGTGTGTGTGTGTGTGTGTGTGTGTGTGTGTGTGTGTGTGTGTGTGTGTGTGTGTGTGTGTGTGTGTGTGTGTGCGCTGCGCTATTCTAAACAGAACATCTGAAAGTCTATGAACATTAGAGTCTTTAAAATCTAATTATCAACATGTCATGAAACACACCTGCAGGTGTTTGTGTGTGTGTGTGTGTGTGTGTGTGTGTGTGTGTGTGTGTGTGTGTTTATGTGATAATGTAATCCAATCATCAATGAGGGGACTGGGAGTACTGGTGTTTAAATGGTGGGCGTCTGCAGCCTGGAGGGAACATGAATAAGAATAATATTGATGTAAATAGGCGGATTGTTCCTTTAATGAGGATCACAGCCCAGCTGTGGTTCTGGTGAGTCCAGACATCAGAGTTTCTTCAGGACCTCATCCTGGATCTGCTCGATTTCATCACTTTGTGAGATATGACATCAGCCTCTGCCATCCAATCAGGACAAAGCTTAAGGACACGCCGACTAGGCTGTTCCTCACCCATAAAGTCCATCCCCTGCTGATTCTCCTCCTCCTCCTCCTCAGTCTCTAAAGTCTCTCTTAGTCTCCTTCTGGTCTTGAAGGACAGTCTCAGCTGTTTCCACATTTGGACGTTTTCAGGACGCCATCATAGCTGTTAGCGCTCACCACTTCACTGAGGAAAGCAAGACCAGAACCAGCTGTATTAGAGTGTTAGCTGATACTGGAATCTGGATCCGTTCAGACCTTCATAAAGTGGAAACAGTGTTAGATCAGCTGATCATGGAGCTGCAGCTGTGTAATAGATGGATAGATAGATATACTTTATTGATCCCAAACTGGGAAATTCTTAAATTGTTGCACCTTAAATTGTTTGTTTGTTTATCATCCCATCTGTATATTTCGCATTTCATATTTATTACTCATTTCATATTTATTATTCATTTCAATGGCCCACTTTTTTCATATCTCACTTTTTTCTCTTTCTCACTTTATCTCTATATTTATTTATTGTATACATTTAGTATATTAAGTCTGCATTGTACATACTTCTTTTATTTAATTTTATTTTATTTTGAGTTTTTATTGCTGCTGTAACATGAGAATTTCCCAGTTTAAGATCAATAAAGTAAAAAGTAACACCCCCCACTGTGTCGGAGTCATTAGAGCGGCTAATCATGCGTAGCTCATCCAAAGGTCTGTCAGACTGACAGGTATGTGTTCATGAAAGTTCCAGATGTTTCTGTGTAACCTTTACACGTGTGTTTGTTTCCCCCCAGCTTGTCTGACAGGCTATTAGGCTCTTCCCCCTCACCATGTGGTCTGTGAGGCCCCACCCCCTGCTCCTGCTCTTTATCCTCGTCAAATCAGTTGGCTCCTCCCTCTCAGCTGACAATGACACAGAGGTTCTTCAGGAGGTGATCCTGGCCGCCATCTTACCTCTGACCAACACTGATTACGCGTGGGCGTGGCCTCGTGTGGCGCCAGCTCTCCAGCGAGCGGTGCAGCAGGTGAACTCTGACCCCTGGTTGCTGCCAGGTCTGAGGCTGCAGCTGGTCCACCGGAGCTCTGAGAACCGTGATGGCTTCTGCTCCGACTCCATGGCGCCACTGGTTGCCGTTGACCTGGAGATGGCCCATGAACCCTGGGCCTTCATTGGACCGGGCTGTGACTACTCTTCCTCGCCAGTTGCACGCTTCACCACCCACTGGCAGGTCCCCATGGTGACGGCAGGTGCCCGAGCTGTAGGCTTCGAGCAGTACACCGCTGTCACCAACGTAGGCCCCACCCACAAGAAGTTGGGCGAGCTGGGCCTGAGGATCCAGGAGACCTTTGGCTGGAGGCAGCACGCCATGCTTATCTTTAGTGACAACAAGGACGCCAACGACGACCGTCCGTGTTACTTCGCTGTGGAGGGGCTGTACACGCTGCTGGGAAAACACAACATCAGCATCCGCGACCACGTGATGGAGGCCGACTTCAGCTACCGACAGGTGGTGCAGGAAGTCCGTGACCACGGCAGAGGTCAGAGTCCAACCATCCATGACTTCCTGTCCCATCATCCTTCATCTCCTCTGCTCCCTTCTTTACTTCCTCTTTTCACTGTGCATCCTTATTTCCTTCCTTCTTTCCCTCAACTGCTTTCTTCATCCACCAGCCCGGTCTTTTCCTTCCTCCTTTCCTTCCTTCCTTCCTTTCCCCCTTTCCTACTTCCTCCTCTCCTTCCTTCCTTCTGTCACTCATGTGAAAGTGTCGGCACATTAGTCTTCATCCTGAAGCTCTTCTGTTTCTTCAGTCAAGAATGAAATTAAAGATGCAGCCTGTCGGTGGGTTTAATTAAACACCTGTTCTCAGGGGATGCAGTCTGAACAGTCTCTCAGGTGTCAGTGGAAACCTGTCTTAATGGTCTTCCAATAAGCCACACCCACCCAGGTTTGACCCGGCTTCCCTGATTGGTCACTTGGAGTCTTTTGGTGTCTGTTTCCTGTGAATAATAAAAACTGTAAGCTGCTGGTGGACACAGGCCCTCCCTCTGCCTGTTTATCCCCCTATCCTTCTTCTTCTTCCTCTCTCCGTCTGCTGTTTCCTCTATAAATGAGGGTTAATTATTGTTTGACTTTGAGCTGCAGAAGTTACTGAATGCTCAGAAAGTTTGTGTGTGTGTGTGTGTGTGTGTGTGTGTGTGTGTGTGTGTGTGTGTGTGTGTGTGTGTGTGTGTGTGTGTGTGTGTGTATAAAAACAGAAACATGTGAAACTCTTATTTTCACATGTGAATGGGTCAGAGAGCAGCTGGGATGGGTGGTTGGGGGTTTGTCGAATTAAAGGATCGTTGTTATCATAATTCTCAGGCTAAATTCATAAGGGGGGTGCGGTGGGGGGGTAGTTTTTAATATTATCATAGTGGAGGAGGATATTTGACTATGACTCTCATATTTATATTAAACTCCACTTAGACAGTAAAGTAACTTAACTCCCAAAGGACACTGAATGCATGTACAAATGTATTTAGATAAAGAGGGACTTTATGACGAGCAAAGTACAAACACTGTGAGTCCATCCTTCAGAGAGGAACCGTAACACCAAACCCATGATTCCGGGGTCATTAAAGGTTAGGGTGATGATAATAGTGATGATCATGTTGATAACAAGGATGATAATAGTAATGACGATGATGATGGTGACAAAAATGATGATGATAATGGTGTTGATAATGATAATGATGATGATGGTGATAATCATGATGGTGATGATGATGATAATGGTGATAAAAATGATAATGGTGATGATGATAACAATGTTGATGATGATGATGATGATGGTGATGATAATGTGTATGGTGATGATGATGATGATGATGATGATGATGATGATGATGATGATGATGGTGATGATAATGGGTATGGTGATGATGATGATGATGATGATGATGATGATGATGATGGTGATGATAATGGGTATGGTGATGATGATGATGGTGATGATAATGGGTATGGTGATGATGAAAATGACGATGATGGTGATGATAATGGGTATGGTGATGAAAATGATGATGATTGTGATGATAATGGTATGGTGATGATGATGATGATGATGATGATGATGGTATTGATAATGGGTATGGTGATGAAAATGATGATGATTGTGATGATAATGGTATGGTGATGATGATGATAATGACGATGATGATGATGGTATAATGCTAATGATAATGACGACGATGATGATGACAATGATGATGATGATAATGTGGTGATGATGGTGATGATGATGATGATGATGGTAATTTCATTGATGATTATGATGTTGGTGGTGATGATTATGATGATGGTGATGATGATCATAATGATGATGATATTGATGATGATGATGGTGGTCATTATGATTATCAAGCTCTCATGTTCTCATCAGAGTCAGCTGGTTAAGTGGGATGATTATTGCCATGGCTACAGACAAGCGGTGTGATGATGTCATCACAAACGAACTGATAACAGGTGGTAACCGGACCTGGCTTCACTTAGACTGTGTGTGTTTGTGTGTGTGTGTGTGTGTGTGTGTGTGTGTGTGTGTGTGTTTTCTTCTTCAGTGGTGTATCTGTGCTGTCCCCCTGACGTCCTCAGGACACTGATGGTCCACTTCTGGAGGGAGGGGGTGGAGCTCGGGGACTACGTCTTTTTCTTTATCGACCTGTTTGGTGAAAGTCTGGGGGGGCGGAGCCAGGTCAGGCCATGGTTAAGAGGAGACCAGGACGACTATGCCGCACGCCACGCATTCAGGGTGAGATGTTCATCACAGACCAGAGCAGGGACCTGTTTTTTCTGTCTGAACAGATGTTAGGAAGTACCTAACCGATTCTGCCCCCTGTCTGTCTGTCCCTGTCTGACTCTGTCTGTCCCTGTTTGTCTCTGTCTCTGTCTGTCCCTGTCTGTTCCTGTCTGTCCCTGTCTGACTCTGTCTGTCCCTGTTTGTCTCTGTCTCTGTCTGTCCCTGTCTGTCCCCGTCTGCCTCTGTCTGTCCCTGTCTGTTCCTGTCTGTCTCTGTTCCTCTTCTTCTCTGTCTGTCCCTGTCTGTCTCTGTTTGTCCCTGTTTGTCTCTGTCTGTCCCCATCTGTCTCTGTCTCTGTCTGTCCCTGTCTGTCCCCGTCTGCCTCTGTCTGTCCCTGTCTGTTCCCGTCTGTCTCTGTTCCTCTGTCTGTCTCTGTCTGTCCCTGTCTGTCTCTGTCTGTCCCCGTCTGTCTCTGTCTGTCCTTGTCTGCCCCTGTCTGTTCCCGTCTGTCTCTGTTCCTCTCCTTCTCTGTCTGTCCCTACCTGTCTCTGTCTGTCCCCGTCTGTCTGTCTCTGTTCCTCTTCTTCTCTGTCTGTCCCTGTCTGTCTCTGTTTGTCCCTGTTTGTCTCTGTCTGTCCCCATCTGTCTCTGTCTCTGTCTGTCCCTGTCTGTCCCCGTCTGCCTCTGTCTGTCCCTGTCTGTTCCCGTCTGTCTCTGTTCCTCTGTCTGTCTCTGTCTGTCCTTGTCTGCCCCTGTCTGTTCCCGTCTGTCTCTGTTCCTCTCCTTCTCTGTCTGTCCCTACCTGTCTCTGTCTGTCCCCGTCTGTCTCTGTCTGTCCTTGTCTGCCCCTGTCTGTTCCCGTCTGTCTCTGTTCCTCTCCTTCTCTGTCTGTCCCTACCTGTCTCTGTCTGTCCCCGTCTGTCTGTCTCTGTCCGTGTCTGTCCCTGTCTGTCCCTTGTCTCTCCCTGTCCCCGTCTGTCTCTGTTCCTGTCTGTCCATTGTTGTCCCTGTTTATCTCTATCTGTCTCTGTCTGTCCCCGTCCTTCTCCATCTGTCCCTGTCTGTCTCTGTCTCAGAGTGTGAAGGTGTTGACCTACCTGGAGCCCCAGAACCCGGAGTATCTTCAGTTCTTGGTCACTTTGAAGGACGATGCTCAGAGGATGTTTAACTTCAGCATTGGAGACTCTCTGGTACTGAGCATGCTCAGTGTGACATTATCATGAAGATAATGTAAAGAACAAGTCCAGTTTTAATGACCCAAGAACATGTCCGTCTCTGTGTCTCTCTGTGTCCCCGTCAGTATAACCTGATCGCCGCAGGTTTCCATGACGGCGTGCGGCTCTACTCTCAGGCTCTTCATGAGACATTGAGCGATCAGAGACCAGGACCAGGACGGGTCCGGAGGCCCAGTGCGGACACGGTGACAAAGAGGATGTGGAACAGAACTTTTCCAGGTGAGGACAGATTTCTGCTCCCATGTTTGTCTGATTTAGGGCTTGTTGTTTTCAGCCAATCCGAGAGCAGATCAGGGCGGCAGTAATAGTCACTGTGGGGTTTCTGTCCTGGTCTGCGGTCAGAGTCCCACATTTCCTGTTTTCATGTTCCCAGCTAACACGCTAACAGGCTAACTCTCTGAAGACACTCTGCGTGTGTGTGTGTGTGTGTGTGTGTGTGTGTGTGTGTGTGTGTGTGTGCTCCTCTTTCCCTCTGCTCCATCTGTCAATCATTTAACCCCGCCCACTCTCTAATGAGCCTTGACCAACGAATCAGGAGTCTCCCAGCTCTGTGAGATCGCCACGGGAACAGCTGTGTCCTCTGAATGTATTTATTATCTCTCTGGGATTGTCCATCATTACACACACACACACACACACACACACACACACACACACACACACACACACACACACACACACACACACACATTAAGTGTGATAGTTTTTCAGAATAAAAGCCTCAGGTTATACACAGCAGACTATCTGCTCTCGTCGTCGTCTCTGTGTGACTCTGACTGTCTCTGGGGATTATCACTCTCTCATTCGTCTACTGTCCACACTCACCTGTCCAACTCTGTCTCACCTTAACAACACCTCATTTGTTTTCTCATAGACATCAAGGTTTAGTCATGACATGAGGATAAAACAGAGACTGTTTCAGCATGAGAACATGTGGACAAACCTGAGATAGTGTAAAAAAAAAAAACTTATGTACCCTGAGATAGTCTGAGACAATCTGAGATAATCTGAAGTAAAATTAGATAATGTAAATGACCTGAGATAATCTGAGATAACCTGAGATTACCTGAGTTAATGTAAAAAAAACTGATGTACCCTAACATAATCTGAGATGATCTGAGATAACCAGTGATAATCTGAGATAATATAAGGTTCGTCTTAGACCCAGTCATGTGACTAACCTGTTTGACATTTCCCTCATTAGTTGTAGATGTTCCTGCAGATGTTTGTGTAGCATCAGAACTTTGGACCTGTTTGGTTTTTCCTCCATTTTTCATATTTTTGTTGTAATTTTGTTGGCTGCTGATGGATACTTCTGCTGGGCAAAGAGTTTAATCAAGAGAAGAGCTCCTTTCATTGAGGAAAAGCAAATCTGGACAACAACATACAATTCCAGAGGACATCAGGAGGTGTTATTGTGGTTGCCGTGCTGGTGCAAAGGTGAAGGCAAAGCTGAATGCTAGGAGGTGGCGATATAAACCCTTCTTCCATCAATCACCATGGGAAACGTCAACTCTCTGCCCAACTAAAGCGATGAGCTGGAGATCTTGGTGAAGACTGAGAAAGCATACCGTGAGTGCAGTTTCCTGTGTTTTACTGAAACCTGGTTGAGTCAAAACAACTCAGACTCCAGTGTGGATCTATCTGGCTTCACTCTCATAAGGTCAGACAGAGATGCTCAAGCTAGTGGCAAGAAGAAAGGAGGAGGTCTGGCTTTATTTGTCAACCAGAGATGGTGTAACCCTTCACACATAACTGTCCAAGAGAAGTTGTGTTGTCCAGATATTGAACTGTTGGCAGTTGCTCTTCGGCCATATTACGTTCCCAGAGAATTCAGTCATATCATAACAGTAGTTGTTTTCATTCCACCCAAATCAACTGAGGAATGTTGCGATGTTTTGCAAAATAGTGTTGCCAGGCTAAAGACTCAACACCCGGAGGCACTAATAATAATATCAGGATACTTCAACCATGTCGCCCTCTCCTCTCACCTGACTGGATTCACACAGTTTGGGAACTGTCCTACCAGAGAAAACAAAACCCTGGATCTGCTGTATGCCAACGTCAAAGAAGCCTACAGAGCCACTGCCTTACCACCACTGGGCAAGTCAGATCATAACTTGGTCTATCTGCAAACCTGTTACAGCCTGTGACCAAAGTCAAAATCAGAAGATGGACACCTCAAGCCAGTGAAGCTCTAAGGGACTGTTTTAGATCAACAGACTGGAATGTGCTGCTGGAAACAGATGTGGATAGCATGAACATTGACAAACAGGTTGACTGCTTTACTGATTATGTCAACTTCTGTAGAGACACAGTTATACCCACAAAAACTGTTCACTGTTTCCCCAACAACAAACCCTGGATCACAAGAGACATAAAAGCAATCCTTAACCAGAAAAAGAAAGCTTCTAAAGATGGTGACAAAGAACAACTCAAACAAGTGCAACAAGATTTGAAGAGGAGACTGAAGATGGCAAAGCTGGAGTACAAAAAGAAGGTAGAGAAGAATCTACAACATCTGTGAAGTGTGGAGAGGAATCAGTACCATCTCTGGACACAGCAATAAAACGAAAAGACAGCCAGTGGTGGGTGAGGTGAAAAGAGCTGATGAACTCAACCTGTTCTTCAACAGATTTGACACTGCTGTCACACCCACTCCCACTGCTACTTCACCTTCTTCTCCACAACAAATCTCCTCTACAACTTCTCCCTTTCCTCCTCCATCTCATTCAAATGTCTCAACCACTTCAACTGCCTCCCTCCTAGAGCACCAGTCCTTGTCTGTCACTGAAACAGGGGTGAGGAAGGAGCTTGGAAGACTTTGTCCTGGGAAGGCAGCTGGTCCAGATGGTGTGTGTCCAAGGCTGCTTAGAGACTGTGCTGCAGAACTGTGTCAACCTCTCCACAAGATCTTCAACCTGAGTCTACAGCTGGGGTGGGTACCTGCTCTGTGGAAGATCCTGCATTGTGCCAGTACCAAAAACAAAATGTCCTGCTGAACTGAATGACTACAGACCAGTGGCCCTCACTTCACATATCATGAAAACCCTGAAGCAGCTGATTCTACGCCTTCTGAGGTCTGAGGTCAAAGACAAACTGGATTCCCTGCAGTTTGCATACAAAGAACACATTGGGGTGGATGATGCTGTCCTCTACATGCTTCACCGTGCCCTGTCTCATCTGGAGGAACCTGGGGTTTATGTGAGGATCATGTTCTTCGACTTTTCAAGTGCATTTAACACCATCCAACCTACCATACTCAAAGACCAGCTCACAGAGATGGGAGTGGATCCTTCCTGTGTTTCCTGGATCACAGATTACCTTACAGGAAGGCCACAGTTTGTCAGGCTGGGGAACTGTGTTTCTGGGACATTAATGAGCAGTACAGGGGGTTCCACAAGGGACAGTGCTGGCGCCATTCCTGTTCACACTGTACACGTCAGACTTCAAATACAGCACTGAGTCCTGCCACATCCAGAAATACTCAGATGACACCGCTATTGTGGCATGTATCAGAAATGGACAAGAAGCTGAATACAGAGAGGAGCCTTCAGTGACTGGAGTCACAAAAACTGCCTCCTCCTCAACACCTCAAAGACAAAGGAGATGGTCATAGACTTCCGTAGATCCAAACCCCCTCTTCAGCCAGTGAACACCTGTGGAGTGGACACTGAAGTGGTGACATCATATAAATACCTAGGTGTACATCTGGATAATAAGTTGGATTGGTCTAAGAATGTAGACTACATCTGAAGAAAGGGGCAGAGCCGCCTCTTTTGCCTGAGAAGAGTCCAATCAATAGACATCTGTAGTAAGACAGATGTTTTATCAGTCTGTGGTGTCTACAGTGTTCTGTTCTACGCTGCAGTCTGCTGGGGAGGAAGCATCAAACATAAAGATGCAAGATGTCTTAACAAACTGGTGAAAAAGGCTGGCTCTGTGGTAGGACTCAAGCTGGACTCAGTGGAGGATGTTGTGGAGAGATCTACACTGAGGAAGGTGGAGACTATTCTAAAGAACATGGATCACCCACTTCACAACACCTTGATGGACCAGAGGGCAAATGGTGGTGGACGGCTCCTCTCTCTTCGCTGCAGGACAGAAAGATTTAGAAGATCTTTTGTACCAACAGCCATCAGGCTTTATAACTCTTATGTAAATAATAGATAACTTTTATAGACATATTATGTGAGACAACAGACAATTGAATTTCCCTTCGGGGATCAATAAAGTTCTTCTTATTCTTATCAGAACTTTTCGGTTCGGTAGGTTCTGTGTGTCTGCATGAAGGTTCTGTGTGGCTCTAAAGACAGTGTAGAGAGCTTTTGTATCTCAGATTAGGGAACTGGTCAGTAGGTCAGATGGGTGTCCTGAAGCTGATTCTGGTTCTGGTCTTCGTAGAGACCCAGAGAGTGTCTTCAGAGTCAGGCAGAAACCCACTCTCTGGTTTCTCTGGTTTCTCTGGTTTCTCTCTGCATTGTTCCAAACAGGAAGAGACAGACAGGAAGTCATCACTCAGCTGTCTCCCTGCTGCTCCAGGAAAAGCCTGTGGACACGTGACCAGAGACAGTCCTCAGAGCGTCCTCCCTGTCCGTTAGAGTTTACAGAAACAATCCTCCAATCAGAGGCTCAGTTTTCTGGTCCATAAAAATGTCCGTCAGCTGCTGCTGTTGTTGTTTTAAACTCTCAGACTGAACTCTGAGGACAAACACTAAGGGACAGACTGAAGCTGTCAAACTGTGAGAGACGGATCAGCCAGAGTCCACAAACACACAGACAGGGGGTCAGAGGGGTCTGGAGGGTTTGGAGGGTCCAGACAGAACATTCCTGTCCTCCTCTAGTTGGAGAAGTTGATCCACAAACTTTGAACAATTCGAGAGCAGAATTAAAGATTTAAAGATGAGAAGTCAGGAGAAACGCAAAATTACCCAAACACGTATGAAAATATGTTTGTGCAGAATTTTGAAACGAATCTCTTCTCGTACTTGGAGCTGAGTCAAGCCAACAGACTGCCGGCCTCTAATTGGCCAGGGAGTGATGTCACTGGATGAGTCATGACAGTAGCGACTAAGTTTGTACGATCTCTGTGAGAGTCCAGCAGGTCAAAAAACGGGAGAACAACTGCGTGTTTTTTTAACTTTTTCACCCTGACAGAAAACAGCAGGTGGACCACCAGGACCTCCACTGTTGTCTTCCTGTTGCACACTAATGATGTCATTGCTATGACGACCCAACCCTCGTTAAGGTGGGACTTACCTGTAACTACTGTAGGGCCCGACTAATTTATCGGTGAGCCGATTAAATCAATCGGCCCGTTTGAGACTAATCGGTACTTGGCCAAAACTTGCAGATTTTCGTCGATATTTTCAGAAATAAAATGCGGAGAGTAAGATTCGGTTTCACTTCAAAAATATTCCACCATTTGAAAAGTTACCTCACTTATCCTGTAGATGGCGCAGCGACCTCATGACAATCTTCATCCACTAACTACCTCACAGCACAGCAGAGTGACGGATCTGAAGCAGACAGCTCAGGGACGCACAGAGGGGAGTGGTCCACCTCAGCGCTAAATAAACCAGTTTGTGAAATACAAAATAAGTCAACAAGTTTCAGTTCAACCCACTTCACGATGTTCCCCGCTGTGCTGGTCTCGGTCACACCGAGTTAACGGTGAAGCACCAGGTAAAATGAAGCTAAAGTTAGAGTTTTTCTGGTCTGGTTTGATCAGTCGGTCTTCCTGTCGGCGTGAAGAGCAGTAGCCTACAGTGTATCTACAGTATATTACTGTAGATATCTACAGTATATATGTACTTTTTATAACTCCATAAAATTTTTTAAAAATCAGCCGATTAATTGGTAATCAGATTTCCCCCCCCCCTAATAATCGGTATCGGCATCAGCCCCAAAAAAATCCATATCGGTCGGGTCCTACTAACCAGAAAACATGACCAAAAAAAGGTCAAGTTAAAACTGTGAAATGGAAAAAAAGTCCCCATAACAGAAAGACAAACCAGACCGAGCTGAGACACAGAGGACCAGGGTGTCTCGGTGACAGGATCATAAAAAACTCCTCCTCCTCCTCCTGGTGTGTGTGTGTGTGTGTAGGTGTGTGGTCAAGGTGAGGGTAGAGACACAGCCACAGGAAGTGACACGCCTCAGTGTGACACAGCTGGAGACAACGAACTAATGAGATTATGTGTGTGTGTGTGTGTGTGTGTGTGTGTGTGTGTGTGTGTGTGTGTGTGTGTGTGTGTGTGTCACAAACATAAACACGTCAGGAAACAGCAGCAGGTGATAAATAATAATAATAATAATAACCAACCCCCCCCCCACACACACACACACACACACACACACACACACACTCATCAGATTGTTCACAGTAACAGGACTGTGACCTCACAGCTGTCTGGCTCTGTGATTGGTCAGCAGCTTCACCTTTATTGTTGTGTTTCCTTCTGCAGTATACTGATGTCATCACCCTGAAATTAGCAAGGTCAAAGGTCACAGCAAAGTGATGAGTCAGCAACAAAATCAGACCACAAGAAGAGACATAAAACCAGGAGGTCTACAGGGACAGGTTTTAGTTCAGGGAGGATTATCGACGATAAAATGGGTAAAGAACTGTTGACTGTAGACCACTAAAGACCAAGGAAGACTTCAATGAAGACACCACGGATGAGGAGATGCTGATTCTAGAAGTCTAGAAGTAGATTTCCTCCTCTGGAAGGACACAATCTACTGCTTATATGTCTATGTGTCTGTCTTTAGAGAGACGACTCGTTATCACGTGATTGAATGTGAATCCGCGTGTTCTTGTGAGTTGTCGTGATTACCGTTGTCCGTAATCCGCCATGAAATTCGCCTCACAAACAGATCTGGTAGGAATTGGCGGATAGCAAAAATCGCCGCCATTCTGGATGCGGTGGAAATATGGGGTAAGACCACGAAAGGCCTCCAAGGATGTTTGAAGCCTTTTAAAGACCTGGATGGAGGGTCCAGGAGAGAACTATCTGTTGTTTCAGAGACAAAAACAAGAAGAGAGGACAGACACACACACACACAAACACACACACACACAGAAGGGTTATATTAGATTGGGCTGCTGTTAGCATTTAACACACTCTCTGACACACACCACACTCAAACTGACAATTACACACACTTACACACAACGACAACACTCATGCACGCACACACAGAGTCATTACTCACTGAGCATGTGCGTCAGAGGGGGGAGATAATGGGGGAGGAGCAGATGTGTTTCTCTCAGGTTCTGATCTTTTAAAGGTTAGTGTTTACAAAAACACATGCTAACTTGAGAGCGCACTCAGATCTGATCGACTAACTGAGAGGATGGCGTCCGTCAAACAGATATATAACAGACAGATGGATAAATCCTGATGATAATCCGATTTTAAAGTCTGTAATCTGAGGAAAAGTTTCTTCTGTTTCTGAACTCTGAATGAAATCTGAACACTCCGGTGTCTCAGCTGATCTCTCAAAGGTAAACAACTTTACACAGAATTCGTGTGTGTGTGTGTGTGTGTGTGTGTGTGTGTGTGTGTGTGTAGGAGTCGGCGGCCTTGTGGAGATGGACGAGTTCGGGGACAGACAGATAGACTTCGCTGTGTGGGACATGATGGACACGGACTCCGGAGAGTTCCAGGTAAATCACCTGACTGATGATGTCATCATGTGACATTACACACCTGTAGGTCAAAAAGGTGACTTCCTGTCTGCAGTGAGAAAACACCTGAAAACAACAAACACCCCTGAATGCACCATGTGGTGTGTTCAAGGACCCACAGACATCAGAGCTCTGACTACAGACTGTATTTACTCTGGACATCTTGGTTCCTCCTTCTGCCAGTTTACGGATTTGAAGCCGAAAAGCTCTCAGTAATTCTGCGTTTTTTTCTCCACTTCCTGAAACCAGCATTGCGCAGTAGTGTTGTGTGCATTCAGCAAGAGAGTCGCTGTGATGACACTCAGCTCAAACAGTGTATCCCCCGGGTGAGCTACACCATCTTTGTATGCCCATAGGCTGTATCAGGTGTCAATCATAGAAAACATGAACCCACTAATAACTTTTAAAAATGGAGCTGTACAGAAAAAAGAGGACTTGGGCACAAACCAGTCTGACAGTAACTACATGTCAACATCACAACCAGGGGGGAGAAACATTTATATTCTGTGTCATTAATTAATAAAGTTTGTCCACAGCTCCATAAGGAGGCGGGGTTTAGGACCTATACTGCAGCCCGTCACCAGAGGGCGCTGTTCTCGGAGTGGCTTCACCCAGCGAGGAGTTAGACAGCGTCTATATACAGTCTATGGCTCTAACCAATCAAAAGGTGGCTTCTTTAACAGAAAGTATTGTGTGTGTGTGTGTGTGTGTGTGAAGGTTGTAGCTGTGTACAATAGCAGTGTGAAACAGCTGGTCATGCAGAGTGGGCAGAGCTTCCAGTGGCCAGGTGGATCTCCACCCGTCGACATCCCAGAGTGTGGCTTTAAGAACGACAAACCAGCCTGCCTCGCACGTACGACACACGCACGCACGCACGCACGCACGCACGCACGCACGCACACACACTTGCAGTGACCTTCCTTTCCACTCTCCAGGTACAGTGACGATGCTTCAGATGGTTGCCATGGTGATCTGCTTCTTCTTTATCATCATTGTTACTGTTACAGTCTTCATCTACAGGTGAGACACACACACACACACCCTGAAGGCCTGAAGAAAAAAAACAGAGTGTCTGTAAATCTGGGCTGAGTCCGACCAGAACCTACAGATACATCCTCCCTCTGAGTCCAGAACCTTGTCCTCACACACACACACACAGGAAGCTAAAGCTGGAGAGCGAGCTGGCGGCCCAACTGTGGAGGGTTTCCTGGGAGGACATTCAGATGACGGACCTAGAGAAGGTTCTGAGGAGAACCTGCAGCAGACTCACCATGTCTTTGGTAACACACACACACACACACACACACACACACACACACACACACACACAGTAACTTCAGCAGGTTCTTCTTCCTGGTCTTCTCTGCAGAAAGGATCTAACTGTGGTTCTCTGATGACCATGGAGGGACACGTTCAGATCTACACCAAAACTGGACGCTATAAGGTCTGAGTCTGGCCCTGGTTCTGATGTAGTCTAGTCTTGGGTCTGATCCGGTCTCTGGTCCCTGGTCTCAGGACGATCCAGTGACTCTAATCTTGCCAGTTCTGTTTCTCTTAGGGGAACCTGGCGGCCATCAAGTACATCAACAAGAAGAAGATCGAGCTGACCAGGAACATCCTCTTCGAGCTCAAACATGTAAGACCATCTGACCTGCTGACCCACCTAACCCACCTGACCCACCTGTCCGCCATCTCCTGTATGCTTGATGTAGGGGTCAGAGGTCAGCCTGTTGGAGGGTGGCGGTTTGGTCGATCTCTAACCAGCAGCCTCTGTGTTCTTGCAGATGCGAGATGTTCAGAATGAGCACCTGACCCGCTTCATCGGCGCCTGTATCGACCCGCAAAACATGTGCGTCATCACGGAGTACTGTCCCCGGGGGAGCCTGCAGGTACGAGACTCTCCCCTGAGACCGCCATGGGCCAAGAAAGACCGCTTTATCAGGGAGTTAGGTGCAGATAGGGTCAGCCTCCCCCCTCAGACTCACCCCCGATATTCACTGCATCCAGAACGGCTCCAATTCAGAACAGCGGCGATTTTCGCCGTCCGCCAATTCCTTCCAGATCTGTTGGTGAGGCGGATTTCATGGCAGATTATGGACAGCAGGAATCGCAAGAAATCCCAAGAACCCTTCCAGAGGACGAAACCTACTTCTAGAGACGTCATTTCATCGGGATGAAATGACGTCTAAAATCCTTTCACTTGTTCGTCTGTTGGCCTGTTTGCATGGTGTGAAATACGATCCGCCTGAAACACGGAAAAAATAATAATAATAATAATAATAATTTTATTTATATAGCACCTTTAAAAACAGAAGTTTACAAAGTGCTTAGACAAAAGTTGTAAGCACAGAGCATCAGCACATTGAAAAAACACATAAAAACAAAAGCTCAGTTAAAAACAGGCCTCTGAATTGTAGGCCTGTTTCACTTTTCGTAAGAAACCCAGGCAATACAAGAACCCTACAAAATAAATGGGACCATGAGGACCAAAACAAAAGCAAAAAAAAAAAAAAAAAAAAGAAGGAGGGAAGAAAACAGGCTAGTAAGTATAAAAGAGGATATTAATAATAATAATAAAATCATAATAAAATAAAATGATGGTAATATAAATGATAAAGTGGAATTAAATATATATATATAAAATAAAGGAAAATGAAAACATTAAAATCAATAAAAAGATTATAAGTAAAACAAAGGCTAAAAAGGCAGTAAGTCTAAATAAGAAAGAGGTGAAAGAGGTCAAAGAAAAAGGAGAAAAATAAAAACGGTAAAAGGCAATAAAAGATGAAAGATGGCATCACATAAAGGCAAGTCTGTAAAAGTGAGTTTTTAAAATTGACTTAAAAGAAGCGACTGTCTCTGCAATAGAAAATAGAACTCTTGCGATCAGCTGTGGAGTCTGGTGATCCGCAGAGGAACGGAAAGAAGCCGGTGGAAATTGACACGTTAACTTGAATGTTTACGATCAGCTACGATCGGAGACGGTCCCCCCCCCCATGTCCCTGTCCTCTAAAATTTCTTCTTTATCCATCACATGTTCTCTTCACCGCTCACTTGAACATACTCATCATCATCTCTGTTACCTAGCAACCCCCCAGCCTGGTATCCTAGCAGCATGAAGACCTGTCAGCCTGCTGTAGGTGGATGTAGGTGAATGTAGGTGGTGTGGAGCTGTAGATGTTTCCTCTGGATAAGAGAACATCAGAGATATCTTTAAAGCTGAGAGGAGGAGGAGGATGGAGAAGCAGAAGGTCATGTGTGTCATGGAGACACAGTTACCAAAATTAAAGCCTTAATTAAAGAAACAATCAGTGATTTTCTGTGTGTTTGTTTGACTCTACTGCCCCCCCCTCCTCCCAAAGATCAGGACTGTGGGAGTCTAACAACACAAGAGACACATTAGTAAACGCCTCCTCTGAGTGTGTGTGTGTGTGTGTGTGTGTGTGTGTGTGTGTGTGTGTGTGTGTGTGTGTGTGTGTGTGTGTGTGTGTTCTCAGGACCTGATGGAGAGTGACAGCATCACTCTGGATTGGATGTTCAGATATTCTCTCATCAATGACATCGTCAAGGTAACAGCCTGCTGCTCTGTGTGTGTGTGTGTGTGTGTGTGTGTTCATGTGTTATCATGTATGTTCATGTGTGTCCATGTCATCCATGTTGTTTTTTCTTGTTAATTTCTTCTCTTTTTGCTTTTCCTCATCATTTGTTTGTTTGTCTATTTGTTTGTTTATTGTTTTTTGTTTGTTAATTGATCGTTGTTTTGTTTATTGTTTATTGATTGATTGTTTGTTTATTGATCGTTAATGTATATGTGCGTCCTCAGGGCATGTTGTTCCTCCATAACAGCGTCATCGTCTCTCACGGTAACCTGAAGTCGTCCAACTGTGTGGTGGACAGTCGCTTCGTCCTGAAGATTACCGACTACGGCCTGCAGAGCCTGAGGACCAGCAGCTGCCCTGAAGACACACACGCTCACTATGCCCGTAACACCCACACACACATACACATGTATATACACACACACACACACACACATTAAATTAATAAGTCGTCTGTCTTACTACCTGTATGCCCCTCCCACAGGTAAACTGTGGACATCTCCGGAGCTGCTAAGGACAGACTGTCCTCCACCCTGTGGGACTCAAAAGGGAGACGTCTACAGCTTTGGAATCATCCTACAGGAGGTCGCTCTGCTGAGGGGGGTCTTCTACCTGGAGACACTGACCATGAGTCCCAAAGGTTCCTGATTGATCTTTGACATTATGATGACAAAGGTTCCTGATTGATCTTTGAGATAATAATGACAATGGTTCCTGATTGATCTTTAAGATTATGATGACAAAGGTTTCTGATTGATCTAATTGATCTTTGAGATTATGATGACAAAGGTTCCTGATTTATCTTTGAGATTATGATGACAAAGGATCCTGATCTATTTGATTGATCTTCAAGATTATGATGTCAATGGTTCCTGATTTATCTTTGAGATAATGATGTCAAAGGTTGCTTATTGATCTGATTGATCTTTATGATTATGATGAGAAAGGTTCCTGATTGATCTTTGAGATTATGATGACAAAGGTTCCTGATTGATCTTTAAGATTATGATGACAAAGGTTCCTGATTGATCTTTGAGATTATGATGTCAGACGGTTCCCAATTGATCTTTAAGATAATGATGACAAAGTTTCCTGATTTATCTTTAAGAGTATGATGACAAAGGTTCCTGATTGATTTATCTTTGAGATTATGATGACAACATGAACACAAACATGACGAACAGTCAGAGAATTGAGCCATGTAACCCGTTTTTCACCGTCTGTCTGATTAACATTAAGAATCTCACAAACTGATCCTCAGTGTGACAGGGACCTCTGCTGGTCACAACCCTTAACTGCAGCCTGTTTAGAGGCCTCAGTCTAGGAACACACACGCACACGCGCACACGCACACACACACACACACACACGCTCAGTTTTTCTCCTGTTTTTGTAAACAAACGGGTCTGAGGTCAGCAGGACTTAAACTGATCACAGTTACAAACACTGACTGGAACACGGTACTGCTGTGTACTGCAGTACCAGTACACACTGTTACATGTACTATTTCACACTGCAGTACCAGTTCACACTGGAACATGTAATATTACACAGTGCAGTACCAGTACACACTGTAAAATGTACTATTACACTTTGCAGTACCAGTACGTATTGTAACATCATTAACTTTTGTCCTTATGTCCTTATATATAATCATGTCCTCATATATTATCATGTCCTCATTCATTATCATGTCCTCATATATTATCATGTCCTCATACATTATCATGTCCTCATTCATTATCATGTCCTCATTCATTATCATGTCCTCATATATTATCATGTCCTCATTCATTATCATGTCCTCATTCATTATCATGTCCTCATATATTATCATGTCCTCATTCATTATCATGTCCTCATTCATTATCATGTCCTCATATATTATCATGTCCTTATATATAATCATGTCCTCATATATTATCATGTCCTCATTCATTATCATGTCCTCATATATTATCATGTCCTCATATATTATCATGTCCTCATTCATTATCATGTCCTCATATATTATCATGTCCTCATACATTATCATGTCCTCATACATTATCATGTCCTTCTACAGTCTGGTTGTTTAATGCATCCTCGTGTCTCAATGTATTATGTGTCTCCATTTATCATGTGATCAACCCACATCCTCAAGGATCCTCATGGATTCTCATGAATCCTTATGGATCCACGTGGGTTCTCATTCATTCTCATGGATCCTCATGGATTCTCATTCATCATCATGAATTCTCATGGATCCTCATGGATACTCATGTCCTCATTCATCATACTGACTTCTTGCTTCCTTCTGTCCCTCTGCATCCCTTTATATCCTTTATCCTCGTACATCTTTTTCTTCTCATGACAGTTTTTTTTCTTATACAGCTGCTTCTCCTCGCTTCCACAGAGATCATCCAGGCGGTGCAGCAGGGTGGAGCCCCCCCCTTGCGTCCGTCCCTCTGCCTCCACAGTCACAGCGAGGAGCTCAGTGTCCTGATGCAGCGCTGCTGGAGCGAAGAGCCAAATGAGAGACCGGACTTTAACACCATCAAGATCCTGCTGAGGAAACAGCACAGGTGTGTGTGTGTGTGTGTGTGTGTGTGTGTGTGTGTGTGTGTGTGTGTGTGTGTGTGTGTGTGTGTGTGTGTGCTTTGGTTTATTAGTGTCTTATCACACAGATTGTTCAGAGGAGGTCAATGAGATTCTTTAGATCGTATACTCTTTGAGGTCCATAAGGGGGCGACTCCACCGGTTTACAGTTTTTCTCAGTCGCTTTGGTACATTTCTCGAATCATCCTCGACATTTGCAAAACAGTAAGTCCTTTTCTCAAAACAATTTTTACAAATAGCAAAACACCATGAATTAGCTGCAAAAGCCAGTCTCTTGCTCAAAATCCTTAGTACATCTCTCAAAAGTAAATATCTGTGTCAATGAACATGTCAGTGCCATCAGAATGACAAGTCCTTGTGTCGTTGTGTACGGATAAGACAGTCAAATTGCTTAGTCATGTTGTCAGTATAACAGTGTACTCTGGAGGGATGTTCTGATGTAAACTATGGCTAAAGTTTTGATGACAATCATTGTAAATTGTAAGTTACACCTCAGTGTATGTGGGAGATTGACTGAAAGAGACTGTAATTTGATGACAGACCATGTCATTGCGATACAGAAAAGAAAAAGACAGCACTGCAGAGCACAATAAAAAAAAACAAAAAAACAAAAGTAGAAATGTGAACATAGGACAATTTACTTAGGGAAAACTGGAAATGCAGTGCTGTAGGAATTACAGTACAGTCTTCCTACACCTCCTGATGTTCCTGTCTGTTGGGCCACAAATTCTTATCCACAAAATGTCACTGTATATACTATACTTACTGTATATTGTAAAATGAAAGTCGAATACTGCAATATTGTATGAAGCATTACAGAAAGTATACAGTATTACAGTACAGTGCCTATTGTTAGATTACAAACCTGTTCTGTCAACGAAAAGTCTGAATGATTGAGGACACAGTTGTTCTCCCAACATTCGGCTGCACCCTTCGGCCAGCCTCAGCCATTGTAAGCCCATGATTGAGAACGTGGTCTACAAGTGTAGCTCTTATCTCATCAGGAACGTGCATATGTCCTCTGCCTCTTCTGCCTCTTCCTCTGTTTTGCCTCCCAACTCCTCCGCCACGCAGCCTCACTCCTCTTCCTCTTCTTCTCTCTGGCTGTTGACCCTTATCCAATTCCTTGTCCTTCCATTGTCAGACATTGTAACATTGTGTTGTGCTCCGGCAATATATATACTTGCCAGTTGATGGTTCATGGGATGCACCTTTGAGCTGTTTCAGAAAAGTGGTTGATCATTGGTTGATCTAATGCTTCACACATTTCCCACCGTTAGAGAAAGTCAAGATTCACCTGGGAATCCAATTTACCAATTCAGGACAGATTCAGAAACGTCTCATGGAAATGTATAGAAATATGCTTGACATATTATGACAGCTTGTTCAACCATTTTGCGTGTGAAGACTTATGCGATGAACTAATGCCTAAATGTTGTGGGGGGTGAGACTATTCAACAGAGACCCATTATAATACATTTTGATCAACATGACATAAGCAATTGATAATGTAGAAAACAGCAGAAAATTGTACATAATCATTTGCATGGCTGTACCAAAGCATTTGCAAGTTGGTCAAAGAAATGAGAAACTGCTTTTTTGATGTGCACAAGTGGCACAATGATGTGAAGATTGAACACGTAGTTTTGAGAATTTCAATTCTGATCTGAGAAATGTACCAAAGCGACTGAGAAAAACTGTAAAACCCCCCTGTCCTCCTGTCTGTGTCTCTGTGTGTCTGTCTGTGTCTGTGTCCTCCTGTCTGTGTCTGTCTGTGTCCGTCCTTCAGGGGTTACGGTTCGAACATCCTGGACAACCTTCTGTCTCGTATGGAGCAGTACGCCAACAACCTGGAGGAGCTGGTGGAGGAACGGACTCAAGCGTATCATGAGGAGAAACGCAAGGCTGAGGCTCTGCTCTACCAGATACTGCCACAGTAAGAGTACTACCACAGGGTACTACATCATACTACCACAGTAAGAGTACTACCACAGGGTACTACAACACATTACCACAGTAAGAGTACTACCACAGGGTACTACAACACATTACCACAGTAAGAGTACTACCACAGGGTACTACAACACATTACCACAGTAAGAGTACTACCACAGGGTACTACAACATACTACCTCAGTCAGAATACTACCACAGGGTACTACATCATACCACCACAGTAAGAGTACTACCACAGGGTACTACAACATACTACCACAGTAAGAGTACTACCACAGGGTACTACAACACATTACCACAGTAAGAGTACTACCACAGGGTACTACAACACATTACCACAGTAAGAGTACTACCACAGGGTACTACAACATACTACCACAGTAAGAGTACTACCACAGGGTACTACAAATACTACCACAGTAAGAGTACTACCACAGGGTACTACAACATACTGCCACAGTAAGAGTACTACCACAGGGTACTACATCATACCACCACAAGGTTCTACAAAACTACTACACCACAGGGTACTACATCATACTACCACAGGAAGAATACACCACAGGGTACTACAACATACTACCACAGTAAGAGTACTACCACAGGGTACTACAACATACTACCACAGTAAGAGTACTACCACAGGGTACTACAAATACTACCACAGTAAGAGTACTACCACAGGGTACTACATCATACTACCACAGAGTACTACCACAGGGTACTACAAATACTACCACAGTAAGAGTACTACCACAGGGTACTACAAATACTACCACAGTAAGAGTACTACCACAGGGTACTACAACATACTACCACAGTAAGAGTACTACCACAGGGTACTACAACACATTACCACAGTAAGAGTACTACCACAGGGTACTACAACATACTACCACAGTAAGAGTACTACCACAGGGTACTACATCATAGTACCACAGAGTACTACCACAGGGTACTACAAATACTACCACAGTAAGAGTACTACCACAGGGTACTACAAATACTACCACAGTAAGAGTACTACCACAGGGTACTACAACATACTACCACAGTAAGAGTACTCCCACAGGGTACTACAACACATTACCACAGTAAGAGTACTACCACAGGGTACTACATCATACCACCACAAGGTTCTACAAATACTAAAACAGGGTAATACAACATACTACCTCAGTCAGAATACACCGGGTACTCCAAATAATACCACAGAAAGAATACAATGGGTACTACAAATACTACCACAGTAAGAGTACTACCACAGGGTACTACAACATACTACCACAGTAAGAGTACTACCACAGGGTACTACAACATACTACCACAGGGTACTACAAATAGTACCACGGGGTACTACAACATACTACCACAGGGTACTACAAATAGTACCACGGGGTACTACAACATACTACCACAGGGTACTACAAATAGTACCACGGGGTACTACAAATACTACCACAGAGTACTACCACAGGGTACTACAAATACTATCACAGGGTGCGCCAAATACTACCACAGTGAGAATATACTGGGTACTACAAATACTGCCACAGAAGGAATACACCACAGGATACTACAAATACTACCACAGGGTACTACAAATACTACCACAGTAAGAATACACCGGGGACTACAAATACTATCACAGTGAGAATACACCACAGCGTGCTACAAATACTTCAATGGCAAGAATACTCACTACAGTACTTTGTTGGACCCTTTTACAGGACCTGTGGGTCATTCCATGTCAATTCAACCAAGAATCTCCACTCACCTCACAGATTTTGATGAAATTTGGTGGAGTGATTGGCCTTCAGGAGAAACTGTCAGAGCTCAAATATTTTTGTTCAAAGCCGTCTAATTAGTGGAAGCGTGGGGTGCAATTTCTCCAGATTGCCTCAACAAATTAACAGCTAGAATGCCAAAGGTCTGCAATGCTGTAATTGCTGCAAATGGAGGATTCTTTGACGAAAGCAAAGTTTGATGTAAAAAATTTTTTATTTCAAATCCAAATCATTATTTCTAACCTTGTCAATGTCTTGACTCTATTTTCTATTCATTTCACAACATATGGTGGTGAATAAGTGTGACTTTTCATGGAAAACACAAAATTGTTTGGGTGACCCCAAACTTTTGAACGGTAGTGTATGTAGAAGTTATCTGTCAACCCTAGGATCCAGGACATGCAGGTATGTCCAAATGATTCTCCCATGAAGCTAAGATCATTCTTATTCTGGATATAGGTGCAAATAGAAATGAAATGCGATGAAAAACTGAGCAAAAATAAGCTATTCTAGCTATTTTTCATATAAATATGGGATAACATACAAATGAAAAAACTCAAAAAAAGCATTTTGCACTATGAGGAAGTAATATTTTACACAAGCAGGCAAGTGGGGCTGACTCCAGATGAGGTCAGGACTGTATAATGTGCCAAATATGGCGATTTTCCACCTAACTTACCACACATTTTGACTGATTACTCAAAAAGTTATGGAATGCCCATCCTGAAACTTGCAAAGATGCTAGTGGACATGAAAGTCTTTCTTTAGTGTGAATATGAAGAAAATTGAAGGACGCACGTTTTCTGCTATTTCCAATTTAAGTTTTTGGTCTTTTATAATTTTTTCTGGTCCAATTTGGGGAAAAAATGTTATGAATAGAAAGATAGAACTTGAAGAGAGCTTTAAAATGACACCTGAATCAGCTCTCTAGGTACCATACTTCCAGAGATATGAACACTTTTGTAACGCATGTCAGGCTAGTTAGCCAAAAATTCATTAGCCCCTGTCTCACTAATTAGACGGCTTTGAACAAAAATATTTGAGCTCTGACAGTTTCTCCTGAAGGCCAATCACTCCACCAAATTTCATCAAAATCTGTGACGTGAGTGGAGATTCTTGGTTGAATTGACATGGAATGACCCCTGTTTCAGATAAAGGCCTGGTCCCTGGGGCAGAGAAGGAAAATAGAAGCTCCGCCTATATTAGAGGGTTTACGGTATTTTACATTTTTCTGAGTGTGTGTGTGTGTGTGTGTGTGCATGCGTGTAGCTCTGTGGCTGAACAGCTGAAGCGTGGTGAGATGGTTCAGGCTGAAGCTTTCGACTCTGTCACGATCTACTTCAGTGACATCGTGGGCTTCACCGCCCTATCAGCTGAGAGCACACCGCTGCAGGTCAGGGCCTGATGATTCTCTCCCCTTTGTTATGGTTCACCCTCTATCAGGTGTTTGTCTGTTTGTCCCTTAAATCTGAAATGATGATCTTTGATTTTCAGGTTGTGACTCTGCTGAACGACCTGTACACCTGTTTCGACGCCATCATCGATAACTTTGACGTTTACAAGGTAAAGACCTGCTCAGCTCTCAGCATCAGGGGCTCCTGCCAAAGTTCCTGATGGTTCCTGGTACTCTGCAGCACACGTGTGTGCCGTTTGTGGTCGTTGGTGTTTCAGTCACGTTGACTCACTGCTGCCCTCAGGTGGAGACCATCGGTGACGCATACATGGTGGTTTCAGGGCTGCCGGTGAGAAACGGCAAGCTGCACGGTCGGGAGGTCGCCCGTATGTCGCTCGCCCTGCTCGACGCCGTCAAGAGTTTCAAGATCCGACACCGAGCCAATCAGCAGCTGAAGCTCCGCATCGGCATACACAGCGGTCAGTGTGCACATGTCTGTGTGTGTGTGTTTATCAAATATTTAATAAATCATCATTACAAAAATGCTTTTGTGTGTGTGTGTGTGTGTGTGTGTGTGTGTGTGTGTGTGTGTGTGTGTGTGTAGGTCCTGTTTGTGCAGGTGTGGTGGGGCTGAAGATGCCCAGGTACTGTTTGTTTGGAGACACTGTGAACACAGCGTCACGCATGGAGTCCAATGGAGAGGGTAACACACACACACACACACACACACACACACACACACACACACACACACACCTATCAGCAGTGTTGGGAAAGTTCAAAGTTCAGTTCACACATTCTAAAATGAACTTGTTCAGTTCAATTCCACATTTTCATGGTTCCCAAAAATGAACTAATTTAGTTTTTTTTTTCTCCAATACTTTGCTGTAGCTTTTATTTGTCCAGATTTTTTACGGAGCCCGTATAGAACCACAGACAGCAATTATTTTAGCTGTTTTAACACTGAAACGATGTCAAATTAATCTTCATATCCATTTTTTAAATCCTAATCCAACCAGGTTTACAATAGAGAGGACAGCCCTCAGAATAGTGGCGTTTCCCTGATGTTTAGTTCAGTCCTCACTAGTAGGAACGTTCATCTCTAGAGTATATTTTCATAAACATGAGGAAAACCTGCTGCTTGAATGGTTTTTAGACTCTTTTAGGATTACAACAACAGGACTGTTGTCCTTCAGTTTATTTTTATATTTCTATACTTTTCCAAACCAACCTGAAAACAATTAACATCAAATTCCATTTCAGTCAGACTAAAGGTCCCTACCATAGACTGTAGATACTATGGACAACTTGGTTCCGCCTACCGCCTGTAAACGGATTTGAAGCCAAAAAGCTCTCGGTATTTCCGTGATTTTTCTTCATTTCCTGAAACCAGCGCTGCGCAGTAGCGATGCACGCATTCGGCCGCACAGTCGCCGAGAGTCGCTGTGATGACGCTCGGCTCAAACAGCGTATCCTCCCGGGTGAGCTACGCAATCCCTGAACGCTCATAGGCTGTATTAGGTGTCAATCATAGCAAACATGAACCCCCTAATGACTTTTAAAAATGGAGCTGTATAGAAAAAAGAGGACTTGAGCACAAACCAGTCTGACAATAACTACATGTCAACATCACAAGCCGGGGGGAGAAAAATGTATGTTCTGTGTAATAAATTTCTGAAGTTTGTCCACAGCTCCATAAGCTTTGCTGGTGGAGGCAGGATTTATGACCTATACTGCAGCCCGTCAACAGAGGGTGCTGTTCTCAGAGTGGCTTCACCCAGCAAGGAGGCAGACGCTGTCCATTCTAAATACAATCTATGGTCCCTACACACCAGGAACGACGCAAATATATGACGTGAAATTCCGAAATATTCAGAGCCGAATTTTGCCGTGGCTGACTACGCACATCAAGCCCGATGCGATTTTGCATCTTCCCGGGAGGAAAAAAGACGCGTCCCGGGTGGAAGCGAGAAGACTGACACAACAGCAGACTGAGTGTTTTTCAGTTCTGATTAGACTCTAGTGTTAAGATGTCTGTCTGTCATGAAAGCATATACTGAGTCAGGGCCAGTACCAGATAAGAACATTAAACTATAATCCATAAACGTAAGGTAACAACAAAGACCTAATGGTGCTGTGACAGCAACGCTGTGATTGAGTTTGAGACAGAGAAAATACATATGGTATGTTGTATCTGAACAGGTTAGCTTACGAGCTAAAGTTACTTAGCACAGATGAAAGTTAAACAGACATTTATCAAACTGTTAAAGCACACAAACCATCGTCATATGAGAAATCTGACGCTATGACTCTCCACAAGTTGTCCTTCAGGTCGTTATCTTTGTAATATTTGTGTTTTTTATCATAAAGCATGTAAATAATCAGCCGGTCGGCCATGTTGGATATACCGGTGAATCTGATGTCGCAACAACACGAAATCTGATTGGTCAGAAGTGGACACACAGTATGTGAAACTTTAGAAAAATTGACCGTGATCCGAAAAAAAAATGCTGCAATATCGCAGGACGGGAAAACGTAGCTGATGTGAACGCTTGTATTGACAGGATACAGGGTCAAAAACAATACTGACGCCGGAAATAATCGCAGGAAAAAAACACTCCCAGTGTGAAAGGACCTTTAAAATGAACCAGAACAAATACTGAAAACAACAATAACAATAACAATAACAATAAATACTCACACGAGTCTGTGTGCTGCTCCCTCGTCCATCATATACACTGAAGTCGTGACGACTGACATATTTACTGACTGACAGACAGGCTGCTTGAGGTTACCTGATTGGGTGGCTTTCCTCTAAATATTACGGCCTGTTTACGGTGTTTTAGCCTGAAAGGCTCTGGACATCTGACACACTTGTGAACGGAGTTTAGAACGCTGCTCACAGATGCCTGAATAAACGCGTTCAACACCAACGCGTTCATACGTAAATAAAGAATGATACGTTCATGTTTGCCTGAAATGTGAACAAGTCGGTCGGGAACAAAACTGTCTATCAGTCTGTGTTGTTCTCTTGTTGTTCTCTTGTTGTTCTCTTGTTGTTCTTTGTTGTTCTCTGAAGTTCTCTGTTGTTCTCTTGTTGTTCTCTGTTGTTCTCTTGTTGTTCTCTTGTTGTTCTCTTGTTGTTCTCTGTTGTTCTCTTGTTGTTCTCTGTTGTTCTCTGTTGTTCTCTTGTTGTTCTCTGTTGTTCTCTTGTTGTTCTCTTGTTGTTCTCTGTTGTTCTCTTGTTGTTCTCTGTTGTTCTCTGTTGTTCTCTTGTTGTTCTCTGTTGTTCTCTGTTGTTCTCTTGTTGTTCTCTTGTTGTTCTCTGTTGTTCTCTGTTGTTCTCTTGTTGTTCTCTGTTGTTCTCTTGTTGTTCTCTGTTGTTCTCTGTTGTTCTCTTGTTGTTCTCTGTTGTTCTCTGTTGTTCTCTTGTTGTTCTCTGTTGTTCTCTTGTTGTTCTCTTGTTGTTCTCTGTTGTTCTCTTGTTGTTCTCTTGTTGTTCTCTTGTTGTTCTCTTGTTGTTCTCTGTTGTTCTCTTGTTGTTCTCTGTTGTTCTCTGTTGTTCTCTGTTGTTCTCTGTTGTTCTCTGTTGTTCTCTTGTTGTTCTCTTGTTGTTCTCTGTTGTTCTCTTGTTGTTCTCTTGTTGTTCTCTGAAGTTCTCTGTTGTTCTCTTGTTGTTCTCTGTTGTTCTCTTGTTGTTCTCTTGTTGTTCTCTTGTTGTTCTCTTGTTGTTCTCTGTTGTTCTCTGTTGTTCTCTTGTTGTTCTCTGAAGTTCTCTGTTGTTCTCTTGTTGTTCTCTTGTTGTTCTCTGTTGTTCTCTTGTTGTTCTCTGTTGTTCTCTTGTTGTTCTCTGAAGTTCTCTGTTGTTCTCTTGTTGTTCTCTTGTTGTTCTCTTGTTGTTCTCTGTTGTTCTCTGTTGTTCTCTTGTTGTTCTCTGTTGTTCTCTTGTTGTTCTCTTGTTGTTCTCTTGTTGTTCTCTTGTTGTTCTCTGTTGTTCTCTTGTTGTTCTCTTGTTGTTCTCTTGTTGTTCTCTTGTTGTTCTCTTGTTGTTCTCTGTTGTTCTCTTGTTGTTCTCTGAAGTTCTCTGTTGTTCTCTTGTTGTTCTCTTGTTGTTCTCTGTTGTTCTCTTGTTGTTCGCTGATGTTCTCTTGTTGTTCTCTGAAGTTCTCTGTTGTTCTCTTGTTGTTCTCTGAAGTTCTCTGAAGTTCTCTGTTGTTCTCTGTTGTTCTCTGTTGTTCTCTTGTTGTTCTCTTGTTGTTCTCTGAAGTTCTCTGTTGTTCTCTGTTGTTCTCTTGTTGTTCTCTGTTGTTCTCTTGTTGTTCGCTGATGTTCTCTTGTTGTTCTCTGAAGTTCTCTGTTGTTCTCTTGTTGTTCTCTGAAGTTCTCTGAAGTTCTCATGTTGTTCTCTGTTGTTCTCTGTTGTTCTCTGTTGTTCTCTGAAGTTCTCTGTTGTTCTCTTGTTGTTCTCTGTTGTTCTCTGAAGTTCTCTGTTGTTCTCTGTTGTTCTCTTGTTGTTCTCTGTTGTTCTCTTGTTGTTCTCTTGTTGTTCTCTGTTGTTCTCTTGTTGTTCTCTGAAGTTCTCTTGTTGTTCTCTTGTTGTTCTCTGTTGTTCTCTGTTGTTCTCTGTTGTTCTCTTGTTGTTCTCTGAAGTTCTCTGTTGTTCTCTGTTGCTCTCTGTTGTTCTCTTGTTGTTCTCTTGTTGTTCTCTTGTTGTTTGCTGATGTTGTTCTCTTGTTGTTCTCTTGTTGTTCTCTGTTGTTCTCTTGTTGTTCTCTGTTGTTCTCTTGTTGTTCTCTGTTGTTCTCTTGTTGTTCTCTGTTGTTCTCTGTTGTTCTCTGTTGTTCTCTGTTGTTCTCTTGTTGTTCTCTTGTTGTTCTATGTTGTTCTATGTTGTTCTCTGTTGTTCTCTGTTGTTCTCTTGTTGTTCTCTGTTGTTCTCTGTTGTTCTCTTGTTGTTCTCTTGTTGTTCTCTTGTTGTTCTCTGAAGTTCTCTGTTGTTCTCTGAAGTTCTCTGTTGTTCTCTTGTTGTTCTCTTGTTGTTCTCTGTTGTTCTCTTGTTGTTTGCTGATGTTGTCCTGTTCTTTTTCGTTCATTTCTTGTTGGTTCCCATTATTTCCTCCATTTTTGGTAGCTCCCTATCAGCTTTGTATACTTTCCTGTTGTCCACTGTGGTTGAGTGTGTATTTCTGTTATTCCGTTTCCTTCCATGATGCTCTTTGCTCACGTGTCTCGTGTTCTCCTCCAGCTCTAAAGATCCACGTGTCTGAAGTGACCAGAGACGTTCTGCAGGAGTTCGCCTCCTTCAGGCTACAGCTCAGAGGAGAGATCAAAGTAAAGGGGAAGGGACAACTGAGGACATACTGGCTCCTGGGAGAGGACACACACTAAGGACAGAGGACACACAATAAGGAAAGAGGACACACTAAAAACAGAGGACACACACACTTAGGATAGAGGACACAAACTAAGGACAGAAGACTTACACTAAGGACAGAAGACACACACTAAGGACAGACGTCACACACTAAGGACAGAGGACACACAATAAGGACCAAGGACACACACTAAAGACTAAGGACAAACACTAAGGACAAAGGACACATTTAAGGAAGGACACACACTAAGGACAGGGGACAAATTTAAGGGAGGACAAACACTAAGGACAGAGGACATACAATAGGGACAGAGGACACAGACAAAGGACTGAGACAATAAACTAAGGACAGAGGACACACACACTAAGGAAGGAGGACACACACTGAGGAAGGAGGACACACACTAAGGAAAGAGGAAACATTTGAGGGATGACACGCACTAAGGACAGAAGACACACAATAAGGACAGAGGACACACACTAAGGACTAAGGACACACACTGAGGACAGAGGACACACACTAAGGACAAAGGACACATTTAAGGGAGGATACACACTTAGGACAGAGGACACACACTAAGGACAGAGGGCACACACACTAAGGACAGAGGGCACACACAATAAGTAAAAAGGGTACACTAAGGATAGAGGACACACACACTAAGGACGAAGGACACTCACTAAGGACAGAGGACACACTCAGGACAAAGGACACACACAAAGGACAAAGGACACGTTTAAAGGAGGACACACACCAAGGACAGAGGGCACACACACTAAGGAGAGAGGACACTTACCAAGGACAGAGAGCACACTCTAAGGACAAAGTACACACACTTTGGACAAAGGACACACATTAAGGAGAGAGGACACACACTAAGGACAAAGGACACATTTAAGGGAGGACAAACACTAAAGAGCAGGGGCACACACTAAGGACAAAGGACACATTTAGGAAGGACACACACAAAGGACAAAGGTCACATTAAAGGAAGGACACACACTAAGGACAGAGGACACATTTAGGAAGGACACACACAAAGGACAAAGGTCACATTAAAGGAAGGACACACACTAAGGACAGAGGACACATTTAGGAAGGACACACACAAAGGACAAAGGTCACATTAAAGGAAGGACACACACTAAGGACAGAGGACACACAATGAGGATGGAGGACACACACTTAGGATTTAGGACACACACTCAGGACAGAGTTCACACAATGAGGACAAAGGACACACACTTAGGATGGAGGACACACACTAAGGATTGAAGACACATTAAGGAAGGACATACACTAAGGACAAAGGACACATTTAAGGAAGGACACACAATAAGGACAGAGGACAAAGACACAATGGACAGAGGACACACAGAGGACAGAAGACACACACTAAGGATGGAGGACACATTTAAGGGAGGACACACACTAAGGACAGAGGACAAAGACACAATGGACAGAGGACACACACTAAGGATGGAGGATACACACTAAGGACAGAGGACACATTTAAGGGAGGACATACTTAAGAAGGGGGACACATAGAGAAGGAGAGAAGAGAGGGTGGGAGGAGAGGAGGCGATGAAGAAGCTGACGTCTCAGTCCACTACAGTTTTGGGGGCTGAAGTTCAAAGGTCAATGCTGAACAGACTAAAGAAGCCACTCCCCTCACTCTCTCTGATCTGTTTTTTAAATGTTGAATGTTACTCTGTAAAATATGAAATAAAAGTTGTTGAAAAGTGAAGTGTTTGCTGTTACACCTCTTTTAGATCCATGACCCGGTTTGTTAACATCGTTACCCGACCTCCAGAACCCAGAACTCCAGAACAAAGATTTTAAAACCAGCTCTCCAAAACCCAACCTTTAGGAAACTAAAACCAAATCATTTTGAAGACCACATTCCAGATTTTGGTTTGAACATGAGCACATTATTCCAGAGCCCACACACATGTGCACTTAAAGGGATATTCCAGCGTAAAATTAATTTAAGGTCAAACACACCGTAACACCAAGTTAGACACCCCCTCCAGAGATGAATGTTGCCGACCGCTTGCTTCTCCGAGTTATACCAACTTTAGTAACAACCTCAGGATAGCAATACACAGCGGTCTGAGGAGCCATAAACAAACCTCAACCAAAACGCCACTCTATAGCCACAAATAATGCTCAGAACAGCACCTAACTTCATCAACAGGACATATAGGGTCCCAGCCACAGTACTATATTCAGAGTTGATTTGCTGATATTTTCAAATGATGTGCTTGAACTGAGAGGTTGCTGCAGGTCTGGTCTCTCTGCATTATCTGTAATTTTTGTAATTTTTGCTAGACTTTTTTCATATTTTTGTTGTCATTTTGTTGGCTGCTGATCGATACTTCTGCTGGGCGAAGAGTTTAATCAAGAGAAGAGCTCCTTTCATTGAGGAAAAGCAAATCTGGACAACAACATACAATTCCAGAGGACATCAGGAGGTGTTATTGTGGTTGCCATGCTGGTACAAAGGTGAAGGCAAAGCTGAATGCTAGGAGGTGGCGATATAAACCCTTCTTCCATCAATCATCATGGGAAACGTCAACTCTCTGCCCAACTAAAGCGATGAGCTGGAGATCTTGGTGAAGACTGAGAAAGCATACCGTGAGTGCAGTCTCCTGTGTTTTACTGAAACCTGGTTGAATCAAAACAACTCGGACTCTAGTGCGGGTCCACCTGGCTTCACTCTCATAAGGTCAGACAGAGATGCTCAAGCTAGTGGCAAGAAGAAAGGAGGAGGTCTGGCTTTATTCGTCAACCAGAGATGGTGTAACCCTTCACACATAACTGTCAGGAGAAGTTGTGTTGTCCATATTCAGCCCTATTATGTTCCCAGAGAATTTAGTCATATCATAACAGTAGTTGTTTTCATTCCACCCAAATCAACTGAGGAATGTTGCGATGTTTTGCAAAATAGTGTTGCCAGGCTACAGACTCAACACCCTGAGGCACTAAGATTAATATCAGGAGACTTCAACCATGTCACCCTCTCCTCTCACCTGACTGTGAACTGTCCTACCAGAGAAAACAAAACCCTGGATCTGCTGTATGCCAACGTCAAAGAAGCCTACAGAGCCACTGCCTTACCACCACTGGGCAAGTCAGATCATAACTTGGTCTATCTGCAAACCTGTTACAGACCTTGTGTGCTGAGGCAGCCTGTGACCAAAGTCAAAATCAGAAGATGGACACCTCAAGCCAGTGAAGCTCTAAGGGACAGTTTGAAATCAACAGACTGGAATGTGCTGCTGGAAACAGATGGGGATAGTTTAAACATTGATAAACAGGTTGACTGCTTTACTGAATATGTCAACTTCTGTAGAGACACAGTTATACCTACAAAGACTGTTTGCTGTTTCCCCAACAACAAACCCTGGATCACAAGAGACATAAAAGCAATCCTTAACCAGAAAAAGAAAGCTTCTAAAGATGGTGACAAAGAACAACTCAAACAAGTGCAACAAGATTTGAAGAGGAGACTGAAGAGGGCAAAGCTGGAGTACAAAAAGAAGGTAGAGAAGAATCTACAACACAGCAACATCCATGAAGTGTGGAGAGGAATCAGTACCATCTCTGGACACAGCAATAAAAAGAAAAGACAGCCAGTGGTGGGGGATCTGGAAAGAGCTGATGAACTCAACCTGTTCTTCAACAGATTTGACACTGCTGTCACACCCACTCCCACTGCTACTTCACCTTCCTCTCTGCAACATTAATAACATAAACTAGAGCTGACTACGATTAGGCCTGCTAACTGTAATCACATTCAATTAATTTAACATTGTCCATAATCACTCATATCCTAACCCTGTAAACTGAACTTCTTTTTCTTTTACCATTACATGAGCTGTTGTTGTTGTTGCTGTTGTTTCTGCTGCCCCCTGTCTCTCTCTCACCCTCGTTCTCTACTCTTTCTCCATCCTCCTCCCTCTCCTTACTCATTCTCTCTGGCCTTCCCTTATCTTGTTCTCTCTCTCTCTCCTCCAGAGTGATCTTCCTCCCTCACCCTGTTGTTCACATCTCTGACTAGCACCTGCACGTCTGTTTATGAAAGGCACATCATTATCTAGAGCATATGTCAGGGTCATAGAGCACTTTTATAAGGAACACTTTTAATGAATGACTGTGATGATTATAAAGCACACTTTTTAATAAATGACTGTTATGATTATAATACACACTTCAAATAAATGACTGTTAAGGCAGAACAGTTTAAAACCATACTTACCAACCCTTGGCACTTCTAGGCACAAGCTAAAATCCTTCTATACTGAAAGTCTCTGTTCTATACATTGTGACACAGTGGTCAATTGCCCCCGTGTTAGCATTAAACCTTCTTATCTGACTCATCAGTACATGTCCGCAATGAGCACACAAAAGAATGTAAACACAATAAGAAAACAGTTAATTACCTGAAACAATGATTAAATGATTGGTATGATATATGAGTTCCCACACTCCATTAGATCCACAGAGTCTCCAATAAGCATCCCCGTTACCCTGATGACGCTTCTAAATGGGTGTGATCAAAAAAAAATCTTGTTATATTTTTCCAGCAGAACTCTCGCCAGGTGTTTGACCCGGTTGAGATCCATTGTAATTGACATATTTTCTCCCAACTCTCATTTTTTCTCTTTTTAAAGTTTTTAATAGTTTTCATGCCGGTGGTCTTCAGAGTCAGGGATTGGCTCCAGGTTATCTCTCCTCTCATTTGTCCTCAGTTCCGTCGTTCAGAACAGTAAGGCTAATGATTGGTCAGGTGCCCTCTTAGACTCCGCCCCCTGCCTCTTGTTTGTTCTCTGATAGTGTCTCGGAGCGGGACTGAGAGCAGACCCTGATCAGGTCCAAGAAACACACACAGACCCCCAGAACCGAACCAGAACCGAGCCTCTCGTCGTAACGAGACCACCGGTCTGTCCACAACACCGACAGAAGACCCCAGAACAGGCCCAGACCCGAAGTCCCGGCCCCTCGCAGCTCCGCGGGGCACGGTGAGGCGAGGCGGGAGCAGATGGAGCCCACACCGGCGAAGGCGAAGGCTCAGGGCCGGGTCCTGGTGTCGACCCAGCTGGACGCCAAAGACGAGCTGGAGGAGGTAGGGGAACCCGGGGTACCGGTTCAGAGAGCCTGTTTGACCCGGATCAGGAGGCTGGTCCTGAGACGGGTACAAAGACCAGAACCCTGTTAGCATGTTAGCAGAGCCCAGCAGGCCGGGCCCTCCGCAAAGACCAGGACCCAGGGATGGGGGGTCACGGTGTGTGTGTGTGTGTGTGTGGGGGGGGGGGGGTTCTGGTCCGGACGGGTTCATGGTGGTGGTTTGGTTTATGGGGGGGGGACCACCAAAACACTGCTAACTGTTGGCTTAGTATGCTAACTTTACATAAACTGGGAGGCACTGAAGAAGTGACGGCTGCGCATGCGCGTCCTCACAACACCGCGACACATAAACAAAACAGAGAGAAACACACGTAAAAACACAGATAAACACAACAGAGAACAACCCACTAACACACAACAGAGACAAACACACAACAGAGAGAAAGACACACAACAGGGAGAAACACTTATAGACACAACAGACAAATACACACATTAACACACGACAGAGACAAACACACATAAACACAGCAGAGAGTAACACACATTAACACACAACAGAGAAAAACTGTTAAAACACGCAAAAGAGGAAAACACACAACAGAGAAAAATACACAAACACAACAAACACAACAGAGAGAAATTGTAAAAACACAACAAATAAAAACACACAACAGAGAAAAACATACAACAGAAAAAAAACACACAAAATAGAGAAACACACAAACACAACAGAGAGAAACACACAACAGAGAAAAACACACAAACACAACAGAGAAAAACACACAAACACAACAGAGAGAAACACACAAACACAGAACAGATAAAAACACACAACAGAGAAATAACACACATAAACACAACAGGGATGTAAGCACAAGACTGACACTAACTGTTGTGTGTGTGTGTGTGTGTGGGTTTGTGCATGTGTTTGTTTGTGGGTCTTTGTGTGTGTGTGTATGTGTTTCATTGTGGGTCTGTGTCTGTGTGTTTGTTTGTGTGTTTTTTTGTGTTTCTATGTGCAGAAGCTGGAGCGTTGTGTTGGGATCGTCCAGGCCTTGACCAATGGGCTGTCAGAGAGAGAGGCCAACGATGCGCTTACTGCCAATGTAAGACCCTTACACACACACACACACACACACACTTAACTGATCATCGACACGAACTAAACCTGCAAACAAACCCGGACCCCTCAGAACCGAGACACATGTTGATAAAAACTGATTCTGGTTTCTGAATCCTGAGGTGACGAGGGTCTCTGCTGCTCCACAGTTCTTTCTTTTCCTTCCTTCCTTCCTTCCTTTCCTTCTTCCAGCCAACGTAATTTCTCAATTTGACAATTTCATGTCACATCGCAACATTTCTCATTCATTGGTTGGAAGGGAGCAGGGAGAAGAAACCTCTAATATTACCTAACCCCTCACTCAAAGTCCAATTGTTCTAATAATCCATCACTGAGCAACATTCAGACAACAAAACAGAACAATTACTACAAAACAAACGCACACAGAGTTTCATATTGACATATCAGTCACTGAGCTATCCTGTAGTCATACCATGAAGTTAACAAAACAAGCATAATAATAAATATAAATTAAAGACAGCATTTCAGGCTGACTTTTCTACAAGAATCATCGGTTACTTTTGTCATCATTTCTAATTTTCCTTTAACATTTTCTTGGCTTGTTAAAGATTTGTACAGTTCTTCAGTTCATTACTTTGACCTTTCCATAGTTTAATTCCCACTACAGAGATACACATCTGCTTCAGAGTTGTCCGTACAAACAGATGTTTAAAATGAAACTTCCTCCTTTTGTTCTCCGTCATCTGATCTGATATCAAACTGTTGTTTACTTTCTGCTAATATTCTATTTTTTGCTTTAACGCCCTGAAGATCAGGACCATCCAGTCCTGGTTCTGGTCCTGGACCCCCTTTAGTACAGAGATTTCTTTGAATGATCTGATCCTCTGTTGACGATGAAACTGTCGAACTGTTCGAACTCACAGAGTCGTGAACCTCTCTGAAGGTCCATCTTAGACCCAGTCATATGACTAACCTGTTTGACATTCACCTCCATATGAGTTGGAGATGTTTGTTTTGGACCTGTTTGGTTGTTCCTCTAGAACAGGGGTCGGCAACCCGCGGCTCTGGAGCCGCATGCGGCTCTTTTTTCCCTAAGCTGCGGCTCCCAGTGGATTTGGAAAATAAATAATAAATACTTAATTGCATTTTATTTTATTTTATTATTATTATTATTTTTTTTTTGTAATTCTAAATTCAAAGATTATAATGCTCTTGTAACATTAAATAAACTATTAAGGCTGCAACAACGAATCGATTAAGTCGATTCGTCGTGACGAAAAAATCCGTTGCCAACAAATTCTGTAATCGATTCGTCGGGTCTTTATTTATGTCCATGGACACCGGCGTGTAAACATCAGCAGGACGCACAGAAAAGAAACAGCCATGGCCGAGGCAGCGGCTGAGAAAAACATGGACACAACCCAACCCAAATCCCGACCTAAAACATCAGTGATGTGGGAAAACTTCACCAAGACTGAAAAGGAAGGCGTTCAGTGCAACATTTGCAAAGACCGTTTTGCATGGCTCGGGAGTACATCGATGATGCGTGAGCACAGGGCTCTCAAGTCTCACGCATTCAGCGTATGACACATGCATTCCCACTCGTTCACACGCTCACACACCACACATTGTATTTCTCACGCATTTAAATGAACACGGTGATGTCCACCAAGTTGCACTTCTTCAACTTTGGAACTGGGGGAAATCAACTGAGTTCCTCCGAGAGTTCAGAAGCTGCGTGCCACGCACAAGCCAATCAAATAAAGTATATCTACTGAACAGCCAATCAAAAAGCAGCATTGCTGTATCCGGGTAGATTTTGATATCTTGCGGTTTAACTACAGAAGAAGGCAGACACTCGCCAAAATAGTTCATTTATTTCATAAATGCAACTCGCTACAGTTTTTTATATACTTTGTATAAAGGTTAAAAAAAAAGATATATGCAGTGTTATCTTCATTTTAGATGTCAAAGAGGTTTTGTGGCTCCCTGTGTTTTCTTTTCTGTGGGAAACTGGTCCAAGTGGCTCTTTGAGTGTTTAAGGTTGCCGACCCCTGCTCTAGAAGAACCGTTTACAAACTTTGAAATGAGCAGATGTTTATTTTTCAGGAACATTTGATCTGTCATCTCTCTCTGAATCTAGACTTTGAACGATTCACATTTTCCATTTGATGTTTTTATTCACGTTTTTTTTTTTTTTACAGCTTGGTAGATTTTATACACAAGCACCGGTATTTATTCAGATACACCTGTATGTCAGTGTCAGGTGTTTAACTTCCTGTTTACCCGTGTACAGGTGTGCAAAGGTCAGCAGCAGCATGAGGAAGTGTGTCTGGGTCTGTTCACGCTGGTCCTCACAGAACCGACCCAGGCCCAGAGGGTGAGACTCAAACACATCCGGACTTACAGGTCACATCACTGTAGAGTCATTGGGACATCACCCATGTGTGTGTGTGTGTGTGTGTGTGTGTGTGTGTGTGTTTGTGTGTGTTAGTGTTACAGAGACCTGACCCTGCTGAACAGAGACGGGATGAACGTAGTCCTGGTCAAGATCAACCAGATCCTCATGGAGAAGTTCTTAAAGCTGCAGGATGTCCCCAGAACACAGGTAAACACACACACACACACACACACACACAGTTTCTCTCCCTCCCTTAAACCAGTGAGGAGTGTTTTAAAGAAACTTCACTGAACTTGCAGCTGGTGTGGCTGGTCAGAGAACTGGTGAAGAGTGGAGTGATAGGAGCAGATGGCGTCGTCATGACGCTGCTTAAACAGATTGCAGGTAAGACCGACACACGTGTGTATATATTTCTAAACTAAAAAAGCAATAACACTGATCAGGGTGTGCGCATGTGTATGTGCCTGCCTGCGTGCGTGCGTGCGTGCGTGTAGGTGGAGACATCTCCTCTAAGAACCTGTGGTTGGCTGAAAGTGTGCTCGACATTTTATTGGACCAGAAGTAAGTAGCGGCTTTTATTTTGAAGCTTTTGATGAAGTAGCATTAGGGCTTTTATTTTGAAGCTTTTGATGAAGTAGCATTGGGGCTTTTATTTTGAAGCTTTAGATGAAGTGTATGGAATAGCAATAGGGCTTTTACTTTGAAGATTAATATTGACTATGTGAAGTAGCTCTAGGGCTTTTATTTTGAAGCCTCAAACAGCCTGTTTCCTGTGTAGGGAGTGGGTCCTGAAGAGCGGGATGCTGATAGCGATGTCTGTCTACACCTACCTGCGCCTCATTGTGGACCACGGAGCTCCAAACCTGCTGGTTCTGCGCCAGAAGGAGGTGGACTTCTGCATCAGCATGCTGAGGGAAAAGGTAAGGTGTCGAGGAAAGAATGGAAGGGAGGGAGGTAGTGGACTTGTTGTACAGCTCCCCCTGCAGGTGTCAGCGGTATTGCAGCTCTTTCTCTCCTCAGTTCATGGAGTGTCTGATCATCGGCAGAGATCTGGTCCGTCTGCTCCAGAATGTGGCCCGGATCCCAGAGATGGAGCTGCTGTGGAGAGACCTGCTGCACAACCCTCAGGTGCTCAGCCCGCAGTTTACAGGTAACACCACACTACCCACAATCCTCAGCTCATTAACGGCACTACACTACCCACAATCCTCAGCCCATTTATATCATTACACTACCCCAAAACCCTCAGCACATTAACAACATTACATTACCCACAATCCTCAGCACATTTATAACATGACACTGCCCCAAACTCTCAGCACATTAACAACACTAAATTACCCACAATCCTCAGCTCATTTATAACATGACACTGCCCCAAACTCTCAGCACATTAACAACACTAAATTACCCACAATCCTCAGCTCATTCACGGTACTACACTACCCACAACCCTCAGGTCATTTATAACACTACACTACCCACAATCCTCAGCTCATTTATAACACTACACTACCCATAATCCTTTGCTCATTAAGGACACTACACTACCCACAATCCTCAGCTCATTTATAACACTACACTACCCACAATCCTCAGCACATTTATATCATGACACTGCCACAAACCATAGACTGTATAAAGAATGGACAGAGTCTGCCTCCTCGCTGGGTGAAGCCATTTTGAGAACAGCACCCTCTGTTGATGGGCTGCAGTATAGGTCATAAATCCCGCCTCCGCTAGCAAAGCTTATGGGGCTGTGGACAAACTTTAAAAATTTATTACACAGAATATAAATTTTTCTCCCCCCTAGTTGTGATGTTGACATGTAGTTATTGTCAGACTGGTTTGTGCTCAAGTCCTCTTTTTTCTGTGCAGCTCCATTTTTAAAAGTTTTTAGGGGGTTCATGTTTTCTATGATTGACACCTGATACCGCCTATGGGCATTCAGGGATTGCGTAGCTCTCCCGGGGGATATGCTGTTTGAGCCGAGCGTCATCACAGCGACTCTCGGCGACTGCGCGGCCGAATGCGCGCATCACTACTGTGCAGAGCTGGTTTCAGGAAATGAAGAAAAATCCCGGAAATACTGAGAGCTTTTTGGCTTCAAATCCGTTTACAGGCGGTAGGCGGTACCAAGTTGTCCATAGTATATACAGTCTATGCCACAAACCCTCAGCACATCAATGACACTACACTACCCAGAATCCTCAGGTCCCTGTATCCCTTCCTCGTCAGGTGTCCTCCAGCTGCTGACCGCTCGGACCTCCAGGAAGTTCTTGGCGTGTCGTCTGACCCCGGACATGGAGACCAAGCTGCTGTTCATGACCTCCAGGGTAGCGTCCTGACCCTGTTCTGCTCTCTATGAGCCTGAGTGTGTGTGACCTCTGACCTCTGACCCTGTGTGTTACCTGCTCAGGTGCGTTTCGGACAGCAGAAGCGGTACCAGGACTGGTTCCAGAGACAATACTTGTCCACAGCAGAGAGCCAATCACTGCGCTGCGATCTGATCCGGTACATCTGTGGGGTGGTCCATCCATCCAATGAGGTGCTGAGCTCTGACATCCTGCCGCGCTGGGCCATCATTGGCTGGTTGCTCACCACCTGTACGGTAAGTGGGTGGGGCCTAAAGCTGTTCTGGTCAGAGAGTCATCGTCTTTTAAAGGGGACCTGCCTTCAAAATTTCAAACCCATTTTTATCATTTTTTCATAATCCTTGATGTCCTCTGATCATGTCTGCAACATAATTTTAGCTGAAAAGTTATTTGATGGTTTGTTTATAGTATGCCTAAAAAACCTTACAGGAAAACTAACTGGTTTTGGCTCATTAACATTTATGGTAATGAGCTTTGCTCTGATTGGATCGCTGCTGTGAAGCCTGCTGTGCTCTGATTGGCTCAGTGGAGGTTCGGATTTCGGTTTATCCATTTTGCTAATGTGTGCTAAAGTAAGGTGCCCAGTTGTCTGTAATGATATCCGGGGATATTCGGTGCGGCGGCGGTGCAGGGGCTGCAGGGGCTGTGTGATCACAGACAAAATCTCTGTACTATTTAGTAGCAGCGCATGCCCCTTGTAATAACCCCCGTAAGAACTGTTGTTCAGGACTGCTTACTTGTGCTTCCTACCTATTCGGCTACTGTAATAACCGTTGTTCGAGCCCACACGCAACATTTTTGCTCTCATTCATGAAACGCTTAAATCAGGGACATTTTCGGGGACAGCTTTTGCCGGTGACAGGTCGTCCAATACGGGGACTGTCCCCGGAAATCGGGGACGTCTGGTCACCTTATTCTAAAGGCTAAAAACGGCAGGTATTAAACCATATATTTTAGACCCCGAGTCCGAAGAGGAGGTGGAAGTTGAAGAAGAAGCCAGAGATCTCCAGCGGTGTTTTCATTCATTCTGCCCGGCTTTAAGTTCATTTTCCCGGCAGTGAACCCAAGGAAACACCGGTCGTTTGGAAGAGACCCATAGCGGATACAGTGGTAGCTGGGTCTCACTCTGGCTCGAGAGTGATGTTGACTGTGAATGAGTACGAGAATGAGAGAGCGGGCGCGGCTCACCGAGGACGCGCTCCTGAATAATAATGAGCAAGGTCAGCGTGACGTCAGAGGGACCTGCTTTTTCAATTGGCCTGGTTTACCAGTTACTTTATTTTAAACCTTTACAGAATGCAAACGACATAACAGTTTGTTTTCACATTTACAACATAAGATGAACAAAATATGGACCTTAACTGACACAAAAACACACAAAATTACATTTTTGATGGCAGGTCCCCTTTAAAGTCATGAACCAATCAGCTGTTTGTGTCTGCAGTCAAATGTCGCCGCCTCCAACGCAAAGCTCGCTCTCTTCTACGATTGGCTGTTCTTCAACCCTGAGAAAGACAGCATCATGAACATAGGTACACACACACACACACACACACACACACACACACACACACCAGAGGCATCAGTGATGGTAAGGAGCCGTTACACCCTCCACAGTGACTGACAGGTTTAACTTGCTCTGTTTCAGAGCCCGCCATCCTGGTAATGCACCACTCCATGAAGCCACACCCCGCCATCACCGCCACGCTGCTGGACTTCATGTGCAGGGTAACACACACGCACACTGTCAGAGTGTGTAGAAACAGCAGATGTGTATAAATAAAGTTATAGTAGCAGCAGCAGCAGCTGAGGCTCATGAAAAATGTAGTGCTGAGGGGAAAATAAACCGTTGTCTTTCCTCTTCCTCTCCTACATCCTTTCCTCGCCTCCTTCACCTCCTTCACCTGTCCTCCTCAGATAATCCCTTACTTCTTTCCTCCACTGGAGTCTCAGGTGCGTCAGGGTGTCTTCAACTCGCTCACCTTTATCATGGAGAAGAGAGTGCTGGCGTAAGAAACACACACACACACACACACACATATGCACACACACAAAACCAATCAGACGCCACAGGCTGATTATTGATTGATCAATGACCCCCCCCCCCCCCACAGTCACCTTGCTCCACTGTTCGATAACCCAAAGTTAGACCGTGAGCTTCGATCGATGCTCAGAGAGAGATTCCCTGAGTTCTGCAGCTCGCCATCACCCCCTACTGAAGGTAACACACACACACATACACACATGAACGCACACACAGACACCATGAAATTTTCACCATATGAGCAAAAGGAACAAAGTTAAAAACTTTGACTTAAATACTGTGTGTGTGTGTGTGTGTGTGTGTGTGTCCTTTAGTCAAAATGGAGGAGACGGTTTCCATGGAGATGGAAAACCACATGTTGGATAAGGAGGATGTTGGCTATGACACCACAGAGGCAGCCTTCAGCGATGATGAGGAGGAGGTCAACAATAAAGGTGACCCGGTTACACTGGATTGAACTAGTTAAACTGGTTTAAACTAGATTAAACTGGGTTAAACTGGATTTAACTGGATTTAACTGGGTAACTCAGTTAAACTGGATGAAACTGAAATACACTGGTAAAACTGGATTAAACTAGATTGAACTGGATTTAACTGGTTGACTCAGTTAAACTGGGTAAAACTGGATTAAACTGAAATAAACTGGTTACATCTGATTAAACTGAAATGAACTGGTAAAACTGTATTAAACTAGATTAAACTGGGTTAAACTGGATTTAACTGGATTTAACTGGATTTAACTGGGTGACTCAGGTAAACTGGGTAAAACTGGATTAAACTGAAATAAACTGGTTACATCGGATTAAACTGAAATAAACTGATTAAACTTTGGTTAAACTGGATTAAACAGGTTAAAATGGAGTGAACAGGTTCAACTAGATTGAAGTGGATTAAACTGAGTTAAACTCAGTAAAATGGGTAAAACTGGATTAAACTAGTTACACCTGATTAAACTTGATTAACTGGTTTAACTGTATTATACTAGATTAAACTGGATTAACCTGGGTAAACCAGATTAAACTGGGTTAAACTAGATTCAACTGGATTAAACTGGTTTAACTGGATTAAACTGGTTAATTTGGACTAAACTGGTCAGTGGGGGTCTATAGGAATAAACCTGTTAAACCAGATTACCATTAATCCAACCCTGAAGTTCCAGATGATAAAAGAGCAAAACTCTCTCTAATAAGGCTGCACGATATTGGAAAAAACTAACACTGCGATTTTTTTCAACCCTGCGATATATATTACGATATTAAAAATACAGGAATTTTCACCAGGTGACCTGAACAGCACTTAATGTTATGCTGCACTGCTGAAATCTTGAGGACAGTTAACGTGGACTGCTCTTACCTCCTTTTTGTGAATGTTTGTAGAACGGCTTCTGTCTGTCTCAGAGATATTTTTAGCTTTTATTGTGCTGGGACGTTATTGTGGCGACAGATGAACACAGAAGACGTGTTTTGGTCGACATCATCCATCTTGTAGCCAAAATAATTCCAGATAACTGACTTTCATTTTCTTTTAGGCAACAAGTCTTCATCTTCTGTGTTTTTCTCTGTTTGTTGCTCAGTTTGGGATCGTTGTTGTTGTTAGCGGTGTTGTGCTGAGAAACGCATGTCCTCCGAGAATTGCATGCACCTCACAAAACGTGCACTGCTTATAGTAGAGTGGTCCACGGAAATGTACAATTTAAAACCCATACAGTTCTTATTTGTTGGGCTAAACAGTGATGAAGAATGTTCCGAAAGTAATTCTCAGCGGACATGCGTTTCTCGGCTCAACTCCGGTAGTGTTAGCGACTCCCTCCATGTGCAGGACATGTGCAGGGGTGGGTTTCATCCTCTCTGATTTTGATTGACAGCTGGCAGGGTGGTCTGATTGGCAACTGAGTAAAGAATGACGGTGATTGGTGGATCACTGCAAAGCACATGTAGAGTCACATGGAGTGTATCTCAGACAGTTACCCTTGAAATTTACTGAGTTCATTCACCTCCAATATCGCAGGCTCTGCGATGTGACTGTCGCACACACGTACATCGCGATGACGATGCTCAAACGATATATCGTGCAGGCCTACTCTCTAATCTGATGAATCCTGTTAACCATGTTTATATTGTCATTAAGATAACAGTTTAAACTGGTTAATTCCCATTAAAACTAGCTTGGGGGGGGTCAAACTGGTTCCAGCTCATTTAAACCCTGATAAAACCAGTTTAAACTAGTCTCTAACATTATTTCATAAACATTAAACTGGTTTAATCCCAGTCAAACCTCAGTGTCATTATGGACAGTCACCGGTGGTCACATGGTCCAATGACATTATGCCCTGACCACCAATCACTGTGCAGGTAAGAAGAGGGAGTTCAGGTTCCATCCAATCAAAGAGGCCGTCATCGAGGAGCCTGCTGACATCACGCCCTGGCTCGACCAATTAGACGACACCATGAAGGAGAAGGTCCAGCTGCTGCAGAAGACCAGGTGAGACCATCACAGTCCTCCTTCAGGTCCTCGGACCAGCCATGATCGAACTGATGATGATGATGATGATGATAATGACGGTGATGATGATGATGAAGGCTGTCTGTCTCCATAGTGACACAGAGACTCAGTGTGAGGTCATGCAGGAGATCGTGGACCTGATCCTGGAGGTCAGTTCAAATCCTGGACTCTGCTGTCTCTGTTAGACTTGGATCATGAGGTGGACTCTCACCAAGTGTGTGTGTGTGCGTGTGTGTGTGTGTGTGTGTGTTTTAGGAGGACTTTGACACGGAGCAGATGTCGTCTCTGGCCTCCTGTCTGGCTGAGCTCTTTAAGGATCATTTTAGAGGAGAAGTTCTGCCGGAGGAGATCACAGAGGAGTGAGTCTGAGTTTCTCCTCACTGAACCTCCTCTCTCTTAGGAGTCTGACTCGTTGGTTTCTCTGTTCATCATCGTACATGAATAATAGTGCTGTGTCATTCATGAACGATTCATTCAAAAGAACTGCTGAGTGAACGACGTGAACTGAATCACTCTGAGACCTGATTTGTTCCTTTCTCAGTTCAGTTGAACTCAGCCTGGCATGTCGGTCGGGAGTGGAACTGCCGCCTTTGACTATTTGGCGAATGCACAGCCAGCCAGAAAGCGAGCAGGTGGGCGGAGTCTCATGATTTGCCCTCAGCAAATGAATGTACGACATATATCAGACAGACTGTGAACGAAACAATGACTTCTGAACAACTTTATTCAGACAGAGGAGGGAGGGGTGTATCGTCGTTCACTTCCTGCCGAGCAGCGGTTCGTTGACCGAGGCTAAGATAAAACAGGTCATTATAGCGCCTTTACATTAATACACGTGTATAAACTCTCCTGTAAGAAGGAATTAATTACATACGATTTAAAGTAATACACTATTTGATATCTTTAAAAGTATCAGAATCCCCGCTACAGCTGCCATCTTTATTTATTTTAAATCTCTCCGCTTTTCCGCCACTTTTCCATATAAAAGAACGACAACTTGCGTTTGTTTAGCGGCGTGCTGCTCGCTGCTGTGTGGTTTCCGCTGACAGATGGCGTCACACAGAGAGGTGAGTTTTTCAGGGCAGGGCAGGGGAGTGATTCTTTCTTCAGGACTTGGCAAATGATTGACATGTGTCACCCAGTGAACGACGCTGTGACTTCAGCAGCAGGGGAGGGGAGGGGCTCAGTCAATGAACAAACTCGCTGCTGTGTCACTCACTGGTGTACTGCACCGGCAGGACGGGGCTCCGAAGCACAGACTGATTCAGTGAACGAATCTTTTGAACGAATCGTTTTAATGAACAGATTCAGTCTAAAGAACGCTTTAGACGTCTTCTGCGGATATAAACAATTTCTGATGACTTTGCAAAGTCAACTGCAGAATTAAAGGCGTTCTGAATGAACGGCGCTTTGTAATGTCCCGCAGCATGTGTTAGACGTCACCATCTACACATGGACCAATCAGGGGCTGCCTTTCCCTGTTGTCCGGGGGACAGTGGAAACACAGTCACTGATTGGCCCAGTTATTTTCTGATCGCTGTGTGTCTCACCTGTCTCTTGTCCTGTCTTACCTGTCCTCCTCTGTCCCTCAGGTCTCTGAAGGACTCCGTCTGTCTTACCTGTCTCTTCTTCTGTCTAACCTGTCCTCCTCTGTCTCTCAGGTCTCTGGAGGACTCGATCTATCTTACCTGTCTCTTCTCCTGTCTCACATGTCCTCCTCTGTCTCACCCGTCTTCCTTTGTCTTTCAGGTCTCTAAAGGACTCAGATTGTTTCACCTGTCTCTTCTCCTCTCTCACCTGTCCTCCTCTATCTCACCTGTCCTCCTCTGTCTCTCAGGTCTCTGGAGGACGCTGTCTGACCTGTCTCATCTGTCCTCCTATGTCTGACCTGTCCTCCTCTATCTCACCTGTCCTCCTCTGTCTCTCAGGTCTCTGGAGGACTCCATCTGTCTTACCTTTCTCTTCTCCTGTCTCACCTGTCCTCCTCTGTCTCACCTGTCCTCCTTTGTCTCTCAGGTCTCTGGAGGACTCAGCTTGTCTCACCTGTCTCCTTTTTCTTACCTGTCTCTTCTCCTGTCTCACATGTCCTCCTCTGTCTCACCCGTCTTCCTTTGTCTTTCAGGTCTCTAAAGGACTCAGATTGTTTCACCTGTCTCTTCTCCTCTCTCACCTGTCCTCCTCTGTCTCACCTTTCCTCTATTGTATCTCAGGTCTCTGGAGGACGCTGTCTGACCTGTCTCATCTCTCCTCCTCTGTCTGACCTTTCCTCCTCTATCTCACCTGTCCTCCTCTGTCTCTCAGGTCTCTGGAGGACTCAGTCTTACCTGTCCTCCTCTGTCTCACCTGTCCTCCTCCTTTGTCTCTCAGGTCTCTGGAGGACTCAGCTTGTCTCACCTGTCTCCTTTTTCTTACCTGTCTCTTCTCCTGTCTCACCTGTCCTACTTTGTCTCCTAGTTCTCTAAAGGACTCAAACTGTCTTACTATTCGCCTCTCCTGTCTCCCTTGTCCTCCCCTGTCTCACCTGTCTCTTCTCCTGTCTCAACTGTCCTCCTCTGTCTCTCAGGTCTCTAGTCTTGGTCTGTCTTACCTTGTGCTGGGCGATAGGCTGTATTTTATCCATAGGGCTTGTGCCATCAGATGATTCATATTAACAACAACAATAATTGCACATTCAGTAAGTGTATTTGGTGTCAAACGGGAAAGAAAACAATATTTTCTTACAAAGAAAAGGATGCGTTGACATGTAGGCTCGCATTTCTCTTTCGATTTTGCGACATGACGCCGCTTTACGTGCCCTCTTTATGTCCAGCGCCTCACGCCGTTGCGGGTTACCTGGGTTACACACGTGAGGGGATCATTGTAAGCAGTGCTTAATTTGTGCCGGAGCAAGTCGGAGCGCGCTCCGGGACCTCTTTTGATCGGATCTGGGACCTATTTCAGCCGCTCCGGCACCTGTTTCATCTGCTCCGGGACCTTCCCTGTAGAGGATGACATTTTTCGGGAATTCCCGTGGGTCACGTGATTCCCGCGGGAATCCCACGGGATGGGAGTCATTTTTTAATGAATCCCTTGATCGGGACGGGACGGGAAAAAAGCAACGGGAGTGGGCAGGAGCGGGAACAACATTAAAAGATGATCATTTTCAGCTGTGTTTAACAACCAGATGAACAGGTGCGTCCATTTTTGTAGTCATCTCACAGTGAGAGTAAACACTCTTGACCGCGCTAGCAACACAAAAGAACTACAACAGCGGTTTGACTTCCTGTCAGCTGGGAGCGCGGCTGCGCATTTCTACCCTTCAAGCCAGCAGCGAGGAAACGTAATTTTGTGACATTCTGTAGTTTTTCAATCATTTCTGGAGTCGTGGCGAATCAAATCACCTTACCTGTCTGCCCCTGATAGGCGAATAAAGCGCTCGGATTCATGCTCGGGTCTTCCTACGTGCTTCAAGAGTAAAGTAAACAATGATGGAGGCAGAGAGCAGCTTTGGAGGAGAAACATCCAGCAGTGTGAACAACCTCTTCAAAAGAGCCCTAAAGACCTACCTTTTTAATAAAGCCTTTGGTTAGTTTTCCTCTATGCTTTATGCTTTTACTACCTTGCCTCTTACATTGCAACTCTATATTCTTTATTTATTTTCTTTTATGCCAATCTGTGACTGTCATTCTATTGCTTTTTTTATTGTTGCTGCTCTTTTTTTACTGTGTACTGTAGCACAGACATGAACGCACTTCATCCACGTATTTATTTATTCATTTTTCTAGTTTTAAGTGCTGGTCTTGTACTGGTACTGTACTAGTGCAGCTGTATACACTTAAATTTTTCATAGAACTGAAAGCATACCATAGCTATATCGTGATATATATCGTTATCTTGATATAAAATGATCCATATTTTTCCATATCGCCCAGCACTAGTCTTACCTGTCTCTTCTCCTGTCTAACCTGTGTCTTCTCCTGTCTCACCTGTCCTACTCTGTCTCTCAGGTCTCTGGAGGACTCGGTCTGTCTTATCTGTCTCTTCTCCTGTCTCAACTGTCCTCCTCTGTCTCTGAGGTCTCTAGTCTTGGTCTGTCTCACCTGTCTCTTCTCCTGTCTCATCTGTCCTCCTCTGTCTGACCTGTCCTCCTCAGTCTTACCTGTCCTCCTTTGTCTTTCAGGTCTCTAAAGGACTCAGACTGTCTCACCTGTCTCTTCTCCTGTCTCACCTGTCTCTTGCCCTGTCTCATCTGTCCTCCTCTGTCTGACCTGTCCTCCTCAGTCTTACCTGTCCTCCTCTGTCTCTCAGGTCTCTTGAGGACTCCGTCTGTCTTACCTTTCTCTTCTCCTGTCTCACCTGTCCTCCTCTGTCTAACCTGTCGTCCTTTGTCTCACCTGTCTCTTCCCCTGTCTTACTCTGTCTTACCTGTCTTTTCTCCTGTCTCACCTGTCCTGCTTTGTCTCCTAGGTCTCTGAAGGACTCAGACTGTCTTACTTTTCTCTTCTCCTGTCTCCCTTGTCCTCCTTTGTCTCACCTTTCTCTTCTCCTGTCTCAACTGTCCTCCTCTGTCTCTCAGGTCTCTAGTCTTGGTCTGTCTTACCTGTCTTTTGTCCTGTCTCACCTGTCCTCAGTCTCACCTGTCCTACTCTGTCTCTCAGGTCTCTGGAGGACTTGGTCTGTCTTACCTGTCTCTTCTCCTGTCTCACCTGTCTTCTTCTATCTTACATGTCTCTTCTCCTGTCTCATCTGTCCTCCTCTGTCTGACCTGTCCTCCTCAATCTCACCTGTCCTCCTTTGTCTTTCAGGTCTCTAAAGGACTCAGACTGTCTCACCTGTCTCTTCTCCTGTCTCACCTGTCTCTTGCCCTGTCTCATCTGTCCTCCTCTGTCTGACCTGTCCTCCTCTGTCTCACCTGTCCTCCTCTGTCTAACCTGTCGTCCTTTGTCTCACCTGTCTCTTCCCCTGTCTTACTCTGTCTTACCTGTCTTTTCTCCTGTCTCACCTGTCCTGCTTTGTCTCCTAGGTCTCTGAAGGACTCAGACTGTCTCACTTTTCTCTTCTCCTGTCTCAACTGTCCTCCTCTGTCTCTCAGGTCTCTGGAGGACTTGGTCTGTCTTACCTGTCTTTTGTCCTGTCTCACCTGTCCTCAGTCTCACCTGTCCTCCTCTGTCTCTCAGGTCTCTAGTCTTGGTCTGTCTTACCTGTCTTTTGTCCTGTCTCACCTGTCCTCAGTCTCACCTGTCCTACTCTGTCTCTCAGGTCTCTGGAGGACTTGGTCTGTCTTACCTGTCTCTTCTCCTGTCTCACCTGTCTTCTTCTATCTTACATGTCTTTTCTCCTGTCTCACCTCTCCTCCTCGGTCTCATCTGTCCTTCTCTGTCTCACCTGTCCTCTTCTATCTCACTTGTCATCCTCTGTCTGTAAGGTCTATGGAGGACTCAGACTGTCTCACCTGTCCTCCTCTGTCTCTCAGGTTTCTGGAGGACTTGATCTGTCTCACCTGTCCTCCTCTGTCTCTCAGGTCTTTGGAGGACTCGGTGTGCAGACCTGTGTGTCTGATCTTCAGGAACTTGGTGACCATGCAGGAGGACAACTCTGGGTTCTCGGTTCTTTTGGACATGTTGGCCGAGTTCTACCAGAAACAGCCAAAGATCGGATACCACCTGCTGTTCTACCTGAAGGCCAGGTGAGCTGACGGACACACAGCGTAGATTACATGTCAGTGTTTACATGTGTGTGTTTTATTGTGTATGTGTGTGTCTGCAGCAAAGCGGCGAACGGGAAGATGATGCTGTACGAGTCATTTGCTCAGGCGACGGCGCTGGGCGACCTTCACACCTGTCTGATGATGGACATGAAGGCGTGTCAGGAGGATGACGTCCGGCTGCTCTGTTACCTCACTCCCTCTATCTACACTGAGGTATGAACACACACACACACAAACACACACACACATGCACACAGAGCCATCCTGAAGTCACATGACCTTTTTTTCCAGTTTCCAGATGAAACGCTGCGGAGTGGCGAGCTGCTCAACATGATTGTCGCCGTTATCGACTCGACACAGGTAACTGACCTGCAGACAACCATGACGACCCTCCGACAAGGGTCATCATCACAGTTTACCAGAGAGTGTGTGTGTGTGCATGTGTGCTTGTTTGTGTGCAGCTGCAGGAGCTGATGTGTCATGTGATGATGGGGAACCTGGTGATGTTCAGGAAGGACTCAGTGCTCAACATCCTCAGTGAGTCTCACACACACACACACACACACACACACACTTGTAGATTGTGTGTAATGTTTGTGTGTGTGTGTGTGTGTGTGTGTGTGTGTCCACAGTTCAGTCCCTGGACTGGGAGACCTTTGAACAGTACAGCACCTGGCAGCTCTTCCTGGCTCACAGCATCCCTCTGGAGACCATCATCCCCATCCTGCAGCACCTCAAGTACAAAGGTGAGCCTCAGCCAATCTCAGGCCAGCTGAAGCCAAAACCAATCAGAAACCAGCTTACACTCTAACCAATTACAGTGAACCTCTTACTGTCTGTCCTTCTGTCTCCTTCCAGAACACCCAGAGGCCTTATCCTGTCTGCTGCTGCAGCTGCGCAGAGAGAAGTACATACACACACACACACACAGCAACACAATCACACTGTCACACTGATAATGTGTTAATCCCTGTCCTTCTATGTGTCTCAGGCCCAGCGAGGAGATGGTGAAGATGGTCCTGTCTCGTCCCTGTCACCCTGACGACCAGTTCACCACCAGCATCCTCAGACACTGGGCGTCTAAATACGATGACACGCTAGGCGAACACATCAAGGCCCAGCTGATCAAGAACAACAACCAGCCCCGCAAGAGGCAGAGGTAGGGTTGTACGTGTCTGTGTGTGTGTCTGTGTGTGTCTGTGTGTGTCTGTGTGTGTCTGTGTGTATTTGGGAGGGAAAGGGGGGACACACGGCAGTACACAGCCAATGGAGACCGACGTCTGCGCATGGCAGCCATCTTGCTACAGGCAGCTCGCCCACTCCTAACATTCCAGTCTACGGTTCATGTATCATTCAAATAACCATAGATTGATTAATTTTAAACCGATTTTCAAACGGTTTGGTTTGTAACAAACCTCAGAGTTTTAGTTATGTTATTGCATACTCTAGAATAATTTTAACCATGGATTTTCATAAATAAACATCAAGCAGATAGGTCGAACAATAGCTATAGGCCTACACACACAAGGCAGTTATATTAAATCATTTATATATACAACATTTAATCATTCCATGGATGTTATATTAGTAATATTTCTATCACAGAGAAAACTATAATAACATATAATTATATATACATTTTTTTTTTTTTTTCAATAGAATTTTCTGTCTCATGTTTCCGACACAAGCACATCTACAAAGACTGGCACTTAGACTAAATACACTACAGGCCAAAAGTTTGGAAGCAAGATCAGATTTGTACAAAAAAAACATCATAGTTTCATATTTATTTGCAACACAATAAAAATGACTTGTGTACATGGATACAGAGATGTACTAGGTACCAAAATGTCTGCAATACACAACTTTATATTTAACTTCAATATATGTATGGGGCTTAAAATCAAGTCATTTTGAGTTATAAAGGAAAAACCACATTTTGAGGCGGACATCTTGGATTTTGGGGCCGCCATCTTGGAATTTTGCGTGGCTAACGTTATTTTTGAAAAGAGTGGGGTTTGAAGAGTATATGTACCAAATTTCATGCTTGTATAACAAAGTGAACGATTATTTCCTTATCTGCTCAGCTATCTGATATGGACCAAACCAGGTCAATGTCTCTTTATTTTTGTCTCAGTCTGAGAAGTTCCAGCAGTAAACTGGCTCAGCTGACCCTGGAACAGATCCTGGAACACATGGACAACCTGAGACTGAGTCTGAGCAACACTAAGAACAACTGTGAGTCCTACACACACACAGACACACACAGACACACACAGACAACCTGAGACTGAAGGTCCTTACACACCGGCAACAACGCAAATATACGACGCGGAATCACAAAATATTCAGAGGCAAATTGTGACGCGCCTGACTATACACATCAAGCGCAGTGCGATTTTGCGATTTTCAGGGGGGAGGTGAGAAGACTGTAGCCTGGCTGGGCCGTCCTGTTGCGTGAATCACTCGATGTTCCTTCCCACCACAGTCTGGACTTCGGCCCATAGAGAGCGTGTATTCCCGATCAGAAAATAACCGGGCCAATCAGAGACAGTGTTTCCACTGTTACCCGGACAACAGGGAAAGGCAGCCCCTGATTGGTCCATGTGTAGTGGTGACGTCTAACACATGCTGCGGGACTTTTCAAAGCCCCCTTCCTTCAGAACGCCATTAATTCTGCAGTTGATTCTGCAAAGTCGGCAGGGGTTGGGGGAGAAATTGGCTGAAAGAGGGCAGAGACAGAAGCTGCGTTTCCATTACATTTTTTCACAAAATAAAAGCGATGTTTATCAAATTTCGACAAAGTACAATTGCGATTTGCGGGTGTTTCCATTGAATGGTGTTCAGTGCATAAGCGAGCCGTCTGCCTCTCGCGAGCCGTGTTTAAATGGCCGTTGCCTAGCAACGAGGTAAACTTCCTGCCCGTGCGACCTCATATTCCTTAAGCCTTTTTGCACACCGACATGGACGAGACACAAAACATTTTTCGTTTTGGAGCAGCTATTTCTGTGACCATTACTGCTGTTGCCGCTGCTGTCATCAGAAGACGAAGGCAGCGGGTGATAATTCAAAGGCAAAGCCCGTATGTATGGGAGCGAACACGGATGAGCGATTTCTGGGAGAGGATCGTTAATGAGGAATTCACAGACGGATTGTGGATTCAAAACTTCAGAAAAATACAAATACAATTCAAAACTTCAGAAATAAGTCCGTCTCCTCCCCCGTCCACATACACCGTGCCATCTACGCTTGAAATGAACTGGTCACATGACCCGCTACGTCACGTCCGGTGATGTAGAATTGCGAGAAAAGTGTTTCCATTACACTTTTGCGATATACTTCTATATCGACACTTCTGAAAAACCACCTCATGAGAGCGTAAAAACTTTTTAGCGATATTTGGGAGGTTTTTCGAAATGTAGGTGTTTCCATTACCAGTTTTCTATTGCGATATTTACGTTTTGCGCAAATCTATGGGTAATGGAAACGCAGCTAGAGAGAAACTTTGGGTTTACTGAGGAAAACCAGGTCCCGACCAGGTTAGGTTCACGGAGTCTGTTACTATGGTAACTGACCGCGAGGTTGAGTTACCTCTCTTTGTGAAACAGGTTAGAGTTACCCCTCTCTCTCTGGTTTAACTAACCCTCCTTTGTGAAACGGAAAACTCAGAGTTTCCCTGATTTCAGGGTTAACAGACTCTAAGTTTCCACTAAACCTGCTACGTGAAACGGACCCCTGGTGTGTAAGGACCTTTAGTCTGAGCAACACCAACAACTGTCAGTCCTACACACACACACATTAAAACACACACATACACACACACACGTGTTGATCCCTAACGTCTGTGTGTTTGTGGTCAGTCTTCACTCAGACCCCGATCCTTCAGGCTCTTCAGCACGTTCAGGCCAGCTGTGATGAGGCGCACAAGATGAGGTACACACACACACACGTGCACACACATACACACACTCTTGACCTGCCAATGACATCACTTCCTGTCTCTCAGGTTTAGTGACCTCTTCGCCCTGGCTGAGGAGTACGAGGACTCTCAGGCCAAACCGCCAAAGTCTCGCCGTAAGGCTCCAGCGACATCGCCGCGCTCCAGGAAAGGAGCGGCTCCGCCCACAAACAATGAGGAGGAGAGCGCCTCCAGCAGTGCCTCGGTACGTCATCACTTCCACATCACGGGTTCAGTGAGGTCATATGTTTGTTTATGTCATGGGACACCTGACTAATGAGGTCATGTGATTGTGTTTCAGGAGGAGGAGGACTCGAAGCCCAAAGCGCCAAAGAGGAAGAGGAAAGGCTCATCAGCTGTTGGCTCTGACAGTGACTGATGGACCTTTGAGCCAATCAAACACTCTGACCACTGGAAGAAGCCCTGTCCCGTAACTACAGCGCCCTCTCTACGATCGGAGGGGCAGGGCTCTGAGACACCACATGCTTTAGATTCCTCGTGATAAACTGACCTTTACACGACTGACTGACGCTGTTTCCATGGAGACGAGACCTGTTTGGTCAGAGGCTGCTGTGTGGCTCCATGTGGCCGAGCTCCCATGATGCACTGGGAGAAACGGAGCAGAACCAGCACATCGAGGTTTTAACAGAACACGAGGGTCCGGATGAGTGTGTGTGTGGAAGGGGGGGTGGTAATTGTCTTTTTTTAAACTCTTGTTTTGAAGGGAGGACCAGACTCTTATTGTGAAGGAGCCTGACTTACTTCCTGCTGTTTTTAGCAGACTTCTTGTTTGTCTCAATGCACTAAAACAACCCGGTCTGTGTGACATCAGAACCAACATCAGAACCAACAAACAATCCAACAAACAAAGAGATTCACATAAAGACTAAAGAAGGTCTGAGAGATGGTCATCTGTCTGTTTATTAAAGGAGCAGTACACTGTTTTTAAAGGAGTACACTTTTTTTAAAGGTGGGGTTCAAGGAGCAGTACACTGTTTTTAAAGGTGGGGGTTCAAGGAGCAGTACACTGTTTTTAAAGGTGGGGGTTCAAGGAGCAGTACACTGTTTTTAAAGGTGGGGGTTCAAGGAGCAGTACACTGTTTTTAAAGAAGGGGTTAAAGGAGCAGTACACTGTTTTTAAAGGTGGGGGTTCAAGGAGCAGTACACTGTTTTTAAAGGAAAGAAGGTTAAAGGAGCAGTACACTGTTTTTAAAGGAGTACACTTTTTTTAAAGAAGGGGTTAAAGGAGCAGTACACTGTTTTTAAAGGAGTACACTTTTTTTAAAGAAGGGGTTCAAGGAGCAGTACACTATTTTTTGAAGTGGGGGTTAAAGGAGCAGTACACTGTTTTTAAAGGAGTACACTTTTTTTAAAGAAGGGGTTAAAGGAGCAGTACACTATTTTTTAAAGGTGGGGGTTCAAGGAGCAGTACACTGTTTCTCAAAGGACAGAGGGTTAAAGGAGCATTACACTGATTTTAAAGGAAAAAGGGTGAAAGGAGCAATACACTATTTTTAAAGGGGTGTTGAAGGAGCAGTACACTGTTTACAAAAGAAAGGAGGTTAAAGGAGCAGTACCCTGTTTTTGAAGGAGGGGGTTAAAGGGTCAGTACACTGTTTTTCAGGGAGGAGGGGGTTAAAGGAGCAGTACACTGTTTTTTTAAAGGAGCAGTACATTGCATAGACTGTATATAAGATGGACAGAGTCTGCCTCCTCGCTGGGTGAAACCACTCCGAGAACAGCACCCTCTGATGGTGGGCTGCAGTACAGCTAATAAATCCCGCCTCCGCCAGCAAAGCTTATGGAGCTGTGGACAAACTTTAGAAATTTATTACACAGAACATAAATTTTTCTCCCCCCTGGTTGTGATGTTGACATGTAGTCACAGTAAGACTGGTTTGTGCTCAAGTCCTTTTTTTTCTGTGAAGCTCCGTTTTTAAAGGTTATTAGGGGGTTCATGTTTTCTATGATTGACACCTGGTACAGCCTATGGGCGTTCAGGGATTGCGTAGCTCTTCCGAGCGTCATCACAGGGACTCTCGGCGACTGCGCGGCCGAATGCGCACAACGCTACTGCACAGCTCTGGTTTCAAGGAAGTGGAGAAAAACCCGGAATTACCGAGAGCTTTTTGGCTTCAAATCCGTATACAGGCGGAAGGCGGAACCACGGTGTCCATCTTATATACAGTCTATGGTACATTGTTTTTTTAATGGGGGGGTAATACACTTTTGTTAAGGAGCAGTATACTGTTTATTAAAGGAGAGGTGGTTAAAGAAGCATTACACTGTTTATAAAGGAGGGTTTAAAGGAGCAGTACACTTTATTTTAAAGGAGGGGGTTGAAGGAGCAGTACATTGTTTTTAAAGGAGAAAGGGTGAAAGGAGCAGTACACTGTTTACAAAAGAAAGGAGGTTAAAGGAGCAGTACCCTGTTTTCGAAGGAGGGGGTTAAAGGGTCAGTACACTGTTTTTCAGGGAGGAGGGGATTAAAGGAGCAGTACACGTTGAAAAGGAGAGAGGGTTAAAGGAGCAGTACACTGTTTTTTAAGGGGGGGGGGTCAAAGGAGCAGTACACTGTTTTTAAAGGGGGGTTAAGGGAGCAGTACACTGTTTTAAAAGGAGAGGGGGTTAAAGGAGCAGTACACTGTTTTTAAAGGAGAGGGGGTTAAAGGAGCAGTACATTGTTTTTTAAATGGGGGGGGTAATACACTTTTGTTAAGGAGCAGTATACTGTTTATTAAAGGAGAGGTGGTTAAAGGAGCAGTACACTTATTTTTAAAGGGGATTAAAGGTGCAGTACACTGGTTTTAATCCTAGCAGTTTGTACTGAATTTCCCCTTAGTGTAGTACATAGTATCCAGTAGGTGAACAAATACAAAATTTGCAGTTTTCCAAAAATACCCAGATGAAGTACTTACTCAGGAAAATTCTACAGTATTCATTGGACCAGTCTGCTTCACCTACTGTTACCCACAATGCAAAGTGCCTGGACAGACGGCAGAATAGCGCAGGTTAGCAAAACTTTTAGCAGAGGGTTCATTTTCTAAGAGCACAGCTAAAAGGTTTGTCCTTCTGACAGCCTGTCTTCTTCTCCTCTTTCTTTATGTGTGAAAACCACTGACAAGAATGTTTTGTTGTCATACCGTACAGTTTTTATCCTCGATTTCCATCGCCTCAAATTTTCCGCCTTCTCCTCATCCTTTATACTGTATGGTACGCCTTATGTTTACCACGCACAGCGCGGTCCATCAGCGATGTTTCCATCACACAGCTGGACAGGCAGCTGGTATTAGAGGGGGTCTAAAGCTTTAATGAACAAAGGTGAGTAAACGTTAAAGCAGTGAGACTCAATCACCAGACAAGACGATAAACTGACAGGAGTTTGGATTAGAGGGTTTTTACTGGACTAAACTATCAAAGAGAAATAAGACCACACCACGCAGCTGCCATCAGATAACGTGTTTAGCGAGGATTGTAACTGATGAGAATCAAGTGACACCAGATCACTGACGAGTCATTGCAGAGACAGAACACGTTTTGATGGTACTGGGCTAAAAAATCTAGAAAAAATCAAATGAAAACACAGAAAAGATTTTTTTTCAGTGTGTAAATGAACGGACAACTCTGTAGTGTCATTGTAATTTACCAGAGTACGATGGACTTTTTTATACTGGGACCAGTTAAACCAGACCAACCATACAACAGAATAACTGCCGACTTACAGTCATACTGAATACTACTATAGAACACAGTACTCAGTATAAAGTATCTACTGAATACTACTATAGAACACAGTACTCAGTATAAAGTATCTACTGAATACTGCTATCAAACACAGTACTCAGTATGAAGTATCTACTGAATACTACTATCAAACACAGTACTCAGTATGAAGTATCTACTGAATACTACTATAGAACACAGTACTCAGTATGAAGTATCTACTGAATACTACTATAGAACACAGTACTCAGTATGAAGTATCTACTGTATACTACTATCAAACACAGTACTCAGTATAAAGTATCTACTGAATACTACTATCAAACACAGTACTCAGTATGAAGTATCTACTGAATACTACTATAGAACACAGTACTCAGTATGAAGTATCTACTGAATACTACTATAGAACACAGTACTCAGTATAAAGTATCTACTGAATACTGCTATCAAACACAGTACTCAGTATGCAGTATCTACTGAATACTACTATCAAACACAGTACTCAGTATGAAGTATCTACTGAATACTACTATAGAACACAGTACTCAGTATAAAGTATCTACTGAATACTGCTATCAAACACAGTACTCAGTATGAAGTATCTACTGTATACTACTATAGAACACAGTACTCAGTATAAAGTATCTACTGAATACTACTATAGAACACAGTACTCAGTATAAAGTATCTACTGAATACTACTATCAAACACAGTACTCAGTATGAAGTATCTACTGAATACTACTATAGAACACAGTACTCAGTATAAAGTATCTACTGAATACTGCTATCAAACACAGTACTCAGTATGAAGTATCTACTGTATACTACTATAGAACACAGTACTCAGTATAAAGTATCTACTGTATACTACTATCAAACACAGTACTCAGTATGAAGTATCTACTGAATACTACTATCAAACACAGTACTCAGTATGAAGTATCTACTGAATACTACTATAGAACACAGTACTCAGTATGAAGTATCTACTGAATACTACTATCAAACACAGTACTCAGTATGAAGTATCTACTGAATACTACTATAGAACACAGTACTCAGTATGAAGTATCTACTGAATACTACTATAGAACACAGTACTCAGTATGAAGTATCTACTGTATACTACTATCAAACACAGTACTCAGTATGCAGTATCTACTGAATACTACTATAGAACACAGTACTCAGTATAAAGTATCTACTGAATACTACTATCAAACACAGTACTCAGTATGCAGTATCTACTGAATACTACTATCAAACACAGTACTCAGTATGAAGTATCTACTGAATACTACTATAGAACACAGTACTCAGTATGAAGTATCTACTGTATACTACTATCAAACACAGTACTCAGTATGAAGTATCTACTGAATACTACTATCAAACACAGTACTCAGTATGCAGTATCTACTGAATACTACTATCAAACACAGTACTCAGTATGAAGTATCTACTGAATACTACTATAGAACACAGTACTCAGTATAAAGTATCTACTGAATACTGCTATCAAACACAGTACTCAGTATGAAGTATCTACTGTATACTACTATAGAACACAGTACTCAGTATAAAGTATCTACTGAATACTACTATAGAACACAGTACTCAGTATAAAGTATCTACTGAATACTACTATCAAACACAGTACTCAGTATGAAGTATCTACTGAATACTACTATAGAACACAGTACTCAGTATAAAGTATCTACTGAATACTGCTATCAAACACAGTACTCAGTATGAAGTATCTACTGTATACTACTATAGAACACAGTACTCAGTATGCAGTATCTACTGAATACTACTATAGAACACAGTACTCAGTATAAAGTATCTACTGAATACTACTATCAAACACAGTACTCAGTATGAAGTATCTACTGTATACTACTATCAAACACAGTACTCAGTATAAAGTATCTACTGAATACTACTATCAAACACAGTACTCAGTATGAAGTATCTACTGAATACTACTATCAAACACAGTACTCAGTATGAAGTATCTACTGTATACTACTATAGAACACAGTACTCAGTATGCAGTATCTACTGAATACTACTATAGAACACAGTACTCAGTATGAAGTATCTACTGTATACTACTATCAAACACAGTACTCAGTATAAAGTATCTACTGAATACTACTATCAAACACAGTACTCAGTATGCAGTATCTACTGAATACTACTATCAAACACAGTACTCAGTATGAAGTATCTACTGAATACTACTATAGAACACAGTACTCAGTATAAAGTATCTACTGAATACTGCTATCAAACACAGTACTCAGTATGAAGTATCTACTGTATACTACTATAGAACACAGTACTCAGTATAAAGTATCTACTGAATACTACTATAGAACACAGTACTCAGTATAAAGTATCTACTGAATACTACTATCAAACACAGTACTCAGTATGAAGTATCTACTGAATACTGCTATCAAACACAGTACTCAGTATGAAGTATCTACTGTATACTACTATAGAACACAGTACTCAGTATGCAGTATCTACTGAATACTGCTATCAAACACAGTACTCAGTATGAAGTATCTACTGTATACTACTATCAAACCAGTGGCGATTGCTCTAAGACTACAAGGGAAGCTCAGCTTCCCTTAAAATGTCACCCCCCCAAAAAAAAGAAAAAGTGGTGAAATACGTTCTGCTGTGTGTACATTTCATTAACTAAATACGCACTAGAAAGCCTTCATCTTTTGTTCAGACACTGTGATAAGAAGCTGATAATCACAGGTAACCGGCATAACTTCGTTCTCATTCATCCTCGCAGCGCCTCAGTGCTTCACACAGCCGGACGCTCAGCGTCTTCTGACTTCAATGTGGAAGCTCAAAGTGGGTTGTTCCAGCAGCGAAACTAGACGCTCATTGGATAAATGCTGGGCTTTGACGAGAGGGCGGTCCCAACTTTCTTGGGGACGCTCAGCTTCTGCATCCATGATGGGATGAGCTGTCTGAGGCGAAAATCCTTTTTTGATTGACAGCTAAACAAGCGAATCAGCGATCTTGAAGGATAAAACATCTACCAGAGTATTTTCCAAGTTATTCATTCTGTTGTTCTTAACTGCTCCGGAGACTTTACCGATCCTCAGCGACTTTTGTCTTTGTTAAAAACGACTGCCGTTGTGTTTGGCGACTCTGTTCTGTTACATACAAATAAACAAATACAATTATGATGTAGGCCAGAAAAATGAGCTTCCCCTCCTTGAAAGACCAGCAGCCTACACTGTATCAAACACAGTACTCACTATGAAGTACTGAATACTGCAGTAGGCCAATTCAAAAACAGCCTGTCTGTTTTTAAAGGGGAGCAGAGAGGGGGCTTAAAGGAGCATTTCACCATTTTTTAAAGTCAAAGTACCTGTAAAAACATGGAGCTCTTTTAGAGATGTTTCTCTTCAGCTCATCTCTGAACTTCTTGTCTTTCTGTGAAAAATGAGAACAAGTGAATCTGATATTAGCAGGGCTCTCAAGTCTCACACATTGGGCGTGTGACATACGCATTCCCACGCCACACATTGTATTTCTCACGCATTTAAATTACTACGGTGACGTCCACCAAATTGCACCTCTTAAACAACGGAACAGGTAGGAATCAAGTCAGTTTTCCCAAGAGTTCAGAAGCTGTGTGCCACGCGCAAGCCAATCAAATAAAGAATATCCACCAAACAGCCAATCAAAACGTAGCAATGCTGTATCCGGGTAGATTTTAAAGACGGACACTCGTCGAAATGGAGCAAGTTTCATAAGGACAAGAAAGACCCAATGATTACAGTAAGTTGTTAACCTCCATATACAGGCTTCAACACCTCATGGCAAATAGACTCATATGATAAATTAAAGCCTTATGTAATTGCTATTGACAGATGTATTGATGGATTTAGCCTCCGTACAGCCATTTCCAGCCATTTTCCTCCAAGTCCACCTGTTTTTTTTCTGTGGAGAAGATGCATTTCTCATATTTTTTTTCAAGTTCTGATACTCATGACAATGTGATGCTGATGTGCCAAAGGATTAAGTATCTCCATGTTTGCGAAACCTATACTGAAGTAGAATTCATCTGAATGCTCCACAGCCCTAATTTTAACAACTCTCCTCCACAACAGGTAACTTTACTGTCATAAATTAATGACTTTGGACTCGTTAGTTATGACTTTATTCTCATGAATAATGACTTAAGTCTCGAAGTCTTCATTTTTTTTTTTCTTAACGTGGCCCTTATACTCCATTGTATTTATTGGATTATTATACTAATACATTATATTCAATCACTCCTCACCCTTGCCCTCACTCCAAGCCTAGTTCAAAACTTGAGAGCCCTGTATTAGTGACGATAAAACATCTATTTTAGGAGGTTCTTTCGGGACAAACAGGAGAATCAAACCTCGAGTGTGTAAATCTTCAGAGCAGAGGATGATGGGCAGGGAGACATAAATCTTCAGACTCTGAAATTATGATTCATTTTTTCTTTAGTTTTTTAAAAGTCTGACTCAGTTTAAAGGAAAGGCTTTAAAAAGAATGAATAAATGAGTTTGTGGTGAAAACAGAATGAGTGGATGAGCTGAAACACACGAATGATCAAAGTCAGGAGATCTTCAGGTCCCTCAGTGTGGTCTTCTTTCGAGTCAGAGACCCTGTTTCAGGTTTAAGGACTGATCCAGGTTCAGGTTTGGTCCTGGTCTGCTGAGGCTCAGTGGTAGAGTTTCCTTGGGCAAGACACTTGAGACACCGATAACAAACAGCCTGATTGATCAGTATTAGAATAATAACAATAATCATTATTATCATTGTTACAATCCAGCTCGAGAAGGGAAAGGACGTAACGTAAACCCCGGTTTAGTTGTTGGAAAAAATTGATGTTTAATTGCAAAATAAATAAGGAATACTGCTCAAAGAAACAAAAAAAAGCAATAAAAAGCGACTCTAAACTAGAGTGAGAAACCAAAACTGCTTAATCAAATTAACTCAACTAGCAGTTTAAACAATCGAAGGGTGAGCAGCACCCTAATCCTTTACAAGACGATAAAAAAAAAAAAAAAAGAAATATACAATGTCGCCTCCACAGCAGTTAACACACACGGATCTCCCTAACAAAATGTCTGAATGAATAAATGCGAGTGTCTGCCCCCGAGCACTCCAATCAGCAGCCTCTTCAATAGTCCACTCCCCTCCAATCGGTCCTGCCGATCCAGCCCATTATCCACACACACACACACACACACACACACACTACCAAACATGGTAAAAGGCCACACCGGTGGCCGCCCTGAGAGAAGGGACACAGCTGCAGCTGTAACAATCATGTTGAGTTTGTTCATGATAATTCAGCTGATCGGATCTCGTTCAGGCCTGGACTGACAGGTGGACCTGTAGAGACCTGGGGCCTCATTTATAAAGCTTGCTTACGCACAAAACCTGGCTTGAAAGTGCTTACGCCACTTCTTACGCAACAGTTAGGATTTATTAAAAAAAAACTAGTGTAGGAATGTGCGCAACTTTAAGCAAACTCCACACCTCGCTTACGCACTTTTTGGAGACAATCGGAGCAAGGTAAGAACAATTGGTTAATGGAAAGCGCGCGTATAAAAAGCCATACAGTGACAGTCGTGCGCAATGGAGCACAAGTTTGAAGTTTTATTTGTCACATACCTAAATGTACAGGTACAGTGGCAGTGAAATGAAAGTGACGTCTGCGATTGTGCCAAAAAAACAGAATAATAATAATGTAAAGTCTGTTCAGAGGGTGTTGTGAAGTCAGTTATGGGGTGTGTGTTATGAGGAGTTCAGGATCCGAGTGGCCTGGGGGGAGAAGCTCCTTTTCAGCCTCTCAGTCCTGGCTCTGATGGAGCGAAGCCTCTTACCCGAGGGCAGCCGCTCAAACAGTCTGTGGTTGGGATGGTGAGTGTTTGATAATTCGTCTTGCCCTGGACCTGCACCGCTGGGTGTCGATGTCCTGGAGGCCGGGCAGTGCAGTCCGGGTGATGCGTTCAGCACAACGGATGACTCGATGCAGCCTTTCTGTCCTGAGAGCTGCAGCTGCCGTACCAGGCAGTGATGCTCGCAGAAAGCGCAGACCCCACTGTGGCGGTGTAGATAGTTTGCCAATTTGAATTTACAAATGTGCAAAAAAAACTAATTCCATCTACATGCATTTGTTTTAAGATTAATATGACTAAATCTTTTTGGTTTACGAACTTTCACCACATGAGCAGCGGTGGATAACGGAGCAGTTTTTTTTTTTTTTAACACATGCACGAGTGTCACACGTGCTTGTGTTTTCTGATCCTCACCTGTCGCCGCCACGCTCCGACGGTGCAAAGCCACTTTTTTCTTTGCCTCCACCTTTAGATCAGACCACTTCTTCTTGATTTCGGCAACGCTGCGCTCAGTGCCAGCCGCACTTACCGCCATGGCAACGGCGTGCCATTCGGTGGCTTTTCTTTTATTGGTGATGCCACTCGAATGGCCGCGGAGGTCTCCCGTCTCGCCGCCACCTCATTTACAAGAACCTCCACCTCTGCCTCTGAAAAGTTTCTTTTTCTACGACTTGCTGATGCCATGATTAAGCGTGAAATGCCGTGGATCCATCAGGCTTATTTATATGCAAATCACATTCATGAGGTAATTTGCATGACCATACATGGTGAATTTTGGGTGTGGAGAGGGCGGGGCATGAATCAAATCCCTGCTGAGCAACTTTCCAGCTGGTCTGTGATTTATAAAGGGAAAGTGCGTGCAGGTGTGCGTAGGCAGGGTTTTATAAATCAGATTTTTTTTTGCCTACGCACTTTTCAGCTTTTCGACTCACGTACACTGTTAGTATGGATCCTACGCCAGGTTTTATAAATGAGGCCCCTGGTTTCTGATGTTACCTGAACTCTGCAGGACTCTGATTGGCTGATTGGATCCACCTGCTGCTGATGAGCGGCTGATTAGACCAGCTCAAGTAAGAGGACTGTGGACTCCTCCAGACCAGAGAAAACAGTCCAGTTTATCTGGATCAGTTAAACCAGACGGGTTTATCAGGATTCTTGAAGTCCAGGTTCAGGTCAGTGAGACTCAGGTTCAGCTCTGAGTCCAGATTTTAAAGTCCTGCTCTGATGTGTTTTTTTAATCTCTAAAATGTTCTCAGTGCCTTAAATTATGAAGTTTTTAGTCAAAATCTTGTTACTTTTGTCATTTTTAAGGACTTTTCTTCTGCAGCAGCTCATTAGTAATTCACCTCTGAGTCCTGGGCGGAGTCAGCGCTGCCCTCTACATTCCTCGTCATGTTAGCTTGTAGTCGAATGTTGTTGGTGTCAGGAGACATGGAATCAACTTCCACAGCTATGCTGATGATACACCGCTCTACATCTCTGTGTCTCCTGATGACACCAGGCCAATGGATGCTCTTTTTAACTGCATTTAATATATCAAATCCTGGATGGCAGAGAACTTTCTCCAGCTTAACCAGAACAAAACTGAGGTTTTAGTCATCGGTCCTGAGGCCCAGAGAGAGAAGCACTGTCTCTTAATCCATCACTGCAAGTGAGAAACCTGGGTGTGATTTTTGACTCTGAGCTGACTTTTAGTCCACACATTAAGAACATAACAAAAATCGTTTTTTATCCCCTGAAGAACATCTCCAGAGTCTGTCCCATTCTCTCTCGGACCAACAAGGAGATGCTAATGCTAATGCTTTTATCACCTGTCGTATAGAATAGTATAACGTTTTCTGGTCTTCCCCAAAAGAATATTTCAGGTCTACAATTATTACAGAAATTCAGCGGCACATGTCCTAACTAAGACCAGGAGGTGGGCCCACATTACACTGGTTTTAGAATCACTGCGTTGGCTCCCCATGTGTTTTAGGATTGATTTTTTAGGTTCTTTTATTTGTTTTTCAATGTCTTAATGGTCTTGGGCCTTCTTATCTTTCAGAACTGTTTTTACCTTATGAACCTTCACCGACCATGGGCTCCTCTGGCAGCAGGCTCCAGACCCACCTTTTTAGCTTTTAATTGATATTTGTTAGATCTTCATTTATTCTAGTCAGCCTGTGTTTATTTTAGGTCTGTGTCTTATTCATATTTTAGTTTTTATCCTTTTATCATTTTTAGTACCCCCAGTGTTTCCTCTGAGGGAGCCCTCCGCACCAGAAGCAGTGGTCGCTTGTGGTTGCAGGGGCCGGCCACGGGGTTTCTGGTGGAGGTTGCTGTCTGACAGATCCCTCCACTGGTCCTATGTTGGTGTCCTGTGGCTGCTGGCGGCTCTCTGCTCCTGGTGCTGACGGCTCCTCTGATGGCACTTCTGAACTCAGCCTCATGTCCATTCTCTTGGTGTGTGGGTGTGTGGGTGTGTGGGTGTGTGGGTGGGGGGGGTGGGGTGTGTAAGTCTTTATGGACATGAGTTAAAGTCATAAACTTTCTTATGAGCGTTAAAATGCACACAGCGGCTGTGTCCGAAATGGCCTACTACTCCTACTACTCCTACTAACCCCGCCTCTGAATTGAGTAGGCAGTGCGTTCACACTGTACAGTATGTGAATTTTGTGTATGCGAGAAATGCCCGGATGTATACTCAATCGGCTTCGATTTCTGAGTGTGGAACGGAGCTTGCTTCACGTACTGCTTCTGCCCCACAATGCATTGCGCACCTCAGCTGGTAATATGGCCCTCTTTCCCGAGGCTGAAAAGAAATAGATGGCATGTGATTGCAATAATAATTATATATATAAATAGATAAACAATATTTAGTCAGTCTATATTACACAATTTTTATCATTTTATCATATTTTGATCTTTTTACCAGATTTATTTGTATTTTAAATTAGGATTATAGGTAATGTTTTTAACTGTTCGTATGAATTGACTTTATTTATTTAAGTGTCTATTAAAGATGTATTTATTACATCAAGTTTGAGCATCTTCTCATCTCTGAATGCATCATCAAAGTGGTCGCTCATATTAAGCACAGACCTCTGATTAATAAAAATTATTATTGGTAGAGAGCACATGGTTCAGAATATACAAACGGGGGAGTTTCCAGTTGACAATGTATGTGAGCTTTACTAATTCTTACTTGTGGTTGAAAATCTGATGGTTTCTGAAATTATCATTGTACATGAAAAGAATGTAGTCGGGAAATGATGTATTTGCCAAGGAATAACCGAACGAGGTCATAATAATTATGTTGTGTGTTGGTCATTTTGCAGCCCTCTGCTGCTCATCACACGCCTAGCAGGTGGTGTATAGCATTATCACCATGGATACACAGATGTTTGTGTGATTTTTGTCATCCACTGCCGCCCGGTTTGTGTCGTGTAGATGTTGATTATGAAAACACTTCTCAATAATTTGGAAACGTGAAGGGGGAGCTGCTGCTGCCCGGTGTTTACGGTAAATAGACGCAAACACCCACCAAGCGGACGCTTCGGTCTCCGAAAACGCCGAGACAAATTTACAAACAGCCACTATTTCAAACAACTGGGCTCATAATCGTGATGTAAACACTTACTTTCTCGCTAGAAAAAATATTATTATTGAATGAATTTATATCATTTGTCCAGAATGCAGTCGTTCTGTGTGGCTTGTGGTAGGACTATTTAAATTTTCCCGGCGCTGCATCCGGCCGGCACGAAATGCATTCTGGGGTATGTAGTATGTATGTGTTTGTAAACGCTCGGGCAGCCGCGGCATACTCAAATCATCTTTGAGTAGTCAGTAGGCAGTAGCTACTGCTTGAGTAGGTAAGTAGATAGTAGGCAGTATGTCATTTCGGACACAGCCAGCCTCTGACTGTGTCTGATTCTGCTGCTCAGGTCTGAGAGAGTTTAGAGATAATTTCTAATTTCTCCTCCAGCATCAGAAAAGAGATCTATGAATCTAGAGCTGTGAAGATCGGACCGGGTCTATAAAGGGATGACATCAGTTCTGGTCCCAAAGGATCTGATAAGTCCAGTCAGAGATCAGGACAGGAAGTGATGTCATACTGAACCTTTGCCTGGGAACTCCGAGGTTCTGGTTCTGCAGTTTCATGGGTCCATGTTGGTGTCTGTGGGCCTCCATTTGGGTTTTAGAGGTTCCGCTCTGGTTCTTACCCGGTTCCTGTCCCCAGCAGGTCCCATCATGTCATCTCTGAGGTCTCTGGTTCTGACCCCCGAGAGGATCCCGAGTTTTTTCGTCCCGTCTCGCAGTCCGCTCCTCTCCCCACGCCCTCGCCGGATCTCCCCGGACCGGACCAGACTCCTGTCGGACCATGTCGAGGAGAGTCCTGAATCCCGCCCCCACAGTGACGCTCAGTCCCGTGGCACTCTTCTTCTGCCCACGCCCCGGGTCAGAAGGCCCCGCCCATCTGCTGCTGAGTCTACAGACGTGGACCTGACCACACGCGCTGCCCTGTCGCTGCCACACGTGGGGAAGATGACCACGCCCTACGGTTTCAGTGCCGCGCTGGCTGCCAGTCCCTGCACCAGCCGGCGAGAGTCCCTGTTTCACCGCCGCAGCAAACTGGTGACAGTGACAGTAACGGACAGCGACCCGCATAAAGCAGAAGCTGAGGCCCCGCCCCCTTCTCCTGTGGGCACCAGCAGGTCCCGGGTCAGGGCATTCGGTCTGCAGGTCATAGAGGAGCTGAAGAGACCTGCAGCCATCCTGAAGGCTCTAAGCCCCGCCCAAAGGAGGTGACGCACCTGTCAGGTGGAGCTCTGTGTGAAGACCAAAGACTGTTGTGTTTTCATTATTTTAATAAAGTTTAATTTAAATAATAAAGTTTAATTTGAATAATAAAGTTTAATTTGAATATATCATAAGATTTAATAAAATGCTAATTAAGCATTTCCACTTATTGTTATTTCCTATTTCTTTGTTATTACTGAGTGGGATTGCAAAGCACTCCCACTGTATGTCATTCATATCTTTATTAAACCTATGGTCTACGATCTGAAAACCAGTTTGGCTGTTGAGACAGATTTGAAAAACCCAGCCTGCCCCCCCTTCACTCACCCCTCCCCTCCGATGGAGCGAGAAGCCAGCCGGCAGAAAATATCAGCTGCAAAGCTAGCTTCAAAAACAACTCAGGATGTCTGGGTGGGATTCACGGTATGGTTAAAACGTTTTATCCGTGCTTTTATCAATGCAGGCCTTGATTGGAAGCCGTGCGGTTCTAGGCACGGGCGAACAGGGCAGCCGCTCGGGGCGGCATTTGTGTCATGACTCATGGGGGGCGGCACGAGAAAGATAATAATAAATCTGTTTTGTATTAACTCTTGTCAAATTGGTGCCCCCTGCTGCTGTAGGCGCCCCTGCTTGCTGCGAAGGTCAGAGGCTGACAGACTGTAGGAGACGAGGCGAGGAGAGGGTCACGGGGGACAGCTCTGCTCTCAGGATTGCTCTCACTCTAACAGTCACAGTAGCTCAAGCAGAGCGGAGTTTCTCAAAACCGAAGATGATAAAGTCGTACCTAAGGTCAACCATGTCTCAGGAACGGCTCACTGGCCTTGTCGTCATCAGCATCAATCACTTAACCCATTTAAACTGGGACAGTATGTCCGCATATCAGCCTTCCAAGCCGAGAGCACGGAGACGCCATTTTGTAACATTCTGTAGTTTTTTAATCATTTCTGGAGTCGCGGTGAATCAAATCATCATACCCGTCTGCCTCTGATAGGCTAATAAAGCGCTCGGATTCATGCTCAGATCTTGCTACGTGCGTCGAGAGGAAAGTAAACAATGACAGAGGCAGGGAGCAGCTATGGAGGAGAAACATCCAGCAGTGTGAACAACCTCTTCATACTGAGTTCTTTGGCTCACACTATCGACGATTTCTGTGAGTGTTGCATGACTTTGGGTGAGCACAGACATGAACACACTGTCAGCCGCTCATTTATTTATTTATTTATTTTTTAGTTCTGCTTTTGTACTGGCACTATACTGGGGCAGCTGTTTACCCTTTCAACACCTTATTTTCTATATTTACATTTGTATTGAATGGACACTTTATCATGACTGACACTTGTTTTACAGAAAGCAAATAGTTAGTCATTCTCCAGTGCAGAGCCTTTACTTTTATTCGTACAGCCGCTTTATTTCATTTAAGTTTGTTTGTTCAAGGTTTTCAAAAATGCGTTGAAAGTTTGGACAAATAAAAGATTAATTTTGTTTCTATCTACTGCAGAGGCTGAGATATCAGCTTTTTTGTAAACCTAAACACTTCAGAAAACTTCTGGATCTGGGGGCCCTTCTTAAATCAAATCAAATCAAACTTTATTTATATAACACCTTTCATGCAAGCTGCAACACAAGGTGCTTTACAAAAAGATAAAAACAAACAACGGTAAATATAAGGCAATTAAATAGGCATAAAACCTGCCCTTCCCACCCACACACACACATACAGGCGTGCACAGCAGCCCCCCCCACACACACACATACACGCACACACTAACTGTCAGTAAAAAAACGGCAAGGCACTGAGGATCCTGGTAAGGAAAGACCACCTATGGGAGCCGTCCACACCGAGAGGAGCCACAGCCCACCCCCACAAGGAGCACCGCCCCCGAGACCTCCCGACCATAGACTGTATAAAAGATGGACAGAGTCTGCCTCCTCGCTGGGTGAAACCACTCCGAGAACAGCACCCTCTGATGGTGGGCTGCAGTACAGGTCATAAATCCCGCCTCCACCAGCAAAACTTATGGAGCTGTGGACAAACTTTAGAAATGTATTACACAGAACATAAATGTTTCTCCCCCCTGGTTGTGATGTTGACATGTAGTTACTGTCAGACTGGTTTGTGCCCAAGTCCTTTTTTTTTTCTGTACAGCTCCGTTTTTAAAAGTTATTAGGGGGTTCATGTTTTCTATGATTGACACCTGGTACAGCCTATGGGCGTTCAGGGATTGCGTAGCTCTTCCGGGGGGATACGCTGTTTGAGCCGAGCGTCATCACAGGGATTCTCGGCAACTGCGCGGCCGAATGCACACAACGCTACTGCGCAGCTCTGGTTTCAAGGAAGTGGAGAAAAACCCGGAATTACCGAGAGCTTTTTGGCTTCAAATCTGTATACAGGCGGAAGGCGGAACCACGGCGTCCATCTTATATACAGTCAGTATGCTCCCAACCCAGACAGCCCGGGTGCACCCCGCACAAAGTGCAGAGCCCCCTAACCGTCCGGGCCTGGACGATCCCAAGGACCACGCCCCCCGGGGGCGGACCAGACACACCTCCCAGTGTGGAGGGCCCCCACGAGGAAACACTGGAGCTAAAAAGACTAAGCGATAGTAGAGTACAGGAATTAAAATAATGTTAAAATATCTAAATGACATAAAAATGTGATAAAAGTAAATGATAAAATAAACTAAAACTAAATTAAAATAATGTTAAAATATCTAAATGACATAAAAATGTGATAAAAGTAAAGGATAAAATAAACTCAAACAGTTAAATCAGCTAAAAGCTAAATTAAAAAGGTGGGTCTTGAGCCTCCTTTTAAAAACATCAACAGTCTCTGCGGTCCTGATGCTCTCTGGCAGGCTGTTCCATAACTTTGGGCCATAATGGCTGAAGGCAGCCTCTCCGTGAGTTTTGGTTTTTGTCCTAGGAACAACTAAAAGGCCGGCGCCAGAGGACCTCAGGGTACGCGAGGGTTGATAAGATAAAAGCAGTTCAGTTAAATAAGATGGGCCAAGACCGTTAAGACACTTAAAAACTACTAAAAGAACCTTGAAATCGATCCTGAAACACATGGGGAGCCAATGCAGGGATTTTAAAACCGGTGAAATGTGCTCCCAACCTCTGGTCCTCGTCAGCACACGTGCTGCAGAATTTTGTAGCAGTTGTAGCATGTGAGTGGTCTTTTTGGGAAGACCAGAGAGCAGGGCATTACAGTAATCTAGACGACTAGAAATAAAAGCATGCATCAGCACCTCCGTGTTGGCCTGAGAGAGAAACGGGCGGACTCTGGCTATATTCTTAAGATGGTACAAAACCTATCTTTGTTATGTTCTTGATATGTGGAATAAAATTCAGCTCAGAGTCAAAAACAGATTGAGCAGGTTTAAAATCTTGTAGTTTTGGTAAAAGTTTCTCTCTCTTGCCTTCAGGACCAATAATTAAAACTTCAGTTTTGTCCTGGTTGAGCTGTAGGAAATTCTCTGCCATCCATGACTTGATATCTAAAATGCAGTTAAAAAGGGCATCAATAGGCCCTGTGTCCTCAGGAGACACGGCGATGTACAACTGTGTATCGTCAGCGTAACTATGGAAGCTGATGCCGTGTCTCCTGATGACGTCCCCAAGGGGCAGCATATAGAGATTGAAAAGTATTGGACCTAAAATTGACCCTTGGGCCACCCCACACTTAATTTCATGAGTTTTTGAGGAACAGGTATCCATACTTACAAAGAAGGATCGTTCCGAGAGATACGGACTGAACCAGTTAAAAACAGTACCGGAGAGGCCCACCAGGTGCCTGAGTCTGCTTAATAAAATCTGGTGATCTACTGTGTCAATGGCAGCGCTTAGATCCAGTAGTACCAGAACTGTGAGTTTCTGTTTATCAGCATTACACCTGATATCATTTAAAATCTTTAAAAGGGCTGTCTCGGTACTGTGGTTCATCCTAAAACCGGATTGATACTTCTCTAAAATATTATTACCTTTTAAGAAATAATTTACTTGGTTAAAAACCAGTCTTTCTAAGATTTTACTTAAAAACGGTAAGTTGGATAAGGGTAGATAATTATTAAGAACATCAGTATCCAAATTTCTCTTCTTCAGAAGGGGCCTCACCACCGCCGTTTTAAGGGCAGTGGGGAAGACCCCTGTCTGAAGAGAGCAATTTACTATGGTTAAAATCTGTTCCTCAAAAAATTCGTAAAATGTTTTTAAAAATGATGTGGGAATCGGATCTAAAAGGCAGGTTGTTGGGTTTGCTTGGGAGAAAACTCGACCAAGTGTCCTTGCGTCAACCAGGGCAAAACTCTCCAGTGTTTCCTCAGGTAAAATCAGCTGTTCAGATGTGTTGGAAATCACATTCTGATGAGTTAAAAGACTGGATCTGATATCATCAATTTTGCTCCCGAAGTGGTCTGCAAAGTCCTCACAGAGGGCGTCTGTGGGGGTCTTAAAAGATTTTTTAAAATGGGAGTTTGTTAAGAGGTCGATGGTGGAAAGGAGGAATTTGGAATTGTTTTTATGGTCTGTGATGAGTTTTGAGAAGTGGGCTGTTCTTGCCTTTTTTACTGCATTGTTGTATTTTTTGAGTGAGTCCTGTAGTATTTCGAGGTGAACTGTTAATTTGGTTTTTCTCCATTTGCGTTCGGCACTCCTGCATTTTCTCTTTGTGTTTCTGATTTCGTTGTTTTTTCTCCATGGGGGTAAGGGTTTTGTTTTAATAGTTTTAATTACGGGTGGAGCCACTGTGTCCAATGTGGTTTTTAATGTTCTGTTAAAATGGTCCACAATAAAATCGCATGGTGCAGGTAAAATTGCGGCAGGAGTGCTCTGTAAACTTCTCACTTACCTGTGTTTTAAGACTATTTTCTTCTTCATACAAATTTTGTGCAATTTCATAAATTTTTTTCTGCCTCTTTCAGCATGAATGCAATTTCATTTTATGTACATTATTCATACTTTTTGTATTTCAACAATTTTCACATTAATTCAACTTGTACTTCTTCCTCTTCTCCACTCCTTTAACAGTTTTTACAATTATACCTTCCTGCTTTTTTTAGGAGTTATGCATTGCTTTTTCAGCACTCAGCATTTTCTGCAAGGAAATGCAATTTTACAATTTGAATATTTAAAAAAGTTGAATAAAGTTTATTTAGAATATTTAATAAAGTTTAATTTGTATAGAAAATAAAGTTTTATTTGATTATTTGATAAAGTCTAATTGTAATATTTAATCAAGTTAAATTAAGTTTAATTTGAATATTTAATAAATGTTAATGTAGTTTAATTGGAATATTTAATGACGTTTAATTAAGTTTAATTAGTATATTTAATAAAGTTAAATTTTATATTAAATCAAGTCTAATTTGATTATTTAATAAAGTTTTATTTTATTATTAAAAAATATATAACTTGATTATTTAATAAAGTTTAATTTGAATATTTAATAAAATTTAATTTGAATATTAAATTAAGTTAAATTTAATATTAAATCAAATCTAACTTGATTATTTAATAAAGTTTAATTTGAATATTAAGGACACTTTAACTTGATTATTAAATAAAGTTTAATTTGAATATTAAATAAAGTTTAATTTGAATATAAAATAAAAAGTTTTATTTTATTATTTAATAAAGTCTAATTAGAATATTTAATCAAGTTTAATAAAGTTTAATTAGAATATTTAATCAAGTTAATCAGAACATTTAATAAAGTTTGATTGAAAGATACATCATGAGATGCAACTGGGACACATCATCAGTGATGTTCCTGAGTTCATCGAACGTTTCGGGTCTTTCAACATCATACGTCCTCCCTCAGGTGACCCAGCCTAGGGTTGATCAGACCCTGGCTTGTGTCCCAGTAGCAATGGCCCACAGTTCGCTCCTCCTGATCCACAGCCACCTGGAGGCTCTCTCTGCCGCCTCCATGGTGGACTTGATGGCTGACCTTTTTGCAGCCCCGGTGATGCCAAGTAGCGAGTAAACCTTGCACAATGAGCGGCCAGCAAAGCCCCTGCACCCCACTTCAATGGGTTCGCACCGTGCCTTCCACCCTCCTCTTTGGCATTGCTCGACCAGCTCCTGGTACTTTGACCGCTTCCGCTCGTTTGCCTCCTCTATGCGATCCTCCCAGGGAACTTCAGTTCTAACAGGAGCACCTGCCTTGAAGAGACTGACGATAGCACGATGTCTGGCCTCAGGGAAGTTGTTGTGATCTGGTCTGGAAACTTGAGCTGCTTGCCAAGGTCAACTCTGAGATCCCAGTCCACCGCTGAGGTGAGGAGGCCAGCTGCTAGTTTGGGCTGTGACTGTGGCTGCTCTCCAGCCCTGACAAATGCGATGTTCCTGTTGCCAGGTTGTTGCTTGCGGCTGTTGTTTTTGGCCACGGCTTTGGAGATAGTTTCAGCAACAGACTTCAGCACCTGGTCGTGCCGCCAGCGGTAACGACCCTCCCCAAGGGCTATCGAACAGCTGCTTAGGATGTGCTCCAGAGAGCCTTTCCTGGAGCACAGGGCACAGAATGGAGAGTCGCCCAGACCCCAGAGATGGAGATTGGCTGGGCTGGGCAGGACATCGTAGACAGCACGAACCATGAACCCTATGCGCTGCGGTTCTGCCTGCCAGATCTCAGATCAGGTCACCTTCCTCTCCAGCGCACCCTCCCACCTTGTCCATGCTCCCTGCTGCTGCATGCCCACCATCCTGCTGGTCCGTTCCTCCTCGACCCCTATCCGCACCTCCCTCAGGACTAGCTGTCGTTTGTTTATTTAGAATATTAGATAAATGTTGATAAAGTTTCATGAGAATATTTAATTAAGTTCAATAAAGTTTAATTAGAATATTCAATTAAGTTTAATTTAATATTGAATCATGACTTACTTGATTATTTAATAAAGTTTAATTTGAATATTTAATAAAGTTTAATAAGAATGTTTATTAAAGTTTAATGAGAATATTTTATAAGTTAATCAGAACATTTAATAAAGTCTTTTTAGAATATTAGATAAATGTTAATAAAGTTTAATGAGAATATTTAATTAAGTTCAATAAAGTTTAATTAGAATATTCAATTAAGTTTAATTTAATATTGAATCAAGACTTAATTGATTATTTAATAAAGTTTAATTTGTATATTAAAAAAGGTTTAACTTGATTATTTAAAAAAGTTTTATTTGGATATTTAAGAAAGTTTAATTTTAATATTTAAGAAAGTTTAATTTTAATATTTAATTAAGTTTAATTTTAATATTTAATTAAGTTTAATTTGAATATTTAATAAAGTTTTATTTGAATATTTAATCAAGTTTTATTTGCATATTTAATTCTGGCTGTGTCCGAAATGAATCACTCAATCTCTAACCCCTAACCCCCATATGGGATTTCACTATAAAGTTAACTATGTAGTGAACTCAATCACTTGAGGTTTCCGACACTACATGGCATGAGGCAATGCATGAAATGATGGCCACCACCGGTGAGTGACCATCGGATGGTCGCTACATTTTGCAATGCTTTATGGGAAATTTTGGCAGAAATCGTTTATATCCGCAGAAGACGTCAGATATAAACGATTTCTGACGACTTTGCAGAGTCAACTGCAGAATTAACGGCGTTCTGAATGAATGGGGCTTTGAAAAATCCAGCAGCATGTGTTAGACGTCACCACTACACATGGACCAATCAGGGGCTGCCTTTCCCTGTTGTCCGGGTAACAGTGGAAACACGGTTTCTGATTGGCCCGGTTATTTCTGATCGGGAATACACGCTCTCTATGGGCCGAAGTCCAGACTGTGGCGGGAAGGAACATCAAGTGATTCACGCAACAGGATGGCCCAGCCAGGCTAGCTCTCCCGGGGATACGCTGTTGGAGCCGAGCGTCATCACAGCGACTCTCGGCGACTGCGCGCCCAAATGCACGCATTGCTACTGCAGCACTGGTTTTGCAGTTTATGATCTTACCCCACTCTCCCCTATTTGCAGTCTGATTTCTGTCCTTCTTTACTCTCTATCACACTGACCGGTGAGCTGGTTGTTCTGTCTCCTCTCTGACAGTAGGAGGCGATGATGCGTCTCTCAGCTGAGCGCTTCCCGCCTGAGCCGGAAGTAAGAAAATAGGGCTCGTGACGTAGACCCGGAAATGTAGTTTTTTGGAGCTCAGGAGTGTCTCCTCGTTGTGGCGGGTAAGTGCGTTTCTACGGTGAATATTTGTGTTTACCCGGGTAAAGAGAACTGGTACCGGGCCGGTACCAAAACTGTTAGACCAGAGAGTCAGAGCCCGGACCTGGACCCGGTCTGAGTCTGTTAACGGAGGGAGTTCATGCTAACGTTAGCATGCTAACCGGCTCAGGGTATTAGCATGCTAACGTTGGCATGCTAACATCAACGGAGACGAGGAAGAATAATCACAGAAGAGTTTAATTAACTTTAATAATAAAAGAAATCATATTGACTTTAATAACTGGGTTAAATTAACTTTATTAATAATATAAACAGCATTTATATTAATAAAACAGTAAAATTATATTCATTTATAATAGAAATGATACATATTTTAATAACAAATTCATGGAGTTTCTGGTTAATTCTCAGTTTATTTCTATGTTTTGGTTTCCTGATGACTTTATTAAATATAATTTGGCTTTATGATGATCTTAATATATCTATTATTGTTCTCAATGATAAAATAATCAGCTGAAAATGTCCCTGATTGAAAGTAAAGGGAGCTGATAATATAATAAAATCCGGGATTTCAGAAAACCACAAGACAGTTTTCCTCTAAGTCCACTTTAGATGGACTCAGGTCCAGAGAAGTCTTTAGTGGTTCTGGTTCTGGTTCTGTCTGGTCTCCTCTCTCATGGTCCAGTCTAGCAGATGCAGTGATGAACTGTGTTCACAGTCAATGGTTTTAAAGTGATTCTGAGTCCATGTGGTGATTTCCATTCCAGAGTCCTGTCTGTTTTTAATGCCCTGAAGATCAGGACCATCCAGTCCTGGTTCTGTTCCTTGTCCCCCTTTAGTACAGAGATTTAATGATCTGATCTCAGGGTTTCCCCTACATGCAATTGATCGTGGTGCACCGCCACGGCTAAATAAAAGCCGCCACATCTAAAAAAAATTAGTTTCTATCTCACATAGTTCTACCTCGGACTCATATCAGCAGTGTTTCCACTACATTCATTCAGTAGCGGCGCTGCTTGATTACGTGCGCCGCTACTGAAATTCCACATGATCATTAATATCAATGCGCCACTATGGATTCTACCCGCACTGTGTGAGTACAACAACACACAACGTTATTTTGGACTTGTTGTGAGTCATCAAAGAGCGCCTCTTCTATCAACGTGAAAGCTTATACACGTGCTGCGTCCGAATTGCCCGCTCGCATACTACATACTACTGCTATGCTGCATCCGAATTGCCAAGTAGTAGTCGAAGTAGTATGTAGCATGTCCGAATTGGCCACCGGAGCGAGTAGCATGCTATTTCAGATACTACTTCAGATACTAGACACGCCCACATTGTAGTATGGTTGCGGTGCATCCTACGGGCATGCTACTGACCCAAAATGCACCGCGGGCTTCTTCTTTGTCCTCTTAAAAGTTGTAGAAGCGCATGTGATGCTAGCACCACCAGCTGCTGCAGCAGCAGCGAATTGCCTGCTCGCATACTACATACGACTGCTACATACTACTGCTAGATCCTACTCCTACATACTGAACACGTTGGCCCAATTCTGACACACTAGACGAGCGGTGGGGAAAGACGACCCCCGCAGGCAGAGAGTAGGTACTGCACCCGTGCAGACAGTTTTAGACTCTTTGAATGGTAAATGTGCAAGTGATGGATGCTGCTGTATTCGGACATGCTACATACTACTTCGACTGCTACTTTGACTACTACTTGGCAGTTTGGACGCAGCCCTGGTCTGTATAGCGAGTAGCGCGGGTAACGTAACGTAAATGTAACAGCGTAGCTCCTGGAGCGGCAAGAGAGTGGGGGTAACAACGACCCCCCCAACACACAGACACACACCATTGCAGCTAAAAAAATTCGAGGGGAAGCACTGGATCTGTAGACGATGAAATGTTGTTTGTTTTGGGTTACCTGTTGTTCCTCTAGAACAGGGGTCGGCAACCTGCGGCTCTGGAGCCGCATGCGGCTCTTTCTTCCCTAAGCTGCGGCTCCCAATGGATTTGGAAAATAAATAATAAATACTTAATTGCATTTTATTTTATTTTATTATTATTATTATTATTTTTTTGTAATTCTAAATTCAAAGATTATAATGCTCTTGTAACATTTAATAAACTATTAAGGCTGCAACAACGAATCGATTAAGTAGATTCGTCGTGACGAAAAAATCCGTTGCCAACTAATTCTGTGATCCATTCGTCGGGTCTTTATGTCCATGGACACCGGCGTGTAAACATCAGCAGGACGCACAGAAAAGAAACAGCCATGGCCGAGGCAGCGGCTGAGAAAAACATGGACACAACCCAACCCAAATCCCGACCTAAAACATCAGTGGTGTGGGAAAACTTCACCAAGACTGAAAAGGAAGGCGTTCAGTGCAACATTTGCAAAGACCGTTTTGCATGGCTCGGGAGTACATCGATGATGCGTGAGCACAGGGCTCTCAAGTCTCACGCATTCAGCGTATGACACACGCATTCCCACTCGTTCACACGCTCACACACCACACATTGTATTTCTCACACATTTAAATGAACACGGTGATGTCCACCAAGTTGCACTTCTTCAACTTTGGAACTGGGGAAATCAACTGAGTTCCTCCGAGAGTTCAGAAGCTGCGTGCCACGCACAAGCCAATCAAATAAAGTATATCTACTGAACAGCCAATCAAAAAGCAGCATTGCTGTATCCGGGTAGATTTTGATATCTTGCGGTTTAACTACAGAAGAAGACAGACACTCGCCGAAATAGTTCATTTATTTCATAAATGCAACTCGCTACAGTTTTTTATATACTTTGTATAAAGGTAAAAAAAAAATATATATGCAATGTTATCTTCATTTCAGATGTCAAAGAGGTTTTGTGGCTCCCTGTGTTTTCTTTTCTGTGGGAAACTGGTCCAAGTGGCTCTTTGAGTGTTTAAGGTTGCCGACCCCTACTCTAGAAGAATCGTTTCCTCACCTGTTGCCAACCTCTCGTCTGTCAAAAGCAGATCTTTGTCATCAAATGTTGTATCTGACTCAATGATTTAAAAACCATCAAACCCTTTTTGTGTGCAAGTTTTTCACTCGCACTGATTCTCGTTTGAATTCTGACATTTATACTTGATTTGACTCCACCCCTTTTTGGCGATGTCACTGTTTCAGAGGTCATGCTTCTCTGCAATGAACCCGTTCCAGAAACGCCTTAAACTTAGCCCAACTAAGCCCTGCCCACCTGCTGGTTCACTGCGTCCTCAGCTCCCCTCCCAGAATGCTTTGCAGCAGCCACCTCCACCTTCTGCAGGGGGAGGAGCTAGAGAGAGGGAGGAGGAGGAAGGTTTCCTGTTTGTGGAGGAAGATATGACTGACTCCGGACTCATCATCACTATGGGTAACACACACACACACACACACACACACACACACACACACACACAGTCAAATAGACACACATTCCTAAAAAACTACACAAACACTTGTCTGTGTCTCACTTGTCTCTCTGTGTCTCACCTGTCAGTCCGTGTCTCACCTGTCTGTCTGTGTCTCACCAGTCTCACCTGTCTCACCTGTCTGTCTGTGTCTCACCTGTCTGTCTGTGTCTCACCCGTCTTTCTGTGTCTCACCTGTCTGTCTGTGTCTAAACTGTCTCGCCTGTCTCATCTGTCTTTCAACTGTCTCACCTGTCTCTCACTCGTCTCATCTGTCTCTCACCTGTAGGCCTGTCGCGATAATCAATAAATCGCCTTATCGCTCGATAAATAAAAACGAGGTCGATAACTTTGCCAGCCTCGATAATTGACGTGCGTTTGTTTTCCTCCTCTCTCTCTACCAAACACACTGGATGAGAGAAGAGGTCTCACTCTGCGCATTGTTCTCGGCACCTGGGGGCGTTGGCTCTATAGCGGAATGAACGGAGTTAGTGAACCCTCCTGTCAGTCATTCAGTGTCTTTGTCACGAGGGGGCGCGCGCACAGGCACACAGACAGACTTTTGGATACAGTGCTGCAAGTGAGCGTCGTGAGTGAAAAGCAAGCAAACAGAATGAACACGACAGCTTTGGTGTCTAAACCGAACGCAACAGCCCAAGTGTGGGAATATTTCGGCTTTTAACCAGTTTTGTTTTCGTCAACCACAAAACTCCACGTGTGTGTGTGCGCGCGTGCGTGTGTGTCTGTGTGTTGGAGGAGCACAGCAGGCTGATGAGAGCTGTCAGAGCGGACTGAAGCTGCTCCTATATGTTTAGCGTTTAACTGACTGAGTTTTGCAACTCTGTTCGTCATTTTCGTCTCGTCCCATCAACGTAAACGCACTTTCGTCTCGTCACATTTTAGTCATCTCCGACTTAAGTTTAGCTCGTCAACGTTACGTCTTCGTCGTGGAAGAAAAGGGAAATATTTTAGTCAACGAAAACAACCAGTGTTGTTCTCGTGTGGAAATTAAAGTTTATCACTTTTGACACGGTGTACTCGCATTATTATGCCATATAATATCATTATCTATAATTTAAAAAACGGTGTCAATAATATCGTTTATCGGCGATAATTTGTAGCACAATTATCGTCCAGCAAAATTTGTTATCGTGACAGGCCTACTCACCTGTCTCTCTGTGTCTCACCTGTCTGTCTGTCTCACCTGTCTCTCTTTGTCTCACCTGTCTGTCTGTCTCACCTGTCTCTCTTTGTCTCACCTGTCTGTCTGTCTCACCTGTCTCTCTGTGTCTCACCTGTCTGTCTGTCTCACCTGTCTCTCTGTGTCTCACCTGTCTGTCTGTTTCACCTGTCTCACCTGTCTCTCTGTGTCTCACCTGTCTCTTTGTGTCACACCTGCCTGTCTGTGTCTCACCTGTCTGTCTGTGTCTCACCTGTCTGTCTGTCTCACCTGTCTCTTTGTGTCACACCTGTCTCTCTTTGTCTCACCTGTCTCTCTGTGTCTCACCTGTCTGTCTGTCTCACCTGTCTCTCTTTGTCTCACCTGTCTCTCTGTGTCTCACCTGTCTCTTTGTGTCACACCTGTCTCTCTTTGTCTCACCTGTCTGTCTGTCTCACCTGTCTCTCTTTGTCTCACCTGTCTCTCTGTGTCTCACCTGTCTGTCTGTCTCACCTGTCTCTCTTTGTCTCACCTGTCTCTTTGTGTCACACCTGTCTCTCTTTGTCTCACCTGTCTGTCTGTCTCACCTGTCTCTCTGTGTCTCACCTGTCTGTCTGTGTCTCACCTGTCTGTCTGTCTCACCTGTCTCTCTGTGTCTCACCTGTCTGTCTGTTTCACCTGTCTCACCTGTCTCTCTGTGTCTCACCTGTCTTTCTGTGTCTCACCTGTCTGTCTGTTTCACCTGTCTTTTTGTGTCTCACCTGTCTCTCTGTGTCTCACCTGTCTCTCTATGTCTCACCTGTCTCTCTGTGTCACACCTGTCTTTCTGTGTCTCACCTGTCTGTCTGTGTCTCACCTGTCTGTCTGTCTCACCTGTCTCTCTTTGTCTCACCTGTCTCTTTGTGTCACACCTGTCTCTTTGTGTCACACCTGTCTCTCTGTGTCTCACCTGTCTGTCTGTTTCACCTGTCTCACCTGTCTCTCTGTGTCTCACCTGTCTTTCTGTGTCTCACCTGTCCATCTGTGTCTCAGAGGACATTCAGTCGGGGTCGAAGACGGCTAAGAGACGGTCGGGAAGGAAGAGGAAACGGAAACTGTCAGAGGACAATGTTAGAGTGGGCGGAGCCTCGGAGAGTGAGGAGGAAGAGGAGCCAGAGTCTACAGTGGATTTGGAGATTGGCAGACAGCTGGACCAATCACTGGAGACCAAGTCCAAACAACACAATCTGACCACTGTCAACGTCAGAAACATCATCCACGTGAGTCCAGACCTTTCACACTTTCATTCCTTTTGTTTGCTTCTGCCTCTGACCCTTATGTTTGACCTTTAACCTTTAGGAAGTGATCACCAATGAGCACGTGGTCGCCATGATGAAAGCTGCGATCAATGAAACCGAGGCCATCCCTCCATTTGTAAGTGTCGACCAGTCAGAGCTCAGAATGAAACCTTATTTACCTGCAACTGACACATCAGATCATACTGGTTAATCTGGTTAATCTGGTTAATCTGGTTAATCTGGTTATTCTGGTTATTCTGGTTCATGTCATTAATACTATCATGGATCTCTCTGATAATTTCTTTAATCCTGTTTTTTCTTTCTTCAGGAGCCGAAAATGACTCGATCCAAATTTAAAGAAGTGGTCGAGAAAGGAGTGGTGAGAGACTGTCTGTCTGTCTGTCTCCCTCTCTTTCTCTCTCTCTCTCTCTCTGTCCCTCTCTGTCTCACTTGTCCTCTCTCTCTCTCTCTCTCTCTCTCTCCCTCTCTCTCTCTCTCTCTCTCTCTCTCTCTGTCCCTCTCTGTCTCACTTGTCCTCTCTCTCTCTCTCTCTCTCTCTCTCCCTCTCTCTCTCTCTCTCTCTCTCTCTCTCTGTCCCTCTCTGTCTCACTTGTCCTCTCTCTCTCTCTCTCTCTCTCTCTCCCTCTCTCCTTTTAGAATTTATTTCTCTTTTCTTTTGGTGAGGTTGGTAAGTACTCGGCTTCACTCACTTCTGCTGAGTGACGCTGCCACTCGTCTTTAAATTATAATTGTGGAATGATGATTGCAGTATTCTACGATTTCATCATTGCGACCGTTTACTATCGCATATCGCAATTAAATTGTATATCGGCACATCCCCACTCTCAAAGAGACATGCAGATGTTCATGGAGGGTCCTCTATGGGATCATCACAGTGAACTCTTTCATATCAAACATCAACCCGGCAGTAGAGGACATGTGTCCCCACTGCCCCAACAGAGAGACTTTTTTTCACTGTTTTTATGAATGTCTTCGTCTTTTACCTTTGTTTCTGTTTTTACAAACTGTTTTTACCAAGTGTGGAGAGGTTTTTAACAAGCGGGTTTTTATTCTGGGTTTTAAATACACACGCCAACAAAAAAACAAGTGCCAGCTTTTAAACTTTGTTTTAGGGCAGGCCAAGATGGCAGTGTATTTTAGCTGCAGGAGGAAGGTGGAGGATGGTTTTATTGTTGATCCGGTCACTGTCTGTAAAAATATGATGAAGTCCAGACTCCTCATCGATTTTAATTTCCACAAGGCAGGAGGAGATCTGGACTCATTCCAACAGGTTTGGGGTTTTAGTCAGGTGTTGTGCTCTGTAGCAGGAAATATTTTACAGTTTCAAGATGTGCTCATGTGAATATTTATATATTTATCTTTTTTTGAGTATGTGTGATTGCTTTTTTGAGTTGACCTCTTTTTTACAAACGAGCAACAAATAAAGTAAAATTCTCTCCCTGTCTCACCTCTCTCTCTCTCTCTCTCTGTATGTCTTACCTGTCCTCTCTCTCTTTCTCTGTCTCTCCCTGTCTCACCTGTCCTCTCTCTCTCTCTCTCTGTATGTCTTACCTGTCCTCTCTCTCTTTCTCTGTCTCTCTCTGTCTCACCTGTCCCCTCTCTCTCTCTCTCTCACACACACACACACACACACACACTTTCTCTCTCCCTGTCTCACCTGTCTCTCCTTCTCTCTCACTTTTTCTCTCTCCCTGTCTCACCTCTCTCTCTCTCTCTCTCTCTCTCTCTCTCTCTCTCTCTCTCAGGTGATTCCAGCCTGGAATATTTCTCCCATTAAGAAGAGCAGTGATGTCATTAAGGTGAGAATTTTTACCAGTCCACTTTGTTTATATCTTACATACGTGAACCTAACCTGTGTGACCCTGAGTGAACCTGTGTGACCTTGTGTGACCCTGTGCGTCCCTGTGTGACCCTGAACGCCTCACCCTCACCTTAAGGCTCCTCAGTTCGTGGACATCCCTCTGGCTGAGGAAGACTCCTCCGATGAAGAGTACCGCCCTGATGAAGACGAGGAGGACGAGACGGCCGAAGACGTGAGACTCTGCTCTGATTGGCTGCTGCTCAGGTCTTTATTAATCATTGATAAATAAACAATGTGTGTTTGTGCGTGCACGTGTGTGTTTTTGCCTGTGTGTAGACGTTCCAGGAGAGCGACATTGAGAGCACGGCGTCCTCCCCCCGTGGGAGCCGTCTGAGTCGCGGGGAGGAGGACAGCTGCAGCCCATGGCAGGTAAGATCGGTCACCATGGTAACAGATCACAGGTGGATGATGACAGCAGGTGTCTGCTGGAACCTGCTCACCTGGTTAGCTGGTTACTGGTTAGTTTGTTTGTTGACTGGTAAGGTCAGAGGTTAATTGAGAATCTGCTGGTCAATTAATTAGTTAGTAAATTGATTAGTAGGTAAATTAATTCGTTAGTTACTGATTGGTTGGTTTGGTTAGTTACTGATTGGTTGGTTTGGTTAGTTACTGATTGGTTGGTTTGGTTAGTTACTGATTGGTTGGTTTGGTTAGTTACTGATTGGTTGGTTTGGTTAGTTACTGATTGGTTGGTTTGGTTAGTTACTGATTGGTTGGTTTGGTTAGTGATCAGCTGATTTGCACAGTGTTAGTCTGACCTTGGTTGTTAAATGGTTAATTTGTTAATGATGGTTAGTCGGTCGGTCACTGATGGTTGTCGCTAAACCGTATGCCAATCTTTTGCCCCCCTGCCTCCTCAGACCTCTCGCACCAGATCCCGGCGTTTGAGGGCAGCGTCTGTCTCTATGGGACCTCCCCCTCCTCCCAAAGCCCTGCCTCAGAAAGCTGGGACTGACAGCAGCTTCCTGGAAGAGCTTCATGCTGTGGAGGAGGAGCTGGCGGTGTGTATGGAGCCGTACCAGGTAAGACAGCCTGAAGGACAGGTAACCATGAGCTGGTGTGATTATTGATAATCAATCAAAAATGTTAATAACTGATCACTGATCACCTGTGAGGTCAGCCTCTGTCTGAGTCCGAGGGGGAGGTCGGTCTGATGGCGTACCGGACTCGTTCCAAACGTCCCCTACGAGACGTCCCACTAGGCCAGCTGGAGGCGGAGCTAAGAGCTCCTGACATCACTCCTGACATGTACGACTCTAGCTCTGCCCATGAGGACAGGGAGTGGACGGATTGGCTGAGAGGCCTGATGACCCCAGACATAGACAATGAAGGTGTGTGTGTGTGTGTGTGTGTGTGTGGGACCCAGTCTGGTCTCTGATCGGTTCTTAAAGAGGTGTGACAAAGCCCAGGGAAGGAGGTCCCCACATCGGACACACTGACTCAGACTAACGTCCCGGAAATTTAGGAACAGATGGCACATCTGAGGACTCAGACACCTGTCAGTTAAAGAGGCCACGCCCCCAAGTGTTCATTGCTTTAATCTGATATCTAATGAAAACAGTTGAGTCCTTAAACATGGGGCTTTATGGGGACTGACTCACTCTATGAAAACAGCCCCTGGTGGACACTCAGAGTACTGCAGTTTTTGGAACTTTTTCTTTTCCCACCAAACAGAGCTTAAAAAAAATCCCAGGGCAGAGATTTTGAAGTTGAATATTTTGTGTTTTGTCTGAGTTTAATTATTCTTAATGTTAGTTTAATTATCATTATTGTTAGTTTGATTAAATGTGTCTTTCTCCAATATAACAATATGTTATAGATGTAGACATAGAAGTACAAAGATTGGCCCAGACAGTAATCATGCTGTAAAGTTTAACATGGGAGTCTACTGACTGACTCACTGCAGGACACAGCCTCTAGTGGACACTTCAGGAACTACAGGGATGTTTTAAACCTTCATAATTAGACATCAGAGGTTACTGCTTGGATTTAACCCCCCCTCCTCTCCCCCCCCCCCCCCCCCAGAGGAGTGTGATGATGAAGATGACCCAGAGTATAACTTCCTCGCTGACATTGATGAACCTGACCTGGAGGATTACCGTGACGACAAGGCTGTCCGCATCACCAGTCAGTAAAAACACACGCTCTTTCAGTCCGGCCCCCCATTGTGGGAGGGGTCAGACGAGGCGTTCATAATAACAGTCATAACAGTGTGAGGCTGACAGACGCTCTCTGACTGACCAATCACAAACTAGTGACTGACCCTAACAGTCAGTCAGTTTCCTGTCCTGTGATGTCATTTATAGTTTGATCTGAAGGTCAAAGGTTATAATGATCAATAATGAACACTCTTTGTTTTCAGAGAAGGAGGTGAACGAGCTGATGGAAGAGCTGTTTGAAACTGTGAGTGTCTACACACACACACACACACACACACAAGTGATCAGACTGATGTTCATCTGCTGCAGCCTCATAGTGTCTCTGCTGTGCAGCTTAAAGAAGACCTCACTGGACAGGAAGTAGAGGAGGAAGAGGAGGAGCCTCAGGAAGAGTCACACACTGCTGAGACCTACACATCTGATGAGCAGAACCACAGGTGTGTAACACACAAACACACACACACACGCACACACAGTCTCACAGGTGTGATTCCTCTGACTGCGCTGCTCCTCACAGCCAGGCAGTTAAGGATGAGCAGGACGACCGACCAATCACAGAGCTACGTACGGTGAAGCAACAGCTGGAGCTAATCAGGAAGAGACAGAAGCTCGGTTTGCAAGACCCAAACAGTCACGAACCCAGAACCCTGAGACTGGATCAACATCAGAGGAGCAGACTGAGGCAGCAACTACAGCAGGTAACAACAGTCTGTGACAGTCTAGAGAACTCTAGGTCCATAACAGTCTGAATATATACAGTATGTAATAATAATAATAATAATAATAATAATAATGATAATAATGATGATAATAATAAAAATAATAGTAATGATGATGATTATCATAATGATAGTAATAACAATAGAAATATAATAATAATAATAATAGAAGAAGTTATAATAATAATAATAATATCTCAGGTCCCTGTCTCTGTATAAAAGTCTCATTAAAGGTCTGAATTTTTCTTTCAGCACATTCAGCTTCTCACTCAGGTCCACCTGCTGAGCTCACCTGTAGCCAAACTGCAGAGTGAGGCTGAGACCACCAGACAGTTCCTGGTAACTGACACACTGACACACACACACTGGCCCTTATGTATCAAGCTTGCATACGGCAGAAAAGTTTCATACGCCTTACGTACGTGAGTTGCGACGTGAGGATCGGCATTTATCAATCTGCACGTGAGCGTACGCTACGACCATATCTCACAACACGTCTGACATTGTGTACACAAGTTTGAGTCAGTGTGGATCTGCGGTGCAGCAAATGTCTGTCTTAAAATAATTGATATACAAACCTCAAACCTGTCATTAAGCACAATCAGCCAGATTTCATAAAGATTAAGACGTAAATACATTAAAATAAAATAAATTTGGTATGTCCTTAGTATTTTGTATTTGTATTTGTTTATTTAGCACAAATTAAAAACAGTGCAGGGAGGGAACGAAGCCTATAGGCTTATACAAAGTTCCACTCCCGTCAGGACAGAGAAAGCATAAGGTTCAGACAACTAAGTAACATAGACAGGTTACACATGTACAATGATTAGGGAAAGGTCAAACAGATACAAATTGCCATAAATGGAACACAGACAAATCAGCAAACATTGATAAAGACAATAAAGTATTCATAAAAAGGAAAGAAACATGGTCATAACAAATAATGATGTATTTAGTGAATAGGTCTATTTGATAACTCTGCCCAGAAACACTGCCACAGAGCAGTGCCACATTGTGCACACGCGCCACTGTGGAGCGCTGCGTTTGACTCCTAAAAGGCAGGTGTCTCTGTCTTGGCCCAGCAGTGGGGACGTTGTTGTTCACTCCTGAAAGGGTGTGGGACATTATTTGGGCCAGTACAGTTTTGCACAATGTTGCACTGGCGAATGGAGTGCCGTTGGCTGTGCCGGTGCAACGCGAGGACCCGATGCCCAAAGAACAATAACGAGGAGAGACTCCAAAGTAAAGTATAAGTTTAGAGAGTGCTCTTGCTATTTAATCAGTGATAAAAATCTAATAAAAAATCCATAAAAATGTGCCTCAGGGGCAGCAACACACAGTTTGGTGATGTTATTAATTATTTTTGTTCCGCCTCTGTCAGACTCTCCAGTCTGCTCTACATTACAAAGACGCTACAAATTAAAACTAAATACTTTCAATAATAGGAGCAACGTACCCTATGTCATGGCAATAAAAAATATGAGGCATGTATGAGATATTAATTTATCATCACGAGCAACTTACTGACTGATTTATTCAAACTTCAGGCACTGTCCACTATTTTCTGGAGTTTTCTGGACTGCTTTATACCAGTTTTGATGCTTTCAAAGAGAAAATCCTTGTTAGTTTCCACCACAGATGTGAGGATATCCACTTTCAGCTCGGAAAAGTTTCAAATCTTTCTAATATTTCTCCTCTTCCATGTTTGACCTCAGTGGGCGAGGCTTCTGAACCACAAATGTTTAAGGGCGTGACCAGTGGCGGTTCTAGACCAAATTACTCCCCGGGCGAGCACCCCCCCCCCCCCCAATATCTAGTATTATTATGATTAGAAGAACAAAAATAAAATATTTTTCAATTGCAGAAATCCTTCAATAGAAAAAAACACAATCCTGAGGGCCATTTTCAGAAGGGCCCCCAGATCCTGAGGTTTTCTGACGTGTTAAGGTTTACAAAAAAGCTGCTATCTCTGCCTCTGTAGTAGATAGAAACAAAATTCAAAAAGTATTTGAGAGCTTATACATGTGGCTTTCAAGAAAGCTCTCTTTTAGTTTTGTGAACCTTCATCACATTTTTGAAAACCTTGAACAAACAAACTCAAATGAAATAAAGCGGCTGTATAAATAAAAGTAAAGGCTCTGCACTGGAGAATAACAAACTATTTGCTTTCTGTAAAACAAGTGGCAGTCATGATAAAGTGTCCATTCAATACAAATGTAAATATAGAAAATAAGGTGTTGAAAGGGTAAACAGCTGCCCCAGTATAGTGCCAGTACAAAAGCAGAACTAAAAACTAAAAAAATGAATAAATAAATACGAGGCTGACAGTGTGTTCATCTCTGTTCTCACCCAAAGTCATGCAACACTCACAGAAAACGCTGATAGTGTGAGCCAAAGAACTCCATATGAAGAGGTTGTTCACACTGCTGGATGTTTCTCCTCTGAAGCTGCTCTCTGGCTCCATCATTGTTTACTTTACTCATGAAGCACGTAGCAAGATCCGAGCATGAACCCGAGCGCTTTATTCGCCTATCAAAGGCAGACGGGTACGGTAATTTGATTCACCGCGACTCCAGAAATGATTAAAAAACTACAGAATGTTACAAAATGACGTCTCCGCGCTCCCGCTGATATGCTGACATGCGTACACAGAGGAGAGCTGTCCCCCCGCGACTCTCTCCCCCCCTCGTCTCACACTGTCTGTCACATAGACATAATAAAAGGGTGCTGCGCAGCGAGAAATGCGGCCGCCATCTTGGTCAGGTCAAGCTTCCCATACGCTCCGGTCAATCATATTCATTCATTCATTCATTCAGCGATGCCGGAGCACTGTGCGGCGTATTCCTGTGCCAACAGGCGGACAGCAGAGAACAGGGCTCAAGAAATAACTTTTCACAGTTATGATTACACGTTTTTTAAATGTTACACTTGACTGTAGAGTCATTTGTAGGCCAAAGAGGAAGACTATCGGTCAACTCCAAAAAGGAAACAGCATTTGCGAACAGCTAGCTTATTCACAATAATAGCAACTTTGGTCGATTATCAACAGATTTGCATTAGATTGAAAAACTTTTGTTTGAGAGAGGTTCTAAGAAACGTTAAGAAATAAAATAGAAAGAAGAAGGAAGAAAGTGAGCTCTGTTTTATTATCTGTTTTATTAAAGATTTCTTTGTGGTGATCTCCTGTTTCATTTTGAAGATTTCCTAAGGACAAAAACTTGAGGAAGAAGTGGGAGATTGCTGTTAGAGGGAGAAATTCGCAGCAAGTGATTCCTCTGTGCTGTGTAGCCAACAAGCAAATTGATATGTAGTTAAGATGCTGTCCTGTCATGCTGTTCTTGTGTTTAAATCTTTTTGATATGTAGGCTATATATTTGTGTGTATTTTCCAGTTATTAAAATAGTGCTTCTATATGACATTATTTGTGTGTGTCTACAAATGGATAAATAAAATTAAACTAAATAAAATATAATCAAATCAATATATATTGAATTGGCCTATTAAAACCGCCAGTTATTAATAATTATTGAGACATAGCAGGAACCTAGCTCTAAACCTAAATATATCCTTGATTAATTGTTATACTGTAATACAGCCACTGCTGCCATGTTCTAAAATATCATTTTATTCATTCTGAGTATTTGAATTTACTGAAAAAGTACGTAGTATTGAGCGAACTATGATTCATTTAATGCGCTCAGACTTCATTCCGCCGGTTAAACAGCGGTGCAGAGTGAGGCGGATGACCGGACCAAGATGGCGGCCGCATTTCTCGACAGCGCCCATTCATGGTAGCGGCCGATGCGGGGTCTATCTTTTATTATGTCTATGGTCTGTCAGCCTCTGTGCAGCACCTTCGGAGCAAGCAGGGGCGCTTACAGCAGCGGGGGGCGCCAATTTGACAACAAGAGTTAATACAAAACCGCTTTGCGGTTAAGATTTATTATTATTATCTTTTATTTTATTTTTTTGGAAGTGCTCGTGCCGCCCCCCATGAGTCATGACACAAATGCCGCCCCGGGCGGCTGCCCTGTTCGCCCGTGCCAAGAACCGCTACTGGGCGTGACATGTTAATGACGATCGATTTCAAGCGCTGCATTTATCAAGACCCCATCATACGTACGCTGGGATAGGTCAGATATGAACCCTTTCATAAATCTCACGTGTCCCATCGTACAATGAATCCTGCGCTCAGTTTGCATTCAGTTCTATGCAAGATTGATAAATGAGGGACACTGTTCCTGTATGTGTGCCTAATAAAAAATATGAACAAAAGAATGAAGAGACACATTTGTGATTGGAGGCCCCCCCGTCTGCCCCCCCCCCAGTGTGAGTTGGACCTGCTGGCTCAGAGGGCGGAGCTCGTCTCACCCTCGGCTTGTCCGTCCTTCAGAAGTGTCTTCAGAGCTCCTAACCTGCAGGGGGCGCTGCAGCTGCTGGAGGAGCTGACACAGCTGCCCATCAACTACCACCTACAGTCCCGCCCACCTGACGCCCGCGGACACAGTGAGTCAAAACGCCACAGAGTCAGACTTACAGTTTTATTTTGACATGAACTTCCTGTTTTCTTCAGAGAGGTCACATGATGTTGTCATGTGATCTGTCAGCTGTTTCATGTGAAAACACACTGAGCTCTTTGACAGAACTGTTAAATCAGAACTATAAGAACTGTTACAGTCTCTGAGTTTAGCCCGTGTGTGTGTGTGTGTGTGTGTGTGTGTGTGTGTGTGTGTGTGTGTGTGTGTGTTTGCAGTGCGTGGTTTCCCTGTTATGCCCGCAGAGCTCGCCTGGCTCTTTGCCACTCGCCCCGTCTTTCTCTACCCGGAGCTGCTGCCCTGTGCCAGTCTGGACCCTGCTCTGTACTGTCCCCGCAGGACGGCCGCCTTTACTGCAGCGGAGGACTGGTACACACACACTAACACCAGACACACACACACACACACACACACAGAAAATACACTCACACACACAGAAAACACACACTAACACAAATTCACACACACACACACACACAGACTGACTAAAACAAACTAACACACACTAACACAAACTAACACACACACTCTAACACACACACAGAAAACACACACACAAGCTAACACACACACACTTACACACACACTAACACAGACACACACACAAACTAACACACACACAAACAAACACACACATTCACAGACACAAATTTTAACAACCCAACCCCACTTACTGTGAAGGTGTGTGTGTACGTGTTTTCGATGTGTATGTGTGTGTATTTTCTGTGTGTGTGTGTGTGTGTGTGTGTGTGTGTGTGTGTGTGTGTGTGTGTGTGTGTCCTCAGCCTGCTGGTCCTGGGTCTCAGGAACATGGAGGGGTCAAGTGACCCCACTAAGCTAGTGTCCCAGTTCCTGCTGAGGAAGACTCTGGTCCAGGTGCGAAGAAGGATCATGCAGTGCTGCAGACCCGGTTGCCCCGACAACGTCATCAAGGTGGGACTCCATGAGTCTGGTCTGGTCTGGTCTGTTCTAATCTGTCCCGGTTCTGACCCGTTCTGAACTGGCCTCTTCTCTCTCAGGCTTTCAGGTACCAGAGGGTGGTGTGGCCCATGCTGGTGGTGTGTCGGCCTTTAGGAGCAGAGCAGCGCCCCCCTGTTGAAAGAGAGGAGAGTGCGCTTCCTCTGTGGCTGCAGGTGAGACAGTAGAATTAGAATCACTTCCTGGCTCTTTCACAGTAAAAACCTCAGTCTAAATCACAGCGTTTTAAATAAAATAATAATATTAATAATTAATACAATATTAATAATTAAGATAATACAGACAATAATAATATAAAAATAAATGAAATTGTTATATTATTGATAAATACAATATTAAAAAAATAAATAATAACAGACAATGATACTTAAAATAATAGACAATAATAATATAAAAATACAGATAATAATAATATAAATAATAAAGACCATTATAATATTAATAATACTGATAGTGAAGACACTAATATATAAAATAATAATAAAGACAATAATAATTTAAATAATAAATAAAATAATAATAATAATAATTAATACAATATTAATAATAAAGAAAATAAAGACAATAATGTCGTCAGATACAAACCCTTTCATGAATCCCATGTGTGTCCTATTGTACGATGAATCCTGTGCTCAGATCTGCACTCAGTTTTACGCAGGATTGATAAATAAGGGAGACTGTTACTTAGTGGTGCAACGGATCACAAAACTCACGGATCGGATCGTTCCTCGGATCAAGAGTCACGGATCGGATCATTTTTCGGATCAGCAAAAAGAAAAAAAAACAAGACAAATAAAATATATAAAAGTAGTGCACAGGGCATAATATCTTCTTTTTAACATATTATTAATGAAAAACAACTTAAAGTACAATATACAGGCATATCTCCCTCCTTTAAAATGTAACAATGAACCAAAAATGAAGTGTGTGCGCGATGGGATGTCGTAACGTGGCTCAAGCACTTTCAGCATGTTTTTAAAGCCCTCGTTTTGCACAACTGAATACGGCCTCATGTCTGCAGCTATAAACACACCGATAGAGTTTGTGAAAGCTTTAGCCTGGTCGGATTGCGCAGGAAGAGGCTGCTTAAATGCTGCGGTGATGAGCGGTTGTTGGGCAGCTTTCGTTTTATGTTAGGTGTTATGCCAAAGAATGCACCCCTGCCGTATAGTGCACCCCCTAACGGGAGCGCGGTTGAAAGTACACAACAAGGCGAAATAATACAAGTTTTCCTTACGTTGGGTGTATTCAACAGCGTTTGCCTTTAATAATTTCATTCATGCTATCCATATTAAATATGAGATCATTATCTCCACTTTAAGAAGCTAACGGGTGGAGGGGATGCAGGGGGTGCGTTCTACGGCAGGGGTGCAATCTACGGCACAACACCTGTCAGTAAAACACCCGGGTGATGTCGCTTCAAATGCGTGAACATGCTCGATGTGTTTCCACTGTCATATGGCTTTCTTATGCCACAGTGCCTACACTCCGTCGCAGTTTTGTCCACTGACCTCTTTCCTTCTTCATCATAATTGACAGGGAGGCCAAAATGCTCCCATACAGGGGATTTAAGTGTCGCGGGGCGTTCGAGCTCCTCCTTTCTCCGCTTTCAGAAATCGATCCGCGGATCACATGTGTGCCGAACCGAATACGTCGATCCGAACGGATCACGGATCAATGATGATCCGTTGCACCACGACTGTTACTGTATGTGTGCCTAAATAAAAACATGAACATAAGAATGAAGAGACACATTTGTGATTGGAGGACCCCCCCCCCCCCCCTCCCCCCAGAGGAGTCTGCCTGTCATCTATCCAACAGTCAAACTCTATAACAGCCCGTCTTGGTCGGATCCAGATGCCCTGCCCCCCTGCAGGCCAGGTGGGCCCCGCCACAGTCACCTGACTTTCCTACGCCCCGCCTCCCTTACCTACAGCTATGCCCCAGGAACGAGGTATCCCCCCCGCCTTCCCAAAAACTTGGACTTTAGACGCATTGGCTTCCTGCAGCTCAATCAGCCCCTCCCCCCTACTCCCTCTGACTCCTCCCCCTGCTCCCTTTTGGCTGATGGACAGGTATACTCCCCCAGTCCTCCCCCTCAGGTCATTGACCCTAACCTGACCAGAGAGCGAATCAGACGCCACTATCAGACCCTCACCAGCCTCAGAAGAAGGGGGTTGAGCTCTGAGGAGGCTGCTGGATCTTTCAGCCCTAAGGACCATGCCCCCTTTAAGGAGGAGGAGCAGGAGGGCGGTGGTGTAATGAGGACAAACGAGGAGGAGGAGGAGGAGGAGGAGGAGGAGAGCGAGGTCATTCTGGCTCTGTCTGAATCCTCGCCAAGCTCAACAGGAAGCATCGCCCCCTCAGAAGACAAGCTGGGTGACCTAGAGGGGGCGGAGTCAGAAAAGCATGCGACACTAGTGCCATCCAAAACCACAGAAGAAGACGAGAAGGAGACAGGAAGTTCAGAGGAGCAGGTGAGTCCTCCAGTGAACAAAAACAAACAAAAAAGGTCAATAACAAACAACAAGAAACAAACAACACATTGAACAGCTGTGTGTGTGTGTGTGTGTGTGTAGGTATACCTGCAGTCTGAGGACGGCTGTATGGAGGTTTTTGCTCAGGATTTTCTGCTCAGAGTGAGACCTCTCTTCATTCATACACTCCCTTACCTCCTGCTGCATTAGTCCTTTTATATATGCATGTATGTTGATGTGAACTGTCACTTCCTGTCACCTCTCAGGTGTGTGATGCTGTGCAGGTGTGTCCTGATGTCGCTGAAGACCTGCTGCAGGTTCTGGATCAGTTCACAGCTGCAGGGCCCTCAAGGGCCTCAGGAGCCCTGGAGAGTCTTAGCCGAATTCTGTGGCCCTGGCCTCAGCTGCTTCGAGACTTTGCCGCATTCCTGAGTCCAGAACAGGCCCGGCGCTGCGGTCTGGTTAGTGACATCACTCTGACATCATGACAGAGATTTCGACTCTCTAAGAGCCGACACCTGAGATGGTCCAATCAGAGCGATTCTGCTCCATCTTCAGCTACAGAATCAGGATTTACCACAGAGAGAAAAAGCTTTAACAGAGAGAAACCTCGAACAGAACCAGATCTTTATTAGGGAAAAAACCTCAGGCAGAACCAGAAGCCTCGAACAGAACCAGAACTTAAACAGGCAGAAACCTCGAACAGAACCAGATCTTTATAAGGGAAAAACTTCAGGCAGAACCAGAACTTAAACAGGAAAAAACATTTAACAGAACCAGAACATTAACAGGCAGAAACCTCGAACAGAACCAGAACTTTAACAGGCAGAAACCTCAAGCAGAACCAGAACTTTAACAGACAGAAACCCGGAACAGAACCAGATCATTATTAGGGAAAAACTATCAGGCAGAACAAAAACTTAAACAGGCAGAAACCTCGAACAGAACCAGAACTTTAACAGGCAGAAACCTCAAATAGAACAAAAACTTTAACAGGCAGAAACCTCGAGCAGAACCAGAACTTTAACTAGCAGAAACCTTGAACAGAACCAGAACCTAAACAGGAAGAAACCTTTAACAGAACCAAAACTTTAACAGGCAGAAGCCTCGAACAGAACCAGAATTTTAACAGGCAGAAGCCTGGAACAGAACCAGATCTTTATAAGGGAAAAAACCTTAAGCAGAACCAGAACATTAACAGGCAGAAACATTTAACAGAACCAGAACATTAACAGGCAGAAACCTCGAACAGAACCAGAACTTTAACAGGCAGAAACCTCAAGCAGAACCAGAACTTTAACAGACAGAAACCCGGAACAGAACCAGATCATTATTAGGGAAAAACTATCAGGCAGAACAAAAACTTAAACAGGCAGAAACCTCGAACAGAACCAGAACTTTAACAGGCAGAAACCTTGAACCGAACCAAAACTATTACAGGCAAAAACCTTGAACAGAACCAGAACGTCAACAGGCAGAAACCTTAAGCAGAACCAGAACTTTAACAGGCGGAAACCTTGAACAGAACCAGAACTTCAACAGGCAGGAACCTCGAGCAGAACCAGAACTTAAACAGGCAGAACCCTTGAGCAGAACCAGAACATAAACAGGCAGAAACCTTGAGCAGAACTAGAACTTTCACAGGCAGAAACCTTGAACAGATGCAGAACGTCAACAGGCAGAAATCTTAAGCAGAACCAGAACTTTAACAGGCGGAAACCTCGAACAGAACCAGAACTTAAACAGGCTGAAACCTTGAGCAGAACCAGTACTTAAACAGGCAGAAACCTCGAGCAGAACCAGATAACAGGCAGAAACCTTGTGTAGAACCAGAACTTTAACACGCAGAAACCTTGAACAAAACCAGAATTTTTACAAGCAGAAACCTTGTGTAGAACCAGAACTTTAACAGGCAGAAACCTTTAACAAAACCCGAATTTTTACAATCAGAATCCAAGAGCAGAACCAGAACTTTAACAGGCAGAAACCTTGAGCTGAACCAGAATTTTAACAGGCAGAAACCTCAAACAGAACCAGAACTTTAACAGGCAAAAACCTAGAACCGAACCAGAACTTTGACAGGCATAAACCTTGAGCAGAACCAGAACTTTAACAGGCAGAACCCTTGAACAGAACAAGAACTTTAACAGGCAGAAACTTCGAGCAGAACTGGAACTTTAACAAGCAGAAACCTCACGTAGAACCAGAACTTAAACAGGCAGAAACTTCGAGCAGAACCAGATAACAGGTAGAAACCTTGTGTAGAACTAGAACTTTAACAGGCAGAAACCTTGAGCAGAACCAGAACTTTAACAGGCAAAAAACTTGAGCAGAACCAGAATTTTAACAGGCAGAAACCTCAAGCAGAACCAGAACATAAACAGGCAGAAACCTTAAGCAGAACCAGACTGATGATAGACAGAGAAATTGGGCTGGGTTTGGAAAGGGGAGAGAGTGGGACACCAACAACAATGATTACAATGACAACAACTACAGCCACGACAATTTATTGAGAGTTAATGAGATGAGAAAGATCTCTCTCTCTTTTTCTCAGTCGTCTCCGTACCATTAGAAATTGTATCTCTTCCTCTCTCTCCATCTCTCTGTCTCTGTCTCTTCTTCTTTTTCTCTCTCTCTCCCTCCCCACTTGACTCTCTCTCTCTCTTTCCCTCTCTCTGTGTCTGGCTCTGGTGGAGTGATCTGATTGGTCCCTCCTCTGAATAGAATAGAATAGAATAGACTTTATTTGTCATTGCACAAAGCAACAAAATTTCGTTGTACCATCCTGAATGCAAAAAACAAAAACAAGTACAACAATGCATACATATGACAGCATTCATCCATGTTAAAAGACATATTTAAAACATAAAGACGTTGATCAACATTAGTCCCATATTGCATTAATTTATTTATTAATAATAATAATTAAATGTATTTATTAATAAATAAATACAATGAATAGAGGGTTACATTATTGCATTTATTGGCCTGACATTAAGTTCAGTTATGGCTCTGTGAAAGAAACTGTTTTTGAGTCTGGAGTTGCGGGCTCTGAGCGCCCTATAGCACCTCCCTGGAGTAGCAGAGAGAACAGGTGATGACTGGGGTGGCTGGAGTCTCTGAGGATCTTGGAAGTGGTGTGTCGGCAGCGTGTCCTGAAAATGTCTTTCAATGGGTGCAGACTGAGTCCAATGATCTGGAGAAATGATCTCTGGCTTCTTTGATTGGTCAAATTAGCTCTCATGTACAGAAACACACCCTCTGGTGGTGTCGGTGAGAAACTCTTAAACATGTCAGAGACAGGTTTACCCTCATAACTCTGAATCAGCTGATGTTCTCCGGCCATTCTCCAAAGTCACTATGACATCATCATGACATCATCATGATGTCACCCCGCCTCATTCTTCTTCTGTGGTTTCTCTTTCAGCTGACTGAGCAGCAGCTGTTTGAACGCAGCCGACAGTTTCTACAGCGTTTGAGGCGGAGCCTGGGCCAAGAGTCCTCCCTCTACCAGCAGGTGGTGTCAGTGCTGCAGGGAAGCCCCACCCCCTCACCTAAAGACATAGATGAGGTAGAGGATGATGACCTTTGACCCTGTTTGACACCCCTGAGTCTATTTATTCAGAGTTTTTCTCTTTTAGGTCTCCTCCCTCCTCAAATGCCACCCCCACCTGCACAAGCAATTCAGGGAGTTTTTCCAACAGCTCCTCACTCAGCCGTCACCCATGGCAACCAGCCTCGCCACCACAGAGACAAACTACATTTCCCATGATGCCCAGAGCCCAAACAGGGAGAGAGAGGAGGGTCTGATGTCCGAAGACAGCGAGACAGGAAGTGATAGAGAGGAGGAGTCAGAGCCTGCTGTAACCATGACGACCAGTGACAAAGTTACAGCCTGGACCCGGTCAGAGCAAACACACCATAACCTGTGAATCATTGATTCATTCACTTATTCATTTGTTCACACTGTGACCTTTGACCCCCCCTGTTTAGAGAGGAAGATCGGGCCATTCTGACAGCCTGTCAGCAGAGAGGAGCCAATCAGAGAACACTCAGACAAGTCTCCGCCCACCTTGGGAACAAAACTGCTCAGCAGGTGGGAGCGCCGCTCTACTTCAGTTTTTAGTGCTTTTACTGTGAAAGGAACCAAAGGAAGAATCTGGGCGGCCCCGACTTTTGGGCGCCCTCTGTTGGAGAACTAAGGCTGTGTCTCATTTTAGAGACTGCATACGGCTGAGCGCGCTCAAGCTGAGCACACCGCCGTTATGTGGATACATCAGTAGATCTTATTTTGTTGCTAATGTCTTCTTGCCCTGCACCAGCCAGGATGATTGTATAATGAGTGCCTGCATCTAAAATATGTCAGTGTTATATTAAAGTTGTGTTATTATAATGCTATTAGTCTGCATTAACTTTACTTCTACTTCTAAGTCAAAAAATATCCTTAATTTAGACCTTGATTTAGACCTGACAATTGGCTAATTGAAGCTTATATATACACACCTGTATTAGATAAATTACTTGAAATACTACTTAGGGGGTTATTACAAGTCTCTATGGCTAGCCAATAGTTCAAACACACCTAAATGAGAGGTTAAAATGAAAGAAAGCTAATTTTGAAGTGCAGTGCAGTGCAGGTGGCCCCCACTGAGGAAACACTGGAGAGGGGCAATAAAAACATTAACTAAATCAGCTAAAAACATCAAACTAGATACAATTATAGAATACTGATTAAAAACTAAAATAACATTTAAAAATAAGTGAACACATAGAATAAACATAATGTGTAAAATGAGGACTTAAAATATATAAATGAAATAAAATAAGATAGAACTAGGATAAAAAATATAGATTAAAAAATAAGACATTAGTCAAAAGCCAAATTAAATAGGTGGGTCTTGAGCCTGCTTTAAACTATGATACCTGAAAGAACTGCTCCACCATCAAATTGGGCCACACCCACTTCATCAACTCATTTAATTAGACACAGGTTTGATTCATTTATAGAAAAGAGCAGTGTGACCCAAAAAGAGAATGACTTTTAATGTACTTTTGACTTTCTGTGTTGCTTTTGGAGTTAACAAAAATTCGCCTATTGAGGAAAATAACAAAATGAGAAAAAATATAAAAAGCTACCCCTATGAAAAGTCTATCATATTTTAATTTACTTATATTGACCCTAAAAACTATTTAGTATATGTAAGGTTTTGCCCACCCAAGTGGTACCGACATCTGGTCCGGCTCAAGGACTAAAATGGGACACCGTTAGCGCAGCGTGATAACATCACACATACTTGAAATGCACTGTTCGACGGTACTGTCTCTGAAATGAGACACAGCCTAAATGTGGTCCAAATTCTCAGTGAGGACAGGGTTAACAGTGAACACAGCTCACCAGAACACACCTTCAAAATAAAAGCACCATCTGAAAACAGGATATTATTATTATTATTATCGTTACAACAACAACAACAATTATTATTATTTATTTTTATTATTATTTTATTATTGTTATCATTATTATTATTAATCTTGTCTCTCTCTCTATCCCGCGCTCTCTCCCTCCCCCCTCCCCCTCTCTCTCTCTCTCCTGCCCTCCCTCTCTCTCTCCCACCCTCCCTCTCTTTTTCTCTCCCGCCCTCTCTCTCTCTCTCTCTCTCTCTCTCTCTCGCTCTCTCTCTCCTCCCTCTCTCTCCCGTTCTATCTATCCTCCAGGTGAGTCGGCGTTTCAGGTACCTGATGAAACTCTTCCATGTCCAGAAGTCCGCTTCCTGTTCCTTAGAGGTCCAGCCAATCAGAGCCCAGAAGGCGGGGCAGGACTGAACCCCAGAAGAGGCTGACACTGACTTAAATCGGACCCTTGGAGGCCGGAGGGAAGCCAGGGGGGTTCCTTGGACTGAGGAGACACTCTCAGGGGTCTCTGTGGAGCATGTCCTCTGTGACTGTAGGTCATTAGACGGGCCGTCTGGATGGAGGAACGTTCTCCATGATAGCCCCTCAAAATGATCTGAGGTTCTGTGAAGGAACGCTCTGTGAACATTTGTCAGGTTTTAACAGGGTCCGAGCTGTTCCTCGGACCAGAACCAGGATGAATCACTGAAACACCTTCAGAACCCTCCTCAGGACCAGGACCAGGACTGCTGTATGAAACTATAATCTGTTTCGATCTTTTTTTTTCCTGCAGAAACTCTTTATGAAGGTTCATGACGCACTGGGGTCGGATCAGCTGACCCTTCCAGTGATTCCTAGCAGCCAGGTGTTGGTGAAGGATGTGTCGGCGCCGACTGAAGGATTTTTACAAAGTTTTGATTTATGTTGACTGAAGGAGGAGATCTTCAATAAAGCAATTTGACGTCTCTGAGAGTTTGTCGGTCTGAACCTTAATCCTAAAAAAACTGAGCGGCGTGTTCGACAACCTTGAAATAAAAACAGAAGATCCAACTCAAGTGTTCAGTCCAGATAAAACAACGCCCCCTGTGGCTGTAAAGCCTGCTTCAGTTCAGATTTAGGGTCCATGTTTGAGTCTCTGGTCTGAAGTGGATCCCTCTGTCATCTCTGTGGTGTGGTAGATGGACCTGTGTACTCGGTTCTGAGACAGCGGCAGGATTTTGGACGTATAGCTGAGACTTTTAGAAGTTTACGATGGTTTCATGTCAGAGGAGAGCAGAGCGTTTGATCTCATAATTTTGTTTATAACATGCTATTACAGGTGCTCAAAGACACTTTACAATGAAAAAAAACAATTTAAAATACAGAACATTTTAAGAAATAAAACAAAGAACATATAGGGTAAAAAAGACACAATATGAAAAGACAATAAAAGAACAAATTCAGGGGTTAAAAGCCAATTTAAAAAGGTGGTTTTAGGAGTGATTTAAAAGTGTGGGGGTCTGTACAGTCTTGGTGGATTTGGGGAGTGAATTCCAGAGGGTGGAGGCAACAGTGGAGAAGGCTCTGTCCCCCCAAGATTTCCCTCTGAGGATCAGAGGGCACAGGAGGGTGGGAGTGTAGTGATGGAGCAGGTCTGTGATGTGGGTGGGGGTCAGGTTAAGTGATTTGTGGGTAAACAGGAGGATTTGGAATTGGATGGGGAGACAGTGCAGTTTGGTTCTGGTTAAGATTCAGCTCAGTTTAGTATTGGGTCAGTCTGGTGTTGGTTAAGGTTCCGATTCAGTTAAGTGTTAGGTCAGTCTGGTTTAAAATCCGCTTCGGTTTAGTGTTGGTTCAGTCTGGTTTGGATCAGGTTCAGTTTTGTGTTGGGTCAGTCTGGTTTTCGTTAAGGTTCCGATTCAGTTAAGTGTTAGGTCAGTCTGGTTTAAAATCCGGTTCAGTTTAGTGTTGGGTCAGTCTGATTAGGATCTGGTTCAGTTTAGTGTTGGGTCAGTCTGGTTTTGGTTAAGATGTGGTTCAGTCTAGTGTTGGGTCAGTCTGGTTAAGATCCGGTTCAGTTTAGTGTTGGGTCAGTCTGGTTTGGATCTGGTTCAGTTTTGTGTAGGGTCAGTCTGGTTTTGGTTAAGGATCCCATTCAGTTAAGTGTTAGGTCAGTCTGGTTTTGGTTAAGGATCCCATTCAGTTAAGTGTTAGGTCAGTCTGGTTTTGGTTATGATCTGGTTCAGTCTAGTTTTGGGTCAGTGTGGTTAAAATCCAGTTCAGTTAAGTGTTGGGTCAGTCTGGTTAAGATCCGGTTCAGTCTAGTGTTGGGTCAGTCTGATAAAGATCCATTTCAGTCTAGTGTTGGGTCAGTCTGATAAAGATCCATTTCAGTCTAGTGTTGGGTCAGTCTGGTTTTGGTTATGATCTGGTTTAGTTTAGTGTTGGGTCAGTCTGGTTCAAATCCAGTTCAGTTTCGTGTTGAATCAGTCTGGTTTAAAATCCAGTTCAGTCTAGTGTTGGGTCAGTCCAGTTAAGATTTGGTTCAGTCTCGTGTTGGGTCACTGCGGTTTAGATCCAGTTCAGTTTAGTGTTGGGTCAGTCTGGTTAAGATTTGGTTCAGTTTAGTGTTGGGTCAGTCTGGTTAAGGTTTGGTTCATTTTAGTGTTGGGTCAGTCTGGTTAAGATCCGGTTCAGTTTAGTGTTGGGTCAGTCTGGTTTTGGTTATGATCTGGTTTAGTTGAGTGTTGAATCAGTCTGGTTTAAAATCCGGTTCAGTCAAGTGTTGTTTCAGTCCAGTTAGATTCGGTTAAGTCAAGTGTTGGGTCACTCTGGTTAAGATCCAGTTTAGTTTAGTGTTGGGTCATTCTGGCCAAGATCCGGTTAAGCTTAGTGTTGGGTCAGTCTGGTTTTGATTATGATCTGGTTTAGTCAAGTGTTGGGTTAGTGTGGTTAAAATCCAGTTCAGTTTAGTGTTGGGACAGTCTGGTTAAGATCCGGTTCAGTCTAGTGTTGGGTCAGTCTGATAGAGATCCATTTCAGTCTAGTGTTGGGTCAGTCTGGTTTTGGTTATGATCTGGTTCAGTTTAGTGTTAGGTCAGTCTGGTTAGAATCAGTTCAGTTTAGTGTTGGGTTAGTCTGGTTAAGATCCGGTTTAGTTTAGTGCTGGGTCAGTCTGGTTTTTGTTATGATCTGGTTTATTTTAGTGTTGGGTCACTGTGGTTAACATCCGGTTCAGTTTAGTGTTGGGTCAGTCTGGATAAGATCCAGTTCAGTCTAGTGTTGGGTCAGTCCAGTTCTATTTATTTTATTTAGCCTTTATTTAACCAGGTACGTCCTATTAAGATCAAAGATCTCTTTTTCAAGGGAGACCTGGCCAAGAGGGCAGCAGCGAAGTTACATTACAAAAGAAAACAATAACACATAAAACATAAAATTTACAGCATTCAATCTTTCTCACATAACACACGTGCATACAGACAGGGTAGACTGCAGACCTTTTACAGTAGCTTTAAACTTGTTCAATGTTACTAGGGCTTTAAGTTGAAGTTTCAATTGTTAAGATTTGTTTAGTCTAGTGTTGGGTCAGTGCGGTTAAGATCTGGTTCAGTTTGGTGTTGGGTCAGTCTGGTTAAGATCCGGTTCAGTTAAGTGTTTGGTCAGTCTGGTTTTGGTTTAGTCTGGTTCTGGTTCAGTCTGGTTTTGGTTCAGTTAAGAGTTGGGTCAGTCTGGTATTGGTTAAATCCGGTTCAGTTTAGTGTTGGGTCAGTCAGGCTGAGATCCGGTTCAGTTTAGTATTGGGTCAGTCTGGTTAAGATTCGGTTCAGTCTAGTGTTGTGTATTTATGGTTTGGGTCAGTCTGGTTTGGGTCAGTCTGGTTTTGGTTCAGTTTTGCTGTTGGGTCAGTCTGGTTTTGGTTTAGTCCGGTTCAGTTTAGTGTTGGGTCAGTCTGGTTTTGGTTAAGATCTGGTTCAGTTTACTGCTGAGACAGTCAGGTTGAGATCCGGTTCAGTTTAGTGTTGGGTCAGTCTGGTTAAGATCTGGTTCAGTTAAGTGTTTGGTATGTCTGGTTTGGGGTCAGTCTGGTTTTGGTTCAGTTTTGTGTTGGGTCAGGCTGGTTTTGGTTCAGTTTGGAGTTGGGTCAGTCTGGTTTTGGTTTAGTCCGGTTCAGTTTAGTGTTGGTTCAGTCTGGTTCTGGTTCAGTGTTTAGTTTTCGGTCAGTCTAGTTTTGTGTCAGTCTGGTTCTGGTTCAGTTTAGTATTGGGTCAGTCTGGTTCTGGGTGAGTAGCCTACTAAAGTTCAGAATATTTTGTTTCCGACGGTTAAAGTCTGTTCACAGTGAAATCATTATAATTATTAGGGTTTATTATTCCACGTTTCTGGCCCTGAATGGGAAAGTTGCCCCACTTAAGATGGCCGCCACGCAAGCACGTCGCTTCGTGGGCCTCTGTATGTATCTGTGGTTGAACCAATCAGACGGCCACAGCTTGCTGTCGTCGTTGTCGTCGTCCTCATCGTCGTCGTCCGTGCTGTGGACCTATCGGAGATCAAGTTTCTCGTGTTTGCTCTTCAAGTCCTGCCCTCTACAGTCGGAAAAAAGTAATGACGAACAAATGATTATCCTTCACAGTAAAAGCACAGGAAATAACGAAAGCATTAAAGAGGTGTAAATAAACCTTTCTTCGTGGGAATAACGATGAACATCAGAGAGAAAACAGATTTATAACTAAAGTTTGAGGATGTTTTCACTTCGGCCCATGACTTACTGAACTTATAAAACAGGTATGGTTTTTATTTTGTAAGGACTCACCGGAAGTGTAACTGTATAGACGGGCTTTAGAGAAGCAGAGTCCATCTCCTCCTCCGTTATTTCCGTTCATTTATCGTCTAAAATCTTCTTCTTCCTCTTGGTATTCCTCCATCATGGCGGCCGCTGTCCGTCTCCTTCCCGCCCTAACACTCGGCCTCTTGTCCGCTCTTCTTCCGGTCTTGGAGTCCGGCCGCAGGGATGTGCTCGAGCTCGGGGACGCGGACTTCGACTACCTGGCAACGGAGCACGAGACCATGCTGGTGAAATTCTACGCTCCATGGTAACGAAACCAGAAGTTAGCCTTTGCGTTATCTTAGCTTAGCTATATTTGAATGGAGACATTTATCATGTAGTTTATGATGGTCTGACCTTTGACACGAGAGAAAGGCGGGAAAAAAGTACTTACAAATTAGACAACCTCCATCCCTCGATCTCTCCTCCACCCCCCCATCACTCCTCTATCTCTCCTTCATCCCTCCATCTCTCCTTGACCACTCCTCCATCCCTCCACCACTCCTCAATCCCTCCATCCCTCCTTCATTCCTCTACCCCTCCTCCATCCCTCCATCTCTCATCACTCCTCCATCTCTCCTCCATCCCTCCTTCTCTCCATCCCTCCACTCCTCCTCCATATCCTCTCCATCCCTCCATCTCTCCTCTATTCTCTTTAATTTTCTCATTTTTTTTCTCATTTTCTTGTCTTGCCCCCCCCCCCCCCCCCCCCGTCCTTGGCCCCGCCCCCTCAGGTGTGGTCACTGTAAGAAGTTAGCTCCTGACTTTGAGAAGGCGGCGGCTCGTCTGAAGGGAACTGTGCAGCTGGCGAAGGTAAGACCGCTTTATCTTTAATGAAGTATCTTATAAGCAGGGTTCTACACCCTTGTCTCTCACCCCCCCCCCCCCCCAGGTGGATTGTACGGCTCACTCGGACACCTGTTCTCGGTTCAGGGTCTCGGGTTATCCCACTTTAAAGATCTTCAGGAGCGGCAGAGACTCGGGTCTCTATGACGGTCCTCGATCTGCAGGTACGACTGTTACAGAACCACACCTGAGCCAGGTAAACGCTTCGTGGTTAACCTTCAGTACGTGTGTGTGTGTGTGTTTAGATGGGATCTATCACCACATGAAGAGGCAGAGCGGTCCAGACTCAGTTCTCCTGAAGACCGAGGAGAACCTGCAGACCTTCATAAACCACTACGACGCCAGCATCATAGGTAACACATGATCACATGACCTCTTACAGTCACATGACCTCAGACTTGTCTGTTTCTATGGTTTGAACCTCACACACTCTACTCTCAAATTATTGAAGGACACATGATCACATGACGTGTGTGTGTGTGTGTCTATCTATCTGTGTGTGTCTGTGTATATCTGTATGTGTGTATGTGTTTGTATCTGTGGTTGTGTTTGTCCCTCCCTCTCTGTTTCCCTCTCAGGTGTGTTCTCAGGTGAGGACAGCTCCAGGTCGGCTGAGTTCCTGCGTGCTGCAGCTCTCCTCAGGGAACAGTTCAGGTTTGCTCACAGCGCTGATCTTCAGCTGGGGGAGAAGTTCGGACTGAACTCAGAGTGAGTGAACTCACCCTCACACAGTTTTAAAGACAGGGTCAAAGGTTAGAGGGGTCAAAGGTCAGAGGGTCAGGGGTCCAAGGGTTAGGGTTTGGGTCAGGTGACCAAATATGTTCCTGCCTTTGTAATAATATTGTCTGTATGTGACTTTTTTAAGCTAAGGTCGTTGTTAACCTCTCTGTTGGCCTTGTATGTTTTCCTTTTTAATGAATCTTTATTTCACTGTTTTAGCTCTGCGTGACTAACTTAACAGATCAAACATGTTATTGTAGTACTAACAGTTTATTATTATCTTATTGTTATCAGAGAAAATAACTGTTAGATTTTTTGTTGTTTAATATTTGTTGTTTGTTATATTTGTTGTTGTTTGTTGTATTTGGTGTTGTATATGTTGTTGTTTGTTATATTTGTTGCTGTTTGTTGTATTTGTTGATTGTAATATTTGTTGCTGTTTGTTGTAATTGTTGTCTGTTATATTTGTTGCTGTTTGTTGCTGTTCGTTGAATTTGTTGTTTGTTATATTTGTTGTTGTTTGTTGTATTTGTTATTTTTGTTGTTGTTTGTTGTATTTGTTGTTGTTTGTTGTATTTGTTGTTGTTTGTTGTATTTGTTGTTGTTCGTTGTTGTTTGTTGTGTCTGTTGTTTATTAATGTTGGTTGTTTGTTGTTGTATCTGTTGTTTGTTGTTGTTTGTTGTCTTTTGTTGTTGTTTGTTGTTGTTATTTGTTGTTGTTGTCTGTGGTATTTGTTGTTTGTTGTATTTGTTGTTGTTTGTAAATATTTGTCATTGTTTGTTGTATCTGTTGTTGTTTGTTAATATTTGTTGTTTGTTGTTGTTAGTTTTTATTCCTTGTTATTTGTTTGTGTCGTTTGTTTTTTTTCATTGTTGTTGTCATTGGTTATTGTTGTTTGTTAATATTTGTTGTTTGTTGTTATTTGTTATTTGTTTGTTGTGTTTGTTGTTGTTTGTTAGTTTTTATTCATTGTTATCGTTTGTTGTTTGTTGTATTTGTTAGTTTTTATTCGTTGTTATCTGTTGTTGTTTGTTAATATCTGTTCGTTTGTTGTTGTTAGTTTTTATTCCTTGTTATTTGTTTGTGTCGTTTGTTTTTTTTCATTGTTGTTGTCATTGGTTATTGTTGTTTGTTAATATTTGTTGTTTGTTGTTGTTGTTATTTGTTAATGTTTGTTGTTGTTTGTTATTCGTTCATATTTGTCGTTTGTTGTTGCTTATTGTTAGTTTTTATTCATTGTTATCTGTTGTTGTTTGTTAATATCTGTTCGTTTGTTGTTGTTTCAGGGGCGTGCTTCTGTTCAGACCTCCCAGACTGGCCAATAAGTTTGAAGACAGCGTGGTTGTCTTTAGAGATTATCTGACCATCGGGTCTTTAAGACGCTTCATCAGAGATCACATGTGAGTGTGTCCTCCAATCAGATCACAGCCTAACCTGCTTCACATCAGGAGAAAAAACCTGTCAGTCCTGGGGCCTGTTCTACGAAGCAAGTTTGACCTAGCGAGGTAGCCTTGGAGCTACCTCGCTCAACTTAGCGCGGTAGCCAGCGGTCTCGTTAAACGGTCTTATGACACTGGTTACCAACCTCGTAAGTGGATCTAGCTTTGCTATGAGCACATACACGCATGTAAGACAGAACACGCCGCATCTGACCAATCGTGAACATGGACCAGTCTGGAGTGTCACAGCAGGCCGGAGAGTGAAGGACCGCGGACTTTACAAACGAGGAGCAGGAGACGATCATGAGAAAGTATGAAGAATTCAAATCTATCATAAACCTCAGAAGCAACACCGTCGCCGCTGCAAAAGCACGGAAGGAATGCTGTCAGAAAATTGCTGACAGTCTCAATGCATAAGTATAGTGCGCAAAAAATCTTTGATGCCATTATCACCCTGAAATAGCACTGTTCAACATGCGCTTTTAACATGCACCAGACATGTCTAATTCATTTCCAAGATCAATTCATTAATTTGTTCATTCCTGTCGTGTTTACATTTTTTGTGTGATATGTCGGCCATATAAGCCTTTCATAAAGGTGGTCATCCGGAAAAGTAAGTGGGTCCGTGCAGTCCCTGAAAACTCTTGCGCGCCGGAGTGTTCCTCGGACAATGCGAGCACTGAGGCCTATAATAATAATAAAAATAATGCATCAGATTTCATATAGCGCTTTATCAGAGACCCTCAAAGCGCTTTACATTGGATACATCATTCATTCGCTCACACAGTCACACTTTGGTGGTGGTAAACTACCTTAGTAGTCACAGCTGTCCTGGAGCAGACTGACGGAAACGTGGCTGCCAGTTTGTGCCTACGGCCTCTCCGACCACCACCACACAACAATCACAATCATACACCAGTGGACGACACACACTGGGAGCAAGGTGGGTTAAGTGTCTTGTCCAAGGACACTTATTCCCCCCTATCCCACAGACTTGGGATAGGGGGGAATCGAACCGCCAACCTTCCAGTTATTGGACGACCGCTCTACCACCTGAGCTACTGCCGCCCGTCTATAGGATCCTCCAAGAACAGACAAGTCATTTTTCAAGAGAGCTCATTGGTCAGTGGGCGGGGTTTTTATACTCAGTGAGTTCAATCTGGAACCTAACCTGCCCTGGAGCAGGTTAGCCGTTCAGCGTAGGTTGCCATGGAGACTCACCTCGCTAAGAAGTGAACCGGCGTCATAAAACAGGAAACCCCGAACTTACCCTCGAAGTTACCTTGCTAAGCAGTAATCCTGCTTCGTAGAACAGGCCCCTGGTCTGTCTATCCCCGTCTGTCTGTCTGTCTGTGTCTGCAGTTATGGACTCTGTCCTCACATGACTCTGGAGAACAGAGACAGACTGAGAGTGAGGGACCTGCTGACGGCCTACTACAGTCTGGACTACTATCACAACCCCCGAGGATCCAACTATTGGAGGAACAGGTGAGAACTCTTTCAGCCGCAGACAGGTACAGGTAAGGCACAGGTACAGGTGATGCACAGGTACAGGTGATGCACAGGTACAGATTGTAATTATTATTATTATCATCATTTATTATGAATATTATTATTATAATTATTATAATTTATTTTTTATTATTATTGTTATTATTACTATTTATCATTATTATTATTCTTTGTTATAATCAGGTAGAAAATCAACTGAGTGTGACATCACAAGTCTACATTTTAAATGGTAAACAGGTTTTATATTTATCCATCACTTTAAGCCCCACCCCCTCTGTCCTGTCACCAGGGTGATGAAGGTGGTATCTAAATACAGTGGGCAGGGCCTGACATTCTCAGTAGCCAATAAGATGGAGTTCCTGTCTGAGTTGGAGGAGGACTTTGGCCTGGGGATGTCGGATGGAGGAGAGCTGCCGTTTGTCACCATCAGAACCAAACTGGGTCACAAGTTCACCATGAGGGAGGAGTTTACGTACGTGACCGAGTAAACCGGGCTTAACAAGACAAGACCAGGCTAAACCAGACTGAACCGGGCTTAACAAGGCTAAAACTAGTCTGGACTAATCTAAGTGGAACCAGGATAATCCAATGATGCTGAACCATACTAACTGAGAAAATTAGGCTAAAGGGTTAAATATTGTGTGTGTGCGTGTGTGTGTGTGTGTGTGTGTGTGTGTGTGTGTGTGTGTGTGTGTGTGTGTGTGTGTGTGTGTGTGTGTGTGTCAGTCCTTGAAGAGGTTTCTGGACGATTACTTCGCAGGTCATCTGAAACATTACGTGAAGTCTGAACCTTTACCTGAGAGGAACTCTTCACCTGTCCAGGTCAGTCTAAGGAACATGGTCCGGTCACATGGTCTGGGTCAGTTAACTTGGACTCTTTAGCACCATAAGGTTTTTCAAACACTGTAATCAATACAATACAATACAAATACAATACACAAACTCATCTGTGTGTGTGTGTGTGTGTGTGTGTGTGTGTGTGTGTGTGTGTGTGTGTGTGTGTGTGTGTGTGTGTGTTTTCAGGTGGTGGTGGCTGAGTCCTTCGACCAGGTGGTCAATGATCCAGATAAAGATGTTCTAATCCAGTTCTACTCTCCATCTTGTCCACACTGTAAAAAATTGGAACCAGTTTACAGAGAGCTGGCCAACAAGGTAACATCCAATCTCCACCAGAACCAAACCAAAAAGAACCCAACAGAAAAGAACAGAGAAAAATCAGAACGGAACAGAATAGAACAGAACAGAACCAAACAGAACCGAATAGAACAGAACAGAACAGAACCAAACAGAAAAAAATAGAACAGAACAGGACTGAACAGAACGGAACCAAACAGAACAGAACAGAATCAGACAGAACATAACAGAAGAGCGCCCTCTGGTGTCTGCAGAGGGTTGGTGGAGAAGAGCTGCTGACTCAAAGCGTTTTTGTGAAAGTTTATTTTTGTGTTGTTTAGAGAGTTTAGAGTTTATGACTGAATGAATGAATGTTTTTATAAAGTTCTGTAGAGTTTATGAATGAATGAATGTTTTTAATCTCTATGATTCTACCCCCCCCACACACACACACACACACACACACACACACACACACACAGCTGTACTACGACCCCAACATCGTCATTGCTAAAATGAACGCTGCTGAAAACGACGTGCCGTTGAGCTACAATGTTCAGGGGTGAGTTCAGGACTTCAGATCCAGTCTATTTTAGTCTGTGGTCTCAGGGGGATCACCTGTTGGGGTCACCTGTTGGATCAGGCTCAGGTGTGGAGCAGGTCTCAGCTCTCTGTTTGCTCTCTCTGCAGGTTTCCCACCATTTTTTTTTCTCAGGCGGGTAGAAAGCACGAGCCAATCAGATACCAGGTAACTCCAGCACACTTAAACACACTTATACACACACACTCACGCACACATACACAGGTGACCCGGCTGTGGTTCTGGAGAGTCTGTCCTCCTGTCCTCTGAGCAGGTTCTTGACTCAGGTGAGACCGGCTGTCCTGACACTCGGGTTTACCTGAACACCTGCTGAGCTGTCAGTCAGGTGACCACAGACACAGGTGAGGAGGTCCTGAGGTTTACCTGCTGTCAATCACACCAGGGGTCCGTTTCACGTAGGTGGTTCAACAAACTCTGAGTTAAATCCTTAACTCTGAGTTGATCTACTCTGAGTTAGGAAACTCTGAGTTTCCGGTTTCACAACACCTGATTTGAGTCGGTTTTAACAACTCCGAGTAGTTTGACCTGGAGTTAAGCACGTGCACGCCAGACATAAACAGCCAGCATCTGTGGAGCCCAGATTCATTGATCAACCAACGGAAACAGGGAGAAGGAGGGGGCAGCAGCAAGCCAACAGCGAATTACAGCACGTTTTTAAAAGAAAGTGCAATACAGCAGCAGCTGCAAAGGAGAGGGAGAGGGCATGGGAGGAAATTGCTGCTCACGTCAATGCGTAACTTTAAATCTAGTCTCGTGCAATCACAATGACAGACTGTTGCAGGGAAACTGCTTGCATGGAGCCAATTAATTTATTTTATGTAGGTGCAATCCAGCGGGACAAAAGTGCACTTGGCAGCAGCTGAAAATTAAATATAAAAACATTGTGCAAACAGGTGAGACATCTGCATTTTCTCATTTTGATCATGTTTTACATTGTCAAGTAAGTATTAAGTGGCAGTTTGATCCCTTAGAAAATGCTCTTTTCACACTCAAAAATGAATTTTACTCTCTTATGATGTTCCGTTAAATGATTAGGAATATTAAACTAACTCTCAGTATGTTTATGTACATATATTAAACTAACACACACTACACTCAATATTAGACTTTAGACTATTAGACTATATTAGACTAAAACGGCTTGTCCGTTCTTGGAGGATCCTGTAGACCTCGGTGCTCGCATTGTCCGAGGAGGAGCACTCCGGTTTACAGGGAGAGTTTTCTCCGGATGACCACCTTTATGAAAGGCTCATATGGCCGACATATTACACAAAACATGTAAACACGATAGGAATGAACACATGAATGATTCATCTTGGGAATAAATGGGCATGAGCTGCATGGGCTGCGCGATCACAGACAACATCTCGGTACTATTTAGTAGCAGCGCACGCCCCTTATTATAACCCCCTAAATACTGTTGTTCAGGACTGCTTACTTGTGCTTCCTACCCACTGTAATAACCGTTGTTTTAGCCCACATGCAACATTTTTGTTCTCATTCATGAAACGCTTAAATCAGGGACATTTTCGGGGACAGATCATCCAATTCGGGGACTGTCACCTTAGTTAAAAGCGCATGTTGAACAGTGCTATTTCAGGGTGATAATGGCATCAAAGATTAATTTTCTGCCAGCATTCCCTCCGTGCTTTTGCAGCAGTGACGGTGTTGCTTTTGAGGTTTATGATAGATTTTAATTCTTCAGACTTTCTCATGATCGTCTCCTGTTCCTCGTTTGTAAAGTCTGCGGTCCTTCACTCTCCAGCCTGCTGTGACGCTCCAGACTGGTCCATGTTCGCGATTGGTCAGATGCGGCGGGCTCCGCCTTATATGTGTGCACGCGTTCATGGCAAAGCTGGATCCACTTATGAGGTTGATAACCAGCGTCGTAAAACCGCTTAGCGAGACCGCTGGCTACCGCGCTAAGTTGAGCGAGGTAGCTCCAAGGCTACCTCGCTAAGTTGAACTTGCTTCGTAGAACAGGCCCCTGGTTAGGTTCACAGAGTCTGTTACTATGGTAACTGACCGCAAGGTTGAGTTACCTCTCTTTGTGAAACAGGTTAGAGTTACCCCTCTCTCTCTGGTTTAACTGACCCTCCTTTGTGAAACGGAAAACTCCGAGTTTCCCTGATTTCAGGGTTAACAGACTCTGAGTTTCCATTAAACCTGCTATGTGAAACGGACCTCAGGTGTTACCCATAATCCTCTCTGACTGGTTACACCTGTGGCAATCTGGAGGTGAGCTCAAAACTCCATCTGAGGATACAAGTACAATCACTTGAGCCTAAACCTGGATCTAAGCTCAGAGTGATCTGTAAGGCATCTTCAATGCTTAAACCTCCTCCAGACTCCTCCGTCACACCGCCTCACCTCCACCTCCTCCTCCTTCTCCTCTCCTCCACCTCCTCCTTCTTCTGAACGTCAAACAGAACATTATCGCAATTCTGAATCTCCTAACCCGACAGTCACATGATCCCTGCAGTCACATGACCCCTGTCAAACCTACTCTGCTGTGTCCTCAGGGTGGACGGGAGCTCCGGGACTTCCTGAAGTTCCTGCGGCGTGAGGCGACCCACAGTTTGGTTCTCGACGGATTCAAAGACGAGCTCTGAGTCAGACCAATCAGGACTGACCAGCTGCTCTTTGGGGGGTGGAACCAGACCTGAATCTGGACCAGGGAAAGGAGGTTCCAGTTGGACAGCTGCTGGATCCTCCCGAAAACCTAAACCCTGAACCCTGGACCCTGACCCCTGACCCCTCCACACCTCCTGGAAACCTCACAGTCTCATCACGGCGCTCCAAACTCTGCAGAGACGCCCACCTGTGGAAATAAATGTCTCGGAGAGTCTGCAGAGACCCCTCATCCAGGTCTGTAGGGCAGACCTGAACTCTTATAGACAGGAACAGAGCGTGTGAGAGGACCTGGGGCCTCATGTATCAACGCTTGCGGCGCAAGAAAACCTTGCGTACGCCAAAATCGGCGCACACGTCCAGATTTATCATCGCGAAACGAGCGTCGGTTCCAGCGCTAATCAACGCAAAGTCAGGAGGTGGTGTAGAAGTTGGCGTTGAGCCGATACTTGCGTTGACTGTGATTCGCACTTTGGCGACGCTGTGTGGCGGTGTTTGGTGACTCACTATGTGACAAGCGTGCACCACATCCCCGTGGCCGGGCAGCACGTCGCCCCACATGACGAACCAGCAGCAGACGGAGGGATGCGAGCTGATCCCTGCCGGGCCGCCGTCCTCGCGCGGGAGAATCTCATCGCCACAGTGTGAATGGGTAAGAAGTGAATACACAGTTCAATGAGCCAAATTAATTTATTTTCTCCACCAGACGCTCGAGGAAATTTACGAGCCGGTCCAGCCGCTCGTTGATCCCCGCGATCCCCCTGATGATTTCTTCCTGCGATTGCAGGACCCCCTCCGCGAGGACCCTTCCACTGCGTCCGGGTGGTCCAGCGGAAGCGCCGCGGCTGGTGGACGCTCCACCGCTTGTCGGCGCGCTGGTGCTGATGCTGGTGCTGATGCTGGTGCTGGGGCCGGGGTGGCCCGAATGCCGCTGGTCCTGGCCGACGACTCCGAGCCGGCGGACGGGCTGCCGCGGGCCGGGGTTCCGCAAGCCGGCGACACGGCCGACACATTAATTTCTGTGACACAATAAAAATATTAGTTCATTTCAATTCCTGCTTCTGTGTATCTGTTGCGTTTACATCTCTCTCCACGGTATCATAGGTAATGTAATCCAGTATTTCGAGGTCAGTTATGCACATTACAGTTGTTTATTGCATAAAAAGTTATTGAAAAATGAAGTTAAGGGCGAAGTATAAATCACGTCTAAAAATAGACTGAATCCCGACGTTGAAATGAAGTATAAACTTAGACTAGACGTCTAATATACGTCTTTTGCTCAGTGGGATGACAAAGCATGTGGACATTTGTGTGACACGCCACTTACCCTATAATAATAATCGCCACCACCCGCTGCTCAAACGGTGTGAGGGTCTCCTCCCCCGGACCCCCACCTGTCTGGCCGGTACTCCTCCGGAGGGCAGCTGTACGCCGCTTGACCTCCACCTTGAGGTCCGACCACTTTTTTTTAATCTCCGCGGGGGTGCGTGTCTCGGAACCCACCGCATTCACCCTCTCGCAAACTTTCTCCCACTCCAAGCGTTTTTGTTTTGCACTGACGCCACTGGACAGGCTGCCAAACAAAACACGCTGTCGCTCCTCCACCTCCGCCACCAGCACCTCCACCTCGCACGCCGTAAATGTAGTTTTTCTTGTCATTTTGTCTGCGTGCGAGGACAGGGAGACCCTATTTAAATAAATCTGCATATTTATAGGAGGGCGTAACGGGGACGGGCCCAGTCACTCCGACATCTGCGCTCAATTCCACGCTGATTGGGATTTATCAAGGAAACACACGTGGATTTCGGCGCCCGCACACATTGATACATACGGATTTTTTTCAGCGTGACGGACCTTGCGTGCGCTCGTTTCTGGTATGAGTTCCACGCAAGTGTTGATACATGAGGCCCCAGATCCGGAACCGGACCTGAGGCTTTGTGACGGTTTCATCCACGACATCACCAGAACACCTGCAGATGTTCTTATTTCTTTTTCTTTATTTTATTTTAATTTATTTCATATATTTTTTTGTATTAATTTTATTTTATTAATTTATTTGTTTTTTTATTTTATTGAACTTTATTTATTAAATTTATTTTATTAAATCATTTATTTATTTGTTTGTTTATTTATTTTATTTATTTAATTTTTATTTGTTTATTTATTTATTTTATTTATTGATTTATTTATTTTATATTTATTTATTTGTTTGTTTGTCTGTTTGTTTATTTATTTTATTTTTATTTATCAGTTTGTTTATTTTATTTCCTATTTTATTCATTTATTTTAATTTTATTTATTTGTTTGTTTATTTATTTATTTATTTATTTTTTGTTTGTTTGTTTGTGGGGGAGTGGCCTTAGTGTGCTTTTGGGGAGTAGAAATGCATGCTGGGAAACATGAAGACAACAAAAACTGAAGCTGAATATTTGAAAAAAGATTTTTTTTTAATGTGGATTATTTTTTTAAAAACAAGTGATTGTTGTTTTGATGGTTTCAGATTTCTTTTTCCTTTTTTTGTGAATCAGAGAAATAAAAACTTTAAAATCTCTTCATCAATAAACATCCTAAAAATAATAAGGGCTGAGTTTATTGATCAGACTGTCTCTTTTTCCACTAACCCTTTATTATTCATGTGTTCATTTGTCACTTTACTCTGACCTAAAGGTAAAGCTGAAGCAGGTGTTACTGGTAAAATTCAGAGACAATCGTCAGCTGAAGAAAATTTCGGCAGAAAAAAACACCTACAGGTGGCACTATTACACAGGTCTGTTTGTTGTTATTCATATCTTTATTGAGAGGGATTGCGAAGCATACTGAAAGCCCCTGGCCTCTCCTGCGGACGTCCAGAATCCTGTTCACTGTGTAGGCGGGGTGGTCGTGGTGCTGGGGGCTGGAGGGGGCAGTTGGTGACAGGTTTAAGGAGGGAGACATGGAATACCGGGTGAAATGAAATCTCACTCAGGGGTCGATCTCTCCATGTGGGATCCCTTCACCAAGTTTTTTGGCAAGTATTCATCACTCGTGACATCTATCCTCACTTCTATTGCAGTGTTTGCGGCCATCCTGGTGTGTTGCGGTTGTTGCTGTATCCCCTGTGCCCGTTCCTTGTGTAACCGTCTCATTGTGACTGCCCTGGAGAAAAAGGGGGACTCTCCTCCTCCTCCTTATCAGATGCTACAATACCAACCGGTCCCCACCTCTGACCCCACAGGGGAGCCCTCTAGCTCTCTCCCATCTGCTTCTAGCCATAGTACCGTTGATGACGACCCAAACTCCTCAGTGTCCATGGAATTCAGGCTGTTGGGCGCCCATTAAAAGTGATCTCTTTGAAGAGATCAAAAGGGGGAATTTGTGGGAACTCACAGGTTCATGCTAATCATTTAACCATCACATGTTCACGCTAATCATTTAATCATTGATGACAATCATTTAATCATTGTTTCAGGTAATTAACTGTTTTCTTATTGTGTTTACATTCTTTTGTGTGCTCATTGCGGACATGTACTGATGAGTCAGATAAGAAGGTTTAATGCTAACACGGGGGCAATCGACCACTGTGTCACAATGTATAGAACAGAGACTTTCAGTATAGAAGGATTTTAGCTTATGCCTAGAAGTGCCAAGGGTTGGTAAGTATGGTTTTAAACTGTTCTGCCTTAACAGTCATTTATTTGAAGTGTGTATTATAATCATAACAGTCATTTATTAAAAAGTGTGCTTTATAATCATCACAGTCATTCATTAAAAGTGTTCCTTATAAAAGTGCTCTATGACCCTGACATATGCCTTAGATAATGATGTGCCTTTCATAAACAGATGTGCAGGTGCTAGTCAGAGATGTGAACAACAGGACGAGGGAGGAAGATCACTCTGTCCTGAGAAGATGTGGAGGTGTAAAGGGAGGGTTTGCATGCCCAGCAGTCTGATCAGTGGGAACTCAGTGAAAGCTTGGAATACATGACGCAAATATGATAAAAGGAGACAAGCGCTGGATGCATCCAAGGTCAACTTCCCTGAAACCACGGTTTCGGTCAGGTAAAAACAATAGAACAATACGTGCTTGTTTGTCCATAGAGAAACACTGGGGACTGCTGGTTATGTAAACTCTCCGCCCATAAAGATGATGAGACGCCTCCTAGGGTATAACTATTAACTACTGAAAAATAGTAATCAGACCACCTCAGAGATACCATTGGGTTGATGTTGTGCTCTCCAAGATATCTTGTGTTATTTGATGTGCCGAAATAAAAGGTTTGTTGAAGACACCTTTTTGCCTCAGTGAATCCTCTGTTCCAGTCTCCATCAACGGACTCGGGGAAGTTTGAATTAACTTCAACAAAACTCAGTTTGAATTTTTCAAGTTGATGTAAATTAAATATATTGTGTAATGTGTTCATGTGTCATTTACATTTTTTTTTCTACTTCTTTCATCTTGAAGGCTTTTTCAGACATCTTTAAAATTCTTTACCACATTTTCTGCAATGTTTAAATTCCGTTCTTTTACAATTTTTTCATAGAACTTCTACTTTATCTCTCCAAGTGTTTTTTCATTCATACAACTTCTATTTCTTTTTTATTATCTTCTTCAGTTCTGTTACGGTTTAAAAATTCATACAACTTCTACTTCTTACACTTCGACTCTTCAACATTTACATTTTACATGTATACTTTCCTCTATTTTTTTTCCACAGTTTTGCTTTTCAGTTTCCAGCTTTCAGCATTTCCACGCATTTTCTGCAAGGAAATGCAACTTTTCTAGTTTTTATTGACTTACACAAAGTACAGAAAAAAGAGATGACCCCAAAAAGTAACACAGACCAAAGAGAAAAATAAACTAAAATGGAGTTTCTTCAAACTGAGACAATAAACTCCTGCTGTTCACTGTTTTGGTAAAAATATATGAATTATAATGGAGTAATAATGAAGTCTGGAAAAAGTCAGATTTTTTCCTGTAACATCTTCTTATGGAACTTCAGATTAACCCAATAAACGTCAAAATAAAATAAAAACATGTTTCTCCTGTAATTACGTTAATGTTGTTGTTGATCATATATTTATATTTCAACATAAATCTCAGCTGATGTTTTGTGTCAGAGCTGATAAGGTGACAGATTTTCATTATTATCACACTTACTTTAGATTAAAACAGATTAAATTTTGCTGTAAAAGTGAGTTTATCTCCATATTATTGACATTTACAATGCCTGAATATGCTAAAATAAGGTTCACTTAGTCAATTTAACCATTTATTAGGAACCGAGGAGCCGATCTGACGGAGACAACAAAGTTCCCTCAGTAATAAATAAAGTTGATTTTATCTTTATTAAACTAATAAAACTAAAAAGCTTCTCAGAAAAACCCAGAGGAGTCATTTTAAATAAAGGATTATTTCATGATTTTCATTGGTAAAGGCTTCTGTCCGTCATACAATCCTCTCAGTTGATTGGTCTTTTACATGCTGGTTTTCCCGCCCCTGCCTTTTAGCCCTCCCTTTCCTCGTGCGCCCCAGAACCTTCCAAGCTACCTGTCCGACTCGGTCGTGAAAATGTTCGGTCAGCAGGTCCTAGTGCTCAGTAAGTACTTGAAAATAACACCGTTTTTACTCCCTTAAAGGTTTAAGATAACGGGCCGGTACCGGAACCGAAGCCTTGGACAGAGAGAGGCCCGGAAACGACACAATGCAGGGACCGGCACGCGCTGTGTGCTAACCGGCTAACCGTCTGATAGCTAGTTAGCATGTTAGCATCCCGGAGAGCATGTGGAGAGATTAAAGTCTGATAATCTGAGATAATCTCACACTCTGACTCCGGATTTAACTTCAATAATAACCGTTCATGTGTCTGAATGAGGGCCTCTGGTTAGTTAATGTTAATGTATTTAATTAAACTAATAATTATCTGTGTTAGCCTCTAATGTTAGCTACAGCCTGAAACCACACCCTCAGATCGAAAATTCAATTAGATTATTATAATAATGCCGTTGTTCTATTATTAGTTATTAGTGGAAATGAAGAGGACAGTGCTGCAGGATGAGTCCTTCTGATAATCAATAATCACTCAGCTTTGATTATATCAGATGAAGTAGATCAATACATATTACTAATATTAAAGATAATGTTAAATAATATTTAAGATAATATTAAAGATAATGTTAAATAAAAATATTAAATAATAATCTTAAGGATAATTTAAATAATATTAAATAATATTAACGATAATGTTAAATATTAATATTAAGGATAATTTGAAATAATATTAAAGACAATTTTAAAGATAATGTTGAATAATAATATTAAGGATAATTTGAAATAATAAAAAATAATAAAGACAATATTAAAGATAATGTTAAATAATTATTAAATAGTAATGTTAAAGACAATATTTAAGATAATGTTAAATAATAGTGTTAAATAATAATATTAAAGACACTATTAAATAATATTAAAGAAGAGAGACAGAAGCTCGGGTTAAATCTAAGGAGGAGTTTTTTGTCTGTAAAAATGAGATCAAACCTGAAGTCCTCTGTTAATGATCAATAATCATCAAGGGTTTCCCCTAGGATTTTTTAAGCTGTGGTGGTGGGCTGCATGAGAGGTGGACAGCCGCAATTTGTCGTGCCACTGCTTCTTTGCTGGTGACAGCAGAATTGTTTTATATCATGACAAAAAAGAATTTTTATGAATAACAGTTATTTATTTTTTGCCAGTCTTGAACAAAGACAAGAAAGTTTCTACCATTACTACTCGCAAAGCTTGCATCCTATCTGAGAGCACTTCATTTTTCTTGATTTTTAAAAAAAAACCCAAGATGGGAATCTAACTGTGGTGGTGAGTTAACCCATTAAGACCTGAACCCTGTCTGAGACTCACCTCCCAAATCCTGAGGGCCATTTTGAGAAGGGCCCCCAGATCCTGAGGTTTTCTCAATGTTGAGGTTTACAAAAAGCTGATATCTCAGCCTCTGTAGCAGATAGAAACAACATTCAAAAAGTATTTGAGAGCTTACACATGTGGCTTTCAAGATGACTATATTTTATTTTTCTGAAACTTCATCAGATTATTGAAAACCTTAAACTCAAATGAAATAAAGCAGCTGTATAAATAAAAGTAAAGACTCTGCACTGGAGAATAACAAACTATTTGCTTTCTGCAAAACAAGTGGCGGTCATGATAAAGTGTCCATTCAATACAAATGCAAATATAAAAAATAAAGTGTTGAAAGGGTATACAGCTGCCCCAGTATAGTGCCAGTACAAAAGCAGCACTAAAAATAAATAAATGAGCGGCTGATAGTGTGTTCATGTCTGTGCTCACCCAAAGTCATGCAACACTCACAGAAATCGCCGATATGGTGAGCCAAAGAACTCAATATGAAGAGGTTGTTCACCCTGCTGGATGCTTCTCCTCCAAAGCTGCTCTCTGCCTCTATCATTGTTTACTTTCTTCATGAAGCACGTAGCAAGATCCGAGCATGAATCGGATTGCTTTATTAAGCTTTATTAGCCTATCAGAGGCAGACGGGTATGATGATTTGATTCACCACGACTCCAGAAATGATTGAAAAACTACAAAATGTTACAAGATGACGTATCCCGGCTCGAAGAGTAGACATGCGCAGCCGTGCTCCCAGCTTGGAAGGTTGAAATGCGTACATGCTGTCCCAGTTTAAATGGGTTAATGGGGGTTGGGGGGAGTAATGAAGCAGCAGTGACATCGCCAACGATAACTCACGAATCCTAATACTTGGCGCGTGCACGTATGTATATACATATGAGCCCAAGATCGAGCTATGTAAGAAAACACCTCATTTTAAAGGTGTGGCGGTTTTTATTTAGCTGTGGCGGTGCGCCACGTTCAATTGCATGTAGGGGAAACCTGTCATCAATAAAGTGTTTGTGTATGTTATTTTTTTCAGGTGATCAAGTCAGACCTTTCAGGCACTTTCATAACCCCTGTGCGCTTTCAGAGCGGACAGTCCTGTCCTCTTCAGTTTGATGGTTTAGTTTTTTAAAAAAAAAGGATTTTTAGTGTTAAAGTGAAGAGCGAGATCAATAATTAATGTCCGATACGTTCATCAGACTCCCTCTGAATCTGTTCAGGCGCTCGGGGTTGACTCTTGTTGCCATGGTAACAGAACTTTAACAGTCCTCTGTGAACCCGATCATCAGTCAGAGGTTAAGAACTCGTGTTTGGTTTTTTCTCTGCAGACCAGAACGTGAAGAGAGAGTCAGGACGTAAAGTTCAGACCGGAAACATCAACGCCGCGAAGGTGAGACCGTCCTTTGATCCTCAAACCAGATCCATCAGACTCTGGACTCATGTTTACTCTGCCCATCTCTTTCACAGACCATCGCAGATGTGATCCGGACCTGTTTAGGCCCACGGGCCATGATGAAGGTGAGCCTCAGAACTAAACATGCACCAATCAATCAGCCGGCCGATCGATCGGCACCAATTCCCTCTAATTTGGGAGATCAGTGGTCAGCTGATCTTTACATATGAAACCAATTTTATCCACCGATCTTATCAACCTCAGCAAAGGTCTGAAAGTTGGCTGTTGGCGCTTTTTGATTTAACAGACTGACAGGCCCCGCCCATCAGGTCACATGTCCACCCACACATATGTCAGTGGCAACCGCACACAAAACAGTCATCCAGAGCGTGATCAACCAAACATGCTGAACCCACTACAGGGAAACCTAAACCTCAGGACAGTTTATGGTTGGTTTAAGTTGTGCTGTTTTCTATTTTTTAAACAATATTTTATTATGTTTTTACATATAAGAAAAACATACAAATAACACTGCAGCAATAGCAATGATGTATAAATGCACTATACAACAAAACTATCAAAAAATTGAAAGGAGAAAAACAAGTGAATAAATATAAAAATATTTAAAAATAGTAATAACACAAGTAAAACAGTAGTAACAGAAAAAAAACAGCTGAAAAAGTAGCCGCAGTGGTGACTTGAAGACCTCAACAACATTCTCATCCTCCAAAAATTCCAAATAAGGTTTCCATACTGTAATAAACTGTTTTCTTTTCCCTCTGACAATATATGCAAGTCTTTCCAACGCAAGATATGTTGCAATCTCCTTCAACCAAAATTTTACAGAGGGCAACTATATACTTTTCCAGAAAAGAGTGATCAGTCTTCTAGCTTGTAGAAGCCCAAAATCAATCAATACTGATTGTTGAGTTGACAACTAAGTTTGGGGTATATACCCAGGATATAGAGTTTGGCTTGCAGGCGAACATCCTTACCCACCATCTGGGAAATGGCCCGCATCACATTCTGCCAAAATGATTGGGTCGGGGTCAGGAGATTTTTTATTTTTATTATTATGTGATTGACTTAATATGTAAACTTAGCACTTCAGAAATCGGCCCTTTAAATGACACTTGGACGGTCAGCAAATCCTCCTGGCTGCTTTGCTGACAAGAACCAATCATAGGCCAAACTGTGTTCCATTATTCAAATCATGCGCACACTCTTCACGTGTACTTGGAGTGCTTGAAGAGCCTGTGGTAGCATTGCAAAGCTGCGAGAACGAGAAGCAGGACTTATCCACGCCGGTGTTGTGCCATAGAATGCACCCCTGCCGTAGAATGCCCCCCTGATGAGAGCGCGGTTGAAAGTACATAACAAAGCGAAATAATCCAAGTTTTCCTTACCGTTGGACGGATTCAAAAGCGTGTGCCTTTAATGACTTCATTCAGGTTATTCAAATAAGCCGAAAACAACAGCCCTCTAAATCAGAATATTCGCTGTCCCGAGACATTGTGTCATTTTTGAGACACATTTAAACAGAACGAAAGTTTGCTAGTAGTCATGATCCAAATACTCGTGCCTTTGTAAAATATGAGCTCATTTTCTTCCACTTTAAGAAGCTAATGAGTGGACAGGATGCAGGGGTGCATTCTATGGCACAACACCGGGGACAAGGTAGACCAGAGCGTAGCGTACACATTTACCTGCATTTACCAGCTGATTGAATTTGGTGAGTAATGGTTTCAATCGTTTTCATATTTTGTGGTATAACAAAGTTACTGCCGTTCGCTACAGCTTGCGTTGAACACTGCCAGAGCTAGCCAAATCTCCAGTGAGAAAATAGCTCCCATTTGCTTGATATTAAGTTAGCGTCAAGCTTGTGTAGTTAACAGTAACATAAAAGAAGAAACACAAGCTTCTTTCTAATATCTCTGTAATTGGTATTTCGGGGACGTGTGAGGATAATATTCAGGTGAGGGGCTGAAAAGGCTGAAGGTGAAGTGGTAAACTCTAGAACTTGTTGTCCTATGCTTTGGCCCATGCTTAAAGCCTTTTGTGACAAAATAAAAACATGTGAACCCTGGTCTTTTTAACACTCCTTTTCGCCGCTGATGTTATTCATTGATTCATTAAAACGTAATGGTTTTGAGCCATCTAAAATAGCGAAAGCGGGTGTCTCGCGTTTACTGCTCTGCAGGGCTCTCATGTCTCACGCATTCAGCGTGTGACACACGCGTTCCCACCCGTTCACACGCTCAGAAATCAACTGAGTTGCTCCGAGAGTTCAAAAGCTGCATGCCACGCGCAAGCCAATCAAATAAAGTATATCTACTGAACAGCCAATCAAAAAGCAGCATTGCTGTATCCGGGTAGATTTTGATATCTTGTGGTTTGACTACAGAAGAAGACAGACACTCGCCGAAATAGAGCAGGTTTTTATAAGGACGAGGTAGACCCGATGATTACAGTAAGTCAGTAACCTACACATGCAAAGACCTCAACACCTCATGGCAGATAAACTCATATGATAAACTAAAGCCTTATGCTATTGCTATTAACAGCTGTATTGATGAATTTAGCCTCTGTACAGCCTTTCCAGCCATTTTCCCCTCCACAAAAGCAGCATTTCTTATATATTCTTTTCAAAGTTCTGACAGTGTAACACTCATGTACCAAAGGATTAAGTATCTCCATGTTTGTGAAATGTATACTAAAGTACAATTCATCTAAATGCTCCTCAGTGCTGATTTTAGCAACTCTCCTCCACAACAGGTAACTTTACAACTTTATTCTTATATATTATTGACTTATTCTCCTAAATAATAACTTTATTGTCTAAGAATTCCTTGGAAATTATTTTGTAGCCCTCTCCTGACTGATATCTTTGAATAATGAGATCCCTCTGATGCTTTGGAAGCTCTCTGCTGACCATGGCTTTTGCTGGAAGATGTGGCTACAAAAAAAATGTCAGGAAAAGCCTACTAGAACAGCAGAACTTTATTTGGGGTTGATCAGAGGCACTTTAATTGGTGACAGGTGTGTGCTGACTCCAATTTAACCTGAATTTGAATGTTATTGGTTAAATCTGAACACAGCCACATCCCCAGTTATTAAAGGGTGCAACCACATGATCTCAGTTGTTTATTTTTACTTCACCTCCCTGAAAGATTTCTGTTTGTTTTTCAATTCTGTTGTACAGGTTATAGGTCACATTAAAGGTGGAAGAAGTTGTAAAAATATTTATCTTGCTGTCATTTTCTTACATCACAAAAACCTGGCATTTGAACAGGGGTGTGTAGACATTTTATATTCGCTGTATATCCTCTCCAATATCGACTTTCCATGCTTCTAATCTGTCCTTAGATGATTCCTTTTCATAAGATATCAAAGTCCCATAAAACAAAGATACTAGACCCCTTTTAGCCAGATTTGTAATGATCAGGTTTTCAAGATTTATCAAAGGTGGCTCAGACATTTAGCCTTTATTTTTGATAATATAAAATGTTTCAGTTGTAAATATTTGAAAAAATGCTTTATTGGTACATCATGTTCCTTACATATTTGCACAAAGCTAAGTAGTTTGCCATCTCTATATAGATTACCTACACATTACACACCTTTGGTTGCCCAAAGCTTGAAACCACCATCACCTCTACCTGGTGTAAAATCACTGTTTCCCCATGTAGGAGAAAAACGGTATAAAGCAGGGATGTCTCCAATATGCTGGTGCACATGATACCAAATGGCAATGGCATTTTTAAGAAAAAGATTCTTTGTCTTTTTTTCCAATGTTTTAAGATATGCTGAATATAGCTTGAGGGGTAGTTCTGACGTAGTTGTTTGTTCAATATTTACCCCAGCTGGAAGAATATCTGAGCTAAAATAAAATGAAGCAGAGTGTAATTCAGTTTTGTTGTTAGTTTGCCCTGTAGATTATTATTCTACTAACTTCCTCAAACTTTGATTTCCTTTATTTTTCTAAGTAAAATACTGCTGTGAACTTTATTTTGGTAAGAGGCTCAAAACAGGCCTGCGGTCTGACAGGTGACCAATCAGAAACTGATACAGCACCTGTGTGTGTGTGTGTGTGTGTGTGCGTGTGTGTGTGTGTGTGTGTGTGTGTGTGTGTGTGTGTGTGTGTGTGTGTGTGTGTGTGTGTGTGTGTGTGTGTGACGCCCAGATGCTGCTGGACCCTCAGGGGGGGATCGTGATGACTAATGACGGGAACGCCATCCTCAGAGAGGTGAGTGTGGATCTAGAACAGCTGTGCTCTGATTGGTCAGCAGCTGTCTCACTAAGAGAACAGCTGCGCTCTGATTGGTCAGCAGCTGTCTCACTAACAGAGGTCACACTCTGGTCCAGAACGTCTGTGTGTGTTTTTGACGGGCTGCTTTTGTGGGCAGGGCCAAATGCAGCCTCTTATTTTTTTAATTAAAACCACTTATGAAACTGTGTCTCCATGGCAACAGATCCAGGTCCAGCATCCTGCAGCCAAGTCCATGATCGAGATCAGCCGCACTCAGGACGAGGAGGTCGGAGACGGAACCACATCGGTCATCATCCTGGGTAAGAGGATAGACCGGAGTGTGGTGGTCGGGTCTACGTGGTCCAGATCCCCTAGAACACACCTGTTCTCAGTGTGTTTGAAATTATGTGAAACTAAAAACACTCAAGTTAAAAACACAGCTGTCAGTCTTGGGCGTCGAAAACAACAACACTCACTTTAATCAGTGCTTTTTTTTTTTTTTTTATAACTTAAAGTTTACTAATTTTTCAATGTTGTAACAAAGAAACGAACATCGAACAAACAGATGTAATGGAGGTCAAAAATAGAAATAATGATCAAATAAATAAAATAAAATAAAAATAAGACAGGCAGGTAAGTTGGCAAGGTAAGACAGTTAATACACCTGTCCCATTTTTCTTTTCTCATTTTCACAGTTTTAATCTCCCCGACATCTTCTCTCATGCTCCAGTCTCCATTTTTAATCCAGTTTTTAATATTTTACAACTGTATTTATTCAACAGGATCACCTAAGGAGACATCATCTGGTGATCTGGGAAGTTTGTAATTTAATGATTTGCTCATATAGTCTATAACTTTTTCCCATAAGGGGAGGACCTTAGAACATTACCATGAATAAATGTTCCACTGTCGGCCCCACACTTCCAACATAGATCATTATTAATTAAACCCATTCTGTTAAGTCTTGATGGTGTAGAATAATATCTATGAATTTTTTTATACTGAATAAATTTGCCTCTCATGTATTCTTCAGTGTTGGAGATAAGATGATAAGAACTTTATTAAAGGTGGTGTATTCAAGATCTGATGAAGTTCCAGTTTTTAGGGGAAATCTTAAATATCAACTGTACCCCTCCCACCAGTTTTCCCCTCAGCTCCTCCTCTCCCCTCCCACTCTGCTCCAGCAAGCCCCGCCCACAAACAGACGCTCCTGCTCGCTCGTATCGTTCCAATTCAATTCAGATATAATGCAGATAAATGCTTAAGATAACTGGAAAAATTGCATTTCCTTACAGAAAATGCGTGGAAATGCTGAGTGCTGAAAGCTGAAAAACCGATGCAAAACTGCTAATAAAAAATGAAGGAAGGTTTAAATGTAAAATTGGTTAAAGGGCTGGAGAAAGATAAAGTAGAAGTTGGATGAAAGTGAAAATTGCTGAAGTACAAATGGTATAAATGTGCTTTATAAATTAAAATTGCATTCATGCTGAATTAGGCGTACTTTGTTAAAGCGGTTTACCTGTCCAGCAGAAAGGTTACAGGGTCACCATGATCCCAAAGCATCTCCCATCGTTTATGTTGACCCAGGTTTTTAGCTCTTGTCCGGTCTACCTCCATTTTAAGTGCCCGTTATTCCACCAGAGTCTCCGGTATTTACTTCGTTTTCTTGCTTGTGTTGGCAGTCGTGGCCAGAGGAGGATTCAGACAATAACATCAATAACTAAAAACTATTGACTGATATTAAAAGATTTTTTTGTATTTTCACCTCAAAAAAGATGCTCCTTTAACGGATTCCTGCCTACACCACCTTTAAGACAGATGGATCCCTTCCCATGTTTTTTTATCCAGTGTATAAGACAGATCTTTCTTACAATTGTTACAACCATGATTATTTGTCCAAGGACATATCTCACACCATCTTGAAGCTTCAGGATGTATTTTGGGTAACTGCAAGTAGGATTTGATTGGACCTCTGTCCTGATCAACAGGAACCTCCTCTGTGATACAGTCTCTTATTTTTAAGTACTACCAAATTTGGACTCTGCCCTCTAAATTAAAATTTTCTTTAAATCTAATAGAGGAAAGAAAATTAACATTGTAATCAGCTGTTTTTTTTACACTCTGAGAAAACAGTCTTTGAAGAGCCAATCAGAGGCTGAACTGTTGTCATCCATCCATCCATCTGTCTGTCTGTCTGTCTGTCTGTGTTTGTGTGTCTGTGGGCAGCTGGGGAGATGTTGTCTGTAGCGGAGCAGTTCTTGGAGCAGCAGATGCATCCCACCGTGATCATCGGAGCGTACAGACGGGCGCTGGAAGACATGCTGGAGACCCTGAAGGAGATCAGGTACAAACAGAGAGGCTTTTATTTTGAAGGGCAACAGGAAGTGGGTCTGAAGTTTTTTATTTAGGTTGTGATAAAGACTCTTACTTTGACCTTTGACCCCAGCATCCCTGTGGACACGTCGGACCGCTCCATGATGCTAAAGATCGTCCACTCGGCTATCAACACCAAAGCTCTGAGCCGCTGGTCCGAGCTCGCCTGCTCCATAGCTCTTGACGCCGTCCGCACCGTGGAGCTCGATGACAACGGCCGCAAAGAGATCGACATCAAGAAGTACGCCAAGGTGGAGAAGGTGAGACTCACAACTCATGGACTGTATAAGCCCCGTCCCTCACGCCATCTGTGGTCACTGAGGCAGTTTTGAAGGTTTCTCCTTCATCTCTGTGACCTGCAGACCAAGGGTCACAGTCAGACTGCAGAGGTCAAAGGTAAGCCCAGTATCTTTTATCCAGTGAGAAGATACATGAATAAACATACAGACAGGGGCCGCTGTGACCTGCGCTCAGCCGAGTTCTCTGCAGGTGTTCATGTTCTTGTTGTGTTCTCGCTTCCCGTTCAGAAGATCTTCAGTCCCTCAGACTGTCTGATCCGTCTGTATGTAGGAGACCAGAGTCCAGACTCATGGGTTTTTGGGGTCACTAAAGTTCTGGTTCTGTTCAGGTTCCCGGGGGGATCATCGAAGACTCGTATGTCCTCAGAGGAGTGATGGTCAACAAAGACGTGACCCACCCCAGGATGAGACGCCTCATCACGAACCCCCGAATTGTCCTGCTGGACTGTTCGCTGGAGTACAAGAAGGGGGAGAGCCAGGTAACACACACACACAAGCACACACAGAAACACACACACACACACATATAAACTACTCACAAAAAGTTAGGGATATTTGGCTTTCAGAATTTATGGAAAATGTAAAAAGTTCACGCTACAGTGATATTATATCATGAAAGTAGGACATTTAAGTAGACGGATGCACTGGTGATTTCCTCATCTCAAACAATTTATTGAAACAAAAATTAACAACAATGGTGGGTACACCACAACAATAAATTTCAATGTCTCAGTAACTTGTCATGTGCCCTTGAGCATCAATTACAGCTTGACAACGACGTCTCATGCTGTTCACAAGTCGACTTATTGTCTGCTGAGGCATGGCATCCTACTCTTCTTGAAGGGCAGCCCTCAGGTCATTGAGGTTCTGGGGTGCAGAGTTTCGAGCCACTATACGGCGACTTGGCTGATCCCAGAGGTTTCCAATGGGATTCAGGTTTGGAGAAAGTGCAGGCCATTCCAATTGAGGTACATGAGTCTCCAACAGCCGTTCCCTGATGATGCAACCTCAATGAGCTGGAGCATTGTCATCCATGAAGATGAAATTAGGCCTTTGTTGTTCATGTAGGGGCATAATCACTGGATTAATGATGTTATTCAGGTAGTATGGGCTTGTCACTGTACCATTCACAAAGTGTAGGGCAGTTCTGTACTGACTGGACACATCTGCCCACACTATAACACCGCCACCACCAAAAGCTCGTCTGGTGACAACAGTGGCTGATGCATAGCACTCTCCTTCACGTCTCCAACATCTTTGGCGGCCATCATTTCTGCTCAACGTGAATTGACTTTCATCAGAGAACAGCACTGAGGCCCACTTGTCCAGCGTAAATGCCCCCTGGCCCATGCAAGACGACGACGCCGCCTGTGCCTGGTGATGTGGTCAGGTACCCTTGCAGGTCGTCTAGCACGCAGACCACGCTGATGTAAATGGTTTCGAATGGTCTGACGTGACACTTTGGTGCCTCTCACTTCCCTTAAACGTGCCTGGAGTTGAGTGGCATTCATCATCCTGTTTCTCAGGGCATGGTTCACAATGTAGCGGTCATCAGCATGGGATGTGGCCAAAGGACGTCCACTTCTACGCCTTTCTGTGACTCTTCAAGTCTCTCGGTATCTCTGTTGCAACCTGCTGATGACACTCTGTGACACTCTAAGCTCAGGGGCCACTTCCGTCTGAGAGCGTCCCGTTTGAAGCATCACAATGGCAAGGTACTGTTGATCCATTGTTAGGTGTCATCTTGGTCTCATGATGTCAAAATGTGAGCAGCATGATGAAGGACGACTGTTTAAACACCAGCTATTATTGAACCAGGACATTTATTGGTCGATTCAAGGATCAAACACCTGTTGTGAATTTTGCCGTTAAGCTCCTCGTTAGAGAACAGCAACTCGTGCAAAAAGTACTGAAACATTTAACAGTTGGACATGTGCATTCAAAAGCTTAGAGAAGGTCACTTCAAGTTCACCTGTAAAGGTTTGAATGCATTTTTAGGCTCGTCCTGAAATTTCACCCAAAAGCTGAATATCCCTAACTTTTTGTGAGTAGTGTGTATATGTACACACACATATGCACAGAAATACACACACACACACACACACACACACACACACACACACATATATATATATATACACTCACCGGCCACTTTATTAGGTACACCATGCTAGTAACGGGTTGGACCCCCTTTTGCCTTCAGAACTGCCTCAATTCTTCGTGGCATAGATTCAACAAGGTGCTGGAAGCATTCCTCAGAGAGCTTGGTCCATATTGACATGATGGCATCACACAGTTGCCGCAGATTTGTCGGCTGCACATCCATGATGCGAATCTCCCGTTCCACCACATCCCAAAGATGCTCTATTGGATTGAGATCTGGTGACTGTGGAGGCCATTTGAGTACAGTGAACTCATTGTCATGTTCAAGAAACCAGTCTGAGATGATTCCAGCTTTATGACATGGCGCATTATCCTGCTGAAAGTAGCCATCAGAAGTTGGGTACATTGTGGTCATAAAGGGATGGACATGGTCAGCAACAATACTCAGGTAGGCTGTGGCGTTGCAACGATGCTCAATTGGTACCAAGGGGCCCAAAGAGTGCCAAGAAAATATTCCCCACACCATGACACCACCACCACCAGCCTGAACCGTTGATACAAGGCAGGATGGATCCATGCTTTCATGTTGTTGACGCCTAATTCTGACCCTACCATCCGAATGTCGCAGCAGAAATCGAGACTCATCAGACCAGGCAACGTTTTTCCAATCTTCTATTGTCCAATTTCGATGAGCTTGTGCAAATTGTAGCCTCAGTTTCCTGTTCTTAGCTGAAAGGAGTGGCACCCGGTGTGGTCTTCTGCTGCTGTAGCCCATCTGCCTCAAAGTTCGACGTACTGTGCGTTCAGAGATGCTCTTCTGCCTACCTTGGTTGTAACGGGTGGTTATTTGAGTCACTGTTGCCTTTCTATCAGCTCGAACCAGTCTGGCCATTCTCCTCTGACCTCTGGCATCAACAAGGCATTTCCGCCCACAGAACTGCCGCTCACTGGATATTTTTTCTTTTTCGGACCATTCTCTGTAAACCCTAGAGATGGTTGTGCGTGAAAATCCCAGTAGATCAGCAGTTTCTGAAATACTCAGACCAGCCCTTCTGGCACCAACAACCATGCCACGTTCAAAGTCACTCAAATCACCTTTCTTCCCCATACTGATGCTCGGTTTGAACTGCAGGAGATTGTCTTGACCATGTCTACATGCCTAAATGCACTAAGCTGCCGCCATGTGATTGGCTGATTAGAAATTAAGTGTTAACGAGCAGTTGGACAGGTGTACCTAATAAAGTGGCCGGTGAGTGTATATACGTACACACACACAGCAGTCAGGCCTCTCATCTCTGATTGGCTCTTTTTTTAAAACCCTTTATTTCAGTTCTTCAATAATGACAAAAACATATTATTGAACACAGGGAAACTAAAGTAATTTGAGAGGAATCAAGACTTTGCAGAAGAAGAAAAAAACTAAACTAAGATAAAAAAACAAAAATTCATGGTCAGGGATATAGAGATACATCAGTCCCAATAAATGATAACATGAGGATCAAACATTCAGTTCAGATCATAGAGAGGACCTCAAGACTTCGTAGAAGGTCAAAGTTCAAATTACTTTCTTATTGGTTAGTCCAGTTAATGTTTTAAAATACATCTTCATTTCATTTTTAAACTGGTGGATATTTGGTTTCTCTTTAGATTATTTACGTTTATGTTTATAAAATCTTCCATACAAGGTAAAAAGGTTTAACCAAAAAAATATGACTTAGGTCCATGTTCTTTTTTTCCAAATAAAAAATAATATCCCCTTTTTTTCAGGTTTATCTTACATCCAGACAACAATTCAAATAAATGTTCAATCCAGAAAAATTTAACATGCATACAGTCAAAAAATAAATGTACAATTGTTTTTTTAAAGGTTACAAAATACACAACAGTCCGAGATATGAGTTTGATATTTTTTGAGAAAGTGGTTATTTGGATAGAAGAAGTGAATCATTTTAAAATAAACCTTGGTTACTTCACTGTTGATCAAATATTGTTGTAGTAAATCCAAATAATTGTATTAAAAAGACAAATTTCAAAAACTTTTGGAATTATAAGCACACAGTGAGATATGTCTAAACAGTTTGTTATTACATTTTTAATCTTTGATACTGATGCCGTTCAGCAGGATATCAGTCTTCAACATTGATCGTTCATTAAATACATTTCTGCCTTGTAATAGTTCTAAGAAACAAGTTGGTATTTCACTAAATATCATACAATATTCTGGTGCAGGTGTTGGAATACTGAAGGTCTTTTAAAATTCTGTGTATGAAAATAATTAACCATTCTCATTTAACAAATGTGAAAAAGACAGAATCTTGTTTCTAACCGGATTCTTAATAAAATGATCTGATTAGCTCTTCTCTGGTGAAAAGGACAAGTGAGTCTAAGACGACTCATGAGCTTTGACATCATTCTGATCCCACAACTGTGTGTGTGTGTGCTTGTGTTTGTGCGTGCGCTCATGTGTGTGTGCGCGCTCGTGTGTGTTTGCACGCTCGTGTGTGTGTGTGCGTGCAGACAGACATCGAGATCAGTAAGGAGGAGGACTTTGCTCGGATCCTGCAGATGGAGGAAGAGTACATTCAGCAGATCTGTGAGGACATCATCCGCCTCAAACCAGACCTGCTCTTCACTGAGAAGGGGGTTTCAGGTAAACCACACCTGCTGGTCTGTAGAGTCTACACAGACTCAGGATCAGCTCTGATGAATCTGGTCGTCATGGTGATAATCACTGATCAGCTGTTTCCTGTCTCAGATCTGGCGCAGCACTACCTGATGAAGGCCAACATCACCGCCATCCGCCGTGTGAGGAAGACCGACAACAACCGCATCGCCAGGTAACCTCCTGACATCCTCAAGTCAGCCAGTCAGCTGACCTCTCAGCCGTTAACTCCCCCTCCCCCTCTCTGTTTGTCTCAGGGCGTGCGGTGCTCGTATCGTCAGCAGGACCGACGAGCTGCGTGAGGAGGACGTGGGTTTGGGGGCGGGGCTGTTTGAGGTGAAGAAGATCGGAGACGAGTATTTCACCTTCGTCACCGAGTGTAAAGACCCCAAAGCGTGCACCATCCTGCTGAGGGGGGCCAGCAAGGAGATCCTGGCTGTGAGCACGCTCAGTTCATCACGCCGTTCAGAACTTTAGAGATGTTACTGAGGGAGGAGGGGCTTACTGAGACTCTGTGTGTGTGTGTGTGTGTGTGTGTGTGTGTGTGTGTGTGTGTGTGTGTAACAGGAAGTGGAGAGGAACCTCCAGGACGCCATGCAGGTGTGTCGTAACGTCCTGATGGATCCTCAGCTGTTACTGGGTGGCGGTGCCGTAGAGATGGCGGTGTCGAAGCGTCTGGTGGAGCGTTCCCGCGCTCTGACGGGAATCGAACAGTGGCCATACCGTGCTGTCGCCCAGGCCCTGGAGGTCATCCCCCGAACCCTGATCCAGAACTGTGGAGCATCCACCATCAGAGTCCTGACCTCCCTGAGGGTACGCCCAAAACTTTATCAACAACCTCTCTGTTGACAAGACCATTATTTAGAACTCCTCTAGGGACGCTCCAATCAGGATTTTGGGTTCTGATCACCGATCCGATCTTAGGCTACGTTCACACTGCAGGTTATGATGCACAATTCGTATTTCTTGTTCAATGCGATCTTTTTGTGTGGTCGTTCACATTACAACAACGAATGTGGCATCTAATGTGAACGTTGACTCGTTGACGTTTGACTCTAGTCAAATGTTGAAAATATTCCCCAATAAAGATTGTTGTCACTCATAAAACTTTATCATCTAGACTTTGTCATCTAGAGTCTAGATGTTATAATTATCCTCTTAGAGAGGCAACCTCAAGCTTACATAGACTGAATAATCTTAAATCAAATAAAATACTTTTCATAAGTGCAACATTTCATTCATTAACCCATGAAGACCTGAACCCTGTCTGAGACTCTGAAATCCTGAGAAGGCCCCGAGATCCTGTGGTTTTCTAAAGTGTTGAGGTTTACAAAAAGCTGATATCTCAGCCTCTGTAGCAGATAGAAACAAAATTTAAAAAGTATTTGAGATTGTATTTGAGGTTATTACAAGGGGCATGCGCTGCTACTAAATACTACCGAGATTTTGTCTGTGATCACGCAGCCCCTGCACCCCACCGCCGCCACACCGAATGTCCCAGGATTTCATTACAGACCTCTGGTCACCTTACTTTAGCACACATTAGCAAAATGGATAAACCGAAATCCGAACCTCCACTGCTGAGCCAATCAGAGCACAGCAGGCTTCACAGCAGCGATCCAATCAGAGCAAAGCTCATTACCATAAATGTTAATGAGCCAAAATCAGTTAGTTTTCCTGTAAGGTTTTTTAGGCATACTATGTATGTATAACAACAAATAAATAAGATGACAGTGTGTTAATGTCTGTGCTCATCCAAAGTCATGCAACACTCACAGAAATTGTCGATAGTGTGAGCCAAAGACCTCAATATGAATAGTTTGTTCACACTGCTGGATGCTTCTCCGACGAAGTTGCTCTCTGCCTCTGTCATTGTTTACTTTCTTCACGAAGCACGTAGCAAGATCTGCGCAGGAATCTGATCGCCTTATTAGCCTATCAGAGGCAGACGGGTACGATGATTTGATTCACCACGACTCCAGAAATGATTAAAAAAACTACAGGATGTTGCAAACTGATATATCCGCGCTCCCAGCCTGGAAGGTTTAAATGCGTACATGCTGTCCTGGTTTGAATGGGTTAAAGGATCTCAAACTTGGAGTTTAAGCTTTCCTTTGGAGATATAATAAACTGAGGAGCCACAAACAGGCTTTGACAAAATATGGAATACAGTTTAAAGTTATTAAATGTGTCTGAATTTGAGGAGACAGACGGAGAAGTGCTGAGCAATTTAAAAAAAAAAAAAAAAAAAACTACATATCTGTAGACCCTTCTATATGTAACTTAAGGTTATTTCTGTGTCATTTGGATGGGGAGAGAGTCATAGGCAAGAACACAAAAAACAAAAATACAAAACATTTTTTAGAGGTACCGTATTTTTCACACTATAAGGCACACCTGATTATAAGGCACACCATCAATGAACGAGTCTATTTTTGTCTATTTTCATATATAAGGCGCACCGGATTATAAAGCGCATTAAGCCAAACAAAACAGTCAGACAAGTCAAACTTTATTTAACTCATTCAATAACACCGCGAGGCTACGGTAGCTGCAGTGGTCCGACAAGCCAACAGGATTTTAAGTGCGCCTTATTGTGCGAAAAATACTGTAACTTATAACTATCTCAGCCTCGACATTTATACTGGTGAGAGTCTGTACTGGAGTTCAGACGGACTTCTGATTAAGCAGCATCAGTGGCAGATTTGTCTTGTTAAATTTTAGTATTTCTGCATTTTTTATCAGTTGACCTGTTTCTCTTCTCATCTTAAATATGACCCTCAGTGCTGAAAGGTCACTCACATTCACTCCAGGTCCATATGTCACTCGTGAAGCTGACTGCGGTGATGTTGTCCTTCATAAGACTCTCGATGTGCATGTAGACATTTTGATAAAACTCCGTCAGGCAAACATCGGTAAAATATTTTTACTCCGGCAGTTAATAGCGGGGAACTCGCCAGAACACGAGGCGTTTTAAACCCACAGCAGACAGCGGCTGTTCGTTTATAAACTCCATAACTTAAGCGTCAATTTCTTTTCTTGTTCTTGTTACTGTACGGCTGCTGCTGTTTGGTCTAGACTGGCCCTGATCAGATCGGATAACCCCTCTGTTGACAATAATTTTATTTATAACCCGTTACAAACGTGTGTGTGTGTGTATGTGTATACAGGCCAAACACACTCAGGAGAACGGCGTGTGTTGGGGCGTGGACGGAGAGAGTGGCTGTCTGTCGGACATGTCGTCTTTGGGGATCTGGGAGCCGCTGGCTGTTAAAGCTCAGACCTACAAGACTGCAGTGGAGGTCAGAGGTCACTGCATTGATTATGAGTGATTGATTATTGGTTGTTGATGACTGATCAGCTGATCCTGTTCTCCGCAGACGGCCATCCTCCTGCTGCGTATCGACGACATCGTCTCGGGTCATAAAAAGAAGGACAAAGACGAGAATTTTGGAGGACAGGGAGCTGAGTAGATCCACATCCACCAAGACCAGGACCAGAGTCTGAGTTTGTGTGTGTGTGTGCGTGGGGGGGTGGGGGGGGTAACAGTTGATCAGCTATTAATAAACAGTTCAAACTCCTCTGTGTCTGTGACTCTGTTAGTCGAGGCCATAATTCGTTTCTTTCTCTGAATCAAACTTCCCCCTTGTCGGTGTTTACATGCAGCTGAGAAAATCGAATTATTGACGTGAACGTGTCCTCCTCCCCAAAACTAGGGGGCGATAAGGGTCTTTTCAGCTGCGCTGTCTTCGACCCCATACAACCGTCAACAACGACAGCAGGTCTGTGCCAGACGTCAGAAGTGTCTACAACTGCTGCTGGGCATTTTGGAGCAAGAAGATTGAGCATCGTACAGCGTTGTTTTTGTCCTACATGAGGGACACGCTACTTTTTCTGCAGATGAGATGCACGCTACTCCTCTGGTGTTTTTGTTACGGGGGCGTGGCACACTTGCACACACATTGTCCGATCATACTCTGACTACACTGGTTACATGGTTGAGAAACTCGAATTTCAATCGCTTTATCTGGGTGTCTTAATCAGAGTTCTCAAACTCCGATTATAGTCGGACTAAGGTGTTTACATGCACTTCAGTTCGTCTTAATCGGAATAAGGCTATAATTCGGTACTATTTCATACCTTCTAACCGCCAGAGGCAGTGTATAAACACTGGTGGATAACATTGCGCGCATGCGCAGAGGTCGAAATCTAATGTCAACATTGTCACCTGTGACCCTGTGCGCCCGTACGTGCACGCGTACGTTGTCTATATGGGTATGACGCGCACAAGGATCTTTCTCTTTTCATCTTTTCGCTCAGAAGCGCACACAGGTCGACAGCAGCAGCTTCGTTTGGGGTCTCGTTAACCAAACCTACGGTACGGTGGGAGCAGCGGCTATCTGCCCTCCTAGGGACTGCGTTGACTGCTGAGTTTACCCTGTTCAAGTATATGGTAAGTAAACGGCTAGCGTTAGCCAACCGCTAGCACTGAAAGTTTTTTACGCTTCGTACAGCTATAATTGTATATTGTTGTGACCCACGTTGGCCCTGTCTGTCGTTCATCAGCGTCAACATTCACGAGGAAGATCCTTGTGCGCGTCATACCCATATAGAATACGTACGCGTGCACGTACGGGCGCACAGGGTCACAGGTGACAATGTTGACATTAGATTTCGACCTCTGCGCATGCGCGCGATGTTATCCACCAGTGTTTATACAGTGTCTCTGGCGGTTATCCGGTATTCATAGAACCTTAGTTATATGCATAACTCTTGTTTTCTCAAGTGTCATGGAAACGGACTAAGTGTTTCCACTTTCTGTCTGAGGTCAGTTAAATTCTGTTCCTCAAGAAGAATGGATCAGGACCCGGACTGTGCTGGATCTGCTCTGATTCTGGTTCAGATGATCCGGCATTACTCAAACCTGTACTTGATAACATAAAGGGGGTCTCGATCCTGAGAGCAGGGGGGTATTCCAGAAAGCAGGTTCAACATACTCTGAGTCTATCCCTGAACTCTGAGTTGACTTACTCTGAGATGGGAGACTCTGAGTATCCGGTTCCAGAATAGCTGATCTAAATTAGTTCAATCAACTCTGAGTATAATAACCTGGAGTTACGCGCGTGCACAACCACTATAAAAAGCCATCATCAATGGAGCCCCGATACCACGAGTCACCATGACAACAGAGAAAAAACGGTCAACTTATTTCACCCCGGTGGAGTTGGAGGTCCTTATGCTGGCCTACGGCGAGTATGAGAACATTTTTCGCCGCAAATCCAGCACGGCTGCAGCAGCGAAGGAGAGAGAGACGGTATGGGAGAAAATTGCTGCGCGAGTCAATGCGTAAGTTTGAATGTACTATTCCACTGACGTAACATATAAGATCGAAGCATAGTCTATAGTTATGAATATAAGAAGGAATGAAATCTGATTTTCATTTAGGTGCAATCCAATGGGAGAAAAAAGGACTTTGAAGCAGCTCAAAATGAAACATAAAAACAAAATTCAAGAAGGTAAGGCATATTTTGCTCGGCTGTGATTGCACCTCACTTTGGTTTTAATTTAATTATTTTAAATGGACTTAGGCTATTAGACAAAGTCAATATTAATTTAAACTAAAATATTAATTCAGCGGCTACTTCAAATAATAATTTAAACCCCAAACAAAATGTAGTTTTTCAACGTCCTCTCACTTAATTCTACACTTCGTGGATTAATACTTGATACAAACACATTTATATTTTAGACCTATTGAAGTCATTTAAAATGTGACGCTGTAGCCTACACCAACACTGATTAAAATACTATTTTAAAATAAACACTGACTTCTGCTCAGCCAACAGAAAGAAGGCAGAGGCCCGAAAAACGGGTGGAGGGCCACCTCCACCACTTCTGACAGAGGCTGAGGAGCTGGCCCTCAGCCAAAACAGGGGTTGCCCTGTGGCTGAAGGCATCCCTGGGGGAAGCTCATCTGAGCCTGTCACCCCCCAGGACACAAGTCCCTACATCAGATACAAGTATACACTTGTGTCTTTTAAAAAAATAAAACTAATATATAAATATATATAGCCTAATTTTTAACAAATATATATCCACCCACCCAACAGTTGTGGATGGTGTCATCTGCCTGGTTCAGCCTCCGACAGAAACAAACCCTGTAGCTGTAAGTCTTTCATACTCAGATGCCTCAGATGGTAGTTCAAGTATTCTGAAACAGTATATTTTCCTGCATTACAGGAGGAGGAGGATGAAGAAACACTGTCTGCTGCCACAGGGAGAGATCCAGAGGGGCCTCCTGAAGTGTGTCTTAATATATAGCTACTGGCAGTGCCCATTCATTTACATTCTAAAGTGGAATTTGGAGTTTGACATGTACACTGAATAGATGAGCATCAATAATGGACAAACTAGCTCATTCTTGTCCTTCAACAGAACATGGCTGGGCATCACCAGGAGGAGGGACCATCAACCTCAACGGCACAGCTTGGCAAAGTGAGATTTTCAGTCAATACCATGTTAAATCTGTATGTAGAACTGTAGGAATTAAATGTCGTCCATGTTTCCCAGCTCCCAGTTAAGGAGTTGTACAGGGTGCACCTCATGACCAGTATTAAAAAAACAGAAAAAGAAATGGTCTATCCGGATCGGCAGATTGCAAAAACAGACCTGGAAATTCTATTAATGGAACGCCAGTTGAGGTGGGTGCATTGTCATGGTGAATATGTGAAATATATTAATGGTTGGAACTATATTGCAAATCCTGACTGTTGCTTTTGTACTCTTAGGGAATAAAGAAGAACCAAATCACATATGCATTTGTTTTTTTTTTTTTTAAATCAAAAATGATTTTGGGCGATTAGGTCCCTAACCGCCCTTCCATCCTCATCAGCCAGGATGGGATGCTCATCCTCGGGGTCATTGATTTGTACGGCAGGGTGTTGCTCTCCTCTAAAAATTGCAATATTATGGAGAACAACACATGCCACAATGATGTCACATGCCCTCTCTGGGGTGACCCTAAGCTTACGCAGGCACTGGAACCGGGATTTGGAGTCTAATTATTAAACAAACACGCTGTCCAATTGATTATACCTCTGCAGCACATTTGAATGTATAAATAATTTTCCTGCATGATTCGTGCATTTAAACTATATTTAAAAGTGGTCACTTCATGGAAAATCACTGAATAGGCCCCGATAATTGCATTTATTAAATTGAGTCTGCAACACACCTCTCTCCTGTGTTGTTCGATGTCTGGTAGACACAGAATTGCATTGAATCTGCCATGCACATTCTTTGGACATCCGATGCCGTCTGCGTCATGGTTTCCTTGACAAGGCAATTTGAAAAGTAACATCAATTACCAAATACATCGAGACAATGTTGATCCATACAACTGTGTGCATTTTGAAGGACTCCCACTGAGATAATACTGTTTTTACAAGGCAATTTTCTAACCTCTATGTCCTGCTGCTCTGCCTTCCTCTTTAGACTGAAGACCGGAGTATGCTTTCCAGCAATGAGCTCTTGACATTCTTTGGTCCAGTGGGCGAAGATTTTCCCACAACTCTAATGACAATATGTCTTTAAGTACAATATATTGATTGTCTTCCAGTTAATTAGGACATCTAGTTTACTTAAACTGTCTACCTGTTCAAAGAATTGTTCTCCAGGAGCAACAGGCACCACCATCGCCGCAAAACAGGCATGTCATGCTGAAATTGTTGTTTGTATTTCATTTTAGTGCACAATACAAAATACAACCTTGAGGATGACACTGCGTGTTGAAAAGTACTTACAACTGAGTAGTCAAACTGTGACTCCATAACGATGTACATGGCAGACTTTAAAAAAAAAAAATTATGAGACAACATGTGAGATAACTTTAAAAAAGTCCATGTTGGAAAGTTATTCTAGATACAATATTTGTGCATTACAGCTCGTTATGACCTACCGTCAACATGAATATGCCACAGTCTGAGCCGAAGTCCTGGCTGGGGAAGCCCTGATTTAACAAAAGCAAACGTTAATCATCTTGTCACATACACTTTGTAGGAGCCAGATTGGGGTTTTGCAGTTTATTGTTATGTATTTTTTGTGCCAGCAGATGGTGCTATTGTGTCTGTCTATTTAATGGGTGGGTTGATTAGGACAGGTGCGCACACCTGGGAAGCCGAACAGTTTTTTGACCGTGTGAAGTGGTCTTGTGTCTTTGTCTTACATAAAATGATGAATGAGTAAATAAATCAAAACAACAGAAAATATGGACGGTGTGACATGTGACATTATTCCACCTGCGGGCACGCATCAACTCAAGCAAAAAGGTGTTCGCCACAAGTAACAGCATTGGAAAGCTGTTATACACTTTTCAACTGTAATATAGAGCATGCACAAATACCTCCAAACCTCTGCCCGTTTTCTCAGTCCATTGCCCAGGACATATCTTCTGCGCAATGTTCCTGTTAATTTGAGAGCGTCACTTAGATTTCCCATGATGGAAACAATGGAATGCAGGGTTAGGGTTAGTTTGAGTGGGTCGGAGGTGAGATTGAATGAATGCGGACGGCTTGCTTCTTTTCAAACTTCCTGAGAGTTCTTCTTCTTCTGTAAATTTTGCCGTCAAAAAGTTTAGGTGCATACCGCCACCTACTGTTCTGGCATCGCAAAGCGGAAGTTCATGTTTTGGGTCCGCCAATCGGAGGTAATGCGGAAATTCATTGCGGTTGGTCATTGCCTTTGTTCAGCTTTTGGGTCCGCCATCTTGAGCTGCAGTTGGGTACTCTTGTGTTATTTGGTCTTTTTTGTTTGAGAAGACTTTTTAAATAAAGTTTTCCTCTGGGCCGTTTTTTTTTTCGTTTCCGGTCAGCTGACATGTAAAGCCGGCGATCATGTGACCGTTTTGGTCACAACAAAGATGGCGGCGGCGGTGAGAAAGCAGAGCTGTGGAGTTTTTCTGGTTCTGAGCTCGTTTTTCGGTCTGAGTTTGGGTTTGTTCGGCGGAGGAGAGACGTACCGACGACAGGTTAGAGACAAACACACACACACACCTGGGGATAAAAAATAAATAGGTAGAATCAGAGCGCGAGGACACAGAGGGAAGTGAAGTTGTTGTTTTTTTTTTTTTAATTCTATTGGAAAAATGTGTGTCAGGACAAAGTCAGTCAGTGAAATCATCTGAACATAAAAAACAGATTAAATGAAAATCATCTTCATCAGACCAGGATGAGAGAAATAAAAACAGAGCTTTTTACAGAGACACTGAAGGGTTAGGAGGGTCTCTGATATCTTGATTTATAACATGTTTTATATCAGACTGAAGAACATCATTATAATAAAACAGACAAAAACTTCATATGGATGAATTCTGATGTTCACCTTTAAATCTTCTGAGTTTATTACCAAGTGAAAAGAAAACAGAGAAACACGGACATCAGAATACAAAAACAACAACTCAGTTAAAGAGATGAGGACGCAGGGAGGCAAGAAGGAAGAAAGAAGGGGAAGGAGGAAGGGAGGAATGAATGAAGGAAGGAAGGAGGGAAGGATTACACCACCCCACCCCCAGGATCAATATCAGAGATCTGCGGCTCTGCTATCATAACTGTCAGTGATCAATATTCAGAAAACACACTCATGTCTTTTACAGATTTAAACCCCGTTTGATAAACCACACACACACTTTACTGTGTTTTGGTGTTTTGTGTGTTTTTCTGTCTATTCGATAAATGTTTTCAAGAGTTCACTAAATAAACAAAGCTTTTATCTCATATTTTTACCACAAACTTCTTATCTTGACTGTGTGAAGAGTGTAGAGGTTCAGTATGGACTAAACAGATGGACTGAGTGTTTCCTCTCTCCTCATGAAACATACGAATTTAACAAATTAAAGGACGCTCAATATAAAATTTAACAACATAGACAACACAGATCACCTTAAATTCTTAATAAATTCAACTCCAACTGTTCTCTGAGCAAAGAGACCAGGACCTACATACACTGTTTGTGACCCAACTATTTCTACATTTTGGTCATTAGTGACCAAAGATTTAAATCTGATTTATTTTTAAACCAGTTTCTGTTTCTCCTGAGTCTGCCTGACAAGTCTTTGTCTCTTCATACGTCTCATTTTCTGCTTTTTTCAAAGACAGAAAACACAGACTTAAAAAGTGGATAAAGGATCACCCTCCAACAGTTTCTCTGTGGTATCAGGAACTTTTAAAAGTTCTGCTCATGGAGAGTCTTTGAGCTCAGAAAGTTCTGGAAACATTTATTTATACAGCTGACCTTGTTGTCCTCTCACAGACCGACACAGCTGCTGCTTAGTAAAGATCAAACTTTGGACAGAATGTGTCAAAGGTTAGGATTGTTTGAACTTTCGGAAGACGATTTTTTTTCTCTAACAATTTTTCTGCAATTTCTTCAACAACGACACAAATAAAAAAATAAAAAAAAGAAAAAGGAAAAAAAGACAGCTGTTAAAAGTATCTGAGAGTTGACAGATCAGGGGAACAGAAAGAAATGTACTTTTTTGTGTGCATATGTGTGTGTGTGTGTTCGTGTGCGTGTTTTTCCCTGTTTTTTTTTTTGTCTGTAATTGAGTTTTGTGTTTCCCTCTTTTTCTTGTTTGTTTGTTTTTTTATTTGTTTGTTTTTCTTTGTTGTTTGTTTTTCTTTGTTTTATTTGTTTGTTCATTTTTCTTTGTTGTTTGCTTTTTTGTTTGTCTGTTTTTCTTTGTTGTTCGTTTGTTTGTTTTTCTTTCTTTTGTTAAACTGTGTCTTATGGGGGGGGGGCATTGCTGACTGAGGGTTTCTGTTGTTTGTAACTGTATATATATACAGTATATGTGGTAATGCTGCTGAAAAAAATAAAATAAAAATCTGCTCCAACCTCAGGTCAGATCATAAAAAGGTGAAAAAACATTTTATTGTTTTTATTATTATTATTATTTTATTTTTTTATTGTATGCAGATGTTCCTGAAGATCTGTTGTTTTAATTCCAGGGTTTGACTCACGCTGGTATTTCATCAGAGTTTCTTCTCCTTTAGTTGATAGTCGAGCTGAACCCCGGTTCACCTCTACCGCCCCCTGATGGCGACCTGCTGCATGTGAGAGCTGTGGGACCCAATGACACACTTCACTTCCTGTTCTGCAGCCTGGGGGCGCCGACGCTGCTGATCGTCCACACAAACACTTCTTCGTCTACTGCTAGGGTGCGTCTACCTTCCTGTTTCAGGTTCAAGTGTTCCCAATATTTTGACCGTCAGTTTGTAAACGCAGAACAAGACGAATCAGCTGAGCAGGGGCCTATTCTACGAAGCAGAATTACTGCTTAGCAAGGGAACTTCGAGGGTAAGTTCGGGGTTTCCTGTTCTACAACGCGGATTCTCTTCTTAGCGAAGCAAGTCTCCATGGCAACGTATGCTGAACGGCTCCGGGGCAGGTTAGGTTCCAGATTGAACTCGCAGCCTGCCCACTGACCAATGAGCTCTCTTGAAAAATGGCTTGTCCGTTCTTGGAGGATTCTAAAGATCTCGGTGCTCGCATTGTCCAAGGAGCACTCCGGCACGCGAGAGTTTTCAGGGACCGCACATACACGATAGGAATGAACAAGTGAGTGAATTCATCTTGGAAATGAATTAGACATGTCTGGTGCATGTTAAAAGCGTATGTTGAACAGTGCTATTTCAGGGTGATAATGGCATCAAAGATTTTTTGCGCACTATACTTACGCATTGAGACTGTTGGCAATTTTCTGCCAGCGTTCCCTCCGTGCTTATGCAGCGGCGATGGTGTTGCATTTGAGGTTTATGATAGATTTGAATTCTTCGTACTTTCTCATGATCGTCTCCTGCTCCTCATATGTAAAGTACGCGGTCCTTCACTCTCCGGCGTGCTCTGATGCTCCAGACTGGTCCATGTTTGCGATTGGTCAGATGCGGCGGGCTCCGCCTTACATGCGTGCATGCGCTCATAGCAAAGCTGGATCCACTTACAAGGTTGATAACCAGCGTCATAAGACCGTTTAGCGAGACCGCTGGCTACCGCCCTAAGTTGAGCGAGGTACCTCGCTAGGTCGAACTTGCTTCTTAGAATATGCCCCTGGTGACTTTACCCTCCAACACAGAGAGGGGGCGCTGTGCTGTCCTGTTCTCACCTGTCCTAACTCTGTGTCTCTCTCAGGTAAACTGGCCAAAGTTTGAAGCCCGTAATATCAGCGGCAGCCTGAAGGTGGAGCCAGAGAGCAGTGTCCTGGACAGCACTGCCGTCGTCTTTACACGGGTCAGAAAAAACGCAGGAAGTCTGTCAAGAACTCGGTCTGCCTTTAGAGTTGAGAACTGAGGAGACAGAGAACATATAACACTAATAATAATAATAATAATGATATTGATAATAATAATAATAATAATAATAATAATAATAATAATAATAATAACACTAGTAGTAGTAGTAGTAGTAGTAGTAGTAGTAGTAGTAGTAGTAGTAGTAGTAATAATAATAATAACACTAATAATTATTTGATTATAATTATTACTATTATTATTTTATTACTATCGATTACACTGATTTGTTTTTAAAGAGTTTATTCAATCATAGATTTTCAGTATTTCATGATTTTAAAGGGACTTTAATGACAGAACGACTTTATTTTATTGTTTATAAAAACTATTTATTTTATTGTCAATTAAAAGACTTTTTTGTTTATAAAAACGACTTCATTTTATTGTTTAAAAAAACACTATTTTTTGCTAATGTAAACTACTTTATTTTATTGTTTATAAAAACAAATTTATTTATTTTATTGTTTATAAAAACGACTTTATTTATCTTATTGTTAATAAAAAAACTATTTTATAGTTTACAAACAACTTTATTTTTTGTAAAATAAAACCCCGACTGATTCTTTTGTTTATAAAATGACTTTATTTTATAGTTTATAAAAATGACTTTATTTTATAGTTTATAAAAACGACTTTATTTATTTTATTGTTTATAAAAACGACTTTATTTTGTTGTTTAAATGACTATTTATTTTATAGTTTATAAAAACGACTTTATTTTGTTGTTTAAATGGCTATTTATTTTATTGTTTACAAAATGACATTATTTTGTTTTTATTCTGATTATATTTTTTTATTTTGACTTTGTTTTAAAATGAACTCTTTTTTTTTTTCAGCTCTTTGAGTACAATGACGTGAACGACACGGCCAATGCGACCTCTGACCTTTTCCCGCCGTACGAGCTGCATGACTTCAACTGGTCTCGCCTCAGCCTATCAGGTCCCAGCGCTGTTCTCTGCGGCGCCGCCGTGACCTTTACTAACGGGTCGCTCTGCCTACAGGTCAGAGGTCACCTGAACCTCCTTATCTGTCCTTAAACGATCAATACCCTGCTCCTAAGTGACATCACTTCTTGTTTTTCCCTCTCCAGCTGTCTGTGTTTGAGTCAGAGGGGCGTGGTCAGTCCTGGCCCCGCCTCCTTCACAACGCCAATGCCTCTCAAATACGTGTGAAGCTGGAGGGCGTGTTGCCGAGGGCCATGCAATCCAGATTCATGCTGGAGCTGCAGGCAGTGGGCGGGGCTTATCCCCTCAGCAGGGTCGAAGTTCACCGATCTATCGATGATGAGTTCACGCCGTCCATATTCAAGGTGACCTCTGACCTTCAAGTGCTGTCTTCTGACCTCCGACTCAGTTTGTTGACCTCTGACCTGATTGTGTTCACCTCTGTGACTCAGTTTTTTTTTACCTCTGACCCTGTTTGTTGACCTCTGAACCTGATTGTTTGACCTCTGTGACCTCAGGTGGCTCAGTGGAGGTCAGAGGTCAACACCTCCTCCAGTGGTTCTGGTTTCCTTCAGTGGAAACCCGTGGCGTACCGGCGGTCAGACCCAGCTCTGGAGGACGCCACTCCTTGTCGACACTCTGAACCGCGGCCTCAGCGCAGCGAGGAGACGGCAGCGCTCTCGGCCCTGATCATGGCGTTCTACAGTAGGGCGGAGCCTTTTGGACTGAACGTGAGCTTCGGCATGGCTGGTCAGCCGTTCTACAACAGCACGCGGTTCCTGAGCTGGTGGGTGTCTGAGTTTATTGATCGGCGCTTCTATTTTGAAAGTGTTTTCCTTTCACATTAAAAGCTCTTCCTGTGTTTCAGGACGGCGTTGGTGGGGGTCGGCTCTCCCCCCGTTGACTCCTTCTCGCCACTCGTTCTCAGTATCATGGCGGTCGGTCTGGGAACTCCCATGATCCTCCTGCTGGTGGGCGGAGTCTGTGTATGTATGCAAAAGAGGACGGCACCTCCCACACTGGCGTACGAGCCAATCAACTGAAGGTGGGGGTGTGGCCAGAGTGAAAACTTTTTTTATGACCTGCTGACTGATGGCCAATCAGGGGCCAGAGTTTCAAACTATTTCAAAGTTTTTAAAGGGGTTTTTATTGATTTCATTGATTTTTTTATTTCTGTGATTAAATCTCTGATTTCTGATCAACATTAAATTTGTTCAGACTCAAACTCTCTCCTCATTGGCTCTTGAACATGTAAACCGACCAATCACAGGACATCTTTCATATTCTACTGCAGTTCCACTGTCGGCCAGCAGGTGACAGCAAAGAGACGGACAGACAGGAACATCTGTGATGATTTTAAGGCTGTGTCTCATTTCAGAGACCGCATTGGGATAAGCGTGCTTAAGCTTAGCTGAGCGCACTGCCGTTATGTACCCTTCCTGTGTCCCATTTCAGAGACTGCAACCATCGAACGGCGCATTTGAAGCGTGCGTGAGGTCATCACGCGGCACGAACGGTGTCCTGTTTGGCACAAAATGCTAAGCGCGCTTTAAATTCGGTCTCAAAACCACACTGCCCCCGCCCCTTTTTCAAGCGTGCATTTATGCATGCTTTCATGCCGTTGGTATCCCAGAATTCTTTGCGTGCCGCTGCACAGCTGCGCATTTCAGGTGAGAGGCTGGACTCGCTTGGAGACACAACGCGTCTTTAAAAAAAATGCAATAAATCCAAAAACAGCAGACAGTCAGCTCAGGCTGAATGAGAGCATGATCTCTGAACTCACTAAAATCTGTAAACCAAACATTAAAGATTTAGAGACGAACTGATCCGCTCTGCTTCAACTATAAAAAACATTAGAAATGAGAAAGCTGACAAAACTACAGCAGAGTATCAGGAAAACATTGAGGTTTTTTTTCTTTTAAGATTTAGAGATTAAAGTTGTATATTTAGGAGAATAAAGTCATAAAGTAAATAAAGTCATAAAGCTGCTTTTGTGGAGGGGGAAATGACTGAAGCTGGTCATCTGCAGGGTTATCTGTGGATGAATCAGCGGGTCATTCAGAGAGATTTTGTGGTTTCTGAAGAAACAATCAAACTGATGATGATCAACATTTGTGATCCAGAGGGAGTCGAGCTCCGACGAGCACCACGTCTCTGACACCGGCGGTAACCTACACCTGCAGAGACACCAACACCTTATTATGGCATATGGATTCATATCATAAACTAAAGCTCAATGTCATTCACGGATATTAACGGCTGCATTGACAGATACACTCACCGGCCACTTTATTAGGTACACCATGCTAGTAACGGGTTGGACCCCCTTTTGCCTTCAGAACTGCCTCAATTCTTCGTGGCATAGATTCAACAAGGTGCTGGAAGCATTCCTCAGAGAGCTTGGTCCATATTGACATGATGGCATCACACAGTTGCCGCAGATTTGTCGGCTGCACATCCATGATGCGAATCTCCCGTTCCACCACATCCCAAAGATGCTCTATTGGATTGAGATCTGGTGACTGTGGAGGCCATTTGAGTACAGTGAACTCATTGTCATGTTCAAGAAACCAGTCTGAGATGATTCCAGCTTTATGACATGGCGCATTATCCTGCTGAAAGTAGCCATCAGAAGTTGGGTACATTGTGGTCATAAAGGGATGGACATGGTCAGCAACAATACTCAGGTAGGCTGTGGCGTTGCAACGATGCTCAATTGGTACCAAGGGGCCCAAAGAGTGCCAAGAAAATATTCCCCACACCATGACACCACCACCACCAGCCTGAACCGTTGATACAAGGCAGGATGGATCCATGCTTTCATGTTGTTGACGCCAAATTCTGACCCTACCATCCGAATGTCGCAGCAGAAATCGAGACTCATCAGACCAGGCAACGTTTTTCCAATCTTCTATTGTCCAATTTCGATGAGCTTGTGCAAATTGTAGCCTCAGTTTCCTGTTCTTAGCTGAAAGGAGTGGCACCCGGCGTGGTCTTCTGCTGCTGTAGCCCATCTGCCTCAAAGTTCGACGTACTGTGCGTTCAGAGATGCTCTTCTGCCTACCTTGGTTGTAACGGGTGGTTATTTGAGTCACTGTTGCCTTTCTATCAGCTCGAACCAGTCTGGCCATTCTCCTCTGACCTCTGGCATCAACAAGGCATTTCCGCCCACAGAACTGCCGCTCACTGGATATTTTTTCTTTTTCGGACCATTCTCTGTAAACCCTAGAGATGGTTGTGCGTGAAAATCCCAGTAGATCAGCAGTTTCTGAAATCCTCAGACCAGCCCTTCTGGCACCAACAACCATGCCACATTCAAAGTCACTCAAATCACCTTTCTTCCCCATACTGATGCTCGGTTTGAACTGCAGGAGATTGTCTTGACCATGTCTACATGCCTAAATGCACTAAGTTGCCGACATGTGATTGGCTGATTAGAAATTAAGTGTTAACGAGCAGTTGGACAGGTGTACCTAATAAAGTGGCCGGTGAGTGTATATCCTCAGCATATCCATTTCTGCCTCCACAAAAGCAGCGATTTCCTTCAAGTACACCAGTTTTTTTCCCTGTGGAAAAGACGTATTTCTCATATATTCTTTTTAAAGTCTTTATACTTATGACAATGTGATGCTGATGTGCCAGAGGATGAAGTATCTCCTTGTTTGTGACATTTGGCGACTCAACCAGGAAGTCCTCTGAAGGTCGCCAAATGTCCCCGCCCTCAGGCTTATGTCACGACTGACAAGAAAAAAAGCTGCGGAGCGCAGCATGTATTGTTTTAATTGTGCGACCTTGCACAGACACAAAATAGTAGATACATACAAGCCCAGATCATTCCCACAAAATTAATCCAGTGATTGTTTTGTATGAAGAAGTATGAGGGCCCTATTGAGACTTCAAGATTTAAGTCGTGAATATACGAGAATAAAGTCGTAACCTGTTATTTCAGAGGAGACTTGTTAAAATTAGGGCCATGAAGCATTTAAAGGAACTGTGCTTCAGTATAGGTTTCACAAACAAGGAGATACTTCATCCTCTGGCACATCAGCATCACATTGTCATAAGTATAAAGACTTTAAAAAAAGAATATGTGAGAAATACGTCTTTTCCACGGGGAAAAAACAGGTGTACTTGAAGGAAATCGCTGCTTTTGTGGAGGCAGAAATGAATATGCTGAGGATATATCTGTCAATGCAGCCGTTAATATCCGTGAATGACATTGAGCTTTAATTTATGATATGAATCCATATGCCATAATAAGGTGTTGGTGTCTCTGCAGGTGTAGGTTACGGCCGGTGTCAGAGACGTGGTGCTCGTCGGAGCTCGACTCCCTCTGGATCACAAATGTTGATCATCATCAGTTTGATTGTTTCTTCAGAAACCACAAAATCTCTCTGAATGACCCGCTGATACATCCACAGATAACCCTGCAGATGACCAGCTTCAGTCATTTCCCCCTCCACAAAAGCAGCTTTTTGACTTTATTTACTTTATGACTTTATATACTTTATGACTTTATTCTCCTAAATTTACAACTTTAATCTCTAAATCTTAAAAGAAAAAATACTCAATGTTGTCCTGATCCTCTGCTGTAGTTTTGTCAGCTTTCTCATTTCTAATGTTTTTGATAGTTGAAGCAGAGCGGATCAGCAAGCAAAGTTTTTTTTAGAACAAACAAACAAAACAAAAACAAAGACAAACAAACAAAAAACAAATAAACAGATTTTTTCATTTTAAACATCTTAATAAAAAAGAAAAAAAAAACACTTTTTTATTTATCAGATTGACTCAATTTAAAGTCCAGTTCTGATCAAAGTCCTGGATCCAGAGCTCAAACCCAGGTTGGTGAACATGAACCAATCAGAGCGCTGCATGATGATGATGTCACTAAGGGGGGGGGGTTCCTCTGACACATGGACCATTCAGAACAAAGAGAGAGGACAGAAACCGGATCAGTTCAGACCCAGTCTGACCCATCTCAGGTGGACCAGGTCTGTCCTCAGAGACCAGTTTCAGTTCCAGATCAGCTGACAGAGATAAGCCCCGCCTCCTTCAGTCTGAACCTTCACAGAACCAGAACCTCGGGTCAGGTGAAGTCTGGATCAGCTCACAGGCCTGCTGCAGGGTCCAGGTCCATATGAGGAGGACCCAGATCTTTCTTCAGATTGACTCGATCTGGCGGCGGACTTTCTCTGATGCGAGGCGGTCCAGAGAGCGCTGACGGATGACCACGAGGACGGCGAAAAGAGCCGTGAGAGACAACATGGCCGCCTCGAACTTCCAGAAAAGACGAGACTCCATGACAGTGGAGCGGCAGCTGGAGGGGGGGTGAATATGTTAATGAGTGAATGATGATGTCACAGGACATGATATAAAAATAAAAGTAGTCTGATATATATATATATATATATATATATACATATAAATATACATATATACATATAAATATACATATATATATATATATATACATATAAATATACATATATATATACATATATACATATATATTCACAGAATATATATATACATATAAATATACTTATATATATATATATATATATACATATAAATATACTTATATATATATATATACATATATATATATATATATATATATACATATATAGTGGATATAAAAAGTCTACATACCCCTGTTCAACTGCCAGATTTTTGTCATGTAAAACAATTCAATCAAGATAAATAATTTCACAACTTCTTCCACCTTTAATGTGACCTATAACCTGTACAACACAATTGAAAAACAAACAGAAATCTTTCAGGGAGGTGAAGTAAAAATAAACAACTGAGATCATGTGGTTGCATGAGTGTGCACACCCTTTAATAACTGGGGATGTGACTGCATGTTTAATTGGAGTCAGCACACACCTGTCACCAATTAAAGTGCCTCTGATCAACCCCAAATAAAGTTCTGCTGTTCTAGTAGCTTTTCCTGACATTTTTTTTGTAGCCACATCTTCCAGCAAAAGCCATGGTCAGCAGAGAGCTTCCAAAGCATCAGAGGGATCTCATTATTCAAAGATATCAGTCAGGAGAGGGCTACAAAATAATTTCCAAGGAATTAAATATACCATGGAACACAGTGAAGACCGTCATCATCAAGTGGAGAAAATATGGCACAACGTTGACATTACCAAGAACAGGGCATCCGTCCAAAATTGATGATAAGACAAGAAGGAAACTGGTCAGAGAGGCTACCAAGAGGCCAACAACAACACTGAAGGAGCTTCAGGAATTGTACTGGCTGGGTAGTACATGTGACAACAATCTCCCGCTGTCTTCATATGTCTGGGCTATGGGGTAGGGTGGCAAGATGGAAGCCTTATCTTACAAAGAAAAACATCAAAGCCCGGCTTAGTTTTGCAAAAAGACATCTGAAATCCCCCAAACACATGTGGGAAAATGTGTTCTGGTCTAATGAAACCAAAGTTTAACTTTTTGGGCATCATTGCCAAAGGTATTTTTGGCGCAAAATCAACACTGCTCATCACCAAAAGAACACCGTACCTACAGTAAAGTATGGTGGTGGCAGCATCATGCTTTGGGACTGTTTTTCTTCAGCTGGTTCTGGTGCCTTAAGGTCCTTACACACCGGGACAGTCTTTTTCATATGATTATTTCAGACGTCAATATTTTTTTTCGAACCCATATCCTGTCAATACAAGTGTTCACATCAGCGATGTTTTCCCGTCCTGAATTTATTTTTTCGGATCATGGTCGATTTTTCTACAGTTTCGCATACTGTGTGTCCACTTCTGACCAATCAGATTGTGTGTTGTTGCGACGTCAGATTCCCCAGTATATCCAACATGGCCAACCAGCTGGTTGTTTACGTGTCAGAGAACAGAGTGATTTTTGATAAAAAACACAAATATTACAAAGATAACGACCTGAAGGACAACTTGTGGAGAGTCATAGCGTCAGATTTCTCATATGACGATGGTTTGTGAGCTTTAACCGTTTGCAAAACGTCTTTGTTTTAACTTTCATCTGTGCTAAGTAACTTTAGCTTGTAAGCTAACCTGTTCAGATACAACATACCATATGTATTTTCACTGTCTCTAACTCAATCACAGCGTTGCTGTCACAGCACCATTAGGTCTCGGTTGTTACCTTACATTTATGGATAATAAGTTTAATGTGTTTATCTGGTACTGGCCCTGACTCAGTACATGCTATCATGACAGACAGCCATCTCCACAATAGTGTCTAATCAGAACTGAAAAAGACTCAGTCTGCTGTTGGGTCAGTCTTCTCGCTTCCACCCGGGACGCGTCTCCCCCACCCGAAAGTTCAAAATTGCATCGCGCCTGATGTGTATGGTCAGGCACGTCAAAATTTGCCTTCAAATATTTCGTAATTTCGTGTTGTATATTTGCGTCGGTCCCGGTGTGTAGGGACCGTAAGACTGCATGATATCGTAAAAAACTAATGTTGCAATTTTATTCAACCCTGCGATATATATTATATTATAAACTCGATGAATTTAATCAGATAAGCTGAATCTGACTTTCTGCTGAAATCTTGAGGACAGTTAACCTGCTCTGATCTTTCCTCTTTAAGTGAATGTTAGTAGAACGGCTTCTGTCTGTCTCAGAGATATTTTCACTTTTTTTGTGCTGGGACGTTATTGTGGAAACAGATGAACTCAGAACACGTGTTTTAGTCGACATCGTCCTTCTTATAACTGAAATAATTCCAGATAACTGACGTTGCTTTTCTTTTTACCAACAAGTCCTCATCTTCGGTGGTTTCCTCTTGTTAATTTCTCATTTTACATTCGTTGTTTTTGTTACCAGTGTTGCGCCGAGAAACTCATCCACCTCGCAGAAACGCGCACCACTTAGAGTAGAGTGGTCTACGGAAATGTGCAATTTTAAACCCATACAGTTCTTATTTGTGGGGCTAAACAGTGATGAGGAATGTTCCCAAAGTCATTCTCAGCGTTTCTTGGAACAACACCGGCAGCACCAGAGACTCAGTCTGTGTCAGATGAGTTCATTCACCTCCGACATCGCAGGCTCTGACATGACTATCGCGCACATGTACATCGCCATGACGATGATCAAACGATATATCGTGCAGCCCTAATAGAAACAAAGTCTAGATGTTCGATAGGGCTGCACGATATATCGTTTGATCATCGTCATGGCGATGTACATGTGTGCAATAGTCACATCGCAGAGCCTGTGATGTCGGAGGTGAATGAACTCAGTTAATTTCAAGGGAAGCTGACTGAGATACACTGCATGTGACTCTACATGTGACTCTGCAGCAGTCCACTAATCACCTGCATTCTTTACTCAGTTGCCAATCAGACTACCCTGCCAGCTGTCAATCAAAATCAGAGAGGAGGAAACCCACCCCTGCACATGGAGTGAGTCGCTGGCGCTACCGAAGTTGAGCCGAGAAACGCGTGTCCGCTGAGAATTACTTTCGGAACATTCTTCATCACTGTTTAGCCCAACAAATAAGAACTGTATGGGTTTTAAATTGTACATTTCCGTGGACCACTCTACTATAAGCAGTGCGCGTTTTGTGAGGTGCATGCAATTCTCGGAGGACATGCGTTTCTCATCACAACCCCGGTAACAACAACAACAACGATCGAAAACTGAGCAAAAAAACGGGGAAAACCACCGAAGATGAAGATTTGTTGCCAAACAGAAAAGGAAAGTCAGTTATCTGGAATTATTTCGGTTACAAGATGGATGATGTCGACCAAAACACGTGTTCTGTGTTCATCTGTTTCCACAATAACGTCCCAGAACAATAAAAATATCTCTAAGACAGACAGAAGCCGTTCTCCTAACATTCACTAAAAGAGGTAAGAGCAGTCCACGTTAACTGTCCTCGAGATTTCAGCAGTGCAGCATAACATTTGCTGTGTCCGAATTGCCTGCTCGCTACTGCTACGTGCTACTGCTAGATCCTACTCCTACATACTGAACACGTCGGCCCAATTCGGACACACTAGACGAGCGGTGGGGAAAGACGACCCCCGCAGGCAGAGAGTAGGTACTGCGCCCGTTTTAGACTGAATGGTAATTGTGCAAGTGATGGATGCTGCTGTATTATATTCCTGCACTACTTTAGAAATTCTCAAAGTAGCTTTTCCATGACTTTTAGCCTTCATTCACTCACGTGGTGATCGTTTGTTCAATGAGATCTGCCTGATTACTGCAGCTGTGCAGTTTAATGATGGAATAAGTGAGCTTTACCTCCATGATGTCGCCACATATTTGCTCATAAAATGATTACTTGGGCAAATATGACACCATGACATGACAAAGAGATACAAACGCACATTTTTTAGGACAGTGTGTGAAGTTACATGAAACTTACATCTGTACTGCTGCGGTCCCGCCCCCTGCTGCTGCTGCTGCTCTGCTATGGTGCGCGCTGCTGTGGCCAGACGGCGTTCGCGACGCATTTAAATAGGCAGAGCAGCTGGTGGCGCTAGCATCACATGCGCTTCTACAACTTTTAAGAGGACGAAGAAGAAGCCCGCCGTGCATTTTGGGTCACCCGTGACCATCCTACAATGTGGGCGTGTCTAGTATCTGAAGTAACATGCTACTCGCTCCGGTGGCCAATTCGGACATGCTACATACTACTTCGACTACTACTTGGCAATTCGGACGCAGCATCAAGTGCTATTCAGGTCATCTAGTGAAAATTCCAGTATTTTTTAATATTGTAATAAATATCACAGGGTTGAAAAAAATTGCAATGTTAGTTTTTTCCACTATCGTGCAGCCTTCATGTTCAACTCTAAAGTGTACCCACAGTAACGACCTCTGACCTTTTGTACTCATCCCGGTTGCTGCGAGTACAGTTCACCCTCTCCACGTACCCAGTAGTCCCACATGCGGACCAGGATCTCTAAAACAGAATCAAAAGAACTTGTTAGTCAGGTTTTGACCCGGTTCTGAGGACCGGTCCTCCATGATGACCTTTGAACTCACAGACTGGAAGGCGTTACACTGGGAACATTCGGCGGTGACCACAAAGTCCTCCAGGAGCCAGCAGGGGGTGCCATGAGCCTTTGGTGCTGCAGGGGGAAGAGGTCAAAGGTCAAACCAGGTTACTCATGACCTATTTCCCATGAGTCTTTGCTGCTGCTTGTCATCAGTACCTGAAGTCTTCTCGTCGCTCAGCAGAGCCGCTCCGAAGACCCTGAAACACAGAACACTTAAGTCCAGAACGTTTTGGACCTTCCCTCCTGAAGAACCTTCTACAAAACTACCAGAACCAGGACTGACCTGAGGGACACCAGACCCCAGAACAGGGCGTGGAGGACCAGGACTCTGGGCCTACAGCACGCCACAGGGATCCGACAGTTGCTCTCCATCAGCCGGGTCCTCCAACCGGACCACAGCGCCACCCTGAGACCGCGAGGACCCGAGACCAACCTGAGATCCACCAGAACCGGAGACCAGGTACCCAGAGGCTCTTAGACCATGACCTGTTGGTGTATCAGTCTGAATCAGTCCTGGTCTGGATCAGTGGACCTGAAAGGTAGAGCTGTGTTTGTTTTTATCTAATTACACAGTTTTAATTAATCGCGGGTTTAAAATTTGCGCCATGACGTCACTGTTTCGACGTTTGACAATAACATAAATATCAACATCACTAGATCGGCTAACATGTTAGCAAACATGCTAGCTGTAGCCCGACTCATTGACATCACAACAGATCAGCTGTTTGTCTCCGACGTCATTACGGTCAATAAAAGCGCAGAAGGAGAATTCACATTGACCAGAAACCGAACAGTGCGTTTAGTTACCTGTATTAACAGTGAACCTGCGTTTAAACAGCCAAGCTAAAGCTAACATGCTACTCTGATAAAACTCACCGTCGGAGCCTGAGCACGAAGACAGAAGGAGACTGAAGTCACCGACAGTTAACCGATCACCGAACATCGATCACCGTCAACCGTTCACCGGTTCTGATTCTTCGGAACCAGAGTCTGTTGAGTCCGGATCAGTCTGGGGGGCCAACACCAACAGATGAGCTGTGACGCACAAAGGTGGTACTTCCGGAAAAGTTTTTCAAAATAAAACCAGGAACTCCGCAGAGAAACGTGTTTATATTTTTACCAGGTGAGCTGAGAGAAAGGAAGTATTATCAGTATTATTATTATTTTAATTATTATTATTATTATTAGCAGTAATATTATTACTGTTGTTGTTGTTGTTGTTTTTTTTAATTATTATTATTATTATTATTATTATTAATCGTGAATCAGTCAGTTTGTGTTTTTCTTTGTTGGTTTATTTGTGAACAGTTTTCATGAGTTTATTTAAATCTGAGTTTGTTTTAATAAAGTGGAACAGAAATGATGTTTAGAGTCTAAAAACACTTGATGAAGAATATAAACCCCTCCGCTCATCACTCTGAACTACGTCAATACCATGGGCAATACATCAATTCATACATAATTATTAATCATGTGTAATATGATAATTCTCATTCCTCATTTATCACACCGACTTATCCTCCATTTCATACATTCACACTCAGCACCTACTGCATCCTTGTTCACTTTGTAAATATTTCTCTTAAACTTTTATTTGTTTCTTTCTTTCTTTTCTTTTTTTCCTTTTCTTCCTTTATCTCAAACTGTAAGAACAACAAAAAAAAAACAGCTAGAAACAAAAACACTGAAAAAAATAATCCATATGTAGACCAAACAACTGTACATATCAAAGATAAATTTACACATATATGATTGTCAAAAATAAACAGTTTGAGAAGAAATAGAATGAAACAAAAAGCTTATCAAGTCCTGACCCTTCCTTTTCAAACAAAGATCTTGATAAATACCTACATATTATACACAAAGATACCTGCTCACACTCAATAGGTTACTTATTATGATTACTTGTATATTATAATAATAATTAGTGTTATGATATTCAGAATTAATATTACTTTTATGCAATCAAGTATATTTAGTATAAAACCATATTTTTTGTTAATTTACTTATATAATTCTTTTAATACTTCTCTACAGTTTGATTTAAATATTTTTATGTTATTAGACATTTTTAAAGTAACATCCAGGCTGTTCCAGAGTTTAACACCACAAACAGAAATGCACAGACTTTTCAGAGTTGTATGGACAATTGGACAAATAAATTTATATTACCCCCTTAGATTATAGCCCCCCTCCCTGGTTTTGAACATCTTTTGTAGGTTACCAGGGGGGTATTCCACGAAGCTGGCTAAAGAAGGCCGGTAAGCGTGGCTTGAATAAGCGGCCACTTTCATCTTAGCTGCGACTCGTTCCACTAACGAGGCTCAGCTGTTTTTCAGAGACGCTTATTCAAGCAAGGCTGATCCAAGCCGCGGCTATGCGCGCCTCCACGGTACATAAAAAGCCCTGACGTATCGATTGTCGAAATGATGAGATCATGGAAAAAAAGGGCAGAGCGGAGTCTTTCTCAGCGAACACTCCTCAATGGAGTTGTACGAAGAGTACAAGGAAAACATTTAAAAGAAGGGCAACACTGTTGCCATTGTGAAAGCCAGGGAGATGGGGTGGTTAAGTATCGCAGACCGTTTAAATTCGTAAGTTATAGCCGACAAATATTTTACAACCGACGCGTGTCTCGATGCAGTCAGCCAGCTTGGCTGTCTAATTTTATTCCTCACTTCTGCGCATGTACTGTAAACACTTTTTTAAAAAACTTTTCATCTCATGTATGTGCAGCTCACTCATACAGTCTGTCAGCCTCTGTGCAGCAACTTAGCAGCAAGCAGGGGCGCCTACAGCAGTAGGGGGCGCCAATTTGACAAGAGTTAATACAAAACCGCTTTGAAGTGCAGATTTATTATTATAATTATCTTTTTTCTTTCTTTTTTGGAAGTGCTCGTGCCGCCCCCCATGAGTCATGACACAAATGCCGCCCCAGGCGGCTGCCCGGTTCGCCCGTGCCTAGAACCTCTACTGCACTGTAGGCAAAATTCATGTTCTTGATTTGACAAATAGATATCCATAATGGATTAGTACAGCAGCTACAGGTAAGACCTAAAACCAAAGTAGGCAAACTTAGACAAAAGGTGAAGAAAAACATGTACCTGGAGATGTCTTTATTTTATTAGGGATGATGGTGGCACAGCGCCCTTCATTTAAATAAGGGAGAAGACACAAATGAGCTTGTACACAGAGTAGTCATGTCGTCATTTGCCATCACCTTTACATTATCATCATCATAATCAGAATGGACCACTGGTAAAAGGAAGGTTTTTTTAATGGGAAATTGTTGCTGTTGTCGCCTTCAGTGTTTTGGATGAGATCGTTTGTGCCTTTTTTCTGTTATGTGTTGACAGTAAATTGAGAGTCACAGAATAAAAGAGAGAAAATCTGATATTTCCAAATAATTACCGCTGACGGGATCGAACCCACAACCCGACATTTCTCTTTACCCACTCAGCTACTGAATTTCTCTCTCTCTTTGAGGTTGGTGTAGTATTGGGCATGCCGGATTCACGTATTCCTATGTTGTTTTTAAAAAGCTCTCAATTTATTTTTCCGAACAAGATAAAGATGAAATTACTGTGTGACATACGGCTCACAAAGCGTCTTCTGGAAGCCCGTCGGACCTTCTCTGAGACGCAGCTAAGGTTAGCTTGACCGTAAGCCTGCCTGGGACCAGGCTTGTTGCGCTGGCTGAGTTACCATGGTTACCAAGCCACGCTAGACCTAAGCCTCATTTGTGGAACTGAACTCTCGCTAAAATTAGCCAAGCTAACCGAAATAAGCCAGGCTTTGAGCTAAGCCAGCTTCGTGGTATACCCCCCAGGTAACTTACTTTGTGTTGCTTTGTACAGCACTTGAGCCATTTTAAAATTGACTATGTCATTAAATCTTAGCAATTTTGATTTTAGGAACAGAGGGCTGGTGTGATTCAATATAATGTCCCTTATATTATATCTGGCTTTATTATCCTCATCTTATCCTATCTATTATAAAAATATTTATTTTTATGCAGATGTCTTATACAAACTATTGAAGGTATATATTATAAATATTGATATCCTTAAATATCCATGATTACAGTTGCTGCTTCATCAGACTGAGTGCTTCTTATTTAAAGGTCTTTAACCAAACTCTCTTGGTGATTGATGTTTCTGATCCAATACCCTCTGGAATTTTCTGGAGCACCCCTTGGTTTGATAAAAACCTTACAGTTAACAGTCCATGTGGACATTCATTAGAATGTTGACCCTGTTTAACATGAACATGATTAATAAACTGATCTTGATCTTGAATTTAAGAGTTCAGTCTCTCGGCTTTATTTTGGAGGAATATGTGTCACTTCCTGTTACCCTTCCATTTCCTTTGAGAGCTTTACACCATAGACATAATAAAAGATAGACCCCGCATCGGCCGCTACCACGAATGGGCGCTGTCGAGAAATGCGGCCGCCATCTTGGTCCGGTCATCCGCCTCACTCTGCACCGCTGTTTAACCGGCGGAATGAAGTCTGAGCGCATTAATGAATCATAGTTCGCTCAATACTACGTAATTTTCTTCTCTGCAAACGCCATTCAAAGAGGCATGATAGAGGCCATATTTTTTTTTGGCGTTTTCAAATACTCAGAATGAATAAAATGATATTTTAGAACATGGCAGCAGTGGCTGTATTATAGTATAACAATTAATCAAGGATATATTTAGGTTTAGAGCTAGGTTCCTGCTATGTCTCAATAATTATTAATAACTGGCGGTTTTAATAGGCCAATTCAATATATATTGATTTGATTATAATTTTTTATATAGTTTAATTTTATTTATCCATTTGTAGACACACACAAATAATGTCATATAGAAGCACTATTTTAATAACTGGAAAATACACACAAATATATAGCCTACATATCAAAAAGATTTAAACACAAGAACAGCATGACAGGACAGCATCTAAACTACATATCAATTTGCTTGTTGGCTACACAGCACAGAGGAATCACTTGCTGCGAATTTCTCCCTCTAACAGCAATCTCCCACTTCTTCCTCAAGTTTTTGTCCTTAGGAAATCTTCAAAATGAAACAGGAGATCACCACAAAGAAATCTTTAATAAAACAGAAAGAAGAAGGAAGAAAGTGAGCTCTGTTTTATTATCTATTTTATTTCTTAACGTTTCTTAGAACCTCTCTCGAACAAAAGTTTTTCAATCTAATGCAAATCTGTTGATAATCGACCAAAGTTGCTATTATTGTGAATAAGCTAGCTGTTCGCAAATGCTGTTTCCTTTTTTGAGTTGACCGATAGTCTTCCTCTTTGGCCTACAAATGACTCTACAGTCAAGTGTAATGTTTAAAAAACGTTTAATCATAACTGTGAAAAGTTATTCCTTGAGCCCTGTTCTCTGCTGTCCGCCTGCTGGCACAGGAATACGCCGCACAGTGCTCCGGCATCGCTGAATGAATGAATATGATTGACCGGAGCGTATGGGAAGCTTGACCTGACCAAGATGGCGGCCGCATTTCTCGCTGCGCAAGACACCCAGCGGGGTCTACCCTTTTATTATGTCTATGCTTTACACAGCCTGCTCTGGTTGGTTGGAACATAGATATAGAAGCCTAGACATGCCTACCATAGACGTCATATATGATTAGATGCCTCAGGACCCTGCCCAGGATGCGTCAAGACCGTCGCCATCTTGGAGAGGTGCTTGTCAATGGTTTTCTATCATTTTACGTTTTTGACGCCTCTGGTTTACCTGACAAAACTGCGCCTACCAGCAGTCACCTGGACCGCTTCAAGGTGGCGGCGGTCTTGACATATGCGCTGCCATTGTGTTATAAGGGTCAAAAGGTATCTAGTGTTAATATCTTTAGTGCTTACGTGGCAGCCATCTTGGTGGGGCCATCTCTCCTCGCTCTCGCTCATTTCTCAACCCGTTATCGTTCCGTTAACTTTATTTTCAACACCGAAACATGTGCTATAACCACAGAAATGAAAATGAGTTGAAAACGGTTATGATTCATTTACAGTGTACATGCATTACCTTTAATGGAAACAATGCCCCCCCAGCTCAAAGGGGCGTGTCTTATCTACGTATTTATAGGGTTGGAGCATAGACTGTATATAAGATGGACACCGTGGTTCCGCCTTCCGCTTGTATACGGATTTGAAGCCAAAAAGCTCTCGGTAATTCCGGGTTCCTTGAAACCAGAGCTGTGCAGTAGCGTTGTGCGCATTCGGCCGCACAGTCGCCGAGAGTCCCTGTGATGACGCTCGGGTCAAACAGCGTATTCCCCCGGAAGAGCTACGCAATCCCTGAATGCCCATAGGCTATACCAGGTGTCAATCATAGAAAACATGAACCCCCTAATAACTTTTAAAAACGGAGCTGTACAGAAAAAAAAGGACTTGAGCACAAACCAGTCTTACAATAACTATAAGACAACATCACAACTAGGGGGGAGAAAAATTTATGTTCTGTGTAATAAATTTCTAAAGTTTGTCCACAGCTCCATAAGCTTTGCTGGCGGAGGCGGGATTTATGACCTGTACTGCAGCCCACCATCAGAGGGTGCTGTTCTCGAAGTGGCTTCACCCAGCGAGGAGGCAGACTCTGTCCATCTTATATACAGTCTATGGGTTGGAGAGGTAAACACTGGAGGTGCGCTCAGAGATGACGCCATCAGAACATGTCCATAAAACCACCTCCGTCTTTTTTTATTTATTTGTATTTTGTTTGTTTATTGTTGCAGACTGTGATGTCATTTTATCACTTTTCTTTTTTTTTACCCAGAATTCTTTATTGGAAACAGCTGATGATCAGAGCGAACTGATTCAGATATTTATTCTAATAAAATCGCATTATGATTAAATATCAGATAACACGTTCCCATGGAGACCAACAAAGCAACAAGGACATTAAAGAACAAATTTTATTCAAGTCTGAACAGCTCAGGTGGAGTTACAGCGCCCCCTCAGGTGAACATCAATCACTGCAGTCCACCCTCTCGCCACCTAAGGGTCTCAGAGACTGTGGACGAAGAAACGGGAACACCTGGACCCCCGCGGACACACACACACCTGACCTGAAGAGGACTTCAGACTCCACCCATCGCTGCTCACATGGCTCCGCCCCCTCCAACAAAACTTCTCCAGGTTACACTGAGAGACAGGAAGATAGGTGTGGATCAGGATAAAGGGCCACAGGTGTGACATTAACTAAAGGGCCACAGGTGTGACACTAACTAAAGGGCCACAGATGTGCCGTTAACTAAAGGGCCAGAGGTGTGACAGGTGTGTTATTTACCAGCACGTTGACTCTGCGTCTCTTTAGACGTTGACAGAGTCCTGGAAGTCGTCTCAGGTGTTCTGCTCTTACAGGTGAGTTTGAGTTCATGGGGACCTTCACCTGTCCACAAACAAGACCAGATCATTGGACCACCTAGTCTAGGACAGCATTAAACTGTAAGAATATAACCAACACAAAGAGCAGCTGAAACAGGTCAGAGGTCAGAGGTCATTGACCCGGCTTCATCTGTGTTTTTATGTATTTAGTTTGACAGTAATCACAGATGGACCTCACAAAACCACAAAATCAAAGTTTAAAACACCTGATATTAAAGTAAATTTGAGTGATAAAAACATGAAAACACTTTTGAATGTTCAGAGACTCAACAGTGCGATCGTTTCACTGTAACTAAAAATAGATGTGTGCGAATTGTCAAATGTATTTTGGGTCACATGTGCGAATAAAAAAAAATTTTCCCTGTAAATACAGTAATGAAGTTAGTTTTAGTCGACGTCAGGTGTCGAATAAGGGACCGTCAATAAATTACTGTTGATGTTCTCAGAAAAGGCTGTTTACCTTCAATAGCTTCCATGTCATGTGACCAAAAGACCTCAAATCGACTTCAAATAATAGTACTAAGGTCGGACAATAAGACAAACATTATTGATCAGTTTTCATTGATCCCCTAAAGCTCTTTGTGTGCTCCTTACCTTTTCAACTTAGGAGAACATGTGAATATAGTCACATATATATAATATAAGACCTGAGTCTGAGGAATAATTCACACAAAGACAGACTTCATCTGATGTTTGTTATAGACTCTGATCACACACACACACACACACACACACGCACAAACACACACACACACATACATAAACTCACTAAAAATCATTCAGAGGATTTTCCCAGAATGCACCTGTCCTACCTGCTGCAGGGTTGAGGCAGTTGTGAAGAGCGGCAGACTGGAGTCGACTCTGAGACACAGACAGAAGGTCAGCGAGATGACCGTTGCGATGACGCACACACATGGCCTCATCTGTCAATCAATCAATATGTCTGATAATCAATCAATCAATCAGTCCATCAGCTGTCAATCATTCCTCCCTCTAATCTTCTTCTTCTGGGGTTTAAGAAACAGGAAGCTCTGATCCACTTAGTCTGTCACATGCCCAGATCAGTGACATCACAAAGCTCTCCTCCTATCAGAAGAAGAAGAAGACATGTGAGAACAGGTGACCTTTGACCTCTGACCGCCAGGTCTTGTTTTTAACGTCTTTGAACTGAACTGGGGTGTAAATCACCAAAACTGAAGCATGTGGTGTGTCATACAAGACAAGTGTACATGGTCTTAAAAGACAAAAATAATGTCTTTTTCATTCAAAGTTGATGGATTTGTGTACGTTGTATTTGCATAATCGGAAACGATCAAGTGTTTTAGTTGTGGTGCAGAGGGGCACCTGATTTGCTCCTGTCCGGAGAAGGAAGGAGCACAGCGGCCTGCTGCCAGGGGGGAGTCCACCCACTGCTGCAGCTGCTGCTGGGGGCAATCCGCCCGCTGCTGTGGCTGCTGCTGCCGGGGGGAGTCCGGCCACTGCTGCGGCCGCAGTAGCGGCCGCTGCTGCGAGATGGGTATTGCAGCAGACCCGGAGACTCTCGTGTGAGGGCTATCGTGTGAGGGCTCTCGTGTCAGGATGCAGAAACCACGCCCCTCTAGCCATGACTTTTCAGAATAAAAGCACAGAAAGCAGCCCGGAGTCAAAAGTTTATGCCGATAACGATAAACAAAAGAAATATGGAGATTGTGTAGGATGTAGTTGTTATGTACATCTTGCACAGAAGATGAAAAACAGAGGCAGCGCTGGAGAGGGTGGTGGTCAGTATGCTAATGTAGCAATCACAACAACCCTGGGTGTGAAACTCACACATTCCTCACAGGAAAGTTTCCTTATCTGGTCCCAGGACACAGGATATAAATCTTTCCAGACATGTTTACACTTTCAGGTTACCTAAATGACCCGACCGGAGGTTGACTAAACCTCTGACTCTTCACGATTGGTCAATTCGGAGAACAGAGACAGAGTTTTTATTACCTTTCAAACTGACTCCATTGCTGACCATCTAAATAAACATTAACGTCTCAACCCAGATCTCCCATTTGAGATTTACCGTCTTAAAGTGTGTGAACATACGGACCCCAGGATAAGGGGGGACACTGACCTCCAGACCTCGGCCGTAAAACCCTGCTCGACCATACACTGATAAAGACTACATTCCTTTGGTGAAAGAATACAAATGACTGATCATGACATCTTATGCATTCAGCAATGTACTAATCTGTCTAATCATGAAATTTGTGTTAAAATGAGATGTTCCACGTTTTTCTATGTGCTCCAGAGGCCGAGTTACAGAATAAATCCTTTATTCTTTAGTTTCTTTAGACCAACAGCTTTTCAGACTGTTTCATGAACTTTTAAGAGTTAACTTTGTTGACTATGAATCATAACTTTACTCTTAAGTAACAGAAATGGCTTAGAAATGTTTGGTTTATATTTTAGTTGTTTATTTAGTATTTTTAACCATTAGGTGGTTGTAATGTCATTGAATGGTCTGAATGTAAGTATTTAGAATCCATTATTAATCATGATGAAGTTTATTCACATGTGTTTACTCTTTTGTTGTTCACAGTTTCCATGTGTTACTATCTGTTTCATTTCAGAGTAATTTAGCATGTTAAATGTGATACTTAAAACATAATGAGAATGTTTGATGTGATCCTACACTTCATTCATATGTGTTTAGTACCAAATTATTTATCATGAAACCAAACATTCAATGATATTAATCATAGTGAGTGAGTATCAGATCTGACTCTTTTACCAGCCAAAAGAATAAGTTAGATCAAATAATCAGAGACCACATGAACCCTCCTCTTTCTCCTCTCACACACACGCCAGAGACACTCCCAGTGTGAGAAGATAAAACCAGTGAAGTGGGGTTGCTCACGTTCTTATCCTCTCTTATCCCTAGTCTCTTATTCTGCTCTTCTCTTATGCCCCGTACTCTTGTACCCTTCCTCTTCTTTATTTTCTCTTAGAACTTTTCTTAGTCTTCTAAGTTTTACGCCACGTGTTGATTCACGTTGATTTTTCTTTAACATCGTCTTAGTTCAAGTTTTGAAACTTCAACTTTTTGTGCGCATAGCGATTCAAGATTAAGCCTTTGATTGATTTTTCTTTAATTTCGCGAAGCCATTTTTGAAAGTTTCTCTACTCACCGAGCCTCGTTTATCTGAGTTATCTGCGTGATTTCAAAGTCACCTCTGAACGCAACCCAGCAGGCCCAGGTCATCCTCTGTGCCAGAGTTTTTGAGTGAGACCAAAGAAGCGTCCAAACGAGCATCCACAGGATCCACAGGCGCCGGCTTTACTCCAGGCTCGAGTGCTACAACTCCAGGCCCATCCTTCGGCTGACTTCAGTCGTCTTCTGAGCTGAACCGCTCTAACTGCCGGTAGCCCAGGACCTTCGGAACCTGCTCCATCTTCTCCAAGGACCAGTCTCACTTAAGTATGCAAACCTCCAGAGCTCCAAACAGGGCTGGTGCTGTCTCATGCGTTCATAGCTCAGATATCCTCTTATTCTGGTGATCTTAGATTCCTCCAAATCCACATCCGAGTTTATCTCGACACCAAAGTTAGTGTAGGTTAATATGTTAGCGCATATTCACTCACTATCATTAACTTTAGTGCTCCTAGTCTGACTCAGAATCTTTATTTATTCACCTATTATTATTTTATCCTCATTATCTTATCATCATTTATTGCATGTATGTTGTACCATCATTTATCCTGTAATAAACAGATCATTATTTTTCTAAGTTCTTGTCTGTTAGTGTTCTTCCAGAAGTGGAGCCCCTGAAATGAGAATTTCGGCTTAAGATATGCGACTGATTAATTAAAACTGACGTGATGTTTGATTTCTGAATTAAACTTTTGTTTTCTTTATTTTCCCACCATTAAGGGTGGGTGGTGCCCCTTTCAACGAGTGCATAAATGTCATAATTTGAGATTATTAATCTTCAGACATTTATTATAAATTCCAATCGCTACAGTATTACTTTGGTGCGACCGTGTGAGGCTCATTTCAAACCGTATTATTTTGGTGCGGCTGTGTGAGGCTCATTTCGAATCGCTACACTAATAACCTAGCGTTTGGAGGGCAATCCAGAGCAGTGGATTAAACAGAGTGGCGACACTCCCATAGGCATACGCTGTACAGCCCGGCGGACCCCGCTTCCGGGTTATGGCACTCTTAATAGTTCCAACATGACCGCCTGTCACGTCGGACGCCGTTCGCTTCTATGGCCACAAGGCAAGCACTCACCGAGGTTAAATGATAAAATATCAACAAGTTTAATGCCAATACATGTGTTATTGATATCGAGGGGACCCCTTTAAATGTAAAAATGTATATCCCAAATGTAATTACGTTTTTTTAGTCAGGAATTGGGATTGATTTTTTTAGCCACGGTTTGCTCCCACACTCCCCAAGGTAAAATATTGTATCAACGAATTTAATGCCAATACGTGTGTAAATGGTATCGAGGGACTCATTTTACCCCTGTAAAATGATTTTAATTTTAGTATGCTCAAATTGAAATGTAATTACGTTTTTTTTAGTTAGGAATTGGGATCGATTTTTTAGCCACGGCCTGCCAAAATGTATTGTGTGACTGAGTTATGAATCACAGATAAATCATCATCATCAATCATATGTTGAGATGGTTACTTATGGGCTTTATTTTAGATTTCAGCCTTTATCAGTTTCCGATGTTATGTGCAATTTATTCTTTTTCGACTAACATAAGTGCTATGTAATTTGATTTCTGCTTATGGGATGATAGAGTAAAGGGACCGCTACTTTTTAAATCCTGTCAGCATTTAAGGCGTATGTTTAACATGGAAAAATGCTGCAAGATCAAAACATTGCACAATTGTTTAAACAGCTTGTAACACCTGTTACTTACCACTTTATTGTATTATTTTCTCTTATTAAAAAGTAACACGTGTTACCAAACTTGTCTTATTTCACTTCTATTTGTCATCCAGCCGCTAAATATACGTACGTGACTTTGACGTGTACACAGTAATCCAATAAGAGTAGCAAATGTTGACTTTTTACGGTTAATTTTAATATTTACCTCTTAAATGCGCGCTCACTGCAGTCTGCCCCGTTGAAGAGCATGGACAGTGCAGGCTGCGTTTGGAACTATGGAGGGGTACATGAACCACATGACCGCTCCGGCGGCTGTTTTTATGAATGTCTGCGTGTTTTACCTTTGTTTCTGTTTTTACAAACTGTTTTTACCAAGTGTGGAGAGGTTTTTAACAAGCGGGTTTTTATTCTGTGTTTTAAATACACACGCCAACAAAAAAACAAGTGCCAGCTTTTAAACTTTGTTTTAGGGCAGGCCAAGACGGCTGTGTATTTTAGCTGCAGGAGGAAGGTGGAGGATGGTTTTATTGTTGATCCAGTCACTGTCTGTAAGAACATGATCAAGTCCAGACTCCTCATCGATTTTAATTTCCACAAGGCAGGAGGAGATCTGGACTCATTCCAGCAGGTTTGGGGTTTTAACCAGGTGTTGTGTTCAATAGCAGGAAATATTTTACAGTTTGAAGATGTGCTCATGTAATTTTTATTTATTTATCTATTTTTTGACTCTGTGTGATTGATTGTATGAATTGACCTCTTTTTTGAAAAAAGAGCGAGAAATAAAGTAGACTCAAAAATAAAAAACATCTGTCTCGCTCTCGCTTTCTCTGTCTGTCTGTCTCTCTCTCTCTCTCTCTCTATCTGTTCTATATTTGGTGCTGCAGTTCTATCTTTACCCCCCCTCCCCAGCTGATCTTTACCGTGCGTAGTTACGTCCCACTTTAGCTCCGCCCCCTCTCGGTCCCTCCTCTAATGCCTCCTTTCCTCTTCTGTCTGTCTCCTCCTCTACTTCTGCGTCCATTATTTATTACCCAGCACCACCGCAGCGGGACCCCGCGATACCAGCAGGCCGAGCAGAAGGGCCGGAGCGCCGGGCAGAATGAGAGCAGCTGCCGGGACGGAGAGCCGACCGGAGCCGCCGCCGCAGAACCCCGGAGGAGGAGGCGCCATGAGCGCGGAGTGAGGGGACGAGAGGACGCCGCTTCACCGGGCGGTGAGTGACGGAGAGAAGGATGGATGAATGGATGGACCGATGGATGAATTGAAAGGTGAATGAAGGGATGAAAAGAGGGCTGGATGTGCAGGTAACAGAAGGATGGATGGAGATAGATGATGGACACACTGGCAAGTGTAGATGCCCTGATGTCCGCAGACAGAGCCTCTCTGACCGCTGCTGTGTCCGCTAACGGACACCTCAGAGCGGGCACAGAGCAGCAGACTTAGCCGATGAATCCTCTCCATCAGCATTTTTAACTAAAAACAAGGATGAAATGACTAAAAAAATACATATGCTCAAAACTTGATCATTTTGTTTTTCTGTTGTAATGATGAAAACAAAAAGTAACTATTATTTTCTCCATTGTAATAATAATAATAATAATAATTATTATTATTATTATTGGGACAATTGCATAATAATAATGATAATAATAATTATTATTATTATTGTTATTATTATTATTCTAACTACAACTATCATCTCTGTAATTATTGTTTTTATTATCATTATCCTTATGATTATTACTAATATCAATGTCATTATTATTATTTTCCCTGTCATCATCATCATTTTTATCATAATCAACGTTATCATAATAATTATTATCATCATTATCATAATTATCATTACCATCATTATAATTGTTACTATTATTATCTCTGTTATTTTGGTTGTTTTTCATTATAATTATAATGATATCATCTTCATGATAATTATCATTATTATCATTATCATCATTATTATTGTTAATTTTATCATCTCTGTTATTTTGTTGGTTATTGTTTTAATTTTACTTGTTGATAATTTCATTTTATTAATATTTACTTTCATGGACACACTGGAGGGTCATGTTGTGATCGTTCACTCTGACTTTGTCCCTCTCTCTTAGCGGCTCATAGTCAGGATGTCAACACTGCCCACTGGGCCAGGTCCTGGTCCAGGTGCAGGTCCTGGTCCAGGTACAGGTTCTGAGCTGCCAGACCTGAGTCATCTGACAGAGGAGGAGCGAAGCATCATCCTGTCAGTGATGAAGAGGCAGAAGAAAGAGGAAGAGAAGGAACAGAGCATGCTCAAGTAAGAACGGCACTTAACTGATTTATGACCACAAACTCACCTGAACCAAACTCACCTGAACCAAACTTACCTAAACCAAACTCACCTGAACCAAACCCACCTGAACCAAACTTACCTAAACCAAACTCACCTGAACCAAACTTACCTAAACCAAACTCACCTGAACCAAACCCACCTGAACCAAATTCACCTGAACCAAATCTGAACCAAAATCACCTGAACCAAACTCACCTGAACCAAACCTACCTAAACCAAATCTGAACCAAACTCACCTGAACCAAACTCACCTGAACCAAACCTACCTGAACCAAATTAACCTGAACCAAACTCATCGAAAGCAAACCTGAACCAAACTCACCCGAACCAAACCCACCTGAACCAAACTCACCTGAACTGAACTCACCTGAACCAAACCTACCTTAACCAAACTCACCTGAACCAAACTTGCCTGAACCAAATCTAAACCAAACTCACCTGAACCAAACTTACCTGAACCAAACTTACTTGAACCATACTCACCTGAACCAAACCTGAACCAAACTCACCTGAACCAAACCCACCTAAACCAAACTCACCTGAACCAAACCCACATGAACCAAACTCACCTGAACTGAACTCACCTGAACCAAACCTACCTGAACCAAACTCGCCTCAACCAAACTCACCTCAACCAAACTTACCTGAACCAAATCTGAACCAAACTCACCTGAACCAAATCTGAACCAAACTCACCTGAACCAAATCTGAACCAAACTCACCTGAACCAAACTTACCTGAACCAAACTTACCTAAACCAAACTCACCTGAACCAAACTCACCTGAACCAAACCCACTTGAACCAAATTCACCTGAACCAAATCTGAACCAAACTCACCTGAACCAAACCTACCTTAACCAAATCTGAACCAAAATCACCTGAACCAAACTCACCTGAACCAAACTCACCTGAACCAAACCTACCTTAACCAAATCTGAACCAAACTCACCTGAACCAAACTCACCTGAACCAAACCTACCTGAACCAAACTAACCTGAACCAAACCCATCAAAAGCAAACCTGAACCAAACTCACCCGAACCAAACCCACCTGAACCAAACTCACCTGAACTGAACTCACCTGAACCAAACCTACCTTAACCAAACTCACCTGAACCAAACTTGCCTGAACCAAATCTAAACCAAACTCACCTGAACCAAACTTACCTGAACCAAACTTACTTGAACCATACTCACCTGAACCAAACCTGAACCAAACTCACCTGAACCAAACCCACCTAAACCAAACTCACCTGAACCAAACCCACATGAACCAAACTCACCTGAACTGAACTCACCTGAACCAAACCTACCTGAACCAAACTCGCCTCAACCAAACTCACCTCAACCAAACTGACCTGAACCAAATCTGAACCAAACTCACCTGAACCAAATCTGAACCAAACTCACTTTAGGGTCATTCCATGTCAATTCTCTCAAGAATCTACACTCACGTCACAGATTTTGATGAAATTTGGTCCAATACTTGCTCGCGGGAATCCAGGTTTATGATAGCTTTGAATTCTTCATACTTTCTCATGATCGTCTCCTGCTCCTCGTTTGTAAAGTACGTGGTCCTTCACTCTCCGGCCTGCTCTGACGCTCCAGACTGGTCCATGTTCGCGATTGGTCAGATGCGACGGGCTCCACCTTACATGCGTGCACGCGCTCATAGCAAAGCTGGATCCACTTACGAGGTTGATAACCAGCGTCGTAAGACCATTTAGTGAGACCGCTGGCTACCACGCTGAGTTGAGCGAGGTAGCTACCTCGCTAGGTCGAACTTGTGAACTTGCTTCGTAAAATAGGCCCCAGAACCAAACTCACCTAAATTACCTGAGGCAAACTCCCCTAAGCTGCAGGTATGCAACGAGATGATTAGTCCAGGGTTAGATGACTGGTAGTGACATTGTAAAGGGGACGTTGACCTTTGACCTCCAGCAGGATGTACTGAAGCTGTGTGCAAGCTAACCTGTTTGTTGTCTCAGCCGACTGACGCTACTAATCCTCCCACCCTCTCATACACACACATACACACACACACACACACACACTCACAGGAGCTCTGTGTTTTTATAGAAACACACACACACACACACACACAAAGAAAAAGAAGGAGAAGGAAGAAGTCAGATCAACAACACGATCACATAGAGAAGACAGAAGGGCGGGGCTAAAAAAAGTCAGCAAAACTGTCAAGCCATATATTTTTTTTATGTGTTAATTTTTACAGGAGACATGTTTATTTTTACAGTAAAAATGTTTCTTTTTACAGTAAACATGTTTAATTTTACAGAAAACATGTTTATTTGTCCTAAAACATGTTTATTTACAAAGTAAACATTTTAATTTTTACAGTAAACATGTTTATTTTTACAACTAACATTTATATTTTTACAGTAAATTAGTTTCTTTTTACAGTAAAAATGTTTATTTTTGCAGTAAACATGTTTATTTTTGCAGTAAACATGTTTATTTTTACAGTTAACATGTTTCTTTACAGTTAACATGTTTTTTTACAGGAGACATGTTTATTTTTACAGTAATAATGTTTATTTTTACAGTACAAATGTTTTTTTTGTAGTAAACATGTTTATTTTTACAGTTAACATGTTTACTTTTACAGTAAACATGTTTATTTTTACAATTAACATGTTAATTTTTACAGTAAAAATGTTTCTTTTTACAGTAAACATGTTTAATTTTACAGAAAACATATTTATTTTCACAGTAAACATTTTAATTTTTACAGTAAACATGTTTATTTTGCATTAATGTCCAAATTGTCTAATAGCCTAAGTGAAAAACATGTATGATTGATGTGACTAAACAGAACTGATAATAAGGATAATTGAATTTGAAAAACAAATGTCTTAAAATAATGTGTAACAATGTTCCAATTAAATGTACAAATAGTAAAACAGATTTTTGCAGTCTGCAGCATCCAACCATAGTAACTTGAGAATGCAGAACAGCACCATCTATTGCTGTGCTTCAGTTACTGCCCTACATCTGAATGTAGAAAGTATGAAACAGCTGAAGTTAAATTAATTGTATAAATGTAGAAAGTAAAGAAAAGCAGAAGTAGAAGAAAAAGAAGAAGTTAGTATGTTAAAAGAGTTAAAGACAAGAACTGTAACAACAAAGTTAATATTGGGGGTGTATTTTCTACTGACAGAGAGACAGTGTTTGTGCCCGCGCGCGCGCGGCCGAGCCCGTGCGTGTGCATGTGCGTATGTGATCGAAGCACACAGCCCATGACAAGTGCTGATATCGCAAAAGCAGTGAAAAACCGTCTGAACTTTTCCCCCTAGCGCAATTTCCGTAAGTCATATCCCAAAAACAAGATGATTTTAGGAGTCCTGAGATTCCCATGAACACAATGATGTATTCTTTATGTCTAAAGTGTAAAAAATGTGGCCACAACAGCGAGTTAAAAAACGGCTTCAGTGTAGTGTCTGTCAGGGTTTCTTGGCCAAAATTTAACATGGGAGTTAATGGGCAGAATCTCTGACTCCTACGGAATGTACTCACCTCCTGGGCAAGCGGTACAATTTGATGACTTCAGACCTATTTTGTGAGAAGCAGGACGAGTGTACCTCCATTTTGATGTGTTTTTTATGGCTGTGGAGAGAAAATTGCGGCCGTGGGAGCAAAATAATCACGCTTGGTCTAGTGAATCCAAAACGCTCCCCCCGCTCTAGTGATGACGTCACACGCTCTAGTGTTTCCAATACACACTCATTGGAAAGGCTGAAAAAGGCAGAAAACTTCATGTTGCGCCAAGCTAAATTGTGCAAAAAACGGTAGGAAATAGCAAGAAGGAGTGAAACAACATTTATAGCAGACAAGTTGCTGAACATTTTAAAGCAAAAATGAGGTCTGTAGGTGAAAGTATGCAGAAGTTATAAGGGTGAGAAGGTGTTATAGCTGTAGCCGGAGTGGAGAGATTTCTCCATTCATTTCTAATGGAACAAATTTTGCAGAAAAAGTGAAATATTGCAAAAAGTATAAATGGTAGAGAGGTGAAAAGTAATAGCCATATTGTCCTGAAGGAGTGCATTAGTATAAAGTTTGAATGGTTAAAATAGCACAAAGTGGGAAGGAGTTGAAAAGGGCCAAAAAAGGTAAGGAAGAATAATAATAACAACTAGAAAAATTGCATTTCCTTGCAGAAAATGCGTGGAAATGCTGAGTGCTGAAAGCTGAAAAAGCAATGCTTAACTGCTAATAAAACATGGAGAAATGTATAAATGTTAAAGCTGTTGAAGGGGTGTGAAAGAAATGTAAGTTGGATAATTGATTAATTGGTTGAAGGACAAATAGTATGAATATGCTCTATAAAAAGAAATTTTATTCATGCTGAAAGAGGCTAGAAAAATGTCTAAAATTGCACAAAGTTTGAATGAAGAAGGAAATTGCCTTAAAAGGCAGGAAGGTGGGAAGTGGCATAAGTTTAATTTTTTAAGTATTAGAAAGGTTTGAATCAGTTTGAATCAGTTCAAATTAGTTTGAAAAATTAAATGATAAATCATCACTGAGTGACTTTAAAATGTGAAAAATCTAAATGTATAAAAATCCTAAATACACCCCATAATGTCCTCAATGAGCTCAAATTTTAAAGCCCTGAATGGTTTCTGTAGGTCAAATGTCATGTGAGGAGATAGGGGCTGAAGTTTTTTCAAGCACTCTAGTAAAGGGTTTTAAGTGTCATCCCCAGTGCTATGTGTGCTGAGCCTGGCTTCATGTGTCTCATATGGCCATTAGAAGCAGCTTTCCAGTCAGCTGTGTGTCTCCAGGTGCACAAATTGGTTGCCATGGGGACCTTGGATGCATAACTATAGCAGGAGAAAGAAGGCTTGAAGCTAAGGAAACAGGACTCCAAGTAGGCCCTGACACTCATCCTCTGTATATATTCATGATAAGGAGCTTGTGAGAACACAAGACTCTGCTGAACACATTAATACAATTTATTATCACAATCCTCAAAACACCCCATAATATCTTCAATGAGCTGAATTTTAGAAGCCCAGAATGGTTTCTGTAGCTCAAAGTTTGTGGGTGGAGATAGGTGGCGAAGCAGACACATATTAACTGTGTGTACAAGCAGCTGAACTGCAAGGTAGACCTCATAAAGCAACAAGTACAAGAATGTGTGTGTGTGTGTGTGTGTCTCGTTAATGACTGCATCCTAAACAGCTGTGAGATCAAAGGCAAATCACTGACCTACTGTTTGAATGAGAAGCAGCTGAACTGCAGAGGATTTAGAGGCTCTAAACTTCTTCACATAGCGTGATTTCCTTAAGTCCCAGAATGAAAATAAGAACATCGTACGAATCCTCCGCCCTTCATGAACACAATGATGTGTTTTTCATGTCTGTACTCCGACAAATGTGGCCACAACAGCGAGTTAAAAAAGTCTGAGCCTGAGCGATGATCCGGATTTTCTTGGAGAAAAATAACATTAAGGTCAATGGGAGAGATTTCCGCCTTCTTTGGACAGTTGGTCACCTGCTGGCCAAGGGGTACGATTTAATGATTTGAAACCTCTTTTGTGAGAAGCAGGACACATATACCTCCATTTTGATGTATTATTTGTGTCAGTGGAATGAGATTTGTGGGCGTGGGAGCGATATATTCGAGCGAGGTTCTGTTGATCAGAGACGAGGTCTGCACTCTAGCTTTTCAAATCATCACTCTAGCCTCTCCAATACACCCCTATTATAAAGCCTGAAATTTGCTGAAAACCACGAGTTGCATAAAGCTAAATTGTGGAAAAACTGTAAAAGATAGCACAACGACGTTAATACAACATCAATAGTCGACAAGACAATGAACATTTTAAAGCAAAAATGAGGTCTCTAGGTGAAAGTATGCTGAAGTTATAAGGCTTAGAAGGTGGATGAATAACAGGAAGTATTGGAAGATTTCCCCATTCGTTTCTATGGGAAAAAAAGTTTGGCACAAAAAGTGAAAAATAATAAAAAGTACAAAGGATAGAAAGGAAAAAAATACAAGCACACATGTCCTGATGGAGTGGAATAGTTTAAAGTTTGAACGGTTGAAATCGGACAAAGTTTGAAGGAGGAGAAGCGGTCCAAAGAAACGTATGGGGGGAGTGTTAAGTATAATACTAGAAAAATTGCATTTCCTTGCAGAAAATGCGTGGAAATGCTGAGTGCTGAAAGCTGAAAAAGCAATGCTAAACTGCTAATAAAACATGGAGAAAGGTATAAATGTTAAAGCTGTTGAAGGGGTGAAAAAGAAATATAAGTTGGATAATAGTTTAATTGGTTGAAGGACAAATAGTATGAATATGCTCTATAAAAGGAAATTTTATTCATGCTGAAAGAGGCTAGAAAAATGTCGAAAATTGCACAAAGTTTGAATGAAGAAGGAAATTGCCTTAAAAGGCAGGAAGGTGAGAAGTGGCATAAGTTTAATTTTTTAAGTATTAGAAAGGTTTGAATCAGTTTGAATCAGTTCAAATTAGTTTGAAAAATTAAATGATAAATCATCACTGAGTGACTTTAAAATGTGAAAAATCTAAATGTATATAAATCCTAAATACACCCCCTAATGTCCTCAATGAGCTCAAATTTTAAAGCCCTGAATGGTTTCTGTAGGTCAAAGGTCATGTGAGGAGATAGGGGCTGAAGTTTTTTCAAGCGCTCTAGTAAAGGGTTTTAAGTGTCATCCCCAGTGCTATGTGTGCTGAGCCTAGCTTCATGTGTCTCATATGGCCATTAGAAGCAGCTTTCCAGTCAGCTGTGTGTCTCCAGGTGCACTAATTGGTTGCCATGGGGACCTTGGATGCATAACTATAGCAGGAGAAAGAAGGCTTGAAGCTAAGGAAACAGGACTCCAAGTAGGCCCTGACACTCATCCTCTGTATCTATTCCTGATAAGGAGCTTGTGAGAACACAAGACTCTGCTAAACACATTAATACAATTTATTATCACAATCCTCAAAACACCCCATAATATCTTCAATGAGCTGAATTTTAGAAGCCCAGAATGGTTTCTGTAGCTCAAAGTTTGTGGGTGGAGATAGGTGGCGAAGCAGACACATATTAACTGTGTGTACAAGCAGCTGAACTGCAAGGTAGACCTCATAAAGCAAAGAGTACAAGAATGTGTGTGTGTGTGTGTGTGTGTGTGTGTGTGTGTCGTTAATGACTGCATCCTAAACAGCTGTGAGATCAAAGGCAAATCACTGACCTACTGTTTGAATGAGAAGCAGCTGAACTGCAGAGGATTTAGAGGCTCTAAACTTCTTCACATAGCGTGTTTTCCTTAAGTCACAGAATGAAAATAAGAACATCGTACGAATCCTCCGCCCTTCATGAACACAATGATGTCTTTTTCATGTCTGTACTTCGAAAAATGAGGCCACAACAGCGAGTTAAAAAAGTCTGAGCCTGAGCGATGATCCGGATTTTCTTGGAGAAAAATAACATTATGGTCAATGGGAGAGATTTCCGCCTTTTTTGGACAGTTGGTCACCTGCTGGCCAAGGGGTAGGATTTAATGATTTGAAACCTCTTTTGTGAGAAGCAGGACACATATACCTCCATTTTGATGTATTATTTGTGTCAGTGGAGTGAGATTTGTGGGCGTGGGAGCGATATATTCGAGCGAGGTTCTGTCGATCAGAGACGAGGTCTGCACTCTAGCTGATGACATCATCACTCTAAACTCTCCAATACACACCCATTATAAAGCTTGAAATTTGCTGAAAACCACAAGTTGCTTAAAGCTAAATTGTGGAAAAACTGTAAGAGATATCAAAAAACTGAGTACAACTATAATAGTCGACAAGTAAATGAACATTTTAAAGCAAAAATGAGGTCTGTAGGTGAAAGTATGCTGAAGTTATAAGGTCTAGAAGGTGGAAGAATAAAAGGAAGAATTGGAAGATTTCCCCATTGACTTCAATGTTAAAATTTTTGCACAAAAAGTTAAAAAAAACAAAAAGTATAAATGTTAGAAAAGTGAAAAGTAATAGCAAACGTGTCCTGAAGGAGTGGAATAGTTTAAAGTTTGAACGGTTGAAATCGCACAAACTGGGAAGGAGTTGAAAGCGGACGAAAAACGGCGGAAGAATAATAATAATAATAATAATAATAATAATAATAAAGAAACGGGAGAATAACAATAAGTGGAAATGCCTATCAGCATTTCCACTTAAAAAGAAACAGGAGAATAACAATAAGTGGAAATGCTGTGTCAGCATTTCCACTTAATAATCGCCAACACCCGCTGCTCAAACGGCGTGAGGGTCTCCTCCCCCGGACCCCCACCTGTCTGGCCGGTACTCCTCCGGAGGGCAGCTGTACGCCGCTTGACCTCCACCTTGAGGTCCGACCACTTTTTTTGAATCTCCCCGGGGATGCGTGTCTCGGAACCCACCGCGTCCACCCTCTCGCAAACTTTCTCCCACTCCAAGCGTTTTCGTTTTGCACTGACGCCACTGGACAGGCTGCCAAACAAAACACGCTGTCGCTCCTCCACCTCTGCCACCAGCACCTCCACCTCGCACGCTGTAAATTTAGTTTTTCTTGTCATTTTGTCTGCGTGCGAGGACAGGGAGACCATTTTTAAATAAATCTGCATATTTGTAGGTGGGCGTAACGGGGGCGGGCCCAGTCACTCCGAAATCTGCGCTCAATTCCACGCTGATTGGGATTTATCAAGGAAACACACGTGGCTTTCGGCGCCCGCACACCTTGATACATACAGATTTTTTTCAGCGTGACGGACCTTGCATGCGCTCGTTTCTAGTATGAGTCCCACGCAAGTGTTGATACATGAGGCCCCTGATCACATTATCACTGATAATGTTACTATTATTGAGTGGGATTGCAAAGCATTCCCACTATATGTTATTCATATCTTTATTATTATTATTGAGTGGGATTGCGAAGCATTCCCACTATATGTTATGCATATCTTTATTATTAAGTGGGATTGCGAAGCATTAAAATCACTCATTGATAATGCATTATACAATTCTTCAAACAAACTTAAATTCATTCAAACTGATTCAAATCTTTCTGATTCTTCAAACCTCTTTTACTTCCAGATTTTTAATCATTTTAATTTTCCAGTTTTAAATCATTTTCACTCTTAATGCATTATTCAGTTCTTTCAAACAAGTTACAACTCATTTGAACTAATTCAAACCTTACAGATTCTTCAAGCCTTTCCTGTACTTCAGGGTTTTTAATCAATTTTATTTTCACACGTTGAATTTTTAAAATTATTATTCATGCATTATTCAATTCATTCATCTGAGTTTATTCGAATTGATTCAAACCTTCCTGATACTTCAAACATTTTTATCTTTCACATATTTTTAAAAATAGCAATTTTAACAGGAGCAATCCCACTTGCAATTTCTTCAGAAATTGCATTTTCTAGTTATTATGATTATTATTTAATCATGTTAACTGAAATAGATTATAATTAATCATCATCATAATTAATCATTGTTATCATTAGTATTTTTATCATGTCGTACTCTAGAGCTGAAGAAGAAAAAACTTTATTTGTTTGTTAAAAAGGGTTAATACATGACAAAACTCTTCCTGTTAGCTGCTCCTGTTAGCGGCTCATCCTAGCTGCTCCTGTAAGTGGCTCCTGTTAGCGTGAGTGATGGCGAATCTTCTGCGTTGGCGCATTTATCATGTCAGACTGTCGAAAAACAACATGGCCGCCATCCTGTTCCTCCTGTAGATGGCCAAGCTAACATTAGCACTGCTGTTTTATGACCTGTTTGTAACCTCTGACCCGCGACAGGAAGTTACATCAGCAGTTTGAGCAATACAAGGACCAAGTGAGGAAGCTGGGGGAGGAGCCTCAGGTGCCCTCGGCGGCAAAGGCAGAGTATCCCACATGTGGAATCTGTCAGAAGACCAAGTTCGCAGACGGCTGCGGTCACGCCTGCTGCTACTGTCAGAGCCGCTTCTGCGCTCGCTGTGGGGGGCGTGTCCAGCTGAGAGCTAATAAGGTTAGTGCATGTCTGTGAGAAGGTAGGATAAGAGGAGGTAGGAAAGAGGACAGAGGAGGTAGGATAGAGGAGAGAGGACAGTGGAGATAGGAAAGAGGAGAGAGCACAGAGGAGGTAGGAGAGAGGAGAGAGGACAGAGGAGGTAGGATGGAAGACAAAGGAGGTAGGATAGAGGAGTGAGGACAGAGGAAATAGGAAAGAGGAGGTAGGAAAGAGGATAGAGGACAGGGGAGGTAGGATAGAGAACAGAGGACAAAGGAGGTAGGATGGAAGAGAGAGGAAAGAGGAGGTAGGATAGGGGAGATAGGACAGAGGAGGTAGCATGGAAAAGAGAACAGAGAAGGGATAGAAGAGGTAGGAGGGAAGAGAGAGGACAGGGAACATAGGGTGGATAAAGGAGGTCGGGTAGAGGATAGAGGACGGGGGCATAGGATAAAGGACAGGACAGAGGAGGTAGGATGAAGGAGAGAGGACAGAAGAGGTAGGATAGTGGAGAAAGGAAAGGAGGTAGGATAGAAGAGAAAGGACAGAGGAGGTAGGATATAAGACAGAGAAGGTAGGATAACGGAGAGAGGTCAGAGGAGGTAGGATAGGAGAGAGAACAGAGGAGGTATGAAAGAGGAGAGACGACAGAGGAGGTGAAATTGAGGTGGTAGATTAGAGGATAGAGGACAGAGGAGGTAGAAAAGAGGAGAGAGGACAAAGGAGGTAGGATGAAGGAGAGAGGATGGAGGAGGAAGGACAGAGTACAGAGGAGGAAGGATAGAGGAGGAAGGATAGAAAACAGGACAGGGGAGGTAGGATGGAGGAGAGAGGACAGAGGAGGTAGGAAAGAGGAGAGACGACAGAGGAGGTAGATTACAAGATAGAGGACTGAGGAGGTAAAAAAGAGGAGAGAGGAAAAAGGAGGTAGGATGGAGAAAAGAGGACAGAGGAGGTAGGCTAGAGGAGAGAGGACAGAGGAGGCAGGATAGAGGAGAGAGGACAAAGAAGGTAGAATAGAGGAGAGAGGACAAAGGAGGTAGGATAGAGGAGAGAGGACAGAGGCAGTAGGATGGAGGAGAGGGGACAGAGGCAGTAGGATGGAGGAGAGGGGATAGAGGAGTGTGGACAGAGTAGGTAGGATAGTGGGGAGAGGACAGAGAAGGTAGAAAGGGGAGAGAGGACAGAGGAGATAGGATAGAGGAGAAAGGATAGAGGAGGTAGGTTAGAAAAGAGATGATGGAGGAGAGAAGACAGAGGAGATAGGATAAAGGAAAGAGGACAGAGGAGGTGGGAGAGAGAAGTGAGGATAGAGGAGGTAGGATAAAGGAGAGAGGACAGAGGAGATAGGATATAGGAGAGAGGACAGAGGAGGTGGGATAGAGGAGAGTTTTGGTTCATAATGAGTTTAGACTTGTTGGGTCAAATGACAGTAAATGACATTATTATTGTATTCACTTAACTGTCAACACCTGTGCGTGTGTGTGTGTGTGTTTTTGTGTGTCTGTTTCTGTTTTTGTGTGTGTTAACTTGTGTGTGTTAACGTGTGTGTGTGTGTGTGTGTGTGTGTGTGTGTGTGTGTGTGTGTGTTTGTGTGTGTTTCAGGTCATGTGGGTGTGTAATGTCTGCAGGAAGAAACAGGACATTCTCACTCAGTCGGGGGAGCTGCTTACTCGAGGGGTTTCCTACCCCCCCACTCAGGGGCCTCCAGGGGCCCTCAGACCCCTGAGTAACGGGGCCTCAGAACGGTGAGTCAACAGGGACGGACAGGTGAACATGATCAGGTACAGGAACCTACGACTCTAATCTGCTCTCTGATTGGTCTGTTTTTTTTTTTTTATGACAGGAGGTCCAGCCCCTCTTTGTCACAAGATGATGGTGGGCAGGTCAAGACCTCCCAATCCCCCTCTGATTACAGTTGTGAGAGACTTCCTCATTCATCACATGACTTCCAGTGCAGCAGGAGGGAGGAGCCTCTGTGCCGTGTGCGACCAATCAGAGATGATCACAGCTGCTGGTTCTCACAGGTGAGTCTAACTGGTCAGGTGAGGGTGAGGGAGAGAGGACAGAGGCGGTAGGAGGAAAGAGAATGAAGGACAGAGGAGGAGGTAGAATAGAGGAGAGAGGATAGAGAAGGTAGGATAGAGGAGAGAGGACAGAGAAGGAAGGATAGAGGAGAGAAGAAAGAGGGGTAAGGATAGAGGAGCGAGGACAGGGGAGGTAGGATAAAGGAGAGAGGACAGAGGAGGTAGGGTGGAAGAGGTAGGATAGAGGAGGTAGGAGGGAGGACAGAGGACACAGGAGGTAGGCTAGAGGAGAGAGCACAAAGGAGGTTGGATGAAGACGAGAGGACAGTGGAGGTAGGTTGGAGGACAGAGGAAGGTGGAGGACAGAGGAAGGAGAGAGGAAGGAGGACAGAGGATAGAGGTGAGAGGAGATAGGATGGAGGAGAGAGGACAGTGGAGGTAGGATAAAGCAGAGAGGAAATAGGATGGAGATGAGAGGACAGAGGAGGTAGGATAGAAGTGTGAGGACAGAGGAGGTAGGATAGAGGAGTGAGGACAGAGGAGGTAGGATGGAGGAGAGAGGACAGAGAAGGTAGGATAGAGGAGGTAGGACAGAGGAGGTAGGGTGGAGGAGGTAGGATAGAGGAGAGAGGAGAGGGGAGGTAGGATGGAGGAAGTAGGATAGAGGATTTTTGTCCAGTCAGTGAAGGATTTGGGTTCCGACCCTGCCTCCGTGGTTACTCTTAGGACCAGGTTCAGGATGAGCGAGAGTGGTGGCGGCAGCAGGAGGAGGAGTTTCAGGCCCGTTACCGTAGTGACCCGAACCTGGCCCGTTATCCTGTGAAGCCTCAGCCGAGCGAGGAGGCCATGAGGATGTTAGCTCATGTGGGGCGAGTGCGCCATCAACGCCGCCACAGTGACGTTTCCCTGGCGACCTCTGAACCTGATGACCCTTACTTTAGATACGCAGGTACACACACCTGACTTCAAATGGGAATCGAACCGTCAACCTCTTCCTGAAACTGAACTCACTGTTTTCTTCACAGCTCACCATCAGAACCGGCGTCAGGGGTTGGTCAGCCACAGAGGTCAGAGGTCATTATCTGTTGATCGAGCAGCAAATCACATCAGTCCCACCTCCCCTCGCCGCAGCCCATTTCCCCGGCAACACCTGGATCCTGAGAGCGCCGCCCAGAGGGGGGGGAAGATGTACGTGATTGGCAGCTTCAGCAGCTCGGAGGAGGAGGAGCTTGTGATCACGCCAGAATACGGCGAGGAACCAGACCGTGAGTGACCACATGATAACGGTCTAGTAAGACCTGCAGGTACCCAGAACGGGTCTCAAGAAGCAGAGTGGTTTTGGATTCTGTCTCTGGATCCTGGTTCTGGATCCTGGATCTGGATCTGGATCTGGTCTCCTTGTTTGCAGTGATGTTGTTTAGGTTTGCAGCTCCATGATTCAGAACCTGGTCCGACCCAAGAAACCCTGTTTTCCTCATTCTGTTCCCGAAATGTGGACCAACCAGAACCAACACATCTGGATCAGAGAGTTTGTTAGAGACCAGAGGCCTGGACTACGAAGCTGGATTAACACATCCAGGATAACTCTGCGACAACTCGCTAAACTTCACCAGATCTCCGCGATCCCGATCAGCTGTACTACGAAGCCGGTTATCAACTCGATAACTGAATCCAGGTGTGGCCACTTCAGATCTGTGCGCGCACACGTAAAGGGGGCGGGGTCAGTGCCACCTGACCAATCTCCACAATGGAGAAGGCTGCACGTCATTTTTCACAGCCGAGGAACAGAGCATTATTTTACGAGGAGTACCGCAACATCATAACAGTGAGGATCAGGACAGCCACAGCCGCTAAAAACCGGAGGGACTGCTGACAAAAAAAAATCACCGGTTGTGTAAATTACACATTTGTGCGTTCATAAATTTATGGCCCCTTATATGTTGTCATGCAGCGTGTGTGATCACCTCCATCATTAACCTCATTATTTCAGATACAACAGCAGTGGGGAAAAGAGTACGTGGGAGCAAATAAAAATAAATCTAAAAACATCCTTTAAAGTAGTTTGTAAGTTTATTGGAAGATTTTATTTGTACATATTTCAACGCGTAAACAGTGATTTCCTCACACCGCCTTTTTTTCTTTTTTCTCCATCATCTGATGGTCACGTCATCTGCAGACACATTTGGGGTTAAGAGGAGTTTTCTAATCTGCTGCAATAAATTCTGAATGATGACTAACAAATTTGAACCTGGAGCTTGGCAAATATTAGTGTGTTGCTTAGACTTCATGCTACCTGAATATTGAGGCCGTCCGAGGAAAACCTGTAATGTTCATAGAGAACTTCATCAGGTAAATCAAAGGGGTTTGAACGATCATGAATATAACGCTCTCGGTGAAGCGCTCCTCTCACTATCCGTGCAACGATGTCCCCGGGATCTGGCAAAAGTGGGCAAGCCATTTTCCAAGAGATCCGATTGGTCATTGGGCGGTTTTTTATACCTGCTGAGATCTTATCTTGAAACATAACCTGCTCCGGAGCAGGTTTGGCGTTCCGCGTAAGTTACCGGGGCAACGGACCCGGATAAAAAGAGATCCACCTTCGTAGTACAGAAAACCCAGAAGTTATCCAGAAGTTATCTTGCTAAGACCAAATCCAGCTTCGTAGTACAGGCCTCTGGAGAGTTCAGGATTTGGTTCAGTCCAGTTAATTGTTCCAGTGAAGACCCAGGTTCTGGTTCTGTTCCTGCAGAAATCTACTTCAGAGTTGAACCATACCCTGAAGATATAATGAACCATGTTCCGGCTGGGTTCTGGCATGGTTCTGTGTATTGGTTCTTGGTGGGTTCTGGCATGGTTCTGTGTATTGGTTCTTGGTGGGTTCTGGCATGGTTCTGTGTATTGGTTCTTGGTGGGTTCTGGCATGGTTCTGTGTGTGGGTTGTGGCTGGGTTCAGGCATGGTTGTATGTGTGTCCTGGCTGGGTTCTAAAAGGGTTCTAAGTGGGTTCTGGCTGTGTTCTGGCCTGGTTCTGTGTGTGGGTTCCCTGTAGTTTCTGTGTGTGGGTTTTGGCTGGGTTGTGGCATGGTTCTGTGTGGGTTCTAGCAGGGTTCTGTGTGTGGGTTCTGGCTTGGTTCTGGCATGGCTCTGTGTGTGGGTTCTGGCAGGTTCCTGGCATGGTTCTGTGTGGGTCCTGGCAGGGTTCTGTGTGTGGGTTCTGGCTTGGTTCTGGCATGGTTCTGGCAGGGTCCTGGCATGGTTCTGTGTGGGGGTTCTGGCATGGTTTTCTGTGTTAGTTCTGGCTGTGTTCTGGGTGGGTTCTGTGTTGGTTCTTGCTAAGTTCTGTGTGAGTTCTGGCATGGTTCTGTGCGTTGGCTCTGGCAGGGTTTAGGCATGATTCTGTGTGTTGGTTCTGGCTGGGTTCTGGTATGGTTCTGTATGTGGGTCCTGGCTGGGTTCTAGCATTTTTTTGGTGTAGGTTCTGTGTGGGTTCAGGCTGGGTTTTGTGTGTTTGTTCTGGCTGGGTTCTGGCATGGTTCTGTGGGTGGGTTCTGGCAGGTTTATGTGTGGGTTCTTGTAGGCCTGGACGATATAGAAAAAAAGCATATCGATAAAAAATAAATCATATTGATCGATATCGATAATTATCGATATAATTATTATAGTTATTTAACATATATTTTAATTGCAGCCCTGGATGTTTTATGCTATTGCTTAATGACCTACTTTTAATAAAGAACACACAAGCACTGAATTCAAATTCAAACCTTTATTCAACCACCTTTTTTTTTTTACCACAACTGAAAGTTTTTTAAAAAAGAACTAAAAAAAAAAAGAAATCAACTTAAGGGGCCTGAGTGACGTCAGTAAATACTGACAAACATAAAGACTAAAGTGACCAGAAAATCTGATAAATAAATATTTAAATAGTCTTTTGATGAAAATAAACAAAACAAACAAATATATAAATAAACAGAATAGCTTTAGGTGGGAATAGCATACTACCAGTTTTAACTGTGTGAGAAACTGCCCACAGCCTGGTGTCTGAACACTGAAATATTTCTCCCGGGGCCGGGAGATTTATTTTTTTAATTATCATGTGATTGACTTGATACGCAAACTGAGCACGAGAAGCAGGACTTATCCACGCCGGTGTTGTGTCGTAGAATGCACCCCTGCCGAATGCACCCCCTGCTAGTAGCCATGATCCAAATACTCGCGTCTTTGTAAAATATGAGCTCATTTTCTTCCACTTTAAGAAGCTAATGAGTGGACGGGATGCATTCTTCTCACCTTTTCAACCCCTGACCCATTTTCATGCCTGAAGCGCTGTGTTTGAGAAATACTTGCGGCCGGGCACTTCATATCGCGGGTCGAGAATGGCTAGAAGCTGGTTGAAGCCAGGCTTTTCAACGGTAGTTATTGGCAGTATGTCCCTCGCTATGAAGCATGTTACTGCATGGGTGATGTCCTTATGCCGCTCGGACGCTTTGTCGTATTTTGGCAAGAAACGAAGTCCAGTTTGGTCTGCTTCACATGCTTTGTGCTGGTGCTGGCAGCGGTTCCAGAGGATTCCTCCTCCGACGATGACGTGGAGCCGCGGCGCGGCCGACACAGCTCGTACTCCTGCGGGTGCGACCGGTTTAGATGGTAAAACAAGTTGGTTGTGTTACCAGACTTGGTTTTTACCAATTCTCTGCAAATTTTGCAAACGACCGCTGTTAGCTTTTTGTCAGACTTCTAAAAACCAAAACACTGCCATGCTGGTGAACTACTGACAATGTCCTCCGCTTCTCCTTGCTGTATCATTTTTTCTAATACACGTGCTGTCTGTTGTGGTTTGATAGGGGCTGGGCTTGGTGCCGTAGTGTACCTGGGTCTGCGTTTGTGATTGGTTGGGAGGAAGTAATGACTGTAGTAAAAGCTACATGATAGGCTATGATGAAAAAGAAAGGGAAACTGTGTTTTTCTATCGAACTTTTTATCGACCCGTTTTTTTTCTATCGCAGCACACGTCTATCGATCGATATATATTGTTATCGAATTATCGTCCAGCACTAGGTTCTTGATGAGTTCTCTGTGGGGGTTCTGTGTGTGGGTTCTGACATGGTTCTGTGTGTGGGTCCTGACATGATTCTGTGTGGGTTCTGGCATGGTTCTGTGTTTGGGTTCTAAGTGGGTTCTGGCAGGGTTCTGTCAGTGGGTTCTGGCAGGGATGTGTGTGTGGGTTCTGGTTGGGTTATGGCATGGTTTTGTGTGTGGGTTCTGGCTGTGTTCTGGCCTAGTTCCTAGCATTTGTTCTGGCTGTGTTCTGGCCTGGTTCTGTGTGTTGGTTCTGGTCGTGTTTCAGAGGGAACAGTGTGTATTCTCTCTCTCTCTGACAGTAATTAGATCAGGGCTCTAATCCTCTTAGAGTAGAACTCTGGGCTCAGCTCCAGCAGAACTCTGGGCTCGGCTCCAACAGGTTCTTTTTCAACAGACCCAAGAGGGATCCCACTGACAGAGAACCTGGTTCTGACAGGTTCTTGCTGGTTTGAAGAGTTCTGGAGCTGTTCTCTAAGACCCGCTGGGGTTCTCTCAGGTCCACATCATGAACCTGTTCTCAGGTTCTGTGCAGACCCGGTTCCTCAGGGTTGTGGTCTGTGTTGTTTCTCGGGTCAGGTTTAATCTGCTGCCCTTGTCTTATTGGACCAGAAGTCACCTGGTTCAGGCTGAGGACCTCTGATTGGCTGGGCGCTTCTTGGCTCCTCCTCCTGGGTCTGGAGGTGTCAGAGGAGCTCAGAGTCTCTTCAGCCACTGACTCGCCAACACCTGAAGGAAAACCCAAACCAGCAGAGTCCTGACAGACCCGGATCCCTCTCCCCAGAACTCTGGTGGACCCTTTGGACCCGTGTTTTGACCCTGGTTTTGACATGTCTGTTTCTGAGCGGACTCTTTAGTCCTGGATTGGATTAAAGGAGGAGAGAGTGGATTAGCCGCCGCCGCTCAGGACACTCTGTGGTCACCCAGGAATAGAAACACCAACAACAACGGACAACTGGACCATCAACCAGGACCAGAACCTGTCAGAACCACAGGTGGACCAGTGTCTGTGAAGAACTGGGTCTATAGAGGTCCTCTCAGAACTCTGGACTATGAGATTTTCATTAGGAGAGGGTCCAGATCAAGCTAACAGCCTCCATGTTTACTCACTAACCAATCAGGTTTCATCAAGACTTTGCTAGGCTAACAGCGGGCTAACAGTCAGCGCTAACGGTCAGCGCTAACAGAGGGAGGGGCGAGTATCGGTGCTCTGTGATTTGGCGTTTTTTAAATAAAGGTTTAAGTTTGAATAAGCCTGATGCTAACATGAGCTGAGAGCAGCTCTGATAATCTCATTATGAACGGCTCTGCAGCCTGCAGGCAGAACTCAGGGCACACAGCACCCAACCAATCAGAGGAGAGGAGGAGGAGGAGGGGGGCGGAGCTTCACCTGCTAACTCTCATCTTTCTCCTCTTCCTTGCCTGAAGCCTCTCCTCCTCCTACTACTCCTCCTCATCCTCCTCCTTCTTCTTCTTCTTCATGGCCATCAGGCAGACCTGTGAGTACTGGGGTCTGGGTTCTTCTGGGATTCTGTCTAGGTCTGTCTGAACCCCCCCCCCCCCCCCCGTTGTTCAGTTCTTCTGGTGCAGTTGACTTTATTTATTTATTAATTTTATATTTATGTATTTTTATGTATATATATATAAATATACATATATATATATACATATGTAGTTTCATTTATTAATTTAGTTTTATCCATTAATTAATTAGTTAATTTAGTTGTATTTATGTATTTATTTTTATTTATTTATTTAATATTTATTTATTTTTATATATATTTTTATTAAAAAATTATTTCTTATTTTTATTTATTCCTATATTTATTTGTTTTATTCTTCTTTTATTTCTTTTATTACTTTCTGTCTTTATTTTTATTAATTTATTTATTAATTAATTTTTAATTATTTTTTATTTATTTATTTTTATTCATTTTACTTCTATGTTTCTTTATTTTATTAGTTCCTTTATTTCTTTCTTTATTTTCTTAATTAATTAATTTATTTATTTATTTATTTATTTTTATTTTATTTATTTTTATTTAATTCTCTTTTTCTATTTATCAATTTATTATTTATGTATTCCTTATTCTTTTTTTATTTAATTATTTTTATTTATTTATTTATTTAATTGTTTTTATTTATTCATTTCTATCATATCAGATATCATACATTTGTGTCAAATTAAACAAACAAACAACCAAACAAGCCTGTCCAATCAGACTAACATATTTTCCAGTTTATTACACTCCCTTTAATTTTTAAATATGTAAATTCAGAACATTTGAACAATAAATGTCTCATTTCCTCATTTTCCTCAGATCTACCAATATCAGTTTTCAGTTGTCCAAGTACTTTAATAGTCTGGTACTTGATGTATCAGAGGTATTTAGAGCAGCTCAGCTCTCAGTGCTCTTATATATCTGATCCACCAACGTCTCTTAAATGTCTCTGTCATCTCAGAGCGAATGTCAGTCTCTCCATCATGTAAATTTCCTAAACAGTTCCTCGCCGGTCTTCCAGTGTCGGTGAGTTGGGTTGGAACCACTTCCTTGTTATCGTCTTCTTTGCTCCAATCAGTAAGATATTCATTAGATATTTGTCTGCTATCACTTGAGTATACAATGCCATGGTACTGAAATACATTCAGCTTACACTAAATTGTCTAGTTATTAGAGATATGTATTCCAGACAATCATGAAGATCACGCCAGTAAGGCAAAGGTTTCGGACAATCCCAAAATAGATGATAATGGTTAGCTGAATCCAAACCACACATCCTCCAACAACTTGATGTTTCTTCTGAACCAGTGTTATAAAAAATCTCATGACGTTTTTCCATCCAAATTCCCCCCAGTTCTGTGAATTTGTGGTTTTCCACTGTAATTTACAGATATCTTCCCATTCTTCCTCAGAGCTGACCAAATCTCTCTCTTTCCCATCGACATTTAATGTGTTGAAAACTTTTTTATAATCTAGATTTTAATTTCTTTCCAGATTTGTAAATTGAGACAAAGATCTTTAGAATAGAACTCGTCAAGACTGTATTTAATCAATGTCTTACTTGAAGATATCTGAAAAAAACATATTCCTTTTTGAGATTGTCCAAACTCTTCACTGACCCGTTATCCATTAAGCAGCAATAAACTGTAAGACCCTTTTTTTCCATCATCCATATTTTAAATTGACTGTCTGTCCGATTTGAAATCAAATCCATGTCATATTTAAACCAACATGACATGTTTCCTGCACCTTTTAAATTGTTTTTCTGAAGTATTTTACGCCCTCAGAGTTATTTTTATTCGTAAGACTCTCAGTTCTGTGTCATTGTTGACGTTTCCTCTTCACATGTTCTCAGGTCTGCAGCAGATCCATGAGCCCCCCCTGATTGTCCTCCGAGACCCCCGATGGACCCAGCCTGGGTCTGTCCCACCTTTAATCCGACCTCTTCTGTCTTTGTCTCGTTGCTAGGAGACATGGACAGCCAATGGTGGGATCATGGTGCCTGGCAGAGCGAGCCTGCGCCGTTGTCCATGGTAGGGCTAAGCTCCGCCCCTGACATTAATCACCAATCAGCTAACTCGTCTAAACTTCTATTGTTGATGATTTTGTTTAAAAATCACCACCTGTCTTCACCAGCATCCAGTGTCATGGCAACCATCCAAAGATGGAGAGCGCCTGATTGGTCGGATTCTGCTGAATAAGAGGATGAAGGACGGCACAGTTCCTGCAGACGCTGGAGCGCTGCTTGGACTCAAGGTGGCGCCCCCATGCTCAGTCTCAGGTGTGTCTCAGGTGTACACCTCACTCATGGACATGTCTTCCAGGTGGTCGGGGGGAAGATGACAGAGTCGGGGCGTCTCTGTGCCTTCATCACGAAGGTGAAGAGAGGAAGTCTGGCGGACACTGTAGGACACCTTAGACCAGGTAAACTGCCACTCTGCTAACGGGGATGGTGAGGTCAGGTGGTTTCAGACGCTCTAACGGAAAACCTTCGTCTGTTCTCAGGTGATCAGGTTCTGGAGTGGAACGGACGGGTTCTTCAGGGCGCCACTTTTAACGAAGTCTATCACATCATCCTGGAGTCAAAACGAGAACCCCAGGTTGAACTGGTGGTGTCCCGACCAATCGGGTGAGTCATAGAACACAGGAGATTGGCAGTCACATGATCAGGGTCGGCCAATGACAGGGAAGCTTTTAGATCAGAGTGAAAATCAGTGTTTTCATTTCATAAACAAAGTTCAGTCTGATTGTTGGTTAGAGTTTGATGTCCCTCCCCCTGTCCGATCAATAACCAATCAAACACCTTAACAAAGTACCACTTTTGTTAAAAACATTTTTTCCCTTTTTCAGTGACGTTTCCAGAGCTGCAGACGGTCCCCTCATCCCGCTGGACTCAAGTGAGTTAAAAACAAACACAATAAAAACACACAAACAGACACACAAAAGACACACAAAACAACAAACAGGCAAAGACAGACAACCATGAGGACACATGAAACTACAAACAGACACACTAAACAACAAACAGACACACAACAGACACACTAAACAACAAACAGACACACAACAGACACACTAAACAACAAACAGACACACAACAGACACACTAAACAACAAACAGACACACAACAGACACACTAAACAATAAACAGGTACACAAAACAACAAACAGACATGCTAAACAATAAACAGATACACAAAAGACAACCATGAGGACACACAGAGATGGACAGTGAGACAAAAAGAGACAAAAAACACAATCATCAACCAGGTAGAAACAAAAATCCAAAAAACAACAACAAAGAAACAAAGAGACAAAGAGAGAGAACAGGATCTAAGACAATCACAACAAGATACATGAAGACACAAAAATCTAGAAAAATCACATCTAACCACAGAAACATAGACATAGATCTGATAGATGTCCTCTGTCCTGGTCTCCTCATGTTCTCTGTGGTTTCCCAGTTTCATGTAGATTGTTTATTGTAGATTTCCCCCTCTTCTTCTTCTTCTGCGTCTCATTCTATGTTCTTGAAGTTCTGTGTTCTATGTTTTTTTATGTTCTCCATGTTCCTGTTCTATGTTTCTCTATGTTCTGGTTTTATGTTAATGATGGTTCTCTTCTATGTTCTCCATGTTCCTGTTCTGTGTTCTTCTACGTTCTGGTTTGATGTTTTTCATGGTTCTCTTCTATGTTCTCCATGTTCCTGTTCTGTGTTCTTCTACGTTCTGGTTTGATGTTTTTCATGGTTCTCTTCTATGTTCTCCATGTTCCTGTTCTGTGTTCTTCTACGTTCTGGTTTGATGTTTTTCATGGTTCTCTTCTGTGTTCTCCATGTTCTGCGCTTAGGTTCCCTGTTGTCCAGTTCTATGTTCTCCATGTTTTTGATGATCTTGTTTTTTGGTTCTGTCCCTGTCTCTTTCCTCATGTCAGTGCCTGTTGTGCTATGTTCTCATCTTATGTTCCTGATGTTCTGTGCTCAGGTCACATGTTTTACTGTTCAACGTTCCTCTATGTTCTGGTATTATGTTAATCGTGGTTCTCTTCTATGTTTTTATGTTGTATCATATGTTTTGAGGTTTTCTATGGTTCCGTTCTGTTTTCCATGTTTTGGTCCTATGTTCTCCGTGTTCCCCATGTTTCTGTTCTACATCTGTTGAGTTCCTGTTCTACGTTCTGGTTTTATGTTAATCATGGTTCTCTTCTATGTTCTCCATGTTTATGTTCCTGATGTTCTGTGCTCAGGTTACATGTTTTACTGTTCTACGTTCTTCTATATTCTGGTCTACATTCTGGTCTTATGTTGTCTATGTTCTGGTTCTATGTTCTTCTACGTTCTGGTTCTACGTTCTTCTATGTTCTGGTCTTATGTTGTCTATGTTCTGGTTTTACGTTCTTCTATGTTCTGGTTCTATGTTCTATATCCTCATGTTTCTTATGTTCTGTGCTCAGGTTACATGTTTTACTGTTCTACGTTCTTCTATATTCTGGTCTACATTCTGGTCTTATGTTGTCTATGTTCTGGTTCTATGTTCTTCTACGTTCTGGTTCTACGTTCTTCTATGTTCTGGTCTTATGTTGTCTATGTTCTGGTTTTACGTTCTTCTATGTTCTGGTTCTATGTTCTATATCCTCATGTTTCTTATGTTCTGTGCTCAGGTTACATGTTTTACTGTTCTACGTCCCTCTATGTTCTGGTCTTATGCTAATCATGGTTCTCTTCTATGTTTTCATGTTCTATCGTATGTATTTCATGTTTAGGTTCCTTATGGTTCTGCTCTGTTTTCCATGTTTTGGTCCTATGTTCTCCGTGTTCCTTGTGTTCCTGTTCTACATCCGTTGAGTTCCTGTTGTAGGTTCTATGTTCTGGTCTTATGTTCTTCTATGTTGTGGTTCTACGTACTTCTACGTTCTGGTCTTATGTTGTCTATGTTCTCGTTCCAGGTTCCAGCTCCTTTGAATCTCAGAAAGTTGGTCCGTCCATCTCAGTCACGTCTCCCATAAGCCCTGGCATTCCCTCTGGCCAAGTCTCTGTAAGTTTACCCAACATGCATTGCAACACCAGAGGACATGTCCAACAGTTCTCAGTTTACAGACGTTTCCATGGTGATGTGTTTGTTTCAGACTGTAAACACTCGTCCTCTGGTTCCCAGGATTCAGGTAACCGTAAAATCGGAGAAGAATGAGACGTCTGTTTATTTAGTTTTAGTTAGCGAGTTAGCGTGAGCCCATCCCACCAGCTAGAACCAGTCAGAACTGGAACCAAAGTCTTGCAGACCAGTAGAACCCTGTATGTTGGTGAGGTTCTCTGTCTGTTCTGTGTGGTTCTGTTCTGTGCCGTCCTGCTAATGTTTGACCGATCTTAGTTCCTGTTCCAAATAACTGACCTCATGTTCTGCACAGATAAAGATCCTGTCCTGCTAAAGGTTCCTGAGGTTCTCCCTGGTTCTCCTTTTCTTGGCTCTGGGCTCTTTAGGGTTCTGCTCCCCCCGTGCCTGTTCTGATTTTGACCTTTGACCCCAACAGGTGAAGCTGTGGTATGATAAAGTTGGTCATCAGCTGATCGTCACCATCTTGGGAGCCAAGGAACTTCCTGTCCGAGAAGATGGCCGACCGAGGAACCCCTACGTAAAGATCTACTTCCTGCCCGACAGAAGGTACGTAAAAAAACAAAGACTGACTCATTTAAGGTTCTTAGTTCTCTCTGGTTACAGGGTTCTGCCGTAAAACGCGGTTTTAGACTCCGTCTTCTCTCCTCACAGCGATAAGAGTAAACGGAGAACCAAGACGGTCAAGAAATCAGTGGAACCTCGTTGGAACCAGACCTTCATGTACTCCCCGGTCCATCGACGGGAGTTCAGAGAACGTATGTTAGAACTGACGGTCTGGGACCAGGCCCGGGTCCGGGAGGAGGAAAGCCAGTTCATGGGGGAGGTGAGAACCCAACAAAACCCACAACAGAGAACAAACAAATAAACCGATAGAGCAACCTTCAGAGAGAACAAATAGAGGAACTTAAAAAGAACCTACAGAGAACACATAGAGGAACCTAAAGAGAACCTACAGTGAACACATAAAGGGAACCTAACAAGAACCTACAGAGAACACATAGAGGAACCTAAAGAGAACCTACAGAGGACACAAAGAGGAACCTAAAGATAACCTACAGAGAACACATAAAGGAACCTAAAGAGAACCTACAGAGAACAAATAGAGAAACCTAAAGAGAACCTACAGAGGACACAAAGAGGAACCTAAAAAGACCTGCAGAGAACACATAGAGGAACCTAAAGATAACCTACAGTGAACACATAGAGGAACCTAACAAGAACCTACAGAGAACAAATAGAGAAACCTAAAGAGAACCTACAGAGGACACATAGAGGAACCTAAAGATAACCTACAGAGAACACATAGAGGAACCTAAAAAGACCTGCAGAGAACACATAGAGGAACCTAAAGAGAACCTACAGCGAACACATAGAGGAACCTAAAGATAACCTACAGAGAACACATAGAGGAAGCTTAAGAGAACCTACAGTGATCACATGACAGGAAAAAGATAACTTTTCTAAACCCCCCCCCCCCAGGTTCCGATCGAGTTGGAGCGCGCTCTGTTGGATGATCAGCCTCACTGGTACAAACTGCAGCTTCATGATATTTCGTCTCTCCCACTGCCCAACGCCTCCCCCTATCTGCAGAGGAGAGGAATGCAGCCTGAACCGCCAGACACACTGAGCAGCAGGAGGCTGCAGAGTGAGACACACACACACACACACACACACACACACACACACACACACACACACACACACACACACGCACACACAGAGAGAGAGTCCTGCTGTTTGTTTGCTGTTTTTTTTAGTCTGATGTTTGTTTTTTATTTGTGCGTCTGTCGTTTGTGATTGTTGTGTGTTTGCTGTGTGTTTGTTTGTTTGTTGTGTGTTTTTTGGTTGTTGTGTGTGTATTTTATTTGTGCGTCTTTCGTTTGTTGTGTTTTTATTTGATTTGTGTGTCTGTTGTTTGTTGAGTGTCTGTTGTGCGTTTGTTGTGTGTTTGTTTGTTTGTTGTGTTTATATGTATATTTTATTTGTGTGTCTGTCATTTGTGTTTGTTGTGTGTGATTGTTGTGTGTTTGTTTGTGTTTATGTGTGTATTTTACTGGTGCGTCTGTTGTCTGTTGTGTGTTTGTTTGTATATTTGTGCGTCTGTCATATGTGTTTGTTGTGTGTTTGTTTGTTGTGTTTATGTGTGGAATTTATTTGTGCGTCTGTCGTTTCTGTCTTGTTGATTTTTTCCACTTTTCTTCCATGATGCTTTGCCAGACAAAGATGTTAACTGTAACTCAGGTAAAAGCAGCGCTCTGTGTGTGTGTGTGTGTGTGTGTGTGTGTGTGTGTGTGTGTGTGTGTGTGTGTGTGTGTGTGTGTGTGTGTGTTGTTGTGTGTGAAAGTGTTCAAGTGTCACAGGTGTTTGTGAGTCAGGTGACTGGCCGGTCTGAGAGGTGATCCAGGTCCAGCTGTGGTCCATGTTCAGGGTTTTTGATGGTCTCTCTGGTCCTGGGAGGACTGAAGGATCCTGGTTGAAGGTTTTAGTTGGAGTCAGGGTTTTGATTATTGCTCTAAAGCGTTTTTTCACGGGCTGATTAACCCGAGAAGACTATCTCTGGGTGATTTTCCCCCAGTGACCAGACATGTTTTTATGTGATTTTCATTATGTCGCGTTTGTCTGACTATCATGGGTCCCTGGGTAGCTTCAGAATTTCCTTTGACATCTGTGAAGGCATATTTGTTTCCCTGATCCAAAACCTGCTTTTTCCTACAGGCACATGTTCACAGGGTGATTTTCACCCGAGATAGTGATAGGGGGTAAAATAGGTTTGGGTGGATTTGATAGCTGCATGTAGGGAATAAGGTCAGTAACAGTGGTCTTGGAATTTACATGCTATCTTTACTTAGTGCAGTGGTTATTAATAACTATCACAAAGTAGTGATTTTCAAAGAAATTCATATGGTGATAAGAAATATTTGAGTCAACTTGTCATTTTTCACAATGGAGTAGTAGGGCAACATTAAGAATGAAAAATGTAAGACTTCAAGATTAAAGTCATTACTAATGAGAATAAAGTGGTAATAAAATCATTGTATACTAACTAGGCCTGGACGATATAGAAAAAAAGCATATCGATAAAAAATAAATCATATTGATCGACATCGATAATTATCGATATAATTATTATAATTATTTAACATATATTTTAATTGCAGCCCTGGATGTTTTATGCTATTGCTTAATGACCTACTTTTAAAAAAGAACACACAAGCACTGAATTCAAATCCAAACCTTTATTCAACCACCTTTTTTTTTTTTTTTACCACAACTGAAAGTTTTTTAAAAAAGAACTAAAAAAAAAATAAATCAACTTAAGTGGCCTGAGTGACATCAGTAAATACTGACAAACATAAAGACTAAAGTGACCAGAAAATCTGATAAATAAATATTTAAATAGTCTTTTGATGAAAATAAACAAAACAAACAAATATATAAATAAACAGAATAGCTTTAGGTGGGAATAGCATACTACCAGTTTTAACTGTATGGGAAACTGCCCACAGCCTGGTGTCTGAACACTGAAATATTTCTCCCGGGGTCGGGAGATTTATCTTTTTTAATTATCATGTGATTGACTTAATACACAAACTAAGCACGAGAAGCAGGACTTATCCACGCCGGTGTTGTGTCGTAGAATGCACCCCTGCCGAATGCACCCCCTGCTAGTAGCCATGATCCAAATACTCGCGTCTTTGTAAAATATGAGCTCATTTTCTTCCACTTTAAGAAGCTAATGAGTGGACGGGATGCAGGGGTGCATTCTACAGCACAACACCGGAACGTATTTCCTCCGCACCCTTCTCACCTTTTCAACCCCTGACCCATTTTCATGCCTGAAGCGCTGTGTTTGAGAAATACTTGCGGCCGGACACTTCATATCGCGGGTCGAGAGTGGCTAGAAGCTGGTCGAAGCCAGGCTTTTCAACGGTAGTTATTGGCAGCATGTTACTGCATGGGTGATGTCCTTATGCCGCTCGGACGCTTTGTCGTATTTTGGCAAGAAACGAAGTCCAGTTTGGTCTGCTTCACATGCTTTGTGCTGGTGCTGGCAGCGGTTCCAGAGGATTCCTCCTCCGACGACGTGGAGCCGCGGCGCGGCCGACACAGCTCGTACTCCTGCGGCTGCGATCGGTTTAGATGGTAAAACAAGTTGGTTGTGTTACCAGACTTGGTTTTTACTAATTCTCTGCAAATTTTGCAAACGACCGCTGTTCGCTTTTTGTCAGACTTCTAAAAACCAAAACATTGCCATGCTGGTGAACTACTGAAACCTTTTTTCGGGACAATGTCCTCCGCTTCTCCTTGCTGTATCATTTTTTCTAATACACGTGCTGTCTGTTGTGGTTTGATAGGGGCTGGGCTTGGTGCCGTAGCGTACCTGGGTCTGCGTTTGTGATTGGTTTGGAGGAAGTAATGACTGTAGTAAAAGCTACATGATAGGCTATGATGAAAAAGAAAGGGAAACTGTGTTTTTCTATCGAACTTTTTATCGACCCGTTTTTTTTCTATCGCACCACACGTCTATCGATCGATATATATTGTTATCGAATTATCGTCCAGCACTAATTCTAACCTGCTGTTTAAGATGACAGCTGTTGAAATTAGAGTCATGGAGCATTTTGTGAAAATGTACCTCAATATGTGTTTCTCAAACAAGGAGATACTTCATCTTTTGGCACATCAGCACCACATATTCAGAAGTATCTTCATGATTTTATTACGACTTTATTCTTGTAAGTAATTACTTTATTCTCGTAAATTAATGACTTTTATCTCGAAGTCTTAAGTTTCTTTTTTCTTAATGTGGCCCTAATACTCTGTCTCCATTTTTACTCACTCCAACTCTGCCATATATCGGTTCTCTCTCCTGCAGCTGTTATTGTGCCAAGGACCCTGAGTCTTCACCAGGGAAGACTCACAAAAGAAAACTAACTTTACAGTTTATATATTATTTTTAGGATTTTTTGTTGATGAATGCCTAATTTCAGTTATTTTGTAGCATTTTTATATGGTCCCCTCATGGCACTTTCCCCCCTCCCTTTGAACATGAAACTAAAAATAAAAGAAAACGACTTTAATTTGTCAAGCATGTTTTGTCCTATTTTGATATATTTTGATGACAAGAACTTTTTCTTGGGTTTATTATTTCAGGTAAAAATCACAGATATCAATAGTGATGGTGTTAATAATTTTAGTGATAGTGTTTAAGGAGGGCCCAGGTAGTCCAGTGGTACTCTCATGGTCTTTTGGTCCAAGGCCAACCAAAGGCGGTGGTTCCAGAAGACTTCCTGTTGCTCTGTTGGAGAAGAGCTGGCCTTCAGGGTGTATGATCCCCAGGAACTCGGGGGGCTTTTCTTGGTTCCCCCTAAATTGGTGAAGGGTTAATTCTGGGGTTCGAAGTGTTCTGGTTTAGTTCTGATGGTCCATGGGTCAGATCCTGAGGTTCTTTAGAAAGTCCGGGAACCTGAGGACCTTTTTCTCAGGCCACTTCCTTAAGGGGGTCTGAAACACGAAGGTTTTAGAGGATGTTTGGGTTCCACTCTCTCTCTCTGTGTCCTGGGGGGTTCAGATGATCCTTACAGAGATTTTTAAGGTTCCTGTTTGTCTTGAAGGAACTCTAGAAGTTTTTTAGAGGACCTGGTTTTACTGAGAACCTCTTATTCTGGTCCAAGGACCTGAGGATGATCTGAGTGCAGTTCTTGAGTGTTCCTGTATTGTCTGAGTCTGAGCGCGCTCAGCGTGTCAGATTAGTTGACCTTCCTGTAGAGGATTACTGAAGAGCTGCTTACAGGATTAACCCCCCCCCTCTGCCCCCACAGGGTCTCAGAGGATCAGTGACGGCGAGTTTTCAGATTATGACTGTGAAGACGGCATCGGGGTGATATCAGGTGAACTCCATATCCCATCTTGCACGGCGTTACCCCAGTCAGACTCAGTTGTGATAATCTCTGTTTACAGAGTCGACCAAAAATAAAGAACCAGGGTTCAGGTCAAGCTCAGTCAGAGCCCAAGCCTCAATGGGACCCTCAGCAAAATGTGATTTTCGGGCCCTCTATTTCTGCCAATAATATTGATTATTAATTATTCACACACCTTCACAAATCTCTTTGATTGACATTCCCTGACATGCAAACAGACCTTTATCTTGTGGTGTGTCCCTAATCGCATACTTTTAGTACTAAATACTTAAAATTTGGAGTATACTCAACGAAAAATGGAAAAAAGCATGAATAGCATGCGAAAACTGAGTAGGCAAAAGTACCTGGATGACGTACTCGAATCGGTCAAGATTTTGAGTAGCCGACTGTGGACACTTGCCGCACTCATTTCATCAGTAAGAATGGCTGCAGACAGCTGTGGTGCCAGTGGGTCGGCGACGGTCGACCTGGTAGCTTTGTACAGATGTAATAAGTTGCCTTTTACACATGTTCTTTCCACCAAGCACCGCCAGCATTTATCGTTTTGAGTATATTTGTGGTGTAATCTGGGTAACCTGTTTGTCTTTTACCGTGAATCCTAGTTAGCTCATTAGCTAGTTAGCTTGTAGCTGCTGGGTTCCGAAGTGTTACCTGTGGCGTAAAAATGAGCGATGAACGTTAATTTTGTTGCTCATTTTACCTCAAAAGTGGATGAACGAGCGCAAGCAAAAGGTGGTGGTAATTAGCTGATGCAGAGCTAGCTGGCGGCGCGGCTTACTTGGGACAACACTGCACCCTTGAAACTCAAGCACTAGGCGATTGAGTACATAGTATGCTTAGAATACTCAATTTGAAAATCTAAGTATTTAGGATGGAAGTATGCGATTTGGGACACACCATTGGCTTTTTTTCTCCTCCTCCCTATTTCTTTTCCCTGCTCCTGATGGATATGTCCTTTTTTTGAGACATTTGTTTTGACCTACATCTACCTGCTCTTTGGATGTTCAGTGCACATTTCACAGCCGGAGGAACATGATGGTAGAGAAGGTTTGACATATCAGCAGTAAGAATCATAGACCTACATCAGCACTAAAATGTTTTTACTTTATTTTATTTTTACAATAATATATATGTGATCATGCAGAAAGCATCACTCATACATGAAAAAAATTATTAATAAATAATAATTATTATTACTATATGTTGATTGCTCTCGGGGGCCCCCTACTGGCCGCGGGGCCCTAAGCAGGTGCTTAAGGTCCTTACACACCGGGGCCGACACGAATAATAGAATGCAAAATTGCAAAATATTCGGGGGTGAATTTTGATGGGCCTGTCTATACACATCAAGCCCAATGTGATTTTGCGACTTTCAGGGGGTGAAAAAACGCATCCCGGGGAAAGTCCCGCCTCCTTTGCCACTGATTGGCTAGAAAAGCCGGAAACGTCATCACACGCTCAAGCCAAACGGTCAGCACTTATGGCCAATCAGAGGCGATAAGAAAAGCACATGAAACTATGGTAACAATCGTTAGCTTACGTTAGCACAGATGAAAGTTAAAACAAAGGCGTTACTGCTGAAGCACACAAAACATCGTCATCTGAGAAATCCGGCGCCATGTCCTTCAGGTCGTTATCTTTGTAATGTTTGTGTCTTTTATCAAAAAGCACTCTGTTCTCTGACACGTAAACAATCAGCCGGTCGGCCATGTTGGATTTACCAGTGAATCTAACGTCGCAACAACACGCTATCTGATTGGTCAGAAGTGGACACACAGTATGTGAAACTTTAGAAAAATCGACCGTGATCCGAAAAAAATAAATGCTGCAATATCGCAGGATGGGAAGACGTCGCTGATGTGATCGCTTGTATTGACAGGATATGAGTTCGAAAAAAATATTGATGTCCAAAATAATCGCACGAAAATAACGCTCCCAGTGTGAAAGGACATTTAGTTTGCTTATGCCTTGGGCCTCTGGACCCTGATCCAGATCTTGTAATCTTGAGTGAAGTGGTCCATGACTGTGTCTGATCCTCAGACCAAAACCTACAAAAACTCAGAAACTGGAGGGGGTCTGGATTTTAGTACACTCTGGTTGACCAATCAGAGATCAGCAGGTATTAGAGTCTGAAAGGAGAGATGATCCACCACAGTCAAACCGAACTCCAACCAACAGAAGAACCACAGTGAACTGTTGGACTCACCACAAACTGAAGGACTGGTTCCAGTCCACCACAGGGTCATTTCAATGTCAAAGGTTCTGGGATTATCCAAGACCTCTTTGAGGTTCATTCAGAGGTCATGATGGTCATGATGGTCTTTGGTTGAACCTTTAGAGTTCCAGTCTCTTACGGTCTTTCTCTGTTGGTAGACTATCGGCAGAATGGACGGGACTTCCACAGCTCCACCCTCTCAGTACCAGAGCAGGTGATGATGTCCAATCATTGCTCCAGATCAGACCTGGTCCGGATGAGGTCACGCTCACCGAGCCAACCACCTCCTCACAGGTAACCAGCTGTGTGTGTTTGACCCCGACCCTTTTAACTGTCTGAACTCTGAACCCTGACCTTTAACCTTTGGTTGCCAGTGGTAACCCACTGTATCCGTTGTACCGTGAGGATGCCGTTCGGCTGCTGCGAGGCTCAAAACTGAGCCGAGCCTACTCTGACGCGGGCCAGTACAGCAGCCTGGACAGGTAACTACAGTGACCCCTGACCCAGGTCATCTGACCACCGGCCAATCAGCATTCAGTCTGAACCAAAGAGTTTGTTACCCGTGTACCAAAAAGGATCTGTTAACCCTGATGGGAAGTAACCATCATAACCAGTCTAACCAGTAGACACATATCAGCTGAGTCACACTCAACCCTAATTTCCACCACATCCTGAACAGTTCTGAAAAGGTTGTGTCCTCCGATCGTAGCTGATCGTAACCACCGGCTTCTTTCCGTTCCTCTGCGGATCGCTGGACTCCTCAGCTGATCACAGGAGTTCTATTTTTTCCGGACGCCGGAGCATGCCGGAGAAGGAGATGCTGATTCTAGAAGTCTAGAAGTAGATTTCCTCCTCAGGAAGGACACAATCTACTGCTTATATGTCTATGTTTCTGTCTTTAGAGAGACAACTCGTTATTGCGCGATTGAACATGAATTTGCGGGTTCTTGTTAGGCCTGCACGATATATCTTTTGAGCATCGTCATTGCGATGGCTGCAGACATGTACGTGTGCGCAATAGTCACATCGCAGAGCCTGTGATGTCGGAGGTGAATGAACCCGGTTAATTTCAAGGGTAACTGACTGAGATACACTCCATGTGACTCTACATGTGCTTTGCAGCGATCCACCAATCACCTCTGTTCTTTACTCAGTTGCCAATCAGACTCAGTTCTCAGTTGCCAATCAGACTACCCTGCCAGCTGTCAATCAAAATCAGAGAGGAGGAAACCCACCCCTGCACATGATCTGCACATGGAGTGAGTCGCTGGCGCTACCAGAGTTGTGCCGGGAAACGCGTGTCCGCTGAGAATTACTTTTAGAACATTCTTCATCACTGTTTAGCCCAACAACTGTATGGGTTTTAAATTGTACATTTCCGTGGACCACTCTACTATAAGCAGTGCGCATTTTGTGAGGTGCATGCAATTCTCGGAGGACATGCGTTTCTCAGCACCCCGGGAACAACAACAACGATCCCAAACTGAGCAACAAACAGAGAAAACCACCGAAGAAAAGGAAAGTCAGTTCTCTGGAATTATTTCGGTTAAAAGAAGGATGATGTCGACCAAAACACGTCTTCTGTGTTCATCTGTTGTCACAATAACGTCCCAGCACAATAATAATAGCTAAAAATATCTCTAAGACAGACAGAAGCCGTTCTACTAACATTCACAAAAAGAGGTAAGATCAGAGCAGGTTAACTGTCCTCGAGATTTCAGCAGTGCAGCATAACATTAAGTGCTATTCAGGTCATCTGGTGAAAATTCCTGTATTTTTTAATATCGCAATATATATCGTAGGGTTGAAAAAAATTGCAATGTTAGTTTTTTCCAATATCGTGCAGCCTTAGTTCTTGTGAGTTCTCATGATTACCGCTGTTCATAATCCACCACGAAATTCACCTCACAAATTCCGGTAGAAATTGGCATATGGCAAAATCGCCGCTGTTTCTGATCTGAGATGGTCCAGATCAGGTGGAAATTAGGGGTTAGGAACACTTAGGAACACCTGTCCTGTCAGGTAAGCCCCGCTCCTCTGAACCCAGGTCAGCGCTGGTTGCTGGTTGGCTCTGATCATAGTGCTGCTATCGTACTATAGTATTGCTCAAATTATAGTACTGGTTGTAATACTCTGAGCACTGTGATGATATTGGTTGCATTACTGGTAGAGATACAGGTTGTGGTAGTGATTATAGTACTGGTAAAACTAGCAGGTAGTACTGTACTGTACTGATAGTTTATTGTAGTCCTGAGTGTGTGATTTAAGAGGTTGTGGTCTAAGAATTCTGGTCCTGCTCAGGGATCCAGACAGAACCACAGATCTCAGGTCCAGTCCAGGTTGTAGTACAGTTCTTAGTAACAGACAGTCTGCTTGTCTTTGTGTCTTTAGGAGGTCTCTTAGGAGGATGTCTGTGGCCAACTCTCTCGATTCTCATGAATGGTACTACAGCTGAAGTAGCGCTGACAGTTAGAGTCATAATAATACTGCAGTGGTAGTAGTTTTTATTACAGTTGTAGTCATAATACTGCAGTGGAAAGAGTATTTATTACAGTTGTAGTCATAATACTGCAGTGGAAGGAGTATTTATTACAGTTGTGGTAGTAATATTGCATTGGTAGTAGTATTAATTACAGCTAAAGTCATTTTACTGCAGTGGTAGTAGTATTAATTACAGTTATGGTATTTGTACTGTAGTAGTAATAGTATTTATTACAGTTGTGGTAGTTATACTGCAGTGAAAGGAGTATTTATTACAGTTGTAATTATAATACTGCAGTGGAAGTAGTATTTATTACAGTTTTTGTACTTGTACTGCAGTGGTAGTAGTATTTATTATTGTTTTAGTCGTAATATTACTGCATTGGTAGTAGTATTTATTACAGTTGTGGTAGTTATACTGCATTGGTAGTAGTATTTCTTACAGTTGTAGTCATAATACTGTAATGGTAGTAGTTTTTATAACGTCTGTGGTAGTTATACTGCATTGGTAATAGTATTTATTACAGTTGTAGTCATAATACTGCATTGGTAGTGGTATTTATTACAGTTGTGGTAGTTGTACTGCATTGTTAGTAGTATTTATTACAGTTGTAGTCATAATTCTGTAGTGGTAGTAGTATTTATTACAGTTGTTGTAGTTTTACTGCATTGGTAAAATATTTATTTCAGTTGTGGTAGTTGTACTGCAGTGGTAGTAGTATTTTTTACAGTCGTAGTCATAATACTGTAGTGGAAGGAGTATTTATTACAGTTGTGGTAGTTGTACTGCAGTGGTAGTAGTATTTATTACAGTTGTGGAAGTTATATTGCAGTGGGAGCAGTATTTTTTTCAGTTGTGGTAGTTGTAATGCATTGGTAAAAGTATTTATTACAGTTGTAGTAGTTGTATTGCAGTGGTAGTAGTATTTTTTACAGTTGTAGTTATAATACTGTAGTGGAAGTAGTATTTATTACAGTTTTGGTAGATGTACTGCAGTGGTAGTAGTATTTATTACAGTTGCGGTAACTTTACTGCAGTGGTTGTAGTATTTATTACAGTTGTGGTAGTTATATGGCATTGGTAGTAGTATTTATTACAGTTGTAGTCATAAAACTGTAGTGGTAGTAGTATTTATTACAGTTGCGGTAGTTGTACTGCAGTGGTAGTAGTATTTTCTACAGTTGTGGTAGTTATACTGCAGTCGTAGTAGTTTTTATAACATTTGTGGTAGTTATACTGCAGTAGTAGTAGTATTTATTACAGTTGTGGTACTTATAGTTGCAGTGTTAGTAGTATTTATCACAGTTGTGGTAGTTGCACTGCAGTGGTAGTAGTATTTATTATAGTTGTTGTAGTTGTACTGCATTGTTAGTAGTATTTATGACAGTTGTGGTAGTTATACTGCAGTAGTAGTAGTATTTATCACAGTTGTGGTAGTTGTACTGCAGAGTTAACTGTAGCTTTTGCAGTACTCACCTTTTTGTTACCATGTCACTCAGGTATTTTAATGGTCCAATCCAAACTTCTTGGACGAATCACATGGTAAATGGGAGCTGTGAGAACTACAGGTGAGCCTGGGGCATTATAAGAGTTGTATGTTTATTTTTGACCGGTCAGTCAGGGGTTAGAGTTCAGGTGTGTTTTTCAGGGGTTACCGTGGTAACGGTAAAGGTGTGTTTTTCAGGGGTGAAAAACACACCTTTACCGTTATCACCCTCTTTTAGGGTGGTCAAGAGGTCATCTGTTGGACACACCTGAGCACGCTCATGATGGGAAAGGACCACCTGTAGCTGCAGGTGTGTTGTGGGGTCAAAGGTCACTGAGGATTTCTTGTGTTTTTATTCTGCAGTCAGGACTTCATCCCTGACTTCCCCTTTGACCCCGAGGCCTACGACGAGGAGCTGCTCAGGTACACCTACTGACCTTTGACCCCAGATTTAGCTAGGTTTAGTAGGAGCATTTAGCTTAAGCCCTAACTCCTCCTCCTGACCCTGGTCCGAGACAACTTCCTGCCCCAGCAGAGAAACAGGAAGTCGAAGTCAAACCTGTCTGTTCACAGACTCACCTGAGAGAACACACGGGTGTGCTTGGGCAGCACAGGTGTGTCTTACCTATGTTCATTCGAAGGACCTGCTCTTCTTTTTTTCCATCATCCTTTGCTGTTTGGCCTGATGCCTGCTGGTGTTTGATTTCCTGTTTCGAGTGCCTTCACTTCCTGTTAACTTGACTGTCACAGGTCAAACTGATGGTCGATGGTCATCATGGCGATGAGACTGACTTTTTCCCCTACAGGTGAAGTGGTTGTTGTGGTAACAGCAGTTTATAGTTGTCATGGCGACGAGACTGACCCCCCCACACACACAGGTGGTAACCATGGCTAACCGTGGTTGTCATGATGATGTGCAGGTGTAGCCGCGGCATGGACCGGAGAGATTACTACAGTCGCTCTCGCTCAGCTGACCAGCGAGCAATGACCGATCGACCAATCTACTCACGATCCCACTCCTCAGACCGAGCTGACTCCGCCCACCTGAGATCAAGACACTCTGCCCCCCCCTCACCTGCTTCAACCAGGTGACCCTCAGTCAACCAATGGGAGCTGTGTTTGCATGACGTGATTATTTTTTGCAGAATCATGACCTCCATTTCAACTTTAACCCTTTAACCCCTTTTCTTTGACCCCCTCCATCTTTGCTTCTGATTGGCTCACGCCAACATCACACCACAACCAGTAGATTACTGTATCTATCTATCTATCTATCTATCTATCTATCTATCTATCTATCTATCTATTTTTCTATATATATAATTTATCTATCTATCTATCTATCTATCTATCTATCTATCTATCTATCTATCTATTTTTCTATATATATAATTTATCTATCTATCTATCCATCTATCTATTTTTCTATATATATAATTTATCTATCTATCTATCTATCTATCTATCTATCTATTTTTCTATATATATAATTTATCTATCTATCTATCTATCTATCTATCTATCTATCTATCTATCTATCTATCCATATCTTTATATCTATCTGTCTTTCCATCTATCTATCTATCTATCTCTCTATCTATCTATCTATCTACACTCTATTCGTCTGTCTGTCTTTAAGTATAGATATACAGATATAAATGTAAATGCATGTTTTCATGTATTCAATCACAGCCTCCTGCTGATTTGTTGTTTTGTTCTCTGGATGTTTGTTTGTGTGTTCGGGATGATGATGCTAACGTCGTCGTCGTCGTTGTTGATTGTTTTTGTTTTTATTTGTCATTGATCCATCTTTAATTGTCGGAGGGTTGTCCTGCTCTGACCTTTGAACTCTCTCTCCTCTGTTTGTTTGTTTGTTTGTTCAGGATGATGATGCTTATATTGTCGTTGATTTTTTTTTTGTTTTTATTTGTCGTTGTTGAACTGTCTTTAGTCATTCAATCTGAATGCATAAATTATGCATTGTTGCCATGGAGACAATACCTTTGGACGTCACTGATTGGTTATCCAACACTTCTCAGAATGTCGAGTGTGAAGTCGCTCGTTTTTTTCCCTTTTAGCTGAGATCGTAGAATAAAACATAACCCTCCATGTATGATGACCTCTGACCTTTGTCTTGGCAGCTGCTGATTGGTTCATTTCTGTATTTTTCTAAAACAGGGCAAATCCTCGCGGTGGATCAACCCAGACCAGTCCATCGGGGACACCTGTCTGCAGCCGCTGGGGACGCCAGCTGCCCATCGTCCCCCCCAAAACAGCTCCAGACAGAAGTAGGTCTGACCTTCAGGTGACCCCAAAGTCTGACAGACAGCTGATGGCAGGAAACACATGATGCCCTTCAGAATAAAACAGTTTTTATCTGTCTATATGCTGATGACACTTAGCTGTTGTAAAGAATCCTTACCATAACATCTGTCATCAGACAACAGCTGTTTTTATCATGATGGACAGACAGATTTTTCATGAGAACAACTCAATTATAAAAATAATTAAAAATGATTACAGCTGTTTCATTCAGGCTTTGAAAGAAGATGGTTGTGATGGTCTTTAGGAAACAGACCCCAAAGAAAGAAGGGAACACAGCTGAGAAAATAAAAGTTCAAACTGCTGAATGTAAAACAGAGGAAGAGAGTCCGGAACTCTTAAGTCCTGGTTTCAGTCCAAACAGTCCATGTTTCAGAAAAAATTACCCTCACAGTGTTTTTTACACAGACAGCTGAAACTCCTCAATCGCTCTATTTTCATGCCCACCGGCAGCACGGCGGAGGGTGGCGCACCCCACGCAGTGGTATTTTTGTCTGGCAGAGCCTGGCATTGTTGTGGAAAATCCAGCATAAACAATGCACAGGAGACAGGATGAGATCTGAAGAACAGCCTGGGCACTTTAATAGTACAGATGTAGAAATCAGTACAGATGACAAACAGAGTCTCGACCAAGACCGAAGGAAGCCTCCCTAGCTTTTCTTCTACTCTCTTTTATGCTGTTAGGTGTGTGTGTGTGTGTGTGTGTGTGTGTGTGTGTGTGTGTGTGTGTGTGTGTGTGTGTGTGTGTGTGTATTCTCCAGAAGGCCCCTCACGATGACATGTCTGCCCCTCAACACTTTGTTTAGGCTCATCTTGACCCTGGCAGAGATTAAATGTTCCAACAGACAGATAGTTCGGGCTCCTGAAAGACAGCCTTGCTTATAATCTCATGGTCGTGAGGCTGCAGGATCAGGCCAACCTAGATTATTTGTAGCTTCTTACTAACAGATAATTACTCTACATTTCTTAACTTAAATGTATGAAGAGATTCCCCTTCACAGTCCCCCCTTTGAAAGTTCTTACTTTCATAAAAAACCTAATCATCATATCAAACACTAAACATCCTTACGTGATTAAAATAGAACATGTTCACTAAATTCTAAATGCTATGTGTACGATTTGCTGCATGTAAGACTTCATAATACCACATGAAACAAAAATCAGTACCATACCATACCATAGCTAGGATCATTTCAAATTATATCAGCGCGTAAGACTGAAAACCCTGCTCGGCTGTTTCAGCAGGGAAAGAATCTTACGGCCCGCGCCCTGGCGACCATTCATTTCCTGGATGCGCTGACATAATTTCATTTGCATAGAAGAAGTGTCAACTTCTGATAATACCATTACATTACATTGTAGCAACCTGCGACAAACCCCTTGATTAGTATGTGATTAACCCCTTGATTAATATGTGATCAGTGTAGTCCTTTAACTCTGCGAATGAAACATGTTCAGTTCAATATCTCAGCTCATTGAATATGTTGTTTGCGTTGCTCAAAGTCCATTGCTCATCTTCGTCTCCTTCAAAGTCCAGGAACCGTTCAGGTCCCTCAGTCCCTCCTTGATTAATCACACACTGTGCCAGCTGTCTTGGTGGCATTTCCTGTAGTTCGTGGGCCAGTGTTAGGTCCACCATAAGTCCCATCTCCTCCGTCAGCTTCCAACAATGTCTCCAAAGGATGTGTACGATGCGACATGTGAGAAAGGAAATCAGAATTAGGGCTATCGCAGCACTCATGGCTGGGCCAAAACGGCTCTCATTCATCTAAAATTTGGACCACCCAGTCCATTAACAGGCCCCCCTTACCAGCATTCTCCCACATTTCCACTTTAAACTTTTCTATACCCTCCATAGCTTTAGAAAAACCTCCCCCAGGGGCTTGTTTTGTTTGAAATGTATCTGCAACAGTACTTTCAAAACTTTTAAGACACATCTTTTCTCTTCAAATACCCAATTTAATGCTTGTCTGTATTGACATGTTACTGGACTTGTTACATGTAAATATCATTTAATCTAAACATCTTCCCTGAATAATCAACAAATGAAATCAAACAAAATCAAATCAAACACATCTTTCTTTCACATAATTACTTAATTTTACATTTAAAAAACAGTTCTTTTCTTATTTGTAAAAATCTGGCAAAAATCCCCTTCCCATTTACCACCTCCAGCTGTTATTTTATTGCCACACACGACTTTTCAGCATTCATTTTACTCCCTATGTGATAAATTCATCTAGAACCTTTCCTCCAATAAATCAGATCTACTCAGTGTGTAAAAAAAAAATCTTTTAAATTTTATTATCTATTTAACCTAATTGTAAATCTGTAATAATCTGTAAATGTTGGCATGGGTTCTAGCTCTGTCTGGAGTGGTGTGGATTGTGTTTTGGGTTGCATCGTACTCACCCGCGATGACAATGTCTCCCACTTCTTCTCACAGCTGTTCTGGCACCAGTTCGACCTTCACCCTCATTGTTGTCATCAGTTTCTCTCTCGGTCTCTCTCCAAACATTGTCCCTCAGCAGCAACACCAGGAAAACTGTTACTTTCAGGACGAGTGCTCCAGTCATTCTGGGAGTGTCTCTTATCAGGTTATACTTCCCTTGTTTTTTTCTGGGCAGTCAGCGGTAGATGACGCCACATCATATTGCCCTCTCCTTGCACTGAAGTAGATTCACCAGGACCAAAGTGTTCAGGTCTTCTCCACGTTGTTTGTGCCATCCTCCTCAAAGGACGGTGATGTACACCTGGTGCTCTGGCTCGACTGGCCTCCACCTCTTGACTGGGATCAGATTTTGGCACTCCTCCTGCTAATCAATAGATCTTTGCATCGTAGTTAGCTGCCTCATATATTTAATTCACTAATTTTCAGCTGCTCAAGTGAAAAACTTAATTGTTTAGCCGCAGTAAAGCACAGCTTTGTAAGTTAGTAATTCATGCAGTAAAAGATTTATCACAGTGCTTTTGATTGTGAAAGCTCATAAGCGCAAGTAGCACAGCATCGTCCTATAAGTTAGTGTTAGTGCAAATTCTCTGATCTGATATTTACTTGAGAGATTAACTTTCTTCCCCAAAATGATGTACCAATTCATGCAGTGAACAAGATATTTAATTAGTCTCCCCCCTATTTCTTTCTTCCTCTTGTTTCTTGCATAGCTCGACCTGGACATGCGTCAGTGTCCTCTCCCAATCCTGCAGCTGCTGCGGTTGAAGAGATTATTTATTTTAGTGATCAGATGAGTTATTTACTTTAAGCCTACATACGTGTAGCGATTTGAATTTATGATAACTGTCTGAAGATTAATAATCTCAAATTATGACATTTATGCACTCGTTGAATGGGGCACCACCCACCCTTAATGGTGGGAAAATAAAGAAAAACTAAAGTTTTATTCAGAAATCAAACATCAAGTCAATCTTTAATTAATCAGTCTCATATCTTTAGCCGAAATAATTATTTCAGGGACTCCACTTCTGGAAGAACACTAACAGACAAGAACTTAGAAAAATAACGATCTGTTTATTACAGGATAAATGATGGTACAACACACGTGCAATAAATGATGATAAGATAATGAGGATAAAATAATAATAGGTGAATAAATAAAGATTCTGAGTCAGGCTAGGAGCACTAAAGTTAATGATAGTGAGTGAATATGCGCTAACATATTAACCTACACTAACTTTGGTGTCGAGATAAACTCGGATGTGGATTTGGAGGAATCTAAGATCACCAGAATAAGTGGATATCTGAGCTATGAACGCATGAGACAGCACCAGCCCTGTTTGGAACTCTGGAGATTTGCATACTTAAGTGAGACTGGTCTTTGGAGAAGATGGAGCAGGTTCCGAAGGTCCGGGCTACTGGCGGTTCGAGCGGTTCAGCTCAGAAGACGACTGAAGTCAGCCGAAGGATGGGCCAGGAGTTGTAGCACTCGGGCCTGGAGTAAAGCCGGCGCCTGTGGATCCTGTGGATGCTCGTTTGAACGCTTCTTTGGTCTCACTCAAAAACTCTGGCACAGAGGATGACCTGGGCCTGCTGGGTTGCGTTCAGAGGTGACTTTGAAATCACGCAGATAACTCAGGAAAAAAAAGAGGTTCGGTGACCAGTGGAAATTATTTCAAAAATGGCTTCGCGAAATTAAAGAAAAATCAATCAAGGGCTTAATCTTGAATTGCTATGCGCACAAAAAGTTGAAGTTTCAAAACTTGAACTAAGACGATGTTAAAGATAATCAACGTGAATCAACACGTGGCGTAAAACTTGGAAGACTAAGAAAAAGTAAGACTAAATAGTAAGAGCTAAGAGAAAACGAAAAGTTGAACTTAAGAGTAGAAGAGCAAGAAGAGGAGAAGAGAGTGAGCAACCCCACTTCACTGGTTTTATCTTCTCACACTGGGAGTGTCTCTAGCGTGTGTGTGTGAGGAGAAAGAGGATGGTTCATGGGGTCTCTGATTATTTGATCTAACTTATTCTTTTGGCTGGTAAAAGAGTCAGATCTGATACTCACTCACTATGATTAATATCATTGAATGCTAGGTTTCATGATAAATAATTTGATACTAAACACATATGAATGAAGTGTAGGATCACATCAAATATTCTCATTATGTTTTAAGTATCACATTGAACATGCTAAATTACTCTGAAATGAAGCAGATAGTAACACATGGAAACTGTGAACAACAAAAGAGTAAATACATGTGAATGAACTTCATCATGATTAATAATGGATTCTAAATACTCACATTCAGATTATTCAATGACATTATAACCACCTAATGGTTAAAATACTAAATAAATGATTAAAATATAGACGAAACATTTCTAAACCATTTCTGTTACTTAGAGTAAAGTTATGATTCATAGTCAACAAAGTTAACTCTTAAAAGTTCATGAAACAGTCTGAAAAGCTGTTGGTTTAAAGAAACTAAAGAATAAAGGATTTATTCTGTCAGAGTGATAACTTGGATTCTGGAGCACATAGAAAAACGGGAAACATCTCATTTTAACACAAATTTCATGATTAGACAGATTAGTACATTGCTGAATGCATAAGATGTCAGAATCAGTCATTTGTATTCTTTCACCAAAGGAATACAGTTTTTATCAGTACATGGTTGAGCAGGGGTTTACGACCGAGGTGTGGAGGTCAGTGTCCCCCCTTATCTTGGGGTCCGTATGTTCACACACTTTAAAACGGTAAATCTCAAATGGGAGACCTGGATTGAGGCATGAATGATTATTTAGATGGTCAGCGATGGCGTCAGTTTGAAAGGTAATAAAAACTCTGTCTCTGTTCTCCGAATTGACCGATCGTGAAGAGTCAGAGGTTTGGTCAACCTCCAGTCATGTCAGTTAGGTAACCTGAAAGTACAAACAAGTCTGGAAAGATTTATATCCTGTGTCCTGGGACCAGATAAGAAAACTTTCCTGCGAGGAATGTGTGAGTTTCACATACAGGGTTGTCTTGATTGCTACATACGAATATTATAATATTCAATTTTATGAGCCAGATTTATTTTACATGCCAACATCTATAAAAGAAAGAGCCAGGCCACGGAGCGCTATGTGTCATTCACACAGATGGTTCTGATTTTAATGCCATTATTGGAATTTATGTTGTAATCTGTGCGCACAACCCACCTTTGTCACATGAGGTTTCAATATATGCAACTTTATGTGATTGTCTTTATTTGTGGAAAAGGGTGTTTGTCTTACCAGTGGGTCCAACCTTTCACACACCAAATCCATCTGTGCTTATATGAGACAGTGTGCAGGACGCCTATGCCACGCTGCCGGCGAGGAACGAAAATAGAGCCCAAAGTGTTGAAGGTTTAAATTAGTTAGTGACATTGGAGTCGCTTGATAAGCTCGATTTAATTAGTTTAGTTTGGACGGTAAACTCAAACAACTTGAGTCAGATTTGGTTGGATGGACTCGCCCAGTCGACCTGACTTTGTTATGTTAATGACTTAAAATCAAGTAATTCAGCTGAATTGTTGTCACAAAAGAAGTCAGTTTGGATAAGTTCTGTTTAAGTAGATTCATTTGTTAGTCACATAAGTTTAGGTAAATAAGTAAAGCTCACTGATTGGTCAACAAGTTATGTGAACATAGTTACACTGAAATTGAGTTAGTGAGGTTGTTTAGATATAATGGTGTTTGATAAATCCATTAAGTTGGATTTATTGTTAGTTATTATTATTATTATTTGTTACTGGAGTCATGTTGGACAAGAATGATTAAACAAGTTGAAATGAGTCATCTTCGTAAAACAGTGTGGGTTAGTTAAAGTGGTTGGATTGGTTTAGTTAAACTTGTTGAGTTAAAATGAGTTAGTTACATTAGTTAAGGAGGATTGATTAAATTGGATCTGGTTAGTTAAGTCAGTTTAGTTGAATTGGGTCAGTTAAATGAGTGAGGATGAATCGCTCTAGTTTAAAAAGTCAGGAGAGATTTTTTTGGTTAACAAAGTCAGTTTGGTAAAGTTGTACTGGTTGAGTTCAGAACTGTCATATCATCTCTTCTTTGTTGTTCATCCCTCTGATCACCTGTTTTCGTTTCTCTCACTCTCATCTGTTTCTGTCCATCAGTTTTGGCCACATCAATCTCAGGAGCACCAACTGCAGCTCCTCCTACTTTCCATCACCAGCCCTCACCCCCTGACCCAAAACAATCCTCCCCCTCTCTCAGTAACCAACCACCTCTTATACGAATCCAAGCCCCGCCTCCTCCTGGACCAGACAAAGCCCTTTCACCCGCCCCAGCGCCTGTCCAAGTCCAAGCCTTGCCCTCTGCTCAAACACCAGACCAAGACCTCCCTTTACCCGAAACACTGGTCCAAGTGCCACCTCCAGTGTCGAATCAGACTCAATCCCAGACTGCAGCACCCACTAAAGCCCCAGCCCCCGCAGCTGAGGTCCCAACACTGCCACCAACTGAACCTCCCCGTACACCTGCACCTGCCCCGACACCTCCCCCCAGCCCATCACCCGCCCCAACACCACAGACTCCAGGTGTGTACGTCAAAGGTGTCAAATGTGTGTATTTTGTCCAAATCAATAGGACCAGCAGATTCAATATAACCAATAGAAACACAATGGAACCTGTCACATGAATGATGTCCAAAAGAATGTTAGGACAAATAGATCCCCACAGAACCAATAAAAGAAACAGAAACAACCGCATCAATGGAACTGAAGACACTAAAAATCAAGCAACTAATCAAAATAGTGCCCCCGCAAGGAACAAACGAGCCCTAGCCTTGTCATGCTGCCACCTCTTTGGACCCCCTCCCCAGCAGACCACTGCCCTGTTACACTGCCTGTCACCAAGGTATCATAGTATTGTGTGATCAAAATGTCACAGTTATTTTGATAAAATATCATGGTATAGTTTTAATAAAAATGTCATAGTATAGTATGATAAAAACATCATTATATAGTATGATAAAAATATCATAGTATAACATGATAAAAATTTCAGATTTTAGAAAGAAGAAGAAGTCATACTATTGTATGCTAAAAATGTTCACATTTTAGTATAATATAAATGTTATTTACAGTATGTTAAAAAAAACAGTATATAGTGATAAAAATACCTATCTTTAAATGGGCAGCACAGTGGCCTAATGGTTAGCATGATCGCTTCACAACTGCAACATCCTGGGTTCAAGTCCTGGTCAGATATATTGTGATAAAAGAAATAAAAAAGGTAAAAGTGTAGTATGATAATCATCTCATGATGTCACATTATAATTTTTTTAATTTTAAAATAAAAAAATCATTATATTGTATGATAAAAAAGTCACAGTACAGTATGAGAAATATAGTAGTAATTATGATAAAAATGTCACATATTAGTGTAATAAAATTATCACTGTATAGTATAATAAACTTATCATAGAACCCTATGATAAAAATATCATAGGAAAGTATGATAAAAATATCAATGTTTAGTATTATAATAATTTCACATTTTTGTATAAAAAAATATTCATAGTATGCCAAAAAATATTATAGTACAGTATGAAAAAATAGGCATAGTTAAGTATGATAAACATTTCACATTTTAGTATCATATAAATGTAATAGATAGTACATTTATCAAATCATAGTATATAATGATAAAAATACCTATCCTGACATGGAGAGCCGGTGGTGTTATGGTCAGCACTAATGCTTCACAGCCAGAGCGTCCTGGATTCGAACACCAGCCACGTGTAGTGTGGTACAAAATAAAGTCAGAACTAAAACAATGATAAACATGCTATAGTAAACTAATGTAAAAATTTTAGTATGAAAAAAGTCATAGTGTACTATGATAAACATGCCAAAGTTTGTTTTCATAGTATCATAAAAATCATAAAAATTTCTATTTTTTAGAATGTAAAAAGTCATAGTATAGTATGATAAAAATTTAATATTTTGGTATACTTAAAATATCATAGTATGGTATGATAAAAATATCACATTTCATATGAAAAAATCATAGTATAGTATGCTAAATATATCAAAATATAGTATGAAAAAAGTTATAGAAAGATATGCTAAAAACATCGTAGTATAAAATGATAAAAAATGTAAAATTTTAGCAATAAGAAAAACTAATAGTATTGTATGATAATTTTTTTTTAACATTTTAGTACAATATGAATGTAATTTATAGTACATTGATAAAATCCTAGTATATATTGATAAAAATACCTACCTTGACATGGCCGACACAGTGGTGTAATGGTTAGCACTAACACTTCACAACCACTACATCCTGTGTTCGAATCCCAGTCATGTATAACATTCTAAAAGTAAAGTAAGAACTAGAAAAAGTTAATGTATCATACATACATATCATGGTACAACATTATAAACATTTCTAATTTTCATAAAGAAAAAAAAGTCATTGTATAGTATGATCAAAAAGTCATATTACAGTACCTAAAATGTAATAGTGTAGTAAGATAGAAATATCACATTTTAGTATAATAAAATTATCACAGTATAGTTTAATAAATATATCATACAATACTATGATAAAAATATCATAATAAAGTATGATAAAAACATTAAAGTATAGTATGATAAAGATTTCACATTTTAGTAAACTATAAATGTAAGATATAGTATGTTACAAAAAATCATAGTAGATAAAGATCAAAAGATTTACCCTGACACTGGTGGCACAGTAGTGTAATGGTAAGCACTATTGCTTCACAGCCAGAACGTCCTGAGTTCCAATCCAGGAAAGATATATATTGATAGAAATAAAGTAAAGAATCAAAAAGGTCAAAGTACTGTGTGATTAACATGTCAAAGTACGCTATTGTAAAAATTTGATCGTATTGTAATATTGTACGAAAAAATGTGATAGCTTTAAAAAAATGATAGTTAAGTATGATATAAGTATCATATATGAGTATGATGAAAAAAGTCCTATTTAAGCATGAAATGTTTTTTCATAACTTAGTATTAAAAGAAATGTCATGGTATAGTATGATAAAAAATTTCACAGTTTGAGGGAAAAAGTTTAATTTTGTAGTCCAAAAAAGTTCATTGTTTAATATGATGAAAATGTCATAGTATAGTATAATAAAATCTGTCATAGTAAAGTATAATAAAAATGCCAAAGTTAGATACGATAAAAATTTTATTTTCATGTGTAATAAAAAATGTCATAGTATAGTATTTTAGAAATGTCATAGTATAGTTTGATAAAAAAGTCAAAGTATAGTATGATGAAAATGTCATTGTAGAGTATGATAAAAATGTCATGGTATGGAATGTAAAAAATTTTACATTTCAGTGTAGAAAAATTTAATGGTATAGTAGATAAAAAATATCAGTTTAGTATGATCAAAATGTCATAGTAGAGTATGACAAAAATGTCATAGTATAGTATGATAAAAATGTAATATTCCAGTGTAAAAAATGTCATAGTATAGTATGATAAAAATGTAATAGTATAGTTTGATTAAAAAAATGTCATAGTATAGTATGAAAAAAATATTATAGTAAAGTATGATAAAAAATAAATGTTTTTATGTGAAAAAAAGTTTATTATTTTGGAATGTAAAAAATATAGCATACTTTCATTAAAATTTCATAGTTTAAGTTGAAATAAAGCATATTTTAGTCATGGTTTCGTATGATAAAAATGTCATAGAAATCATTAAAATTTTATATTTTTGCATAAAAAGACGTTATATTTTAGAATTTAAAAATGTCAGTGTAGTATGATATTAATTTTATGGTTTGGGGAAAAAACATTTTTTAGTGTAAAAAAGTCACAGTAAAATATGATAAAAATGTCATAGTAAAGTATGATTCAAATGTCATAGTAGAGTATGATAAAAATGTCATAGTATAGTATGATAAAAAGTCAGTATAGTATAATCAAAAAGTCCTTTTTAGCGTGTAAAAAAATCATATTTTAGTATGATAAACATGTCATAGTATAGTATGATAAAAAAAAGTCCTATTGTAGTGTGTAAAAAATTTATATTTTAGGATGATAAAATGTCATAAGATAGAATGATATAGATTTTATGTTTTAAGGGAAAAATAAATTCATATTTGAGTATGAAAAATGTCTTTGTATAGTGCGTTAAAAATTCTTTATTTCTGTGTAAAAAATGTTATATTTGCATAAGAAAAATCATAATATAGTGTGATAAAACTGTCATAGTATAGTTTGTAAAAAATTTCAAGTACTGGTAAAAGAAAAAAATCATAGTACAAAATAAATAAATGTCATAATATAGTAAGATAAAATTTCGAATTTAGGTATAAAAAAATTTCATATTTAAACAGAAAAAAAATTGAGTATGAAAATAGTATGAAAAACATAGTATAAAAAATGTCAAAGTATAGTATAAGAATTTCATATTTAAGTATGTAAAAAAGTCATAACAGAGAAGGTTAAAAATGTCATAGTATAGTTTGTTAAAAATTTCAAATTTTGGTAAGAGAAAAGTTTTAAATTTTAGAATGAAAAAAAATGTCATAGAATAGTATGGAAGAAGGTGTCATAGCATGGTATGATGAAAATTTTACATTTAAGTGTGAAAAAAAATCACATTTTATTATACCATAAATATACCATAGTATACTATAAAAATGATCCAGTAAATTATGATAAAAATGTTCTATTATACGAAAAAAAAGTATGAAAAATTATCAAAATAAAGTAAGATAAAAATGTCACAGATTTTTGTATGTAAAAGACGTCATACTATAGAATGATAAAAGTGCCAAAACATTGTTTGTTTAAAATTTCAAATTAAAATGTCATAGTACAGTTTGATAAAGAACTCATCTTTATCAAGTACGTTAGGGCATCTACTGTAAGAGATCTCGTATTATAGTATGAAAAATATACCGTAGTACAGTATAATAATAATGTCATTGTGTAGTATGATAAAAATGTCAAATTTGGTGGGAAAGAAAAATTCATTTTAAGTATAGAAAGAGTATCGTAGTAAAGTAGGATATGTCATATAAAGATTTCATATTTTATTATGAAAAGAAATTCAATATCTTAGTATGAAATGTCATAGTACAGTTTGACAAAAATATCATAGTGAAGTTTGTTAAAAAACTATGTTTAAGTGAGGAAAAAAGTCTTATTTTAGTATGGAAGATGTCATAGTATAGAAGGAAATGATTTTATTGTATAGTATGGAAAATATATTAAAGTATTAAAAAAGTCATACTATAGAATGATAAAAATGTCATAGTATAGTATGAAAAAAACATATTTAAGTAAAAAAAAGTCATACTATAGAATTATAAAAGTGTGAAAGTATAGTATTTAAAAAAATTAAGATTTTGGTGTGAAAATTTTCTAAATTTTTGTATAAAAAATTTCATAGTATAGTATAAAAGAAAATGTCATACAATAGAAAGATAAAAATGTCACAGTATAGTATGATAAACATTTCACATTTTAGTGCGAAAAGAAATTCATATTTCAGTATGAAAAAAAATACCATTGTATAGTATGATAAAAATGTCATTGTAAAGAATGATTAAAATTTCAAATTTTGGTGAGAAAAAAAAAAAATTTTTAGTATATAAAAAAATAGAATTGTATGGTAAAAAAATGTCGTAGTCTTGTATGATTCAGATTTCGTATTTAAATCTGAAAAAATTTCCAATTTTAGCATAAAAAATTACATACTATAGTACGATTGAAATATAGTATGATAAAAATTTCATATTTAATATGTAAAAAAGTCCTACTATAGAAAAATAGAAATGTCATAGAATTGTTTGTTTAAAATTTCAAATTTTGGTGAGACAAAAAAATCATATATTAGTATGAAAAATAGCACAGTATAGTGTCATAAAGATGTCAGAGTAGTTAGATGAAACATTTCAAATTTTACTTTGAAAAAAAATCATATTTTAGTATAAAACATAATGTCATAGTATAGTTTGGTATAAATTTCATGTTTAGGTGTAAAAGGTGTAAAGGATTACTCAAGAGATGGCTATGAATTCATTCATTTTTTTAATATATATTGCGTTTGTTCATTACCTTATTGGCTAATTGTTTTAGTTAATTCATTCATTCATTCATTCATTCATACCTATCTCCCCGTCTCTCTGTCTACCATCTGACCTGTGGGCTGCAGAGCCTGACAGACGCTCAGCAACACCTGGAGGGACCAGGAAAGGTGAGAAGGGGGCCTTATGATACATTCAGGTGTGAATGGGTAAGGGGGTGTAGGTGTAGGTGTTAGTGTTAGGGGGTGTAGGTGTTAGGGTTAGGGGGTAGGTGTAGGTGTTAGTGTTAGGTGGTGTTTGTGAAGGTGTTAGTGTTAGGGGGTGTAGGTGTTAGTGTTAGGGGGTGTAGGTGTTAGGGTTAGGGGATGTAGGTGTAGGTGTTAGTGTTAGGTGGTGTTTGTGAAGGTGTTAGTGTTAGGGGGTGTAGGTGTTAGGGTTAGGGGATGTAGGTGTAGGTGTTAGTGTTAGGTGGTGTTTGTGTAGGTGTTAGTGTTAGGGGGTGTAGATGTAGGTGTAGGTGTTGGAGTTAGGGAATGTAAGTGTAGGTGTTCGGGTTGGGTGGGTAGGTGTAGGTGTGGCTGTAGTTGTTAGGGTTAGGGGGTGTAGGTGTAGGTGTGAGGGGGTGTATTTGTGAATGGGTAAGGGTTGGGGAATGTAGGTGTTACTGTTTGGGGTGTAGGTGTAGGTGTTAGTTTAAGGGGGTAAGGCTGTAGGTGTAAGTGCCAGGGGGTGTAGTTGTAGGTGTTAGTGTTGGGGGGTGTAGGTGTATGTGTTAGGGGGTGTAGGTGTTAGTGTTAGGGAGTGTTGGTGTAGGTGTAGGGCTTACTGTTAGGGGGTGTAGGTGTAATTGTAAGGGGGTGTAGGTGCTAGGGGTTGTAGGTGTAGGTGTCAGTAGAAGGGGGTGTAGGTGTTAGTGTTAGGGGTGAAGGTATAGTTGTTAGGGGGTATGGGTGTGAATGAGTAAGATTGAGGGGTTGTAGGTGTAGTGTTAGGGGGTGTGGGTGTAGGTGTTAGTGTTAAGGGATGTAGGTGTAAATGTTAGTGTAAGGGGGTTTGGGATGTAGGTGTAGGTGTTAGGGGGTAAAGGTGTAAGTGTTAGTGTTAGGGGGTGTAGGTTGGGTGTAGGTGTTAGTGTAAAAGTGTAAAAGAGGTTTTAGTGTTAGGGGGTTCAGGTGTAGATGTTGGGGTGAAGTTGTAGGTGTTAGTGCTAGGGGTGTAGGTGTTAGTGTTTGTGTTATGGGGTGTAGGTGTAGGTGTAGGTGTAGGTGTTAGCATTAGGGGGTATAGGAGGGGGTGTAGGTGTTAGTGTTAGGGGTTGTAGGTGTAGGTGTTTGTGTTAGTGTTAGGGGTGTAGGTTAAGGTGTAGGTGTTAGTGTTAGGGGATGTAGGTGTAAGAGGGTGTAGGTGTTAGTGTTAGGGGTGTAGCTGTTAGTGGTAGGGGGTGTAGGTGTAGGTGTAGGTGTTAGGGGCTGTAGGTGTGAATGGGTCAGGGTTAGGGGTGTACGATTTATTGTTAGTGTTAGGAGGTGTAAGTGTAGGTGTTAGTGTTAGGATTAGGGGGTGTAGGTGAGGTGTTAGTGTTAGGAGTGTAGGTGTGGGGGTTAGTGTTAGGGGTGTAGGTGTGGGGGTTAGTGTTAGGGGTGTAGGTGTGGGGGTTAGTGTTAGGGGTGTAGGTGTGGGGGTTAGTGTTAGGAGTGTAGGTGTGGGGGTTAGTGTTAGGGGTGTAGGTATAGGTGTTCAGGGGTGTTAGGGATGATGTCACCGTTTGAGTGTGAGGTAATGACTTGAGCAGGTCTCTGACCAATCATCTCTCTCTCTGCTGTGATGCAGAGGTCACATGGGAGGACCAGCAGAAAAAAGCAGCCAATGGTATGATACTAGACTTAGCCCCTTCCCCCTTAGACGGCTCCTCCCACTGTGTTTGTGATTGGAGGAAGAGCAATAGTTGGTCTAATATGGATTTCCTGTCAGTTTAGTGTTCCACTAATCTGTCCATTAATTCATCCCCACATCCTGTTTTAATTATTGATGCTTTTCATTTGCCATCCATCCACTCATCCATCCATCCACCCATCCATTCACTTATCCATCTATCTATCATTTCATCTTTCTGTCTATCAATCAATTCATTAATCCGTCAATCGGTCCCTCCATCCATAATCAATCTGTCATCCATTCATCCGCGGTGCGATCATAAGGAGAGGTGTTGTCGGCAAGTTTAGATGGTAAATATTGTTTTTTTATCTTTCTAGTATCTTTCAGAGCATTATTTTACACAAATACGAGGAGATCTGCAACATTATAACAATGTGGAGCAGGACAGCAGCAGCCGCTAAAAGCCGGAGGGACTGCTGGCAAAAAGAATCATTGATTGTGTAAATTACATTTGTGAGTTCATAAATTTATGTCCCCCTAATATGTTGTCATGCAGCGTGTGTGATCACCTCCATCATTGACCTCATTATTTCAGATACAACAGCAGTGGGGAAAAGAGTAGGTGGGAGCAAAAGTGGTTAGTATGTTTACTGGAAGATTTTATTTGTACATATTTCAATGTGTTAACAGTGATTTCCTCACACTGCCTTTTTTTCTTTTATCCTCCATCATCTGATGGTCACATGTCATCTGCAGACACATTTGGGGTTAAGAGGAGTTTTCTAATCTGCTTCAATAAATTCTGAATGATGATTAATATGCCGCATGAAACTGGAACTTGGAGCTTGGCAAATATTAGTGCATTGCTTAGACTTCATGCTACTGAATATTGAGGCCGTCCGAGGAAAACCTGTAACGTTCATAGAGAACTTCATCAGGTAAATCAAACGGATTTGAACGATCATGAATATAACGCTCTCGGCGAAGTGCTCCTCTCACTATCCGTGCAACGATGTCCCCGGGATCGGGCAAAAGTGGGTGAGCCATTTTCCAAGAGATCCGATTGGTCATTGGGCGGTCTTTTATACCTGCTGAGATCTTATCCTGAAAAATAACCTGCTCCAGAGCAGGTTTGGTGTTCCGCGTAAGTTACCGGGGCAACAGACCTGAGGCCTGTACTACGAAGCTGGATTTGGTCTTAGCGAGATAACTTCTGGATAACTTCTGGGTTTTCTGTACTACAAAGGTGGATCTCTTTTTTTCCGGGTCCGTTGCCCCGGTAACTTACACGGAACGCCGAACCTGCTCCGGAGCAGGTTATGTTTCAGGATAAGATCTCAGCAGGTATAAAAGACCGCCCACTGACCAATTGGTTCTCTTGGAGAATAGCCTGCCCACTTTTGCCGGATCCTGTGGACGTCGGTGCTTCACTGTGAGGGCTATTGTTGTGATGACGTTCTGTATGAGCGTTACAGGTTTTCTCTTGAGGGGCTGCAGTATAATAATAATATCACATAATATCACAGGACCTCGTTTATCATCATCCTACAGCTGAGACATTATGAGGAAATTGCTGTGTACATGCTGAAATACTGTATGTACAAATACAATCTGCCAATAAACCAGCTAACCACTCTGAAGGATGTTTTTATATTTATTTCGAATTTTCTCCCACATTCTTTTTTCCCCACTGCTGCTGCATCTGAAATCATGAGGTCGATGATGATGATGGTGACATTTGGGGACCATAAATTAATGAACACACAAATGTAGCGACATCTATCCATGCCATCGTGATGACACATTAATATCTCCATCGTAGTGACTTACACTAACACAATTGGTGATTTTTTTGCCAGCAGTCCTCCGGCTTCTGGCGGCTGCGGCCGTGTTGCTCCTCGCTGTGATTGTATCACAGAACTCCTCATATTTACTCAGGGTAATATCCTGTTCCTCAGCTGTGAAAAACGATGCTCTTGCTGTTTTGTCCATTGTGGAAAATGGTCCAGTGCTGCTAACCCCGCCCCTTTTACGTGTGCGCGCACAGATCTGAAGTGGCCACACCCGGATTCAGTTATCGAGTTGATTACCAGCTTCTTAATACAGCTGATCGGGATCGCGGAGATCCGGTGAAGTTGAGCGAGTTGTCGCAGCGATGTGATAATCCAGCTTCATAGTACAGGCTTCTGGATAGAAAGAAATCCACCTTCATCGTTATTCCAGAAGTTATCTCGCTAAAATCAAATCCAGCTTCGAAGTACAGGCCTCAGGCCTCAGCTGTTTGTTGTTGTTGATCAGCTGTTTGTTGTTGTTGATCAGCTGTTTGTTGTTGTTTTTTTCCTGCAGGTGTGATGAGGGATCCATCAAAGGTAAGCTGACATGGCATTCAGAAATCACATGATCATGACTTCATTGATGACCTCACAGGAAGTCTCACCTGTCCTCTGTCCTGGTGTTCAGATGAGAGACAGTTTGTCCTTCAAATCGTCAGACAGCGACATCAGCGAAGTGTCAGCCATGTCAAACGATGTCAGATCAGCCCCAAGTTTCAGGTAAGACAGCAGCAGCAGATCACAGAGCAGAGATAAGGTCAGCTGTCTGAATATGTTTGACATAAATCACCTCCTGTTAGCATGTTAGCATGTTAGCATGTGCGACCTCTGTTTTTCTGTTAGCATGTTAGCATGTTGCTGATCACAAGGTCGTTTTTTCTGCACGCTTCTTTTCTCTTCGCTCGTCGACTGAGATAGTCGAACTGAGACTTTGGAGGGCCAATCAGTGGAGTTGGGGGCAGGGTCAGAGGAAACACAGGAAGTAGCTGGGGAGGCAGAGGGTGGAGCTTCACTCCAGAAGAGTGAATCAGTGGAGGAAGGAGAGGAGGCTGAGCCTGAACCATCAAAGTAAGCAGCTGTTAGAGGAGCCACTCCAGACCATTGTCATGGTAACACCCCCCCCCCTCCCCCACCGCTTCCTCTGCTGATTGGCCACTGTGTTTCTCCCTTCAGGGCGGTGGCGGCTCCTCTCCAGAAGTCGTCGAGTGTAGGCGGAGAAATCTGTTCTTTAGGTCGAAACGACGATGACGAAGATGACAAGAAGCGGCGCTCCAGCTTCGGCGCCAAAATGATGGGGATGGTCGGACTGGGAAAAAAGAGCCAGAGCGCCTCCCAGCTGAACCCCGAGGGTCAGTATCTACTGGACACAGGTCCTGACCCCGTCCAAAACAGTCCCAGCTAAGAGTCAGGGCTCACTAAGTCTGGTTCAGGTCTACACTAAGTCTCTGTGTCTCTCTCTCCCTCTCTCGGTGTGAGTGCTGGGTGTGGGGAGTGTGGAGGTGGTGAGTGTGTCTGTTTCCTACTTCCTGTTCACTGTGCAACTGTTAACCATCATTGTGTGATCGTTGGTGGAGGTTGGGCGGTGATCGGCGACCGGCGAGTCGTGTTTCCTAGCGGAGATGGCGTCCTCCGGGACGGAGTCTTTGTCTTTGAGGCATGGCGTGCGGGTCCAGCCCGACCCATCGGTCCCAGTAGAGATGGTTCTTTTGGCCGTAGGGGACTGTGTGGGACACGCCAACCTCGCCTACGCCTCCAGGATGAACAAAGGTGTGGTGGTGTTTGTGAAAGTGGAGAGACTGGTGGCGGAGCTGGTAGCTAGTGGGGTCACCGGTGTTTACCTGCAGGTCTCCCCGCTCGCACTACATGGTGTACACCAGCACGGGGAGGCGGTTGAGGGGCTTATGTCTGCCTGCAACGGCTCAGAGCCAACCTTTGATTGTGTCAGCCTATGCTGACGATATTAATATTTTTGTTCAGGACCAGGAAGATGTTAAAGAACTTAAGCATTGCCTGGATCTGTATGAGAGGGCTGCATCAGCCAAAGTCAACTGGGAGAAGAGCGAGGCAGTTTTAGTCGGCCACTGGAGTACAGGAAGCACCCCTAGTCTTCCTGGTGGCCTTAGGTGGGGTAGCAGAGGACTAAAGGTCTTGGGAGTGTATTTGGGTAGGGAGGAAACCACTGCTAAAAACTGGGAGGGAGTGCTGGAGAAGGTGAAAGCCAAGTTATCTAAATGGAAATGGTTGCTACCTCAGATGTCTTACAGGGGAAGAGCTCTGATTGTCAATAACCTGGTGGCCTCGTCTCTGTGGCACAGGCTCCAAGTTCTGGACCCTCCACCAAGCCTCGTGGGACAGCTGCAGCGACTCCTGGTGGACTTTTTCAGGTCCGGTCACCACTGGCTACGAGCGTCAGTCCTGTACCTTCCTGTGGCAGAGGGGGGGCAGGGTCTGATAGACATCGCCTCCAGGACCGCTGCCTTCAGGCTTCAGGCAGCTCAACGTTTCCTGTACGGACCTTCTCACTGCTGGTTGGATGTAGCTCGGCTGCTGCTCCGGAAGGCTGGGCGGCTTCGCTTTGACAAACAGCTGTTTCTCCTGAAGCCCCCTGCTCTCACCTTCACTGAACTGACACCTTTCTACAGCTCAGTGTTTGTTGCGTGGAGGACTCTGGTTTGCACTCGACCATCTGACCCCAAGCCTGGGATGTGGCTGTTTGAGGAGCCACTTTTCGACAATGATCTTTTAGTTAACACCATGTTTTCATCCAACACCCTGAAAAGTGTCTTCACTGAAGCTGAAGTCATTAAGCTTGGACATCTCACAAGAACACCTGTAGAGAGTCTGGCTGACATGACTGGTATAAAATCAACCAGAGTGCTGCAGAACCTGGTGAAGGAGGTGTGGCAGTCTCTGTCGGGGCCCCTCCGGACTTTTGCTCAGAGTCGGGGTCAGTTGGATGGAGGGCCAGGACTACATCTTCCCCTCCCTGAGTGTGAGTCCTGCGGTGTGAGAATGGAGGGAAGAGAGTGGACTGTTGCCGTCCTTAAAGAGACCAGTACTGGGAGCCTTCAGCGCCTGCATGGGGAAGCAGCTGTACCTCAGCTGTGTGAAAGTACTGAACCTGCGAAAAAGAAATCTGTGGTGTTGACCAACTTTATTTTTGCGAGTGCTAAGCTAGCCATCTGGAAGACTCGCAAAAACAAGGTTCTTGGGGTGGACTGGACTGATCCGGTCTGTTACCTCACGGGTTTGGTGGCGGCACGTCTCAGGATTGAGCACACCTTTTATAAACTGACCCAAAATTTGGATGGTTTCAGGGATGTGTGGGCTATTGGGCAAGTCCTGTGCTCACTGGAGGAAAATGGCTTCTTAAGTGCTGAATTTTTGAAGGATTAGTTTTTAGTGTGTGTGTGTGTGTGTGTGTGTTGGTATTTAATCATGTTATTTAAATCCACAGTATTAGTTAACATGTCATCTGTCTTTAAGGATTGTCAGAATGTTTTATAAATAAAGTTTGTTAAAAGTCAAAGTCTGTCTCTCTCCCTCTCTCTTTCTCACTGTCCCTCTAAATCTCTCTCCCTCTCCCTTTCTCTCTCTCTCTTTGTTTCTCCCCGTCTCTCTCTCTTCCTCTTTGTCCCCCCCCCCCCCCGACTCTGTCTCTGTCATTCACTCTCTTTCCCTCTCTCTTTGTCTCTCCTTTTGTCCAGAGGAGGAAAAGAAGAAGAAGGTGGTCAGACTCCCTGTCCAGAGAAGCGTAGAGACCGGATTGGCCGTTGAGTTTAAGTCTCGCTTCACCCGACAGCTGAGTCGAGACCCGGACGCCGAGGAGCCCAAACCCGGAGCGTAAGTCAGATTCCTTTTGTTTTGGCCACGCCCTGTTCTAAAAGCCACGCCCTGTTCTAAAAGCCACGCCCCTCTCCTGGCCCATCCTGCAGGCTGATTTTTCCGGGGGTCAAACTGGCGTCGGACAAACAGTTCACCGGATTCCTGGAGGGATTAGGCCCCGCCCAGCTGGCTGGACGGCAGACTCTGGCCACGCCCCCTATGGGTAACGCTCAGTCACTGTTCTCATAGTTTCCCATTTTAACCCTCTCTGTGACATCACAAGACCTGAGCTCCTCTGATTGGTTGTTGTGGGCAGGTGACATCCAGATTGGGATGGTTTACCGAAAAGAGCGTCTGGACGTGGAGGTGATCCGAGCCCGAGGACTCGTGGGAAAACAGGGCAACAAAAACACTCCAGGTGACACACTGTACACACTAATACACACTGTATACACGTGCGCACGCACACACACATATAAACACTGTGCACAAATTTCAGTGAACACAAAAGTACACAGTGTCAGTATAATTACACAAAAAACACACACTGTCAATCAGCTGTTGTGTGTGTGTGTGTGTGTGTGCAGCGCCCTATGTGAAGGTGTATCTGATGGACAATGGGAAGTGTGTGTTAAAGAGGAGAACCCGTTTGGCGAGAAAAACCCTCGACCCGCTTTACCAACAACAACTTCAGTTTGAGGAAAATCCAGAAGGGAAGGTTCTACAGGTAACACACACACACACACACACACACACACACACACACACACAGTATATTCACATATACACTCACCGGCCACTTTATTAGGTACACCATGCTAGTAACGGGTTGGACCCCCTTTTGCCTTCAGAACTGCCTCAATTCTTCGTGGCATAGATTCAACAAGGTGCTGGAAGCATTCCTCAGAGAGCTTGGTTCATATTGACATGATGGCATCACACAGTTGCCGCAGATTTGTCGGCTGCACATGCATGATGCGAATCTCCCGTTCCACCACATCCCAAAGATGCTCTATTGGATTGAGATCTGGTGACTGTGGAGGCCATTTGAGTACAGTGAACTCATTGTCATGTTCAAGAAACCAGTCTGAGATGATTCCAGCTTTATGACATGGCGCATTCTCCTGCTGAAAGTAGCCATCAGAAGTTGGGTACATTGTGGTCATAAAGGGATGGACATGGTCAGCAACAATACTCAGGTAGGCTGTGGCGTTGCAACGATGCTCAATTGGTACCAAGGGGCCCAAAGAGTGCCAAGAAAATATTCCCCACACCATGACACCACCACCACCAGCCTGAACCGTTGATACAAGGCAGGATGGATCCATGCTTTCATGTTGTTGACGCCAAATTCTGACCCTACCATCCGAATGTCGCAGCAGAAATCGAGACTCATCAGACCAGGCAACGTTTTTCCAATCTTCTATTGTCCAATTTCAATGAGCTTGTGCAAATTGTAGCCTCAGTTTCCTGTTCTTAGCTGAAAGGAGTGGCACCCGGCGTGGTCTTCTGCTGCTGTAGCCCATCTGCCTCAAAGTTCGACGTACTGTGCGTTCAGAGATGCTCTTCTGCCTACCTTGGTTGTAACGGGTGGTTATTTGAGTCACTGTTGCCTTTCTATCAGCTCGAACCAGTCTGGCCATTCTCCTCTGACCTCTGGCATCAACAAGGCATTTCCGCCCACAGAACTGCCGCTCACTGGATATTTTTTCTTTTTCGGACCATTCTCTGTAAACCCTAGAGATGGTTGTGCGTGAAAATCCCAGTAGATCAGCAGTTTCTGAAATCCTCAGACCAGCCCTTCTGGCACCAACAACCATGCCACGTTCAAAGTCACTCAAATCACCTTTCTTCCCCATACTGATGCTCGGTTTGAACTGCAGGAGATTGTCTTGACCATGTCTACATGCCTAAATGCACTAAGTTGCCGCCATGTGATTGGCTGATTAGAAATTAAGTGTTAACGAGCAGTTGGACAGGTGTACCTAATAAAGTGGCCGGTGAGTGTATATACACACACAAACACACACACTCATATATACACACACACACACATACACAGGTAACCCCCCCCCACACACACACACATAGACACACACACATATATAAACACACACACACATATACACACAGGTAACACACTCTCACACACACACACATATACACACACACACATATACACACAGGTAACACACACACAAACACGTATATAGACACACACAGGTAACACACATACACACACACGGAGTCCTGACTCCGCCCCCTCTGTCTGTCTGTCCTCAGATCATCGTCTGGGGGGATTACGGGCGCATGGATCATAAGTCCTTCATGGGCGCTGCTCAGATCTTATTGGACGATCTGGATCTGTCCAACATGGTGATTGGCTGGTTTAAACTGTTTCCTGCCACCTCAATGGTTGACCCTGCCTTGGCCCCGCTGACAAATAAGGAGACAGAGGGTAGTCAGTCATAGCTTCTGGAAGGTGATGGCTGTAACGCCGCGGTTCCTCCAGGCTCCCCCTCTTCAGCTGCTGCATGCTGCATGATGACATCAGGCCATGGCGATATGGCACCGCAGGTTGTGAAGGTTCCGCCCTCAACGCTCAAACTGGAATGATCCTCTCAGTTAAGGCAGGCCTTGCTGGAAAGAAGGATTGGGGTCATATGTTCTCCACCTGCCAGCCAATTACAGTAGCCCCTCAAAAGTCATGTGACTATAAAAGGCATGTGAAGAAACTAAACTAACTGTTACCATGGAGACGAAGAACATGGCGGTCTGGTTCTCATTGATTTTGCATGGAACTGTAAAGATGAGAACATTAATCAAACTTTGGATCTAATAAAGATTCTCAACTCTGACGATTCTTTGAGAGTTTGTTCTACAGAGACCCGGTAAACATTTGGTTCTTTGAAGGAGTTTTACCCCCAAGTTTCACCACATGTGGGTGGGTCCGATCCAGAATGGCGGCAATTTTCGCCGTCCGCCAAATCCTATCGGATCAGTTTGTGAGGCCAATTTTGTGGCGGATTATGAACAGCAGGAATCGCAAGAACTCACAAGAACCTGCGGATTCACATTCAATCGCACAATAACAAGTCGTCTCTCTAAAGACAGACACATAGACATATAAGCAGTAGATTGTGTCCTTCCAGAGGAGGAAATCTACTTCTAGACTTCTAGAATCAGCATCTCCTCATCCATGGTGTCATCGGGGTGAAATGACGTCTAAAAACCTTTCTCTTGTTCGTCTCCGCCCGTTTGCATGGTGTGAAATACGATCCTCCTGAAACACGGAGTGTTTTATTTTGAAAAGAAGCCGGATGTTTTATTTTGTGTCGGTGCCCGACTTCCTTTCCAGCACGGGTTCATCTGTGCTGAGTTTATCCGGCATGCTCTGGTGTCCCGAAAAAATAGAACTCTTGCAATCAGCTGTGGAGTCAGACGATCCGCAGAGGAACGGAAGGAGGCCGGTTTGAAATTGATGAGTTAACCTGAATGGTTACAGTCAGCTATGATCGGAGGATACAACCTTTTTGTAGACGTTCAGAATGAAGGTGGAAATTGGGGGTAAACCTTGAGATGTTGTTTAAAACTAAGGATGCAGCATCTATGATTTCGAGTTCTTCGTTGAAAGGACAACTGGACTTACTTAGGACGTTTCGCAACCAAGTCCAGTTGTCCTTTCCAAAAGAGTGTTAGATCTTGATTTTGATCCACAGCGGAATGGAAAGAAGCCAGTGGAAATTGACACGTTAACTTGAATGGTAACGATCAGCAACGATCAGAGGATACAACGTTTTCGTAGACGTTCAGGATGAAGGTGGAGATTGGGGGTAAACCTTGAGATGTTGTTTAAAACTAAGGATGCAGCATCTATGATTTACAGTTCTTCATTGAAAGGACAACTGGACTTACTTGGGACGTTTCGCCTTAGGCAAAACGTCCCAAGTAAGTCCAGTTGTCCTTTCCAAAAGAGTGTTAGATTTAGATTTAGATCCTCAGAGGAACAGAAAGAAGCCAGTGGAAATTGACACGTTAACTTGAATGGTTACGATCAGCTACGATCGGAGGATACGACCTTTTAGGAGACGATCAGGATGAAGGTGGAAACTGGGGGTTTTACTGTGTTGTCATGTCCTTCAGGGTTTCAAAGGTGGACCCAAATCCAAAGTTTCTAACAGGATCTGCAGCATCAATCTGGGTCTTTAAGATCCTTTAGTTTTCCTGACATACATGTGTTCATCAAAGGTTCCTCTCTGGTTCTTCTGATACTGACCTCCAAGTAACACAGATCAAACTTCTCCCTCCATCACTGACAGACCCCCACCTTTTTTAAGATGCTCTGTAGGTCTCACTAAAGCTCCTTTCACACTGGGACCGTTTTTTCGTGCAATTATTCCGGACGTCAATATTATTTTCGAACCTGTAGCCTGTTAATATAAGCGTTCACATCAGCGACATTTTCCCGTCCCGTGATACTGCTGTATTTTTTTTTCGGATCACGGTCGATTTTTCTAAAGTTTTGCATACTGTGTGTCCACTTCTGACCAATCAGACTGCGTGTTGTTGCGATGTCAGATTCACCGGTATATCCAACATGGCCGACCGGCTGATTGTTTATGTGTTGGAGAACAGAGTGATTTTTGATAAAAGACACAAACATTACAAAGATAACGACCTGAAGGACGACTTGTGAAAAGTCATAGCGTTGGATTTCTCCGATGACGATGGTTTGTGAGCTTTAACAGTTTGATAAACGTCTTTGTTTTATCTTTCATCTGTGCTAACATAAGCTAACGGTCGTCTCCAGGATCCCTGTTTTCCCCCCTGGAAAGTCGCAAAATTGCATCGGGTTTGATGTTTATAGTCAGGCGCATTAAAATTCGCCCCCAAATATTTCGTAATTTTGCGTCGTATATTTGCGTCGTTCCCGATGTGTAAGGACCTGATAATGGAAGTTTAATGACATGATCAGTTTTTGTAAAACAGGTCTGATTTATATCACGTATAATCAATGGAAGGTTGGCGATGTCATCTTTGCACATGTATGCGGGGCGTGTTAGTTAAAGTAAAGATCACGGATTAGAGAACATGAAGCTTTAATCTTTAGTGCAGTTTAATCTACAGACTCAAAGAAAAACAACGAACACCTGAAATCATGCAGGTAAGAAAAACACAACAAACAACCAACAAACACAAAAAGAAGAACCAATCCAACAACAAAAACAACAACAACAACAACAATAATAATAATAATAATAATAATAAAAATAAATATACAGACACACTCACACACACCAGGTCATTACAAATTATAGTACCAAACACAAAAATACAGAAACAGGAGCAGAGGAGGAGGAGAGAGGAGGAGGAGAGGGTGAGCAGAGGAGGAGCAGAGGAGGAGGAGAGAGGAGGAGAGGAGGAGGGGGGGGGGGGGGTTGTGAATCAGGACGAGGTCATCGTTTTTTCGTAGTTTGAAATGTTCACAGAAGTTCCTGTAAAAGTGGGTCCAGTTCTAAACTTTCCAGAACCTTGTCCAGGTCGAGAACGGTAACCCAGACCATGTTCAGTGATGAAGACTTAAGGCTGCGATAAGACAGTGAGGGTCACATGACCTGAGGGACCTGAACCAGAACCTTATCCGGTCCCTGTCTCAGTTCTTGTGCTTCTTTGAGGACCAGAGGAAGTCCTCATTCCGACTTGGTTCAGCCTCTCTCTCTTAGCCCTGGTCTTCAGGTGTTTGGCGACCTTCAGCAACCCTCAGCGGTCACATGACCCTCCTCATCTTATGGTGACCCGGGTAACCCAACAAAACAAAGAAGGGGGGGGGGGGTCAGCTGTACCAAACAGGAAGTTCACCTGGGGGGAGTGTTTTCATGGACAGACCAGAAGTTGTACCAGAACCAGACCGCTGATGTCACTCCTCGCTGTGTCTGATTGGCTCGTTAATCTTATACAGCGTTGAGGACCGTCAAGCTAGCTAACATGCTAACAGCAGGAGGAGGACAGCATCTGTCTCTTGTCTAGACGGCGTGCTAGCACTTTTGGCTCGCTCTCGTGGTCCAGGGTGAGATATTAGCATGATGTTAGCTGTCTGACGCAGGGTTAGCAGGGTTAGCTAGCAGGTCGGGTCTGTTAGCACGTTAGCACATTTGCAGTCTGTGGGTGTTCTGTCAGGGTAGGACCGGTATCGTACAGCTGGTTAGCATGTTAGCGTAGCTCGTTAGCCCTCTAGCACAGCAGCAGAAGCTCATCGTCACTGCTCTCCGTTTTGCTCGCCGTGGCCTCCAGGCAGGCGTCCGGGATCTGCGCCGTGTGTACCATCCTGCAGTGTTCACAGGGACCGTCCCGCCCTCCTCGACTACCATTGCCATGGTGATGACTTGGGTGATGTCTGATGTCACTAACCGATGAGGAGGATGAGGAGGAAGAGGAGGAGTCCAAGACCGGGATCAGGAGTTCCACATCCTCCTCTTCTTCTCTGCTTCCTCTTCGCTCCGCGGCTTCAGCCCCGCCTCTTCCTGTCTCCAGCTGGTGGAGAGGGCTCTGATTGGTCCATGTCTGGTCCTGCTGGTTCTGGCTGGTTCTGGTCAGGTTTCTCGCGAACCGGTGCAGGTTCTGGGCCAGCCTCTGGAGTGCTGATGTGGGCGGGGACTGAAGGTCCGAGGCCTCGTTGTGTCCCGCTGGATCTGACCTGGTTGTTACCATGGTGACCGGACCAGAAGGGGGCGGAGCCTCTCTCGGTCTGTCATGAGGTCTACCATGGCCAGGAGTAGGGGTCACGGGGGTCGCATGTGTTGTGACGGACAGAACGGCCTCTACGATGCAGGAGGGCGGGGTTTTGTGGGGAAGGGGCGCAACGGGCCCGCCCACTGCACCGACGCTGCGTTCCCGTCCTCGATCACCCTCTGTGTCCGTGTCATCAGAGTCCGGAGACAGTAGGTCCGAACCAGAACTCCCAGTGCTCCCGGTGCCGGCGCTGTCTTCCAGGTCAGCAGAGACCAGGGCGAGGGAGCCAGACCGCCGAGATCGCGAGAAGGTGAAAAGGCGGCGCCAGAGGTTGCTGTGGCGCCCGGGGGATGGAAGTCTGAGGGAGGTGAAGCCAAGCTGAGAGCGAACAGCCAGACGGAGGTTTTCCAGGACGGACGCCTAAGAGAGACAGAAGACAGGACAAGATCTGCTGATTGGCTGCTCTATGGTTACATCACTGATAAGGGGAGGAGGAGGAGAGGAGGAGGAGGAGGAGGGGGAGGAGGAGGAAGGGAGGAGAGGAGGAGGGGAGGAGGAGGAGAGGAGGAGGAGAGAGGAGGAGGAGGGGAGGAGGAGGAAGGGAGGAGAGGAGGTTAAGGAGGAGGAACAGACAAGGAGGAGGGGAAGAGAGGAGGAGGAGAGGAGGAAGAAGAGAGAAGGAGGAGGAGACGGAGGAGAGGGGAAAAGAAGGGGGGAGAGGAGGAAAAGAGGAGGAGGGGGAGGAGAGAGGAGAAGAAAGGGTAGAGGAGGAGGAGGAGAGAGAAAAAGGAGAGGATAAAGTGAGGAGGAGTAAAAATAGGAGGAGGAGAGAGGAGGAGGAGAGGAGGAGGAGGAGAGAGGAGGAGGTGGGGGAGAGAGGAGGAAAGGAGAGAGGAGGAGGAGAGGAGAAGGTGGGGGAGGAGGGGGAGGAGAGGAGGAGGAACAGACAAGGAGGAGGGGAAGAGAGGAGGAGGAGGGGGAAGAGGAGAGGAGGAGAGGAGGAAGAAGAGAGAAGGAGGAGGAGACGGAGGAGAGGGGAAAAGGAGGGGGAGAGGAGGAAAAGAGGAGGAGGGGGAGGAGAGAGGAGAAGAAAGGGTAGAGGAGGAGGAGGAGAGAGAAAAAGGAGAGGATAAAGTGAGGAGGAGTAAAAATAGGAGGAGGAGAGAGGAGGAGGAGTAGGAGAGAGGAGGAGGTGGGGGAGAGAGGAGGAAAGGAGAGAGGAGGAGGAGAGGAGAAGGTGGGGGAAAGGAGGAGGAGGAGGAGGGGAGGAGGAGGAGGAGGGGGAGGAGGAAGGGAGGAGAGGAGGTTAAGGAGGAGGAACAGACAAGGAGGAGGGGAAGAGAGGAGGAGGAGGGGGAAGAGGAGAGGAGGAGAGGAGGAAGAAGAGAGAAGGAGGAGGAGGAGAGGAGGAGGAGGAGGAGGGGGAGGAGGAAGGGAGGAGGAGGAAGGGAGGAGAGGAGGTTAAGGAGGAGGAACAGACAAGGAGGAGGGGAAGAGAGGAGGAGGAGGAGGAGACGGAGGAGGAGGAGACGGGGGAGAGGAGGAAAAGGAGGGGGAGAGGAGGAAAAGAGGAGGAGGGGGAGGAGAGAGGAGAAGAAAGGGTAGAGGAGGAGGAGGAGAGAGAAAAAGGAGAGGATAAAGTGAGGAGGAGTAAAAATAGGAGGAGGAGAGAGGAGGAGGAGAGGAGGAGTAGGAGAGAGGAGGAGGTGGGGGAGAGAGGAGGAAAGGAGAGAGCAGGAGGAGAGGAGAAGGTGGGGGAAAGGAGGAGGAGGAGGAGGGGAGGTGGAGAGAGGAGGACAAGGGGGAGGAGGAGAAAGGAGAAAGAAAGGGGGAGTAGGAGGAGAGGAGAAGGAGGGGAAGAGGAGAGAGGAGGAGAGGAGGGGGAGAAGGAGAAAAGTAGAGGAGGACAAGAGGAGGAGGAGGAGAATAAGAGGTGGAAAGGAGAAGAGGAAGAGTTGGAGGAGGAGAAAGGAGGAGGGGGGGGAGGAGAAATGGAGAGGAGGAGGATGGGGAGGAAAAAAAGAGGAAGGAGAGGAGGAGGATGTGGAGGAGGAGAAGGAGAAGAAAAAAGGGGAGGGAGGAGGAGAGGAGGATGAGGGGAGGAAGAGGCGGAGAGGAGGAGGAAGAGAGGAAGGAGAGGGAGCATGGAGGAGGAGGGGGGGCAGAAGAGAGGAGGAGAGGAGGGGGGAGAAAAGGAGGAGAAGAGGAGGAGTAGGAGGAGAGGAAGAGGAGAGAGGAGGAGGAGAGGAGAAGCGAGGAGGAGGAGGGGAGGAGGAGAGGAGAGAAGGAGGAGGAGAGTGGATTTACAGGATTCTAACGGGTCACAGCGAGTAAACAGGTGTGATGGATTCTCCTTTAACCAATGAGACTGTTCGGTTCAGCTCTGATCTGCTTCAGTCTCATATTAAAGTCCTCCTCTGTTCTCCATCCTCTCTCTCCTGTGTGAGTCTCTCTGAACATCTGTGTGTGAAATACAGCACTCTTTTATCCGAGGCTACCCTGAACGCATCACTCAGAGACGGTGACAGACGATCTCAGGTTTGTTTCCCTTTTATTAAAGTGTTCATTTTGTTAAATATAGTTTAAATAAGTCAAAGTATCAGTCCAGTGTCTGTGAGACTCCGCAGAAACACAGGACAATCTTCGGTTGTCTTTGGACAAATGTCCGATTCATGAATGAACGTGGACCATCAGACTACGGGAGATTCCCTTTGGGAGAAATGACAATACGGGAGGAGGGCGGGAGAGAGGTCTGAAATACGGGGAACAAACCCGAGTGTTGGCAGGTATGGTCTCAGTATACATATGTGCAGCGGAGGTCACGTGCACCGAGTATAAGCATTAGCGAGCTATCGTCGGCGATCACACAGCTGATTAATTAGCGAGTTATCAGACAAATAAAAGCACAAAACTGATGCTTCAACTCCGAACTAACTGCTTAGAGTGAATGAATAAGATATGGGATGCAGGTCGTATGATGCAGCGGCCGTCCACTGTGGTGGGTTATTTGATTGACGGGTCACTGCATGTCTCCATGAATGAAAGCAGTGCCAGGAAGAACAGAAGAGCTGCTCATAGATCATGTTAAAGTAGGTTTGAAATCGACCCCAATAGGTGGAGCTCGTTTGCCGTCTATGCTTTCACCGTTACCTGAAGTAGCCATTGTCTACGTCATCATGTGACATGTCAACAAATTTCTGTAGTCGATTACGTTGATTACGTCGACGAATCACCCCAGCTTAGTTCATATCGTAGCTATTATTATTATTTTATTACCATTAGTTATTGTTAAAACAAAGTGTGCAGCTTCACTGAGACTGATTTAGACGAGTAATTTAATTACAAATACTCTCATAATGAGCTCATATCCACCAGACAAGGGAACCCCAAAACTGACCGGAGTTTAAAACCAGGATATTGGCAGGTCGGGTGTAAACAAACAGTTCATCCAGGTGAGCTGAGTCTAAGGCTATGTTCACGCTGCAGGTCAGTTCAGAGTTTTTAACCATATGTGACACATATTAGATTTTTCATGTAAGTGTGAACAGTGCAATTCGGATTTTTTCAAACCCAACCCAAGCCTCTTCTGTATGTGGTTATAAATCGGATATGTATCTGATGTGACTGCAGTGTGGACACTCAGGTCGCGTTCATCCGACATATATGGCATCAATATGCGACAAACGTCACCGTTGTTCGACGACACAAACAGGTGCAGAAAGCAACGGCAGACGAGGGAACGGAGAACAGGCAGTGGTGAAAAGACGAAACATTAGAGTAGATAAATATATGGGGAGACCGGTCAGTTCAAGCCAAAATAGAGGGCTCAAACCGTAACCGGGCGCTGTTCGAGGCGTCACATCCTGCTTTGTGTGCATGTGGGTCACTTCACGGACGCATTCTGTTCACATTAGATGCCACGCTCGTTGTTGTCATGTGAACGACCGCACAAAAAGATCGGATTTAACAAAAAATCCAAATTGTGCGTCATAACCTGCAGTATGAACGTAGTCTATCTCACCTGTTCTTCCATGTAGATAAAGAACATTTTCACTTTAATCAAATTTAAAGGTCGGGTTGGTAATCATGGCAAACTAGCATGAATTTAAATGTAGCATCTCCTTGGGACATTATCTCACCCCTCCCCAGCAGTATAACTTAGAGCTTATATTGCCATAAGCAATATAAGCGGGCGCAACCAAATGGACCGACAGTATATGTTATGTGGCCCCCTGGAATGAGTGTGGAAATACAGTGTCCCTCTCCATCATCAAAGCTGCCCACCACTTGTCTAGACTCTAGATGATCTAGAAGCTCATGATAACCCATTGTGAAGTCATTTTCTGTTTAAATGCAACAAAATGGAGGGCCACAACCAATATCACATCCCCACCCACAAACTCTTCAAGCTTTGCTGTTAATTCACTTGTCCATGATGTCCATCTCTTTGTGTGTACATGCATACGTTTTGTTTGGGGGTTGCACGGGATTGGTCGGTGTTTTTACTCTTTACCATGTTTGTCTCTTTTTTAAGAACATGTATTGATCGATCATTTTAAGTGATCAGATAATCAGATTACCAACACGACCTTTAACCCTTTTAAGCTCACCTGTTCGATCAGGTACACTTCCTGTACTTACCTGACTCCCAGAGCACACTGGGAAATCCTCCACAGGTGGGATCAGTCCCTGAGCAATCAGCTGACCATAAGAGGGAGGAGCTTCTCTTCTCAGTAACTCTGCCTCCACTCGGGACAGCTGTGTCTCAAATGACCTGCAGCAACCAATCACAGGGTTTAAAACTGTGCAGCTTGATAACCAATCACTCGGTTCAGGAAGCGGGCATGCTCAGGTGTGCTCACCTGCGTTCAAACATGCGCAGAGAGTAAAGTTTGCAGGTGCAGCCGAGGGCGATGACCAATAGGAGGCCGCAGATGAGACTCCCGATGACGGCGGCGGTGATGACTCTGGTGGGAACGATGACGGGACAACTTTCCTCATCGCTGCCATCGCCACAATCATCCTGAGCATCACACACCCAGGACTCGAACACACAACGGTTATTCTGCAGGAGGTCAGAGGTCAGAGGTCAGAGCAGCACCACTGAATACTAATAAGAGGAGAAAACTTGATTCTGTTAAATAAGCAGAAAATCTTTTAATATCAGTCAATGGTTATTAGTTATTGATGACATTTGGGAATATAACGATATCTCTGTGTTCTCTTATGTCTGTGTTGTCAACATTTGAACATTTTTGAGCGGTCCGCTCTTTCTGGCTGTAAATGAAGCCGTTCTCCACCTCCTCTAACCTGATTGGTTGTGAGGCAGACGCTGCTCCCCCGTGTCGTTCAGGAGCCCAAACAAAGTTAGCGTGCTACAATATCGGACAGTAGAAACCAACCAGAAAGTTCGGAAAATTGTCTGAATCCTCCTTTGGCCACGACTGCCGACACAAGCAAGAAAACAAAGTAAATACCGGAGACTCTGGAGGAATAACGGGCGCTTAAAACGGAGGTAGACCGGACAAGAGCTAAAAAGCCGGGTCAACATAAACGATGGGGGACGCTTGGGGATCTTGGTGACCCTGTAACCTTTCTGCTGGACAGGTAAACCGCTTTAACAAAGTAAGACAAGTGTCTGTAACAGAATATATATATATATATATATATATATATGTATATATATATATATATATATATATATATATATACACACACATACGTTTATATATATACACATATATATTTATATACAGTTGTGGTCAAAAGTTTACATATACTTGTAAAGAACATAATGTCATGGTTCCCTTGAGTTTCCCGTTATTTCTACAACTCTGATTTTTTCTTTGATAGTGATTGGAACAGATACATTCATGAAGTTTAGTTCTTTTATGACTTTATTATAGGTTAACTGAAAAATTGACAAAATCTGCTGGGTCAAAAATATACATACAGCAGTGCTTATATTTGGTTACATGTCCCTTGGCCATTTTCACTTCAAGTAGGTGCTTTTGGTAGCCTTTCACAAGCTTCTGGTTAGGGTTAGCCATTCCATTATCACTTTTGATGTGTGTTTGGGGTCATTGTCCTGTTGGAACACCCAACTGCGCCCAAGACCCAACCTTCAGGGTTGATGATTTTAGGTTATCTAGAAGAATTTGAAGGTAATCCTCCTTCTTCATTATCCCATTTACTCTCTGTAAAGCACCAGTTCCATTCGCAGCAAAACAGCCCCCCAGCATAATACTACCACCACCGTGCTTGACGGTAGGCATGGTGTTCTTGAGGTTAAAGGCCTCACCTTTTCTCCTCCAAACATATTGCTGAGCATTGTGGCCAAACAGTTCGATTTTTGTTCGGCTGACCACAGAACTTTCCTCCAGAAGATCTTATCTTTGTCCATGTGATCAGAAGCAAACTTCAGTCGAGCCTTTCGGTGCTGCTTTTGGAGTAAGGGCTTCCTTCTTGCACGGAAGCCTCTCAGTCCATGGATATGCAAAACAAGACAACCCTGTGGGTGAAACCCACACATTCCTCGCAGGAAAGGTTCCTTATCTGGTCCCAGGACACAGGATGATATAAATCTTTCCAGACTTGTTTGCACTGTCAGGTTACCTAACTGACCCGACCAGAGGTTGACCAAAACCTCTGGCTCTTCATGATTGGTCAATTTGGAGAGCAGAGACAAAGTTTTTATTACCTTTCAAACTGACTCCATCGCTGACCATCTAAATAATCATTCATGCCTCAATCCAGGTCTCCCACTTGAGATTTACCGTCTTAACGGACCCCAAGGAAAGGTCTGAGGAGCAGGACACTGACCTCCAGACCTCGGTCGTAAACCCCTGCTCAACCATGTACTGATAAAAACTGCATTCCTTTGGTGAAAGACCACAAATGACTGATCATGACATCTTATGCATTCAGCAATGTACTAATCTGTCTAATCATGAAATTTGTGTTAAAATGAGATGTTTCCCATTTTTCTATGTGCTCCAGAAGCAGAGTTATCACTCTGACAGAATAAATCCTTTATTCTTTTGTTTCTTTAGACCAACAGCTTTTCAGACTGTTTCATTAACTTTTAAGAGTTAAATTTATTGACTATGAATCATAACTTTACTCTTAAGTAACAGAAATGGTTTAGAAATGTTTCGTCTATATTTTAATCATTTATTTAGTATTTTTAACCATTAGGTGGTTGTAATGTCATTGAATAATCTGAATGTGAGTATTTAGAATCCATTATTAATCATGATGAAGTTCATTCACATGTGTTTACTCTTTTGTTGTTCACAGTTTCTATGTGTTACTATCTGTTTCATTTCAGAGTAATTTAGCATGTTCAATGTGATACTTAAAACATAATGAGAATGTTTGATGTGATCCTACACTTCATTCATATGTGTTTAGTATCAAATTATTTATCATGAAACCAAGCATTCAATGATATTAATCATAGTGAGTGAGTATCAGATCTGACTCTTTTACCAGCCAAAGCTATAAGTTAGATCAAATAATCAGAGATCCAAGAGGTCTCCTCTGCAGCCGGAGATCCCACGACCCCTCCTCTGTCTCCTCACACACACACACGCCAGAGACACTCCCAGTGTGAAGGAGATAAAAAACAGTAAAGTTAGGGGTACTGGCTCTCTTTTTCCTCCCGCATGTTTCCTGGGTCTTCTCTTAGCCCTCTTCTTTGTTTTCTCTTTGTTTTCTAGCCCCGGACCTTTGATATTTGCTCCATCTTCTCCAAAGACCAGTCTCACTTAAGTATGCAAACCTCCAGAGCTCCAAACAGGGCTGATGCTGTCTCATGCGGTCATAACTCAGATATTCACTTATTCTGGTAATCCTAGGTTCATCCAAATCCACATCCGAGTTTATCTCGACACCAAAGTTAGTGTAGGTCAATATGTAGGAGCATATTCACTCACTATCATTAACTTTAGTGCTCCTAGCCTGACTCAGAATCTTTATTTATTCACCTATTATTATTTTATCCTCATTATCTTACCATCATTTATTGTATGTATGTTGTACCATCATTTATCCTGTAATAAACAGATCATTACTTTTCTAAGTTCTTGTCTGTTAGTGTTCTTCCAGAGGTGGAGTCCCTGAAATGAGAATTTTGGCTTAAGATATGAAATTGATTAATTCAAGATTGACTTAATGTTTGATTTCTGAATTAGACTTTTGTTTTTCTTTATTTTCCCACCATTAAGGGTGGGTGGTGCCCCTTTCAATGAGTGCATAAATGTCGTGATTTGAGATTATTGATCTTCAGACATTTATTATAAATTCAAATTGCTACAGTATTATTTTTGGTGCCCCTACGTGAGGCATTTCAAACAAAACTTCTGGATACTAACAGACAACTTTAGATTTATCCTTCCAACTCGATGAGAGAAACTTATCTCCAGGCTATTCAAGACTAGGCCTGGGCGATTTGGCAAAAAAAATGATCACGATATATTTTGTCATATCGTCCGATCTCGATTATTATCACGATTTTTTTTTAACTGCCAGTTTTAAAGCATCTGAACTAAAAACTAAAGAAACTAGAGATTAGTTCAACATTTCATTAACATACAAAGTAAATAAAGCAAATTGAATAAGATACACTTAGAAAAATATGAATGTTAAAGTCCTCATATGTTTTACATGCTCTCCCGTGTGAGGCTCTCTGAACATCTGTGCATGAAATACAGCAGTCTTTTATCCAGGGATGCCCTGATCGCATCACTCTCGCCGCATCACTCCCGCATATCTCGCATTTGTTTCCCTTTCATTGAAGTGTTCATTTCCCAACAAACACTGCTTAAGTATAGTTTACAGCTTAAACCGACCTGAATCATCCCAAACTGTAAAGTGAAAGTATCAATCCACTGTCTGTGAGGCCTCTTGTCCAGCAGAAAAACAGGACTATCTCCGGTTGTCTGGAAACTTTGAACAAATATAGTGAACTTCTCATGAATGAATGCGGACCATGCTACGAGAAATTCCCGGGAGAAATGACAATACGGGGGGTGGGCGGGAGATACGTCTGAAATACGTGCCTGTTGTGACGCACATTTCCGCCATGTTTGATCGAGTAAATATGCTCACAGCTGATTACCGTGATCGAACTGAAATTTATCATGATCATTGATCACGACCATATAATCGCCAAGTCCTATTTTAGACTTAATCTCAATCAATGCTATGCTCGCTGAAGTTGCTGGACTAAGTTCTGATGTGTTTTCTGATTTATGCATAACACCTTTATGCTCTGTGTTTCACACACTTTTTGTACTACATGCCTGTAGTCTGTATGTGAGCTGGACAGCTTGAATCGTTGTTCTTGGCAGCAGTGAAACTGCTCCTTCTGCTTTGTCTAGACTGTCCAATAATTAAGTGCACAATTGCTGCGTCACCATACGCTTGTATTTAAGGCCTTTGGCTGAGCCCGGTGTTCGCAACGCTCCGAGCTGTGGTTTCAAGCCCCTGAAGTCTCTGTAGTCTGCTATGAGGTTCTAGTAACTATATGGGATTCAGATTTCCTCCTTTCCCCTGACAGATTGGCTACCTGTCACAGGAAACCACTGTAACAGTGGGAGGTTTTTGTTTGAATAAATTCAGACCAAATCTGGTTCACAAATCACCATTTTTGTGATTTTAAAGTCTGTAGTTGCATCTGCTGTTGAGGGATTTGTACCTTTGATTCTTGTTTCTGTGAGTGCTTTTATTGAACCAATCCACCTTGAGCAGGCGGTGTAAAGTTCTGTTTATGTTTGGAGGTGCAGACGCAGCCTGCTATGAACCGTTGACCTTTTGTTGTCAGTGGAGAGACCATAGACTGTATATACTGTGGACAACTTGGTTCCGCCTCCCGCCTGTAAACGGATTTGAAACCATAAAGCTCTCTGTATTTCCGAGATTTTTCTTCATTTCCTGAAACCAGCTCTGCGCAGTAGCGATGCGTGCAGTTGGCCGCGCAGTCGCCTGGAGTTGCTGTGATGACGCTCGGGTCAAACAGCGTATCTCTCGGGTGAGCTACGCAATTCCTGAACGCCAATAGGCTGTATCAGGTGTCAATCATAGAAAACATGAACCCCCTAATAACTTTTAAAAACGGAGCTGTACAGAAAAAAAGAGGACTTGAGCACAAACTAGTCTTACAATAACTACATGTCAACATCACAAGCAGGGGGGAGAAACATTTATATTCTGTGTAATAAATTTCTAAAGTTTGTCCACAGCCCCATAAGCTTTGCTGGCGGAGGCGGGATTTATGACCTATACTGCAGCCCATCAACAGAGGGTGCTGTTCTCGGAGTGGCTTCACCCAGCGAGGAGGCAGACTCTGTCCATTCTTTATACAGTTTATGGGAGAGACTGACCCATTTGGCTTTAAGCAGATAAGGCCCTTCAAGGAGGCAGAACCAAATGGCCCCTTCCTTCATACCTTCTGTACCTCCACACAACCACAAGTGGCCGGTTGGATGACTGTTTTCTCTTTTCTTCTTCTTCTCCACTTGTGTTGAGCTTGTGCAGTTATCCCAACTCCATACTGCCCCACATGGTTGCTTTTGGTATTGAGCAAACACTGTTATTATCTGCCTTGCAGTATCAGCCAACTGTACTGCCTCTCTGTAGTCAGTGTATGACACTCTACAGACATAACTCCAGGTGTTGACTTGGTTGATAGTGTTTGATGTTCTTATTCTAAATCACTGATCATTGATTTTTGATTTTCATCTTTGATATAAGAGCTTCTATAATGTATTGATAAAGTAACTCCTTGAATCAGTCACCTGATCTTGTTGTTGTTGTTGTTGTTACTTCTCACACCATCAAGCAGTTTGACTGTTGCCTATAATACATGAATGTATTAACCCTCTTCGTGAGATTAATTAATTAACAAATTAATTAATATTTCAAATTTATTTTATCATTCCAGATAAATTGTGTAGTTGAACCTTTAGCTTTGTTGCAATTTGTGAATTAAATTTAAAGTTAATTCCTTAAATTGACAATTTCATGGATTTTTCCAGATTCCCCCAACTGCATCAGGCAGTTTATTTGAGCTTTGCTGATCTCTGCAACATAGAGACAAATTGATCCCTTTATCCAGTGGTTCCATTTCTGATGTTAAATTTAATTTAACGTTATTTCACCTCGTTTTAGTTCAATTTTCATTGAAATTAATTTAACTTTCTTTCATTTTTCTCTCCATCAGATATCTACCCAGATAGGCTCTTCCTCTTTATTCCTCTTTCACTGATAAATTAAGTCGATTAACTCACTAAATTCGATATTTTGCTTCTTCCTCTCAATTTTAACTCAACTCAAACACTTTAACCAATCACCTGCACCTCTTTACCAAAACCAAACATGCCTAACACAAAAGAGTCCAGCCAGGGAGACCCCTTGAGGGACATACACACAGTATATATATATATACACACACACCATATATATATACATATAAACACACACACATATACTGTATATATACATATAAACACACACACACACACACACACACACACACACACATACATACTAGCTGAGTATGTCTGTATGTTTGTTGGTACCTTGCAGTGGAAGTTTCCAGGTTGGCAGAAGAAGCAGTTCTTTTCATCAGAACCGTTGGGGCAACGGTTCTGGTAGTTGCAGCGGTCCGATTGAGGATAACAGGCTCCGTTTCTGGAACAGGGGAACTCGTCCTCCTGACATGAGGAACAGTTCTGCTCATCCCGTCCGTTTGGACAGTGCCAGTAACCATCACAGCGCTGCTGTTCAGTGTAACAGCCCCAGTTCCCCCCACAAGGAACCTCCCATGGCAGACAGAACCCGTCCACCTGCAGAACAGAGCCAGACAAAGGTTACACAGAACTAAGAAAAAAACACAGACATAGATGAAACAGAACAAATCTATCTGAGGAACATCTACACACAGACTGATCAGGAGACTCCTCACCTGGTAGGTCACGTTGAAACCTCTGGCAGCGTTAATTTTGTCGGCATAGAAGTGAACCCGGAGTTGACCCGATGATGAAACCACGTTGACTGGCGCCCTGGAGTCAAAGGCGGTCAGCACCCTGAGAAGTCGACGAGGGTTCTCCTCCAGTCCGTCGTAGACCTTCACGTAGTCTCCATAACCGGTCCCATCGAGCTTGAAGTCGGTGAACCTCAGGATGACCTGCAAGGGGGGGGGGCATAGGGAGAGCTCAGCACAGACAGTTCAGAACCAAGTCTTTCTTAGACCAGGTGGACTCTTTGTACCTTCCTGTGGTCTCCAGTGTCGATCAGCCAGGTGCAGTTACTACCTGGTGGGTAAAAGTCCGGGTAGTTTGGAGAGCTGAAAGAACCGTAGAAGTTCCTCAGGAGTTCTCCACAGGTGGGAACGTCACAGTCGATCTCATCACCGAGGTCCTGGACAGGAGGAGGTCAACAGATCAGGAAGTGACTACACATGAGAGAGAAGGTCTGTGGGGAACACCTAGCTGACTCTTTCTGGGCTGAACTGTTGAAATATTTTTTATTGAAAATTAAGCGACACGTTTTTATCAAACAGTAAATACTTTTTTTTTTCTTTAACACCCAATCCCCAAAACAAAAACTAATTCTAATCACAGCACAGTCCTGCAGAAACAGGTATCAGAATATTAAAACCTTACACACATACTGTAAGGTTTTGATGGTGATAAAACCTCTAAACTGAATGAAACCCAGCGGTAGTGAAGATCTCCAGCATGAGGAAAGAAGGATGGTGTCAGACAGCAGGTTTCAGAGCTCTGAGATTTTCAATAAGTCCAATATTAACAGTAGTCTTCAACATGATCCTCCTCTGAGCAGCAGGCTGCAGGAAGCCACACACACAATCACCCACTCACACAGGTGATGCTGCTTTTAAGCTGAGCAGAGGCTCTCTCTCACCTGCTCCCCCCTCCCTCTTTCTCTCACCTGCATGACTGCCTCAATCTCCCCCTTTAGTGATAAATATACACACATCTGACCTCTAACCAATTAATCCCTATATAAAATTGCCTTAATACTTAACTGAAAGATCATAAATGAATACAAATTAACCCAAAATAACTAAATAACCCAAAATAGACCAAACGAAAGCTAAATCATACTGAATAACTCTCCCCCTCCTCCTCCTCCCCTCCCGTCTCTGATCACGAACCCAGCCTAACAAGCTGATTTGCCACTGCTGGGACCTGTTTGCTGCATCCCCATGTGTGCACTCCATACGGACACACCCCCACAAGACGTTGACCTCGAAGAGAGGAGATGTTAGAAGGGTTTAACAAAATAAAGTAAACAAAAACCATGTCCATGAATAGTCAATAGACTTTTATCACCTCAGTGAGGGGAGGGTTTTCCAGCTCCCTCACACATACATACAGATCACATGCAATGATAGAAACAATACAGGCCAACGATAGGGACTTTGCACCAAATAAAAACGATAACAGATTCAAGAAATGGATTACTAAGGGCTTGACCAGTTATCACTCGCTTATCCACAAGAGGGCATTTCCGACATTTGATGAATTACAGAACAAATACGGTTTGGAAAAAGATGACTTCTACAGATACCTGCAGGTGAGAAGCTACTTTTGCCAAAATTTTGGGGGGGTCTTGGATGGGGGCGGGTTGGGATTCCTGCAGGAATTTCTATCACTACTTAGGTCCCAAAAATGTAATAAGATCATATCTAAACTATATAGAGGTATTCAACAATCCAAGCAAGAGACCTCTGATTACATAAAGGTAAAATGGGAAACAGAAGGAAATGAATCCATCTAAGTGGAGAGTTGGGAAAAAATATGCAAGTATCAGTGGAATTCAACAGGGTCAAACATCTGGCGAGAGTTATGTTGGAAGAACATTGCATATTTCTTTTTAACACCAGTTCAGAAAAGATATCAGGGAAGTGGTGATGTTTGCTGGAGGCTTTGTGGGACCAAGGGAGCCAATCATTTTCATATTTTCTGGGACTGCCAGATGATTAAAAAACACTGGGAAGAATGAACATATTAAGAATTTGTTCGGTACAAGCTTCGTATTTAATTTTGAATCAATGTTCTTATGTGATATACAATATGAGAGTTGGAATTTCAATGACAGGAAACATCTGAGTATCATACTGGCAGCTAGTAAAAAATCTATCACTCTAAGAAAACGGTTAAAGGCTGGCCCCACCGACCATTGTCCTGCAGACCCCCTAACATATGTCCTGTATTAACGTAAACACAATGCATGTCAGAAATGCAGTATAAAAAGCATTTTTGTTTGATTATTTTTAAGGATGGGTTAAAAAAATTGATTTAATCGATTTGAATAGTTTCACCTTTTTATTGTCTGATATCAATTCATAAATCCATAGATCGATCTTTTAACTTGCAGAGAACAGCCTGTTTCAACTCTGGCAGTATTGCACAATCAGCGTTTAGTGCGGCTTTCCACCGAACACTATCTCGCGAGATGTTATTAACAGCCGTGAGCAAGAGAAGGAAGCGTAGCGGAAGGGAGTACAGCATTAGCGGCAACCCCGGCGAGGTTTAAGGCTGATGTTTGGGTGTATTTTTGTTTTAAAAAGGATGGAGAGAACAACGCGGATGACAAAAAATAAGCAATATGCAAAGTATGCAACGGAGCGGTGAAATACCGTGGGAATACGACTACTCTCCGCAACCATCTGACAAGACATCACCCAGAAACAGTAACACAGTTGGACTCGGCACGGCTCAAACAAACTAGCCTGGAGCAGGTATTGGCCCCCAAGTTACCGGCAAACTCTCAACGTGCACGGAAGATAACGGAGGCTATTGCAGTTTTTATATGCAAAGACATTCGTGTCGTGTCGTTGAAAACGATGGTTTCCGAAGTCTCATGAGAACGCTGGAGCCACGCTATGTTTTACCGACTCGTAAACCACTAAGTGAAGTGACAATTCCAAACATGTATGCATGTTTGAAGCAAAGCATCGAAACTTTGCTTCAGGCAGCGGAGAGTGTGGCATTGACTTAAGACTGTTGGACATCGAGAGCAACAGATTCATATCTGAACAATTACTGCTCACTACATTAACGACGACTGGGTCCTCGCATGCCATGTTCTCCAAACAAGTGCTGTGGAAACCAGCCACACAGCGACGAATCTCAGCGACCTGTTACTCAATGCGATAGGCGAGTGGAAGCTTACAAACAAAGTGCCAGCCATTGTAACTGACAATGCTGCAAATTTCGTCCGTGCTGCGGAGATTGTGGGCTTGCAGCACATTCGTTGCTTTGCGCACCTTCTTAATTTAGCTTCGCAAACTGCGCTGAAAGTCCCTCCAGCTGCGCGCTTGCTCGGCAGAATCAGACGCATCGCCGCAATTTTTCATCGTAGCACTACAGCAAGCCGCATCCTCAGTGAGAAGCAAAAGGTACTGGAGCTTCCTGTACACAAGATGGTGATTGATGTGGTGACTTGATGGAACAGCTCACTGGAGATGCTAGAACGGTTCCTCGAGCAGCAACCAGCAATCTCAGCAGCTCTACTGTCACCTGAAGTGCGCAGAAACGAGAAAGATCTCTGCACGTTGACAGAAGTGGACATGACAGTGGCAGAAGATCTGGTTTAAAGGTCTTCAGCCACTGAAAGCAGCCACTCTTGCCATGTCTGAGGGGACATCCCTGACCCTGTCCATCATTGTTCCCTTGCCTGCACAACTGTTTGAGGAGATGTGTTGTGTCCCCCGAAGATTTAACACTCATCAAAGAGATCAAGACAGCTGCATACAACAACCTGAATTCCAGGTATGCTTAAAAAATGTGAAGTGTGTGCATGCATGCACATTAATATCCTATGAAATAACATGATTAAAATGTGTGATATCTTTTCAAGGTATGTAGCCCTGAAGGACAGGTTCTATGTTGCTTTAGCGTTAGACCCTCATTTCAAGGCTTTGCCTTTCTTTCTTCAGTTCTAAATATTGCTAGTGTGAGGAGCAGATATTTATCTTGCTGGAGAAGGGGACAGACAACGACTGGGAGGAGTTGGAAAGAATGGGTCGTAGAAACACATCTCCCAATGTACAGGTTCGAGCATTCCTCGCTGCACTGGACGGCATACACCATATTACTCTGTTTATGTCTCGGTGTTTTGTCCTTGGGATGGACTAGCTTCTGCCTCAGTGTGTTACCAGGCTTGAAATGAACAGGAATGTGGTGTTTGACAAAGATCCTCTTGAGTTTTTCTTACAGGCCTGCAACGTAAGGGATTACAGCGCTCCTGCGTCTCTCCTCCCTTTCGTGTTCAGTGTTATTTCTCTTTCTGTTCTTCATGAAGGCCCACTTAGCGTATCCACAGGTTGCCAGGGCATTTTTGATGTGCTTCTGTTCCTTTTCCTTACCTTCTTTCTTCGTGGGAATGTTCTCTGATCCGTGTGTGTGGGTTTCCTGTACACTTCAACGTTGAGACACCCATCTGCCTCCAAGTGTACAGCACAGTCCAAAAAGGCCAACACTTTGTCCTTGACATCTTCACGGGTGAACTTGATGTTGCTGTCCACTGTGTTGATATGGTCAGTGAAGGCCTCTACTTCATGTGTTTTGATCTTAACCCAGGTGTCATCCACACATCTGAACCAGCGGCTAGGTGCTGCTCCTTCGAAGGAGGTTAGGGCTTCCTCTCTACCTCTTCCATGTACAGGTTTGCCACTATTGGAGAAACTGGGGAGCCCATCGCGCATCCATGTTTCTGTCTGTAATGGCGCTCTCTGAACTGGAAATATGTGGTGCTGAGGCAGATGTCCAATAAGGAGCAGATGTGGTCGAGAGTTAAGTTGGTTCTGACTTCCAGTGTGCTGTCCTGTAAGAGGCGTTGTCTTACTGCTTGGACTGCCTCTGTTGTCGGAATACTCGTGAAAAGTGATGTGACATCATAGGAAACCATGGTTTCATCTGAGTCCAGCCTGATGTCCTTGATTTTCTCAGCAAAGTCCTGTGAGTTTTTGACGTGGTGAGTGGTGTGGCCGACAAGAGGAGCTAGGATGGTGGCCAAATGTTTTGCCACTTTGTATGTGACTGAGTTAATGCTGCTTGCTGATGGGTCTAAGGGGGGCCCCTTCCTTGTGTATTTTAGGTAATCTGTAAATGCATGGGACAGCTTCCCCTGGGTATAGCCGGTAATAGAGTGGGCGGTCGATAACTCCATCCTTTTCCAGCTGTTGAAGATAACTTTCTTTTTGTAGCTGTTGGTGGGATCCCGTTTAAGAGTTTCATAGGTGGCAGTGTCACTGAGAAGGCTTGTTACCTTGTCATGGTAATCCATGGTGTTGAGTACAACAGTGCATCTCCCCTTATCTGCAGGCAGGATGGTGATGTTTTCATCTTTTTGCAGTGATGCCAAGGCTCCTCTTTCCTGCATGGTCCGGTTGGAAGGAGGTGTTTTGGCATTCCAGAGAGCAGCTGTTACCTTCAACCTAAGTTGCTCTGCCTCCATGACCGTCAGATTGTTGTTGCGGATAGCTGACGCCGTGGCTGTGATAAGGTCCACCACCGGGATCTGTTCCGGGGTAACTGCAAAATTTAATCCTTTGTAAAGGACTTCCTTTTCCGGCTGATTGAGAACCCTGTCTGACAAATTCTTCACCCACTTTTCTTGCATGTTAGTGTCTGTGTGGCAGTTTTGTCCCTCCAAGCAAGTTCTGATGGACTTCTTGAGTGCTTGGCGAGCAGTCTGTCAAATTTCTGTGTTTGCCTTATCTTGCCTTTGTTATGTTGAGAGGTCTGAGCCTTGTCAACAAAGTTGTGGACTTTGTTGAGGATGTCCTCTGGTAGTCGGGATGCCAGTGTCTCCTTGGTGTGATTTATTTTAGCTTGTAGGGCCTTGATGGTGAAGTTAACCTGCCTAATCCTTTCATTGAGGAGCTGCTTCTGTGTCCTGGAAAGAATGCTGTCTGCCCTGTGCCCTTTGACCGTGAGAAAACAAGCGTAGGCTTTTGGGAACAAGTCCTTGCTGTCTGCATCTTAGGTTAAAGCAGAGGTGGTTTCTGTAAAAAAAAGGAGCTGCCTTACTCCTCAACATGTTGATCAGCTCCTTTTCATGCAGAAAAATCTCACTCTCTTTGACAAGTAATAAAAGGGATGAAAGGTCACACAGTGTGATTATTGGTCAGCAGTTAACAAGATCTTTTGCATTAATGTTTCAGGAAAACACTTCAGAAGTAATTCAGAGCTGTTAGACTTCAGCACTTTTCTTTTTTGTTTTCATGGAAAAACAAAACAAAACTAAACATGAAGTTCAGAATGCCAGAAAAACAAGATGTAATGTCACCACTTTTTTGAGGGCATGTTTCAGTTTACATAGTATGTTTAAAATATACTGACCATGTTAAAAAAAACTGACTTATTTGCACTATTTTAATTTACCATTTATTTGAGTCAACAGATGGTTCTGTTTTGATACAGTTGTGTCGCAAGCACTTTGTTATTGTACAAAAGCTGTAAGACAGTTGCAGCTAAGTGAGTGTCCTGTTTATTTGTGTCATCTTTGTAGCTACTTTATTTACATTGTCATGTAACTTATTTTAATTTAATTCATTTATTCATATATTTTCTGTCAGTCACTTGGTTTAAATAAATGCACCTGATGAATGCTACTAGTTTGGGTGCAATTTTTAATGTAAACAATTTTTAATTATCTACCAGGTCAAAAGGTTACTAGTTAAATTCAATGCATTTGGCCATTTTAACTGAGATATCCCTGACTGAATCAATATCAAATCGAATCGTGAATCAAATTGAATTGGACCGTGTAAAATTGAATCGATTGATTTGAAAAAATCTGAATCAATACCCAGCCCTTATTATTTTAGACTCTCACTGAAGGTGGCATACATCTGTTTCTATTATCAGAGACTCCAAATTTTGAGTTAATGGTGAAAACCTATTGTCTACTTTTTTTAATCGAAGAAAGGCATTAATAAGGGAATCGTTGAATTGATAATGGCATCAATATTGATAAAATTTTATCAATTCCCATCCCTAGATATTTTACTGGCATGCTCCCATATACTGATCCCTATATCCTTGTCGGTTTAAATCAGTTAATTGTGTTCTTGTTTTATTATTTCCCCTGACAGGCTGGAGGTCCTCACCACTGCAGCCCTGATGGTTCAGCTTCAATATGAGGGTCAGTTTAAGATAATTAAAGAGAACTCCATCACCTTAAACCTGCACCCTGATCTCAGTACAAACAGGAATTAACTTAAGGGGTTAATTACCTGACAGTCGATGCTGCCGTCACAGCGCAGACTGTGGGGCAGGCAGGTGTAGATCCGGGTGTAACGGGACAGGCAGGGGAACTGGTTCAGGCTGCAGGGCTGGAAGGAGAAGGGCGAGTCCACGCAGAGCTCCTCATCAGAGTTATCTCCACACTCATCCATGGAGTTACAGCGCCACCAATCAGGGATACACTTCCCGTTAGAGCAGTGGAACTGATCCACGTCACAGCTGGATGCCTCCGGCTTCCCTATGACCACAACAGAGTCAGCCAATCAGAGAACGCCATCACTTCAAACTGGACCTTTATGAAGCCAGGACGACCACATACACACATATATATATATATATATACAGTGCATCCAGAAAGTATTCATACCACTTCACTTTTTCCACATTTTGTTATGTTACAGCCTTATTTCAAAATGGATTAAATTCCCTTTTTCCCTCAAAAATTCTACACAAAATACCCCATAATGACAAAGGGAAAAACTTTTTTTAGAACATTTTGCAAATTTATTAAAAATAAAAACATTCAAATGTCTACCAATTGAAACTAGTTCGTTTCTTATCTGATCTCATTGACAGAATGTTCCATTTTCCCACACTTTGCAAATATATCAAGTCATCAACAAGTGAAGTCAAACCAAAAGTCACCCAATAATGACAGATTTCATTGATAAATTGAGGGAAAACTTTGCACAACGATTTGATGACTTTGACATGCCCAGAGAACTAATGCATTTTGTCAGCAACCCATTTGCCAATGTAGCTGCTATTTCCAGCGAAGGACAAGAGTTCCTTGCATCACTTGAAATTGATGAGGGTCCCCTGCAACTGAAAATAATTGACATGTTTGCAGGTAGCCTTCACGCCCTTTGAACCCTCTTTCTCTGGCATTGCCCAGTCACAGAAGTGCAATCTGTCTCATTAGTTGCCCATGTGTGTAGTCTAGGCCTGTCCCCTTTTTGAGAATTAAAGAAAGTACAATAAGTGTGCCTTGAGCTGCTGTGATATGCAGCTGTTGCACAAATATGAAGCACTATTTCATAAGCTGCACTATTTGAATTATTATTGTTTCGTATTGTTCATATGCACATGATGCATGTTAGAAAGAGCAGATGCACATCATGCACTTGTTATTTGTTTTTATTTTAAAATGTTGACATTTGAGATGTTGCCATAAAATTAAAGCACTATTTTTTTTTAAAAGTACTACTTTTCCAGGTGGTAGTTAAATAAAACTTGAAATGTGAAAATGTGGTTGTTGCGTGTTGTGTCAAGTGTACACATATTCATAGCACAGGGGAGACACTGTGGCGGTCCGGCCCCCAGCCCCTTGGGTTTTTTAAATTAAGTTGAATAGCCCTGCCTTAGACCTTTGGATGATCAGAGTCCTCATTTATCAACGCTGCATATGTACAGATGTGTTTTCGTAATGAGTGTGTACGAACAATCCCACATTTAGTCTGGACTACAGGTCCTGTTGGTCTCAGGTCTACAGGTTTTGTTCGTATCAGGTCTACAGGTCTTGTTGGTATCAAGTCTACAGGTCTACAGGTCTTGATGGTACCTGTGATGTAGGAGAGTCTGAACCCTTTCCCGGTCAGACTGTCGTCAGTGTGGAAGTGGATCCAGACGTGGTCCTGGGTGGAGATGTAGGGTGGAGGCACAGAGGAACCACAGACCCGGAGTCCATCCAGACTTCTGTAGCTGCTGATGGACATCCAGTCTAAGGAGCACCGGTGGGAACCCTGCAGGTCAAAGTCCTGGAAACTGGGGACCAGGAGAACCAGACTGATCTGTTAGAATCAGACCCCTCTGATGGTCCTAACTAGGACCCAACCGATTTATCGGTGAGCCAATTAAATCTGCCAATTTTAGCCCCTTTGAGACTAATCGGTAATCAGCCAAATCTTCGCCAATATTTTCGGAAACGAAAACGCTTTTCTGCTCCGAGTTTGATTCATGATAAAAATATGGAATATTACTGAGATCTTCCCGTCGGGGTGAAGAGCAGTAACCAACAGTATATCAAGTGCTCCTCATTTTTTATGATGTTTTTATGAGGTTTATTTTTATGTATTTATATAGGCTATGTATTTTAGAGGATGACGAGTGCGTGGGTTTGACAAGACAGAGGTTGACAAAATAATCAGACTCAAGGTCCTTTCACACCAGGAGCGGTTTTTGTTGTGCATTTATTTCGGACGTCAATATTTTTTTTCGAACCCGTATCCTGTCAATACAAGCATTCACATTAGCGACGTTTTCCTGTTCTGCAATATTGCAGCATTTATTTTTTCGGATCACAGTCAATTTTTCAGAAGTTTCGCATACTGACTAATCAGATTGCGTGTTGTTGCGACGTCAGATTCACCGGTATATCCAACATGGCTGACCGGCTGATTGTTTACGTGTTGAAGAACAGAGTGCTTTTTGATAAAAGACACATATACAGGACTGTCTCAGAAAATTAGAATATTGTGATAAAGTCCTTTATTTTCTGTAATGCAACTATAAACATGAAAATGTCATACATTCTGGATTTATTACACATCAACTGAAATATTACAAGCCTTTTGTTGTTTTAATATTGCTGATTATGGCATACAGCTTAAGAAAACGCAAATATCCTATCTCAAAATATTAGAATATCATGAAAAAGTATACTAGCAGGCTATTTAACTAATCACTTGAATCGTCTAATTAACTCGAAACACCTGCAAGGGTTTCCTGAGCCTTTAAAAACACTCAGATTGGTTCAGTAAACTAAATGACAAGTATGGGGAAGACTGCTGACCTGACTGCTGTCCAGAGGACCATCATTAACACCCTCCATCAGGAGGGTAAGACACAAAAAGAAATTTCTAAAAGAGCAGGCTGTTCACAGAGTGCAGTTTCAAAGCACATTCACAAAAAGTCTGTTGGAAGGAGGAAATGTGGCAGGAAACGCTGCACAACCAAGAGAGAGGACCGCAGCCTTAACAGCATTGTGAAGAAGAGCCGCTTCCAGAATTTGGGGGAGCTTCAAAGACAGTGGACTGAAGCTGGAGTCCAGGTATCAAAAGCCACTGTTCACAGACGTGTTCGGGAAATGGGCTACAATAGCCGTATTCCCATGGTCAAGCCACTCCTGAACTCAAGACAACGGAAGAAGCGTCTGACTTGGGTTATGGAAAAGAAGCACTGGACAGTTGCAGAGTGGTCCAAAGTCCTCTTTTCAGACGAAAGCAAGTTTTGTATTTCATTTGGAAGTCAAGGCGCCAGAGTCTGGAGGAAGGCTGGAGAGGAGCAAAATCCAAGTTGCTTGAAATCCAGTGTGAAGTTCACACAGTCAGTGATGGTTTGGGATGCCATGTCAGCTGCTGGTGTTGGTCCACTGTGTTTCATCAAGTCCAGAGTCAATGCAGCTGTGTACCAAGAGATTTTAGAGCACTACATGCTTCCATCTGTTGAAAAGCTCTCTGGAGATGATGATTTCATTTTCCAGCATGATCTGGCACCTGCCCACAGTGCCAAAACCACCAGTAACTGGTGTACTGACCATGGCATTACTGTCCTCAATTGGCCTGCTAACTCCCCTGACCTGAACCCCATAGAGAATTTGTGGGGTATTGTGAAGAAGAAGCTGAAAGACACCAGACCCAATAATGCAAATGAGCTAAAGGCCGCTATTGAAGCATCCTGGGCATCCATAACACCTCAGCAATGCCACATTGATGCAGTTATCCGTGCAAAAGGATTCCCAACGAAGTACTGAGTGCATTAATTGACATTTTCAAATGTTTGATTTTATTTTGCTGTTATAAATCTTTTTTTTTACTTGGTCTGAGGAAATATTCAAATTTTTTTGAGATAGGATTTTTGAGTTTTCTTAAGCTGTATGCCATAATCAGCAATATTAAAATAATAAAAGGCTTGCAATATTTCAGTTGATGTGTAATGAACCCAGAATGTATGACATTTTTGTTTTTTTTTAATTGCATTACAGAAAATAAAGAACTTTATCACAATATTCTAATTTTCTGAGACAGTCCTGTATTACAAAAATAACGACCTGAAGGACAACTTGTGGAGAGTCATAGCGTCGGATTTCTGATATGACGATGGTTTGTGTGCTTTAACAGTTTGCTAAACATCTTTGTTTTAACTTTCATCTGTTGATAACGTAAGCTAATGGTTGTTACCATAGTTTCATCTTATGTGCTCATCTTATCGCCTATAAGTGCTGACTGTTTGGCTTGAGCGTGTGATGACATTTCCAGCTTTTCTAGCCAATCAGAGGCGAAGGAGACAGGACTTTCCCCAGCAAAAGTCTTTCCCGGGATGTGTCTTTTCCCCCCTGGAAAGCAGCTAAATCGCATAGGGCTTGATGTGTATAGACAGGCGCGTCAAAATTCACCTCCGAATATTTCGTAATTTCGTGTTCTATATCTGCGTGGGCCCCGGTGTGTAAGGACCTTCACACCAGCTACAGTCTGAATAATGAGCTGAAAAGAATTAGATTATTATCTTTATTACAGTTAAAATAAATAGCCAGGGATGTAGTGTAAGTCATATTATGTAAACCCAAGAAAAATGCTGAATGTAGGCTATGAGTTTGAAAATGGCCCATAACTGGACAGATTCATTTAAATAATGCATATTTAATTCATACTTGCTGTTCTCTCGCTTTTTTTCTTTTTGTTTTGTTTTTTTACAGATGCCAAAGAAAGCAAGCGAAACAAGGTGTGGGACCATTTCACCCTGAGCAAAAGAATTGGAAGTTAATTTTTTGCACTTTAGACAAAATACCTCATTATTATTTTTTATAGTTGTTTTAGCAATAAAAAAGATTTGAAATGAGTTTTTTCTGCCTTTAATTCTTTGAAGACGTGTTTTAAAAGGCGGGCAGACATTTGTTAAAAAATAACATGTAGATATACAGTATTAATTAAATTAACAAAATTTTAACACCTGATAGTGATGGTGTCTCCGGGGCGGGCTCTGATGTTCCAGCTGCAGTTTAGTCTGGATGGGTACTGAAAGGGCCACCCAGGGCTGGTGATGACGCCGCTGGACGCCCGCAGGAGCTCCGCCATGTCGCCGCAGGCTAAGGGGGTGGGGTGGGGGGGTGAGCTCATTATGACCACGAAACTGGATATGACATTATTAGTATGATTGTGACATCACAGCAAGCTTACCATTAGAAATCCCGGACACATAGACGTTATCGTTCCTCTGAGACGCAGCGATGCATCCTGGGTAAAGACAGAGGACAAAACTGGTAAAACTCCGTTCCAGCGCCTGTCAGAGGATCAGAACCATAAGAAGCATCAGAACCTTAATTAATCTGATTCAGAATAAACGCTCTCTCCCACTGTGCCGTGAGCTGCACTCTGATTGGTTGGTGAGTTTTCTACACATTGATATCAGATCATGAAGATTACCTGAGCAGGTCAGACATTCAGTTACCATAGTGATCTACGACAGAGTAAACCCCTCCCCCAGACATCCTGCCGCCATCAGAGGAGGAAGAGCAGAGAGTGTGTGAGTGTGTGTGTTTTTGTGTGTGAGTGTGTGTGACTGTGTTTGCTAGTGTCTGTGTTTATGTGTGTAAGCTGCAGGTGTGTTTGGTGGATTTAAAGTGAACACACACACCTGTGCAATCGGGGGGGGGTCATGGCAATGTTGCATTCATAGCATATTCTTCCAAAACTGCTAATAAAAAATGGTGAAGAAGAAGTGGAAGTTGGATGAAAGTGAAAATTGTTCAAGTCCAAACAGTATAAATGTGCTTTATAAATAAAAACTGCATTCATGCTGAATTAGGCTAGAAAAACTGTCTGAAATTGCAAAAAAATTGGATAAGGAAGAAAATGACCTTAAAACACAGAAAAGTGAGAAGTGGCGTAAGTTTTAGTTGTAGTACTAGAAGTAGAATGATAATAGGTAGTTGTAGTAGTGATATTAGTAGTCATGTAAGCAGTAGAAGTAGTTTTAGAATAGAAGAAGTAGAAGTTAAAGCAGTAGAGCTCATGGTAAAAGTAATAGTGGCAGATTTCTGATATGATGATGGTTTGTGAGCTTTAACAGTTTGATAAATGTCTTTGTTTTACCTTCATCTGTGCTAATGTAAGCTAATGGTTGTTACCATAGCTTCATGTGCTTATGTTATCGCCTCTGATTGGCTATAAGTGCTGACTGTTTGGCTTGAGCGTGTGATGACGTTTCAAGCTTTTCTAACCAATCAGAAGCAAAGGAGACAGGACTTTCCCCGGCAAAAGTCTTCCCCGGGATATGCGCGGCCGAATGTGCGCGTCGCTACTGCGCAGCTCTGGTTTCAAGGAAGTGGAGAAAAACCCGGAATTACCGAGAGCTTTTTGGCTTCAAATTCGTATACAGGCGGAAGGCGGAACCACGGTGTCCATCTTATATACAGTCTATGGTAAGGACCTTAAAGCTAAATAAATGTGAAAAAGACACCTTAATGTCTTTATTTGTCATTCTGCACAGCAGTGAGTAGATCATGATCTGAATCATTAAAATAAAATCATTATGAATAAAATTGTTTTGAATCAAAAATCCATTTCAACTCAAATTGTGGCTCCAAAAATCAGAATCGAATCGAAAAACAGTAAAAGATTCCCACCCCTAGTGTGAATCACTAACAATCAGAAGTTTGATTGAGCTCCTGTCTCTGTGATGGTTCCTGGATTTATGATTTTACTGGGATGATGAAGAAACGAGGCAGCTGGTACAGATGTGAACTGAACATGCTGTAATGAACAGGACACATCTTTGTGTCGCTATGGCAATGGATCTTTATGTTTTCCAGTGGAGTTAGGAGGGTGTCCCATACCCGCCCATCTGATTTATACCCTCCAGTTTTCATGGAGGCGCCCTCCACAGTTGAGAGTAGGGGAGTTCGGGGGCAGAGTGAACTCACCTGAGAGGACGAGCAGGTAAAGGAGGGACCCTGAGAGTCTCGGTCTGCGGTCTGGTTTAGGGTCCATGGTCACCCTGGGAGGTTGTAGAAAAAGACGGGGGGTTAGAGCAGACCTGTTTATGAACTTAAGTACCCCCCACCTGGATCAGGATCAGGTCTGTACAACCGGTCTTTAGTAGAATCAGGTTTCAGCCTCAGAGGGTCAGCTGGACTCAGGTTTGGAGGTCTAGACTCAGGTTTGGAGGTCTGGACTCAGATCTGGAGGTCTGGACTCAGATCTGGAGGTCTGGACCTCTTTGGACCAGACAGTCCTTTATGAGTTTCCCAGAGGTGCTAGCTAAACATGCTAACATGCTAACGGCTAAGCTCCTCTGGGAAAACAAAGACTCCACTAAGCTAACGGCTAATGTTGCTAACAGTTAGCTGTAAACCTTCATCAATAACCTGATCCTCAGTATTAAAACTTACCAGAGACACTCGGGACAGAGGCCGAACTCGGGGGTGGGGGTTCTGGATGGTCTGGTCCGGAGTGAAGCTCGAACCCGGACTGACAATAAATCTACTCGGAGCTCCTGATGCTAAAACCGGGGAGTTAGCTTAGCCATGCTAGCAGAGGCTAACTGTGCCGCCTCCCCCCACCCCCACCCCCTACCTCAAAACTCCCGGACCAGGTCAGTTGTCCCGGGTCACATGGACCGAACCCGGGTCACAGTAAACCCAGCTGAGGACATAATAAAGGGTTAACATCGACCTGACATCTCTGTGTGAGTGTGCGTTAGCCGTTAGCCGCTAATGACGAACAAAAATAGTCTGCAGAGAGACAGAGAGAGAGAGACAGAGAGAGAGAGAGAAATAGTGTGTGTGCGTGAGAGAAAGAGAGAGAGAAATCCCCGCCCCCTGTGGCGTTATCAGACTTCTTTACGTCACCGTTAATTCGCTGTAGGGATTAATAAATGATCAATAACTGACCAATCACCGTCAGACAAGTGAGACCGTGGAGGTATAGAAGAAGGAAAAAAAATATATATATATATAGATGTGTGTGTGCATCTGTACATATATACATATATGGGTCAATGACGTGACGCCTCAATATTCTGTCCGGCTGTATTTTCTTTATGTTACAAAGAGTTTTAAATGTAAAAAAATATACTATTTGTAGTATCTCTCTAATATATGGAGCCACTTCAACTTTTCAAAAATCAGGAGTTTTTTGTAATTTTTTTTTTACTTCAAAGGGTCAAAATATCATGTGGTGCGACCGTCCGGCCATGACTTCTGTTTTGAAAACTTCTTTGAAATTACTCTATTAATCTATTACAATTTAGTTTCTGCAATATTCGGCATAATTTTGAAAGTGTTTTTTATTCCTGTACAAAATTGCAAAGCTTTTGCAGTTATATTTTTTTCATAATATTCAAACGAATTTTGTCCGATCGTGTCCATTTCATTAAATATCATGTGGTGCGACCATCAAAAAATGACCATTTTTGACACTTTTATGCTGAAATCTACTCAAGGACAGGATGTTGGATCATTCACCATTTTGTCGTAGAGCTATGGAAGCAGAAAGAGGGTTGGTGGTTCTCTCATTTCTTTAAAAAAAAAGAGACCTTTTCAACTGCTGTAATGGTGTTTGCACTTTTCGATGTCATGTGGTATGACCTCAAAAAAACAAACAATTAATTTAAGTTATTTCCACAAATAAGTATTTTAATGATAAATTTCATAGTGACCTTTTGTGGGAAGCTAGTGAGGTTTGTTTATGTGACTAATCCTGTATCAGTAAGATTTGACTAAATTTGAAATGTCATGCGGTGCGACCAATTATCATGTGATGCGACCACTGCAGATTGTTTTTTATCATCAATATATGCGCTCGATTGGCAGTATTTACGCTTTTTATATTCAATTGATGATTGATTAACACTGAGTACTTAATTTTTAGTATTATTTTGATTTTTTTTTATTTGATTAGTCATTTTGCTAACATTTCTGAAATAATGGTTAGGTCATCTCTGTACAAAATAAGAAAAAAAATATTAAAATCATGCCATTTCACTTAAGGTATGTATGCCATTGTTAGCAATTTATTAACTTTCATGTATCAATTTAAGTCATTTTAATTTATTTTACCAGATGCCACTGCCAAGCAAAGTTAAAAGCGCTCGCCATAGGCAGCGCGTCAACTCTGACCCTGCAGCATGTTGTTCATGCCAGGGCTGGTCAAAGATTGGGCCAAGATTGTTGACATCGTTGCGCGGATGGTGAGAGGAGCGCTTCGCCGAGAGCGTTATATTCATGATCGTTCAAATCCCTTTGATTTACCTGATGACGTTCTCTATGAACGTTACAGGTTTTCCTCATACGGCCTCAATATTCAGGTAGCATGAAGTCGAAGCAATACACTAATATTTGACAATCTCCAAGTTCAAGTTTCATGCGGCATATCAGTCATCATTCAGAATTTATCGAAGCAGATTAGAAAACTCCTCTTAACCCCAAATGTGTCTGCAGATGACATGTGACCATCAGATGATGGAGAAAGAAAAAAAAGGCAGTGTGAGGAAATCACTGTTTACGCGTTGAAATGTGTACAAATAAAATCTTCCAGTAAACCAGCTCACCACTTTGACGGATGTTATTAGATTTATTTTTATTTGCTCCCACCTATTCTTTTCCCCACTGCTGTTGTATCTGAAATAATGAGGTCAGTGATGGAGGTGATCACACACGCTGCATGACAACATATTAGGGGGCCATAAATTTATCAACGCACAAATGAAATTTACACGATCGATGATTTTTTTTTGCCAGCAGTCCCTCCGGCTTTTAGCAACTTTGGCTGTCCTGCTCCTCAATGTTATAATGTTGCAGTACTCCTCGTATTAGCGTAAAACGATGCTCTGTTCCTCGGCTGTGAAATATGACGTGCAGCCTTCTTCATTGTGGAGATTGGTCCGGTGGCACTGACCCCGCCCCCTTTACGTGTGCGCGCACAGATCTAGATTGGCCATAACTGAATTTAGTTAGCGAGTTGATATCCTGCCTCGTAGTACAGCTGATCGGGGTTACGGAGATCTGGTGAAGTTTAGCGAGTTGTGGCAGAGTTATCCTGGGTGTGTTAAACCAGCTTCAAAGTGCAGGCCTCTGGACCACATACACAAACACACACAGAGTTACATTTTTGTAAAAAAGGGAAATAAAATGTTCGCGTTCATGTTTGAAATGTTAACAAAATTTGGTTTTAATATAAAATTTGCATGAAAGTAATTGTTCATAGGTCTCTTTAAATTGATTTTTAATGATGCAAGGTCTTCAGGTCATTTGGCGCGACCACCAATCATGTGGTGCGACCAATAATAACATTAATTATATCAAATACAAACTAAAATATCTAATTTCTGTAACTGAGACATTAATACCTGATACAATATGCTTACATGAAAGGTAGTTTCAAAACATTTTTTTCAGTATTATGCAATTTAAAGAAAAAAATAGTCAGTGAACTACATTTGATATAGCGACTGTGACATTATAGAGCTAATATATGAGATCACTATTTACAACAACTCAAATAAAATGCAAAGGCTTTGTTCCTATGTACTTGATATTACTGACAATTTGTAAAAAACTATAGAGTATGTTGAAACAATGTAATAATTTTGAGATAAATGATGGTCGCACCACATGACATTTTTTAAGGCCACAGGCAATTCATCTATATGAAAAAACACTAAAATTGCCTAATTTAAAAATTAAACTTTAATTTTTGTATACATAACATCCTTAGTGTTTGAACTGTTGCAAAAGATATTCTTATTTTTGGTATTTTAAAATTGGCGTGTTGAAAAACCTTATACGTCATTGACCCATATACACTCACCGGCCACTTTATTAGGTACACCATGCTAGTAACGGGTTGGACCCCCTTTTGCCTTCAGAACTGCCTCAATTCTTCGTGGCATAGATTCAACAAGGTGCTGGAAGCATTCCTCAGAGAGCTTGGTCCATATTGACATGATGGCATCACACAGTTGCCGCAGATTTGTCTGCTGCACATCCATGATGCGAATCTCCCGTTCCACCACATCCCAAAGATGCTCTATTGGATTGAGATCTGGTGACTGTGGAGGCCATTTGAGTACAGTGAACTCATTGTCATGTTCAAGAAACCAGTCTGAGATGATTCCAGCTTTATGACATGGCGCATTATCCTGCTGAAAGTAGCCATCAGAAGTTGGGTACATTGTGGTCATAAAGGGATGGACATGGTCAGCAACAATACTCAGGTAGGCTGTGGCGTTGCAACGATGCTCAATTAGTACCAAGGGGCCCAAGGAGTGCCAAGAAAATATTCCCCACACCATGACACCACCACCACCAGCCTGAACCGTTGATACAAGGCAGGATGGATCCATGCTTTCATGTTGTTGACGCCAAATTCTGACCCTACCATCCGAATGTCGCAGCAGAAATCGAGACTCATCAGACCAGGCAACGTTTTTCCAATCTTCTATTGTCCAATTTCGATGAGCTTGTGCAAATTGTAGCCTCAGTTTCCTGTTCTTAGCTGAAAGGAGTGGCACCCGGTGTGGTCTTCTGCTGCTGTAGCCCATCTGCCTCAAAGTTCGACGTACTGTGCGTTCAGAGATGCTCTTCTGCCTACCTTGGTTGTAACGGGTGGTTATTTGAGTCACTGTTGCCTTTCTATCAGCTCGAACCAGTCTGGCCATTCTCCTCTGACCTCTGGCATCAACAAGGCATTTCCGCCCACAGAACTGCCGCTCACTGGATATTTTTTCTTTTTCGGACCATTCTCTGTAAACCCTAGAGATGGTTGTGCGTGAAAATCCCAGTAGATCAGCAGTTTCTGAAATACTCAGACCAGCCCTTCTGGCACCAACAACCATGCCATGTTCAAAGTCACTCAAATCACCTTTCTTCCCCATACTGATGCTCGGTTTGAACTGCAGGAGATTGTCTTGACCATGTCTACATGCCTAAATGCACTAAGTTGCCGCCATGTGATTGGCTGATTAGAAATTAAGTGTTAACGAGCAGTTGGACAGGTGTACCTAATAAAGTGGCCGGTGAGTGTATATATCAGTGGCCTTATCACTTCCCTTAAAATGTCACCCCCCCAAAAAAAAGAAAAAGTGGTGAAATACGTACTGCTGTGTGTACATTTCATTAACTAAATACGCACTAGAAAGCCTTCATCTTTTGTTCAGACACTGTGATAAGAAGCTGATAATTACAGGTAACCGGCATAACTTCGTTCTCATTCATCCTCGCAGCGCCTCAGTGCTTCACACAGCCGGACGCTGGGCTTCTGCTGACTTCAATGTGGAAGCTCAAAGTGGGTTGTTCCAGCAGCGAAACTAGACGCTCATTGGATAAATGCTGGGCTTTGTCCCGCCCATCGGAAGCTAAGCTTCACTGGAGTTCTATGGCGAGAGGGCGGTCCCGACTTTCTCCCGGACTCCGAGCTTCTGCATCCATGATTGGATGAGCTGTCTGAGGCGAAATCCTTTTTTGATTGACAGCTAAACAAGCGAATCAGCGATCTTGAAGAATAAAACATCTACCAGAGCATTTTCCAAGTTATTTATTCCGTTGTTCTTAACTGCTCCAGAGACTTTACCGATCCTCAGCGACTTTTGTCTTTATTAAAAACGACTGTTGTTGTGTTTGGCGACTCTGTTCTGTTACATACTAATAAACAAATACAATTATGATGTAGGCCAGAAAAATGAGCTTCCCCTCCTTGAAAGACCAGCAGCCGCCACTGATATATATATATATATATACACACACAAATACACACACACACACATATATATATATGTATATCTGTGGTTTAGACACACCTGCAGCCTCTTCACACACACCTGTGTGTTTGTTTGTTTAGCGTCTGAATGTTCTGGAAGATTTCTTCCGAACCTAATATCAGAACCACAGATCCGGACCTACAGGTGTGTTCACAGCTCTGATTGAAGGATGATCAACCCTGATCAATCAAATAAAAGCTTACAAACGGACATGATAATCACTCTTATTTCAAACAGTGGAGGAGGCTTCCCAAGAGCTGGGTTCTGAAGAGATCAGTTCTGAAGTGCTTTGATTCTGAAGGACTCGGTTCTGTGTGCTGGACTCTGGAATACTGGTTCTGAGTGCTCTAGAGTACTGGTTCTGGGTACCCTGGAATACCAGTTGCTGGTTTTCTGAGTCCAGTTCCTGTCACACTGAATTTTGGATAGTTGGGTTAAAAATGTTCTGAGACGCTGGGTTCTGAAAGTTCTGGGTTCTGGATTTAGTTTATTCTAAAATGCCGAGGTCTTTGATATTTGGGAACAACATGACAGAGAAAATTTGGAAAAATCATATAGATATATAAATATATAAAAATCAAACCTATAAACATAGACAGATAAACTGGTCCATTTGTTCGTTCGTTGGTTGTTTTGTTGGTTGGTTTGTTCATTCATTATTGTGTGGGGTTGTTCATTGGTTTGTTGGTTTGTTGGTTCATTTGTTGGTTGTTGGTTGGTTAATTGGTTCCTTCATTCGTTGGTCCTTTCATTGGTTTGTTGGTTCATTGGTTCATTGGTTGGTTCGTTTGTCAGTCGTTGGTTGGTTTGTTCATTCATTATTGTGTGGGGTCGTTCATTGGTTTGTTGGTTCTTTCGTTGGTTCATTCATTGGTTCATTTGTTGGTTGTTGGTTGGTTGGTTAATTGGTTCCTTCATTCGTTGGTCCTTTCATTGGTTTGTTTGTTCGTTCGTTGGTTTGTTGGTTCATTGGTTCATTGGTTGGTTCGTTTGTCAGTCGTTTGTTCAGTCGTTGGTTGGTTTGTTCATTGGTTCGTTCGTTCATTTGTTTCTCTCAGTCTTCAGTCCGACTCTGTTTTTGTTTTTAAAGATACATTTTTATTTTTCATTGACTTAAAAAAAAAAAGTTAAAAACAAAATAAACAAAATTCACAAACAGAGAAACAAAGAGGAGCAGGTCCAACATGGACAGACCATGGACAGATCCAGGCCCCCCATGGAGAGGTCCAGGTCCAGACTGAAACCAGACTTAAGGACTGAAGGAGATCCTCCTGGACAGGAAAGACACAAGAACTCAGTTTGAAACTGAAGGGTACTGTAAAGACCAGGATCTAATTTGAAAACCAGGATCTAATCTGAGACCAGGATCCCAATCAAAACCCAGATCACAACCTGACAATTATTTTATTCTGAACGTCCTTTCACACCGGGACAGGTTTTTACGTGCGATTATTTCGGACATCAATATTTTCTTTCAAACCCGTATCCTGTCAATACAAGCATTCACATCAGTGATGTTTGCCCATTCTGCAACATTGCAGCATTAATTTTTTCGGATCATGGTCGATTTTCTAAAGTTTCGCATACTGTGTGTCCACTTCTGATCACTAACTTTCACTAACTAATGCAAGCTAACGATTGTTACCATAGTTTCATGTGCTTCTCTTTCCCCCTCTGACTGGCTCTAAGTGCTGACTGTTTGGCTTGAGCGTGTGATGATGTTTCAAGCTTTTCTAGCCAATCAGAGGCGAAGGAGGCAGGACTTTCCCCAGCAAAAGTCTTCCCCCGGATGCGTCTTTCCCCCTCGGTAAGTTGCAAAATCGCATCGGGCTTGTCAGGCGTGTCAAAATACGCCTCCAAATATTTCATAATTTCGCGTTCTATATTCGCGTCGGCCCTGATGTGTAAGGACCTTAAAGGGGCCATGGCATGAAAAACTGACTTTGTTAACGGGGGGGGGGTGCATATCAGGGATAGAAAACCACTACAATCCCCCCAAGTTCGAAAAAATTCCATCCAGTCGTTTTGTAGTGATCTCCGTATTTAGGAACTGTGTGCTCAGAGCCGGCCTTTCTGAAAACTCCACTGACATGACGTCATGTCAGTGCTGGCGGGTTGATGGTACTGCCCATGGAGCCGCCCATTGCCCTACCCAAAAAATTTTTAAAACAGCGCCATTATTCCCGGCCGCTCGCTCGCATTGCTCCGGTTAGAACCATGGCGAAAGTACGATCTGAAAAAGAGGCAGCGTTTGCTCTGTTGTTGGCGGCACAAACAAGCACAAAACTCTTGAAAACTCCCTCGTCGGAGGATTTGAGGACTCAAATGGTGGATTTTATTTTTAATGGGAATGTACCCGCGGCACTTCCAAAATATCTGTACGTATGTGCGCACCATTTCACTTCGGACTGTTTTATCAACGAGGAACAGTTCAACGCTGGATTTGATAGATGTCTGAAGATAAAGAATGGATCCGTACCAACTATCCGTGATCCTACTACAAACGTGGCGTCTGTAAGTATGAACGTTTTAGTTTGACTTACTGTTTAGCCTAAATTCCCCCCGGTGCCTCAGCACGGCCACCACACTTTGATAAACACACCGGATCCGCGCCGGTTTACCGGATCCTCCCGTATTTTAGCCGCTCGCTTCTTCCCCGACAACTCCGGCGGTGGGGGACAAAATCCCCCTCCGGAGCAGCATGTAGCTTTAGCATTTACCCGTGCGGCGATGCGCCTCTTTTGGCTCAAATACGGGACGTCCCGGCTAATGCTGGACGGTCGGCCATCTTATTTATTAGCAAAGGCTTCAGAGAAGTTTTAGAGCACCAAAATCTTACACTGTAGCAGAGCTCTGGTTGTAATTTCTTCTACATTCATATCTTCCTCCTTAAGCGTGACCCTCATGGCGGCTTTAAATAATACATAGGATGTGTCGACTAGGCCTGAACGATATATCATTTGAACATCGTCATCGCGATGTACATGTGTGCGATAGTCACATCGCAGAGCCTGCGATGTCGGACGTGAATGAACTCATTTAATTTCAAGAGTAACTGACTGAGATACACTGCATGTGACTCTGCATGTGCTGTGCAGCGATCCACCTATCACCTTCGTTCTTTACTCAGTTGCCAATCAGACTATCCTGCCAGCTGTCAATCAAAATCAGAGAGGAGGAAACCCACCCCTGCACATGGAGGGAGACGTGTGTCCGCTGAGAATTACTTTCGGAACATTCTTCATCACTGTTTAGCCCAACAAATAAGAGCTGTATGGGTTTTAAATTGTACATTTCCGTGGACCACTCTACTATAAGCAGTGCGCGTTTTGTGAGGTGCATGCAATTCTCGGAGGACATGCGTTTCTCAGCACAACACCGCTAACAACAACAACAACAACGATCGCAAAATGAGCAACAAACAGAGAAAACCACCGAAGATGAAGACTTGTTGCCAAAAAGAAAATGAAAGTCAGTTATCTGGAATTATTTCGGTTAAAAGAAGGATGATGTCGACCAAAACACGTCTTCTGTGTTCACCTGTTGCCACAATAACGTCCCAGCACAATAAAAGCTAAAAATATCTCTGAGACAGACAGAAGCCGTTCTACTAACATTCACAAAAAGAGGTAAGATCAGAGCAGGTTAACTGTCCTCAAGATTTCAGCAGTGCAGCATAACATTAAGTGCTGTTCAGGTCATCTGGTGAAAATTCTGTATTTTTAATATCGCAATATATATCGCAGGGTTGAAAAAAATCGCAATGTTAATTTCTTCCAATATCGTGCAGCCTTAGTGTTGACGAGGTCGCTTCAAGTCGCGTTTGGTCTGAACCCGGCTAAGAGTTTCTTCTGGAGCCTCTCCCTCTGGGTCAGACTCTGGCTCAAACTGGTAGGGTTGTACGAGCGATCTTCTTGCAGCCATGACCGAGCCAGTGCAAACATTAGCACATGGCTATCGGAGCACAGCCACAGCCCCTTCCAGAGAGATGGGTGTAAAGTGGACGTGGCTTAGGTGCAGCTCATTTCATTAAAGAGACATGGGCCAACTTTGAGCAGAGCTGTTTTTAGCTGATAAAAAGAGCACTAAAATAATTGATCCAAATCGAATTTTGACCGAAGGACGTCACAGACATGCTTTTAACACACCAGGGGACTATTTTAAGACAGGGGACTATTTTAGACTATTTTTTTACTATTTTAAGTCTGGCTGAGTGGACAGACTGTCTCAGTCCTTGTTCAATTACAGCTGAAGGTGAAGATGCTGTAGGTCAGGATGCTGAAGGTCAGGATGTTGGAGGTGAAGATGCTGGAGGTGAAGATGCTGAAGGTCAGGATGCTGAAGGTCAGGATGTTGGAGGTCAGGATGCTGATGGTGAAGATGACTATGATGAAGCTGCGGTTGGAGAGTCCAGCAGGAACCTGTGAAGGAACTGGTCCAGATTGTAGACCTGGCCCCAGCCCACCTGAGGGTCCATACTGATGAAGTCATCGAGGTTCATCTGAGCCTCTGTGGATCAGAACACATGTAAACAGGTAAGCAGTCATGAGGAGGTCGAACACCAGAGTGATCACATGGTACAAGAAGGTCATGTGACCTGCAGTGTGTATGGGGGGGTAAGGTGGGGGGGGCATCTTCCAGGTCCCATCAGGGTTCTTCATGTGAGAGCGATCAGACGCAAAGTTCAACAGGAAGCTGTCAGCAGGTACGACACGCAGACACCTAGAGGGCAGAGTCACAGGGTCAAGGTTCACCTGTGTTAGGAAAGGTGTGCTGACACAGGTCAGTGTTACCTGTGGTAGGCGGGGTTTATTTGGCGGTCTGAGCGCAGGGCCTGGGTGGCGTAGAGTTCAAGGCTGCAGGGAAACGACAGCGCAGAGTCCAGATCATAGACCAGAGATCGGTTCTGAGGTCCAACATGGAGCAGGATCACATGGTAGTCCTACAACACATGATGAAGTCATCTATGGTGTTATTATGACGTCATCGTTACTGTTGCTAACTGATCCGTCCCTGAAACCCGATTTGTACTGGGCATGTGCAAAATGTATGTCACTTCCTCTTCTCGCCATCTTTGCAACAGCTCGCTTCAGTTTATCGATGTTTCAGTTTATAACAGCCACACACTTTTCTCCTGAACAGAGTTCTTCCCCCACCTGAAGCAGAGCTCAGGAAAGTCCAGAGAATGGGGCCCAGTTTCACAATTAAAGGTTCCTACTCCAGCTAAATTGTAAAATTGTAACGTAGTTCTAAAAGGCTTGAATGAATGTGAATATTTCAGTGTTGAAATTGAAACGCTGTATAAAAACACTGAAATTCATGGTCCAAAATGTGTAGGTTTCTTGTCAATTAATTTATTTTATAAAATAAATGAAATAAATCCCCCCTTGATACTTTGAAAAGTCAGAGAACCATAATTTTGACCGGGTGGTGGCGCTCTCTGTGGCCCTAAAGGTCTCACCGTTCTGGGCAGGAGCTCTGGCGGATACCTCGGCATTAGCTCTGTAGCCTCCTGCTAGCTAGCCTGTCAAATTGCCAGCTTGTTTCTGAATTGATCAGTAGTTTAAATAAAGTTTTTAAGGTGAAGTTAATTTGCACTTCTGCAGAACGGATTGGGTAGGTAATGACTCACTACCATAAAATACATTGAAATGCAGAGAGAGGAAGTGACGTACGTTTCACACATGCTGAGTACAAATCAGGTTTCCAGGACAGATTGGGTAGCGACTGTGACGATATCATAGACTGTATGTAGAGCCTCAACTTTGAGAACAGCGCCCTCTGGTGACGGGCTGCAGTATAGGTCATAAATCCCGCCTCCTTATGAAGTTGTGGACAAACTTTATAAATGAATGACACAGAATATAAATGTTTCTCCCCCCTGGTTGCGATGTTGACATGTAGTTACTGTCAGACTCATTTGTGCTCAAGTCCTCTTTTTACCCATATATATATATATTTATACCCATATACTTGCGGAAGGCGGAACCAAGTTGTCCGTAGTATATACAGTCTATGGTAGTGACACTTTGGAGGATGTAGAACATTCAAGAATATCACTGAACAGTCCGGAGGATTAAAGACATTCTGAAAGACCAATAACATTCTGTAACATCAAAGACATTCTAAAAGATCAATAACATTCTGTAACATCAAAGACATTCTAAAAGATCAATAACATTCTGTAACATCAAAGACATTCTAAATGATCAATAACATTCTGTAACATCAAAGACATTCTAAAAGACCAATAACATTCTGTAACATCAAAGACATTCTAAAAGATCAATAACATTCTGTAACATCAAAGACATTCTAAAAGATCAATAACATTCCAGAACGTTTGAGAAAATTTTGGACTTTTGGAAACACACTGGAACAGTCCGGGAACATCTGTGATATTACCGAACCTTCCTATGAATTCTGAAGTCATCAGAACTGCTCTGACAGATGTTAGAGGGACACTGTTGGGTCCTCTGCTCAGCACCACAGACTGTATCTAGAATGGATGCTGTCTGCCTCCTCTCTAGGTGAAGCCACTATGAGAACAGCGCCCTCTGGTGACGGGCTGCAGTATACCTCATAAATCTTGTCTCCTTATGGAGCTGTGGACAAACTTTATAAATTAATGACAGAATATAAATGTTTCTTCCCCATGCTTGTGATGTTGACATGTAGTTACTGTCCAAATGGTTTGTGCTCAAGTCCTCTTTTTGTCTGAATAGCTCAATTTTTATTAAAGTTATTAGGGGGTTCATGTTTTCTATGATCGACACTTGATACAGCCTATGGGAGGACAGAGATACTCTGAGTCAAGCGTCACCTCAGCGACTCTCCTGCCGAATGCGAACAACGCTACTGCGCGAGTGGTGGCTCAAGGAAGTGGAGAACCCAGAAATACTGAGAAAGAGGCGGCGCTAAGGTGTCCATATACAGTCTATGAATGACATAATCACTGACCCAAATAACCGGCTGGTCTCCCCGTCCGGACTTCTGCTTCCACAGTGGAACCTGATTGGGAACAGAGAAGAGCTGCCTTTACAGAACCAGAACCACAAAGAACATCAGAACAAAAACACTTAAGATCTATAGAACCAAGCTTATTTCTGCAGAACCCAGGTCACAGTTCTAAAACCAGTCAGATCATGACAGAACTAGTTTAATTATAACAGAACCAGTTTGATCATACCAGAACCAGTCAGATTATAACACAACCAGTCTGATTATAACAGAACCAGTTTGATCATACCAGTACCAGTCAGGTTATGACAGAACCAGTCTGATTACTGTAGTAGAACCAGTCTTGCTGGTTCAGGGTTCCTTATGTAGACAAAGGACCGGTTTAAGGGGTCTACAGAGACATTCTGTTCTCAGGATTTGGTTCTGGAAGTTCTGCTCACCATGCGGTTCTGATTGGAGACGAAGATGACGAACAGTTCCTCCAGTGGTGCTGTTCTTTCTGTTTTTACAGACTCACAGAGTCTCCAAACATTTTCCTCACTCCAGAACAAACAGAACAAGAACAGTCAGAAAAAAGCAGAACCAGCAGAACCCAAAAAGAACACAAACAGTCAGATAACAGCAGAACCACAGATAGAACAACAACAGAACACAAACACAACAACAACAGAACACAAAGAAGAACACAAACAGAACAACAACAGAAAACAAACAGGGGCCTGTTCTACGAAGCAAGTTTGACCTAGCGAGGAAGCCTTGGAGCTACCTCGCTCAACTTAGCGCGGTAGCCAGCGGTCTCGCTAAACAGTCTTATGATGCTGGTTTTCAACCGCGTAAGTGGATCCAGCTTTTCTATGAGCGCGTGCACGCATGTGAGGCGGAGCCCGCCGCATCTGACCAATCGCGAACATGGACCAGTCTGGAGCGTCAGAGCAGGCCGGAGAGCGAAGGACCGCGGACTTTACAAACGAGGAGCAGGAGACGATCATGAGAAAGTATGAAGAATTGAAATCTATCATAAACCTCAAAAGCAACACCGTCACCGCTGCAAAAGCACGGAGGGAATGCTGGCAGAAAAGTAATATTTGATGTCATTATCACCCTGAAATAGCACTGTTCAACATGCGCTTTTAACTAAGGTGACAGTCCCCGAATTGGATGACCTGTCCCCGGCTAAAGCTGTCCCCGGAAATGTCCCTGATTTAAGCGTTTCATGAATGAGAACAAAAATGTTGCATGTGGGCTAAAACAACGGTTATTACAGTAGGTAGGAAGCACAAGTAAGCAGTCCTGAACAACAGTATTTACGGGGTAATTATAAGGGGCGTGCGCTGCTACTAAAAAGTACCGAGATGTTGTCTGTGATCAGCTCATGTCCATTCATTCCCAAGATGAATCATTCATGTGTTCATTCCTATCGTGTTTACATGTTTTGTGTAATATGTCGGCCATATGAGCCTTTCATAAAGGAGGTCATCCGGAGAAAACTCTCCCTGAAAACTCTCGCGAGCCGGAGTGCTCCTCCTCGGACAATGTGAGCACCGAGGTCTACAGGATCCTCCGAGAACGGACAAGGCGTTTTTCGAGAGAGCTCATTGGTTAGTGGGCGGGGTTTTTATACTCGGTGAGTTCAATCTGGAACTTAACCTGCCCCGGAGCAGTTTAGCCGTTCAGCGTATGTTGCCATGGAGACTCGCCTCGCTAAGAAGTGAACCCGCGTCGTAGAACAGGAAACCCCGAACTTACCCTCGAAGTTACCTCGCTAAGCAGTAATCCTGCTTCGTAGAACAGGCCCCAGGCCTCAGGCTTGTTACTATGGCTGAGTTACCATGGTTACCAAGCCACGCTAGCCCTAAGCCTCGTTTGTGGAACCCAACTCTAACTAAAATTAGCCAAGCTAACCGAAATAAGCCAGGCTTTGAGCTAAACCAGCTCCGTGTCCACTGACACAGTGCGGAGCAAACGCAATGAATGATGACCCACTTACTTTTCCCGATGACCACCTTGAGCGAGGTAGCTCCAAGGCGACCTCGCTAGGTCGAACTTAGTTCGTAGAATAGGCCCCAGAACACAAACAGAACAACAACAAAACACAAACAGAACAACAACAGAACACAAACAGTCAGATTTGAGCAGAACCAGCAGAACCCCACAGTAGGACTCAGGGTTGTTGGTACTGATGTAGATTTGATGTTGATGATTTTTGACTTTCTGAGAATAAACACAGCCGCCAATAAACATGGAAATAAACAGTTTTTTAAACAGTAACAGAGATACTAATGTTTTTATTTTATTTTACCACTAACAGGAGGTAAAATCGCAAGGTTTTTTTGTACCAGTAGTAAAGCAAATCAAGAGTTTTTTAGTTTTTTTTTTTTTTTTTTTTACCAGTAACGGGAGATATAATCGCAGTTTTATTACCAGTAACAAAGTCAATAAACAGCTTTTTTTTTTTTTTTTTTTTTTTACCAGTAACAGGAGGTATAATCGCTGTTTTTTAACCAGTAACAAAGTAAATAAAGATTATTCGTTACCAGTAACAGGAGGTATAATCGCAGTTTTCTCGGCTCGGTGTGATTCTTGTTTCCTCCATTTTGGTGTTTCCTCCGAATCACTCCGCCGGAAGTTTCGTAGCGGGGCTTCACATAGATATCATATACGTAGACTTTGTTACGTGCTGAAGCGTTAGCCAGCGTCACCGCCATATTGGATGGGTCTCCCCACTCCACTCAAGAGTCAGGCTGTGTCTCATTTCAGAGACCGCATCAGGATGAGCGCACTGCCGTTATGTGGACTGGAGTATCCTAAGGCCACTTTTAGACGGAAACGGTCTCCACAGAAAACGGAAAAGTGCCGTTTCGTTTTCAGTTTTTATGCTGTGTTTACACAAAACGCGATGTGGTTGAATACGCTGTAATGTGCATGCCAGGTCGCTCGGTGGCGCGTGTCGGTGTGACCGCGCTCCCATATAGACTAACAACCATAGACTGTATATAAGATGGACGCCGTCTGTCTCCTCGCCGGGTGAAGCCACTCCGAGAACAGCACCCCCTAGAGCCTGGCTGCAGCACAAGTCATAAACCCCACTTCTGCCAGCAAAGTGAATGGAGCGGCGGACGGCCTTTAGAAATTAATTTCACAGAAAATACACTTTTCTCACCCCCGACTGCGATGTTGACATGTAGTTATTATTAGACTGGTTTGTGTTCAGGTCTTTTTTTCTCTCTGCAGCTCCATTTTAAAAAGTTATAAGGAGTTATAAAAACAGGAAATTGCGTCATTCTCTACACTTTGCACTTGCTGCTTGTGCGTCGCTCTTTTTTGTCCATCGTCAAGACCGATCGGGTTTGCCAGCGGAGAAGAGGATTACATTTTTCCATCGTTTTTCTCAATTATTGCATTGGAAAAATTAGTTGTTCTGCAGTAAACTGTGTTAACCGACATGTGAAATCGGGATCTTTGCAGTTGTTTCGGTAAGTTATGTTTTTTTATGAAGTCATCAGCTTGCTAGCTACATAACATTAAACGGTCTGGTTTAATTTAGCTAATGGGGTTTACTTACAGATACCAAGCGGTAAGTTCTGTGCCTTATTTAAGCGTTTTTATTAGAAGTTAAACAATGAGGAAACCCCTTAAAATCCGCCTTCTTTTTATAACAATACTATGACTACGTGACTTTGAATTTGAATTAAAAACCGTACCGATCACACAGATTCATACTAGCAACCAAATACTACCACAGAGTATCAGGGCATGAAATGAAAACTCGAGGCATGAAGTCATAATGTTAAAGGAATTAATTCGCATTTAAGTCATTCCCCTAATATTGCATCACTTTATGAGAACAAGGCCATGTAAATGAATATAATGAGAGTCATGATGTTATGAGTCGAAGTTTTGGTAATGGATCAACCAGTTTTACTCGGGTATGTCACAACGAGAGCAGCCTGCGCTAAAATCAGGTATGTTAATTTAATGGTATGTATATTTAATTAACATTAACATTAACATATGTATATTTAATTAAAATGCATCTTTCGGATGCACCGTCCTAGCTTTCTGGCAGAGGATTGACCGCCGGTTCAGTCTCCTCCGTACAGCGGCAGTAGTATTACAGCTTCTGGTGACATAACGATATTTGTCTAAGATAAAGCTCTGAAACTGTCTTTAATGGGACAAAACGTCGAGAAAACGAGACCCTATAAGTGTATAGAAGGACATGCTCAAAAGATTACTTATACAAGTTGCATAACTGTTATTTATTTTATGTTATCAAATAACATACACAAGTCATAAGTATACTTCTGTGGAATGACAATTATCATTTACAGCAGCATGGTAGATCATGTCTAATTTAAGTTTTCAAGATAGATAGATAGATAGATAGATAGATAGATAGCCCTGTTACTTATAAGATTGAGATAAAACTATGAGTAATGTAATTAGTTGTGGAAAGACAGCTGCATATGACATACTTAATCAATCACAATGACATTAAAATTTTTGTTACATGCAAAGAAATCCCTCAATTGTGATAGGATGTTCATAAGACATATCACTCACAAGATGAAATGATTTAGATTATTTATACAGTTTGTATATTCATTCACTTGAGGTATTTTTTGTGATTGTCTTTGAATTGAGTTTTGGCTTCAGCCTGTTATGCAACAAAGCAAGAATTAAACTGAACGCAAAACATTAACTTTGTGTTGTTTACAAACTTGACAAATGGCAGTAAGCAATGTTATTGTATTTTTGTAAAGTTTCCCTTTAGGTGACAAAGCGAGGCTGAAGCAGTGGCTGGTGAACACAAGACGGCAGGACTGGAAACCAACAGGATCATCACGTCTTTGCAGTGCTCATTTTGAAGAGCATGCCTTTACTGTGGACTCAAAGGTTAAATTATTTCTTTTTTAATGGACAGCAATTTTTATGAAGTTCACATTTGCAACAATTTATTGTTAAATTGACTAACACTTTGAATCATAAAATGGCGGTTATTTAAACATTCCCAAGAGCTGAACACTACAACTATCGTGGTATCGTTTTAAATTACTGCTGTTTTTATGTTTTCTAAAATTAGGTATTTGCATGTAGTTGTAGTGTCTGCTACCATCTACTGGTCATTATTAGGTAGTGTCATCAGTCATTTTCAGTTTAAGTTGGCGCAGCCTGGAGTAAAAAAAACAGGAATCATGTTGCAAAAAAAATTTGAGTGATACCACATGAACAACTTCTTATGCTTAGACCAAATGTGCCCTGTTAGATAAAGGTAACAGCACTAGCCAAGTAGTAGTCTCTAAGAATGCTAACTAAATGAAACCTTTTAAATAATTGGACAAGTATATCAAAACCTCTAAAGTTTTCATGCTGAGCTACCACCTGGTTTGAGACATAAGTGTCTTAATGAATTTAAGTACTGGTATTCACAATTTAATTGATGAATTTCTTTGTGTTTTTCAGACTTCATCACCAACCACTGATGATATGGTGGATTCATCTGCTGCAGCCTGTTTCCTTTCCACCCAATGCAACTCCCAAAGTACTAGATTATATCTTTTTAAGTTCCTGGTAAAATAACAAACATACAGGTTTTCTGCAAAGGAGTTAAGTATTTATAAATCACAAATAAATACTAAAATGCTAGTGTCCTCTCACAAGTGTCCATGTCATGCTATCTGATTTACATTAATTACATGCTGTTCACTACACATATTGTCAGTTTGTTTTTTCAGTTTTACCACACTTTGTCCACTTCATGGTGAGGACTCGCACACAGAAAGATGGAAAAGACAAATGTCTTGAAAAGTTGGATCCATTTTATTGCTAGGAATAAAATTGATCCAACTTTTGAGACATTTGTCTTTTCCATCTTTCTGTGTGTGAGTCCTTTACAGCCTTTTTGAATTGTCTTATCTGACCATTGCACCAGAAGAAAGAATACTAGGACTGATGTTAAGCTCTTTTCTTGTTAATCACTTGATGATGAGTACATAAGAAATGCATTGACTTCGTTGTGGTATGTTTTTTTCTTTTGATAGCTTTACATGAAAAATAAAATTTTGAGACAAATACTCTGGAATAATAAAGCATATACTGTGTTTTTTCATCTGTGCTGTAAATCAGAAAACTTTATCATGGTACAACAAATCACAGAAAAGCATGTGAAGGTTCAACATTAATTTAATTTTTCTAACAATAAAAAACATCCCCAGCTACATTCGTCGTGGGGAAAACGCCTTGAGGAAGACCATCGGGTGGAATGGCTGGGGTACGGCAGAAAGTTTGTAAGACAGAGAGAGAGAAGGAGGAAGAAGAGCTGTGACAGAATTGAACAGTGTGATGGTTACCTTTGTAAAAAAAAATTCACAAAATTGTGCTCGAGTAAACAATTAAACAAAATGTGCACATCAATCACAAATAAAGCAGATAAATCCTGACCATTTTTTGCTGCCTATTGTAGGTGAAATCCCAAATCTAGCACCACCCTACTAGATTTGGTCTTTCAAACACAAGGCAATATTATTCAAAAAAATGTCATTATCCCAAAGTGGTGAAATGAACTCCATCGTTTAAAAAAAGGCCAGGATCTCTGTGCTTTATTTGAGGATGATGCACAATGCTTCCGCCAACAGATGAAACAAAAGTAGCCATCACACTGTTCACATAGCGCCCGGCTTTGTCCATTTTCTTGGGGCTGTATCTCCATCGGCTCCTCTGGGTGATGGCAGAGAAGATGATCCTCATGGTGGGGAACTGCCGATGGAGATCCTGGAGGTCCTGCTGTTTGATTTCTGTAAATGTATTGAACAATAAAAGAAAAAAAAAAGTCATTTTCCTACAAAACCTTGCATGGCTTGTGATTCAGCATGATTCCACATCATGCTGAATCACAAGCTGTTTAATATTTTTTACAGTAGATATAATTTGGAATTGAAAACTTGAGCTTGCTCTTGTTACATCACAAAAAAAACTATAACATTACCTAATACAAGTCTCACTAAAATCATATCCAACTAAATCAGCATCCATCTCAATGAATTTTTATCCTTACGTCTGGTCACAGTGGCTGATGTTGTTGTGCTCATCTTTGAAGCTTCTTTTCTCTTTGTCTAAAAAAAGGAGAACAACATAAATATTTGCTGTTCATTCAGAATTTTGTTCATTTTTAATCACAGGACAATAGCATATATCTTAACAACTGATAAACTAAAAATATCACGTATTTTGCTGTTTAATTTACCAAGGCTAGTGTTAAAATGCAATGCTACTTTAGCTTACATTTACACCGTTTCTTTCAACAAAGAGAGATGACTTACTTCCAATCAAGTAATAGATGATATCTTTATTCGTATTAGTTATGATGGTATTTTATGTTCTTAAAAGTTAGTACGCTCACAAATTTCACATTATATCAGGAGAAGTGGAACTTACTTATTCTTGGTCGCGACGAGCGGGGAAGCTATTAGCGTTACCGATGAAAGGCTGGAAGGACATCCGGGGGGTGGGGGTGGGGGTGGGGGGGGGGGGCACTTTTTGAGCGGAACGTCATCGCGCCGAGTCTCCCGCCCAGCCAAAAACGTCTGCGTACAACGCTACTGCGCAGCTCTGGTTGCAAGGAAGCGGAGAAAAACCCGGAATTACTGAGAGCTTTTTGGCTTCAAATCCGTATACAGGCAGAAGGCGGAACCACGGCGTCCATCTTATATACAGTCTATGCTAACAACGCATACGTAGAACAACTTCCGTTTGGAGAGGCTCGAGCTAGACGGAAGCTGCGTCCGAATTGCCAAGTAGTAGTCGAAGTAGTATCTAGCATGTCCGAATTGGCCACCGGAGCGAGTAGCATGCTACTTCAGATACTACTTCAGATACTAGACACGCCCACATTGTAGGTTGGTCGCGGTGCATCCTACGGGCATGCTACTGACCCAAAATGCACCGCGGGCTTCTTCTTCGTCCTCTTAAAAGTTGTAGAAGCGCATGTGATGCTAGCGCCACCAGCTGCTCTGCCTATTTAGATGTGTCGCGAACGCCGGCTGGCCACAGCAGCGCGCATCATGTCGTCGGAGCAGCAGCAGCAGCAGGCGGGACCGCAGCAGTACAGATGTAATTTTCATGTAACTTCACACACTGTCCTAAAAAATGTGCGGTTGTATCTCTTTGTCATGTCATGGTGTCATATTTGCCCAAGTAATCATTTTATGAGTAAATATGTGGCGACATCATGGAGGTAAAGCTCACTTATTCCATCATTAAACTGCACAGCTGCAGTACTACAGCCAGGCCCGCAGATGAGGGGCTTCAGTTACCACTGTCTGCACGGGCGCAGTACCTACTCTCTGCCTGCGGGGGTCGTCTTTGCCCACCGCTCGTCTAGTGTGTCCGAATTGGGCCAACGTTTTTAGTATGTAGGAGTAGGATCTAGCAGTAGTATGTAGCAGTAGCATGTAGTATCCGAGCGGGCAGTTCGGACGCAGCAGGTGAGATGGCAGAGGGAAGTGACGGAGTAGGAAGTGAGATGGAGGAGGGAGTTTGGAATATTGCAGGTGAACAGCGTCTGAACAGGAAAAAACGGAAGAAAGTAGCAAAGGAGGCAGCAAGGAGAGGGGATTATGATTCATCGGTTTCGACCAGTGAAGGGGAGCAAAGTGCAAGGCCAAAGCAAATTGAGGAATACAAAGTAATTATTAGAATGACTCAGGAAGGACAATCGTTTGGTGAGTGGAGCCCAGTTAAGCTGACAAAAGCCATACATAAAGTTCTTGGGGAAGTAAAAAGGGTGAAAGTTCTGCGAAGTGGGGCATTGCTGGTCCTGTGTAGGGATGGAGCACAGCAAGGAAAAGCAATAAGAATGAGTAGAATGGAGGAAAAGTCTGTAGTGTGCTCGATGCCAGAAGTGAAGAAAGTGGCTGTGGGGGTTATATCAAATATTCCCACGGCTATTACCTGTGACGAGATCAGAGATAATATAGAGGGGGCAAGAGTGCTGGAATTGCAGAGACTAAAAACAAACAGAAACGGAGAGAAGACGGACAGTCTCTCTGTCAAAATCAGATTTGAGGAACCAAAGCTGCCAGATAAAGTATACATCGGATACATGTGCTATGACGTTAGGCCATTTGTCCCCCCACCGCTTAGATGCTTCAAGTGCCAGAAATACGGACATGTTGCAGCGGTCTGCAGGGGTAAACAGAAATGTGGGAGATGTGCAGGGGATCATGAATACGGTAAATGCCAAGAAGGGGCTAAGATAAAATGCTGCAACTGTGGGGGGGAGCACACCTCGGCGTATCGAGGTTGTGAAGCAGGCAAGAAGGCGGCAGAAATTCAAAAAGTAAAAACATCGATGGGAATATCCTATGCAGAAGCAGCGAAGAAAGTGGGGGCGAACTATATAGATCCAGCAAAAATGGTGAGGGCTGACGCCAGCAACAGAGTTGAAGCGAATGTGTCTAAAGCAAAAGAAAATACACTTACAGTGAGTAAGAATGACTTTGTATTATTTATGGTGGAAGTGATAAATTGCTCAGCGCAAACAAACAGCAAAACGGAGAAGATCAAGATCATTATCAAGGCTGCAGAGAAGTACCTTGACATCAAGGGGCTAAGTTGTGAAAAGGTTCAGGAAACATTAGCTGGAGATTATTAGCTCCCATTAGCTCCCTTCTCATGTTGCAGGAAGAACGTAAGCGCCCGCCCCTTGTCAATCAGTCACCATATAATTTTGGATTGGTTGTTGTGGTGAAGTTTTCCACCAATAGGAGAGATGTTGTGGTGTGTTTTTTTTTCTTTTGACAAGCCTTTTCCGCCTGTAAGACCTGTCGCTAATGTCTGCATGCTATGTTTTCCTGTCTCATACAGCGCGATCGAGCGCCGAACGTGATCAAAATAAGCAGAAAAAAAGTATCGCGGACATAATTTATCATAACTCTTTTTTTTGTTTTATTTGGCCTATCAACACAATTTAAAAACTGGTATATAGTTTGAGGTCCTCACTTTTGAGATAAGTTGAAACGGAGAGTCAACGAGGCTCCGTCTTGCAGCTACATCCGGTTAAATATGTCATGTGACTTGCACGCTGGGGAGCGTCAATCGACTGCAGAGCCAGCAGACAAAGTAGTTATGGCCACTGAGAGGCACACATTTGTCATATTCTATAACATATTTTAATGCTTTTTCTATTTAAACCTAATGGATCTAAGGTTTGACCTTCAAAATTTAGGAGGAATATGTTTTTGCAGTAATGACCCCCTTAAACAACCAGAGGTCCTTTCCTAAAGTTTATGGAAATTTTAGTGAAGGCCTTGGTTTCTTTCCTTGCAAAATGTATAGAAATAATAAAGCTAAATACCAGTAATTGGTCTTGGCGTATTAGCAGTGATATAAAATAGTGGTTTGAATATGAATGAACAAAAAAAAAACATCAACAGAGCCTTTTTGAGTTGGGATTCTTTCATTATCACACAAAAACAGACATAGACAGACATCTAAAGGGTAAGGGAATGATCAGCCCTCCTAACTCTCAGATGAATCTTCAAAATTCACCTCAGAAATATGCTTCTCAGAGTACTGCAGGATACACAGACACACACACAGACACACACGCACACACACTCAGAGTCTGTTTTTTAGCACCTGCAAAAACATGCTATTTACATATTTGACAAGAATGCAGAGGCTTCCTTTTGCCCCTGAAAAAAATCAAATTTCAAACACAACTTGACTGCTCATTTCTCCAAAAGACAACCATGAAGCTCCATCCAAACCTGAAGCAGGCAGTTGGTGCATGTGTACAGTAACCTGAGGGGAGTGAGGTGAGTGCTTCTGAGGAGAACATGAGCAGTGAAGATTCACCTTGGAGCTAGAACAGAGACATGCACATGATTATACAGGGGCAGGGGCTCAAGTTTTTTCCAGTCGTTTATACAATATGGAAATTAATGTGAAATTAAAACACAAAGTATTAATAGAAAGGTAATGACTGTCCTGTGTAGGTGACAGTGATATCCAATAGGCTAGGCACTCACGAGGCTAGCTGTGGCAAGTGTAAGTGAAAGCAACACGCACTGGCAGGAAGAACAGCAAACGCCGATGAAGGAAAAGGGTCTTTGCAGTGATGGGCGTTACCAGAGAGGGCGATGGCCAGAGGACGAGAATGGGACGGGGAGGCAGCGCGTTGGGGGGGCGGCGCGACACGGCTCGGGCCCGCCAGTGCCCCAACGGGGCCCTAGTTTACTTTGTAACTTTATAACTTCATTTACTTTATGACTTTATTTAATTAATGACTTAATTAACTTTTACATTATGACTATTTACTTTGTGATTTTATTTACTTTATTTACATTGACTTTATTTTCTTTATTAACTTTATGAATTAATTTACTTTAGTGACATTATGACTTTATTTACTTATTGACTTTATGACCTTATTTACTTTACTAACATTGACTTTATTTACTTTGTGACTTTATTTATTTTTTGACTTAATTCACTTTGTTTACTTTATGACTTATTTACTTTGACTGTATTAACTTTACTTAATTTACTATGTGACTTTATTTAGTTTATGACTTTATTTACTTTGTGACTTTATTTACATTGACTTATTTATTTACTTTGTCAATTTATTTGCTTTATAAACTTTGTGACTTCATTACCTTCTGACTTTATTTAGTTCATTTACTTTGTACTTGAGCCAAGAACCAAAATTTCACATATCGGTACCACCTGGGTGGGCAAATTCTAGTTGTGATTAATTTATTGCTATACATTCCTACAACAACCTTAATATGACACTGACATATTTTAAATGCAGGCACTCATTATACAATCATCCTGGCTGGTGCAGGGCAAGAAGACATTAGCAACAAAATAAGATCTACTGATGTATACACTCTTTACAATCATCTGAGAAAAACTCGCCATAATATCCTTAATTTAGACTTTGATTTAGACCTGACAATTGACTAATTGAAGCTTATATATACACACCTGTATTAGATAAATTACTTGAAATACTACTTAGGGGGTTATTACAAGTCTCTATGGCTAGCCAATAGTTCAAACACACCTAAATGAGAGGTTCAAATGAAAGAAAGCTAATTTTGAAGGAAGGCGATTTTTCGTTTTTGGAACAGCTGCACTCTATTATTTTAATGAGTGATAACTACAATAAAGCTACCAGTTACCAAGGTCTATCATATAAAAACTAAAAAAAAAAAACTAAACTTAAAAAGTGCTATGATACCTGAAAGAACTGCTCCACCATCAAATTGGGCCACACCCACTTCATCAACTCATTTAATTAGACACAGGTTTGATTCATTTATAGAAAAGAGCAGTGTGACCCAAAAAGAGAATGACTTTTAATGTACTTTTGACTTTCTGTGTTGCTTTTGGAGTTAACAAAAATTCGCCTATTGAGGAAAATAACAAAATGAGAAAAAATATAAAAAGCTACCCCTATGAAAAGTCTATCATATTTTAATTTACTTGTATTGACCCTAAAAACTATTTAGTATATGTAAGGTTTTGCCCACCCAAGTGGTACCGACATCTGGTCCGGCTCAAGGACTATTGACTTTATTTACTTTGTGACTTTATCATTTTCATGTGTCTGGAATCTTAGGTAAACTGCAGGTGGACCAGGTTCTGGTCCGACCTGCCCAGTGTGGTTTTGTTAGGTTCTTAGGCGTTGGCGTACAGCAGATCCAGGACAGTCAACAAACTGTGTAAATCCACTTAGGGATGAAGACTCCTGATTATAGATGTCATTTAACACTAGATGCCTCACAGACAGTATCATAGAGAACATCCCACTGACCCCTGGAGACCGATGGGATCTCTCAGCTACAGGAAATGCTGGGTCTCATTCAAAGACCCACCTGCTGACCTACCATACTCCCCTGGTGAACCTCCCCTTATCCAAACCCTAACCCTCCCCCAGCATTCCCAGTTCTCCCAGTCTCTTGTTTCCCGCTCAGTCATCAAATTCATAATGAGTGAATATTTGCAAAAACAGGAAAGTTTAAACATCTCGTCTTTTTCTTGTAGGCGGTAAAGTCTTGAAAATCACAGCAGAACTGAGCTTGAACCTGGATTTTATTGATTTCTGCATCAAAGAATATCACCGATCAAAGTTTATCAAAGACTGACCTAGAAATAAAACAGGTAGATCATACAGTCACAATAAGAGGAGGACAGTTGGTGAGCAGCTGTCTGAGCATCAGGACATCTTCTGAAATACAAACACCAGGTAGATACCTGAAACCAAGAGAAAAGTTCATATCAACACACACAGTCAGAGTGTATGAATAAAGAGTCGAGATTCTCACAGTCAAGTTAATCATTTTATCATGGAGTTTCAACAGACTGGTGTTTTCACAGTTCAGATTGATCATGAGAACTGAGATTCTCACAGTAAAGGAAAAACTTACTTGTTGCCTCCCACTCTGATTGGCTCAGTGTCCCCTGCACAACAACGAAAAAAAGTATTTTATTTTGAAGATTCACAGATCGGAGCAGACTGGATCTCTGACGGTTCTTAACTCTTCAAGGAGAAAAACTCATTTAAATGAAAAAAATGTTCAGTAAAAACAGATGATTCAAAATTAAAGAAGTTTTTAATCCACAAACAAAATTTAGGACAAACATCTTCAAAATACCAGACTTCACACACACACACACACACACACACACACACACTCTCAGCTGTGGCACTATGACAGTTCTCTGTCATAAACACCTGATGAGTTGATCACTGAGTGCAGCTCAAGGAAGAACATTTATGATCATTTCTTCATGGAAATACAATCAGACCGAGATGCTAAGGCAGAAGAACTACTGCAGCTGCAGTGAAAATGATTAATATCAATTATCGATTATGATTAATATGGAGAGGGTGTCTAACTCGGTGTTATGGTGTGTTTGACCCTAACTTAACTCTTACGGCAGAATATCCCTTTAATGCTGAACAATATCTACAGATTTAGGGGCAACAGGACTCTGTAGTTGGAGTCACCCCATGGGCTTAATATCACTTGTCTGTGAACTCTAAAATTTAATACTCTTCTAGAAAGGACAACTGGACTTAAGGCGAAATGTCTCAAGTAAGTCCAGTTGTCCTTTCAATGAAGAACTGGAAATCATAGATGCTGTGTCCTCAGTATTGAACAACATCTCCAGGTTTAGGAGCAACATCTGCTGCCATCCAGACAAAGACTTTTTCAGGGAAGACCTTCATATGATCCCAGACCACATTCTGACAACAGCATGGTGATTATTACTTCAAAAAATTATAAAGAAATGATCATAAATGTTATTCCTTGAGCTGCATCAACCCACTGTAGTCCGTAATGGACCGGCCTGAGGTCTCTCTACAAACAAACGTCTGCTGGAAGAGAGTAGGTGAGTTGTGTTTAGTCTCTTTGCTAAAGAAATGAGTCAAAGTTAAAAAGATGTTTGGTGTCTAGTACTATAGCTGGGACCCTATATGTATTAACCTGAGTAGAACATGGTGTAGTTCTGTTCAGTGACAGAACCTCATTGGAAAATTAGCTGATTTAACTTTACTGTGCTCCTGTTCAAATATATTAACTCAACAGCACATAAATCCATACCTGTTAACAAAATCATGATTTTATTGATAATTCGGCTTAATAAAAACACTGTTTCATTTTACTACAGTAGAAGTTTCTTGGCCAGCTTATAGACTACAGAAGTGAAGAAACGCCCCCGCTTAAGTTTATGTTTTCTTAGGAGTTAGAACAACTCTGAATATAGTACTATGGCTGTGACCCTATATGTCCTGTTGATGAAGTTAGGTGCTGTTCTGAGCATTATTTGTGGCTATAGAGTGGCGTTTTGGTTGATGTTTGTTTATGGCTCCTCAGACCGTTGTGTATTGGGATCCTGCGTTTGTTACTGAAGTTGGTATAACTAGAGAAGCAAGCGGTCAGCAACATTCATCTCTGGAGGGGGTGTCTAACTCGGTGTTACGGTGTGTTCGAACACAAATTAATTTTACACTGGAATATCCCTTTAACTCACATGTATCCTGACTGTCCTGCATATTGTGGACTTTGTAAAGTCCTATTAGTACCTGAAACCAAGGCCTGGTCAACATGACAGCTCACCACTCTGGACTGGACCAGAACACTCTGGACCAGAAAGTACAAAGACAGGACAGAACTGGACTCTGGCGTTTCCTGTCAGCTGACCCACCAGTGGTAGTTTGATGCTGCCTCTGCTGCAGTGCTCTTCAGCATGGCTGTACTCTCCTCTACTGTCTGAAGCTGGCTGACCTCTAACCTCGGCGGTAAACGGCTGAAAAACAAGAAAACGAAAAATCATAAATGAAGACGTCAGCGACATGAAACCGTAAAAGGTCGTCGTCATCTTCATCATTATCATCATCAACATCAGTTGACCTCTAAAGCCATCATCTTCATCATTAGGCTGCGGTGCTGCTCGTCCTTCACTTTCTCCTTGAAGAACTCGGAGAACCGTTGCTTTGACACCAGAAGCATGTTGTGACGTTTTGCCATGCTGAAAAAAAAAAAACGTGAAGGAGACGAGAATCAGCGTGGAGTCAGACGAGTTCTACTGGGAACTCAAACAGAATCTGTTTTATTTCTATAATAATAATAATAATAATAATAATAATAATAATAATAATAATAATAATAAGAATTATTATTATTTTTATAATAACAACAACATCAATAACAATAACAATGATGATAATAATAATAAAACAATAATACTACTACTAAAAATAACAACAACCATTGATAATAATAATGATCATTATCATTGTAATAACAATTATAAAAATAATAATGATAATTATAATTACAACAACACTACTACTACTACTACTAATAATAATAATAATAATAATAATAATAACAACAGAAACAACAACAACAACAATAATAATTATAATAATAACAATTATTATTTTTATTATTATTGTTGTTGTATTTCCCTCAAACACAGATCGTTTGGTATTCTCAGCGTTCAGACGGACTTCTTACTGCTCAAAGAGAGGAAAGTAAACTAGGAACTCGGGAACATTGACCACGTCCTCCAGGCTAAAGTGGTACTGACACCCAAACAGTGGGTAGGAACCTTTGGACTGAAAGGAAACTTTAAAAACTTCATTTCCAAAAGACGTGGAGTCCGATGCCTCCAGACGTTTCCTATTAGAGAGAGTGAGAGAGAGATGTTGGTGACAGGAAGCCTTGTTCATAAAAATACAGATTACAGGATGTGGACCGTCAAAACCCTCTTTTTTAGTCAGATTTTCAATGACAGCTTCTGTCCACTCGGAGGCGTTGTTGAGTTGTTCTTCTGCTGGTCGTTGAATAAACCAGCAGACAAGATTTAGTCCTGAACGAAAGCTTCAAACTCAGATTAAAAAATATGTTTTGACATTAGCTGAGAAAAACCCAAACAGAACAGTTCTAAGTCCCTCTAATTAATCTATTATTATTATTATATTATTTATTATTAATATTATAAATCTGTCCATTAATATTTCTTCTTCTTACTATTATTATATTATATATTATTAATATTATAAATCTGTCCATTAATATTCCTTCTTCTTATTATAATTATTTATCTATCAATTATTTATTATTATAATTATTAATCTATCCATTATTAATTATTATTAATAAATCAATTATTTATTTTAATTATATTTCTATCCTTTATGTATTATTATTATTATTGTTAATATTAATCTATACATAATTTATTATTATTGTTTTAATATTATTATTTATAATTGTCATTTATCTGTCCAATATTTATTATAATTATTAATAATCTATCAATTTTTATTTATTATTAAAAATCCATCATTTATCATCATTATTGTTATGATTATTATTAATCGATCTATTATTCATTATTATTGTTATTATTATTAGAATTTAATTAATCCATCCATTATATATTACTATTATTTTTAATCCATCTATTATGGTTTTATTGTTATTATTTATCTATCCTATATTTATTATAATCATTATTATTATTACTAATCCATCCATTTATCATTTTTATTATTTTTTCATATTAATTATTTATTATTATCATTAATCTATCCATTTTTATTATTATTATTATAAATCTATCCATTATTATTATTCTATTATTTTGTATTATTTTTATTTTTTAATCATTATTAATCTATCTATTATTTATTAATAATAATTATTATTATTAATAACATTAATATTATTATTATTACCCCCTCCATTATTATTTTTATTATTCATCTATCCATTATTATTATTATTTTGATTACTATTTATCTATTATTCATCATTATTATTATAAATAAAATCATTATTAATCCATCCATTTATTTCTATTATTATTCATCTTTCCATTATTTTTTAAAAATATTTTTAATTAATTATTATTTTTATTATTATTATAATTAATCCATGCATTATCTATTATTTTTATTTTTATATCCATTATTTATTATTACCATTAATCCATCAATCTATTATTTATTATGATTATTATTCTATTATTTCGTTTTATTTTCATTATTTATTATTATTAATTTATCTAATATTCATTATTATTAATTCCTCCGTTATTTTTTATTATTAATCTTTCTATTATTATTAATAATATTATTTATCATAAATCTATCCATTATTCATTTTTTTATATTACTATATTTTAATTTATCCATTATTATTCATCAGTGTATTATTTATTTTTTGTATTTATCATTATTATTATGAATCTATCCATTATTCATTATTATTATTTATCTATACATTAATTATTATTATTATTATTATTAATTTATCCATTATTTCTTCATTACTGCAGTTTTGTATTTCTAAGTGTCTATATTTCGGCCTTTAGTCTATTAAGATTCAAGAATGAATCACAAACCACTTCATGATGATCAGAGGGTCAATATTTCCATGGAAACAGAGACGACACTGAATCTAAAGATCATGAGGTTCTTTAGGATTGAGTGGTTATATCAGTTCATCTGATCGGGTCTTACAGCATCTTCGATCGATTTGTGAGAATGAATAAATCAGTTTAAAATTGATTTCAGTCTGATCTCAATCATGGAACTAAGATTTTAAATTCAATCCGCAATGTGTGACTGAGTGCCCTGAGAGTGGCAGCATGTCACAGCAGCTCCTCACAGACTTTACGTTTTTGCCTTCTTATTGTTTTTTGCACCTTATTTGTCTTTCTTTTTATTTAGCAGTGTTGTGTTTTGCATATTCCAACCATGGATGGTGACTTCATGACTCTAGCACTTTGTTTTCTTTTACTTTTTGGAGTTTTCAAGTCCGCGTCTGGCGACCCGTTCAGCGGCCCCATTGTTTACAGCCGTGAACAGCTTCGTTGGACAGACCAGACATCCCCGCCAAGCTCCGCAGGAGAAGGAGAGGATGCAGGGCTGGAGTTCAGCATCGGGCAAAGCGGAGACGTTACAAACCAACTGTCCCGTCCATCATCATGGGAAACATGAGGTCTCTCCCCAACAAGATGGAAGAGCTCACAGCGCTGACTAGGCTGCAGTGGGAGTACCGGGAGTGCAGCCTCATGATGTTCACAGAGTCATGGCTGAACGAACTCACTCCGGACCCGCTCATAACTTTGGACGGATTTCACCTCTTCAGAGCGGACCGGAGCGTGAGGGAGAGTGGTAAGAAGAAAGGAGGCGGGATAGCGGTGTATGTGAATGAGAGATGGTGTAATGCTGGGCACGTTAGTGTTAAAGAGCAGCTCTGCTCTAAGGACATTGAGCTGCTGGCTGTGAGTTTGCGGCCATATTACCTGCCGAGGGAGTTTTCGCACGTCATCGCGTTAACTGTTTACATCCCCCCCTCGGCTGATGCTGCTGCAGCCTGTGAACTCCTCCACAGTGAAGTGTCCAAGCTACAAACATCATACCCTCGGTCTCTAAAGTCTCCAGAGATGATGATCAATCATGCATCGCTCTCCTCCACTCTCCCTACCTTCAGCCAGTATGTGTAATGCCCAACAAGAGACGATAAAACTTTGGACTTACTGTATGCGAACACCAAGGATGCATACACCTCCTCCCCGCTTCCCCCGCTGGGCCGCTCAGATCACAACCTGGTGAGACTGCAGCCCATTTACATACCTATGGTGAAGAAACAACCCCCCACCATCAGGTATGTTAAGAGGTGGTCTGAGGAGGCCACTGAGGCGCTGCAGGACTGAGACCACAGACTGGGATGTACTGTGTGGCCCACATGGTGATGACATCGACACCATGACAGATTGTATCACAGACTACACTGTGTGCACAATTATTAGGCAAGTGAGTATTTTGATCATATCATCATTTTTATGCATATTTTCCAACCGATCTCATCTAGATCCTCTGCAGTTTGCATACCAGCCGAACATCGGGGTGGACGACGCAGTCATCTACCTGCTGCAGAGGTCCATGGCTCACCTGGTGAACACCAGCAGCACTGTGAGGGTCATGTTTTTTGACTTCCCCATGCTTTCAACACCATCCAGACTTCACTGCTCAGGGGGAAGCTCGAGCGGGCGGGAGTGGACTGTCACCTAGCCGCATGGACCGTGGACTACCTCACCGACAGACCACAGTTTGTGAGGCTTCAGAACTGTGTATCGGACATGGTGGTCTGCAGCACGGGGGCTCCACAGGGGACAGTGCTCTCCCCCTTCCTCTTCACCCTGTACACCTCTGACTTCAGCTACAACTCTGGGAGCTGTCACCTCCAGAAGTTCTCTGATGACACAGCCATCGTCGGATGTGTATCGTCAGGGGATGAGCGGGAATACAGGACTGTCATCACTGACTTTGTCAACTGGTGTGGCACAAACCACCTCCAGCTCAACGCCAGTAAGACAAAGGAGATGGTCGTGGATTTCCGCAGGAGGAGGACACCTCAGACTGTTCCAGTGAACATACAGGGTCTGGACATCGAGATGGTGGAGTCCTACAGATTCCTGGGTGTCCACCTCAACAATAAACTGGACTGGTCAACCAACACAGACGTCCTTTACAAGAAGGGCTAAAGTCGTCTCCACCTGCTGAGGAGACTGACGTCCTTTGGAGTGTGCAGGACTCTGCTCAGGACTTTCTATGACTCTGTGGTAGCATCTGCACTTTTCTATGCAGTGGTCTGCAGGGGGGCAGGGAGCACCGAGAGGGACAGGAAGAGACTGAATAGACTGGTCAGGAGGGCCGGTTCTGTCCTGGACTGTTCTTTGGACTCCCTGGAGGAGGTGGGTGAGAGGAGGATGTTAACAAAGCTTGTATCCATCATGGACAATCCCTCTCACCCGCTGCACCAGACTGTGGGGGCTTTAAGCAGCTCCTTCAGCAGCAGACTGAGACTCCGACCTTGCAAGACGGAGCGCTACCGCAGATCATTCCTCCCTTCTACAATAAGACTTTACAACGAACTGTAATAGAACTGGACTCACACCACCACTTTTTCTGGCACTTAAATTGTGTATATTGTATATAGTTTTATTTTATTTTATCTTATTTTTTTCTCCCCTTTTTCCTTTTTCTAAATTTCTAAAACCTTTGTCTGTGATGCTGCTGTGGCAAAAAAAATTTCCCCCATGGGGGATCAACAAAGGAATATTCTATTCTATTCTAAAACATTTAGTTTAATGAGTTTGAAGGTGATACTTCACTGAGACAAAAATTCGTCTACATCAGCCGACAAACTCTGAAAGTCAGACAATGCTAACCTCTTTTTTCTCTTCTTCAATGTTATAATTATATTTTATCAAAGACCACTGTCAGCTGACTAATTCTCTCATTATCAATAACACAGATGGAGAAATTCAGCCTTTCACACACTAACACTCAGCTTACACCAGCTCAAAAGCGTCCGGCGTCGTCCCGATGAAGAAACCTCCGGGTTTCAGACGCTCACAGGCATTTCTGAGCATCATGTCAGCTTTCTGCTCACTTTCAAAGGAGTAATGGTAGACGAACTGACAGCTGCAGATGTCGAACATGAGCTCTGAATCATCGAACTTCTCAGACAAAACCTCCTAACAAAAGAGGAAAACAAAGATTTTCAGACAGTCTTAGAGAGACTGAAGAAGATGAAGTAGAAGAAGAAGAAGAAGAACCAAGATCAGAACCAGGACAAGACTTCATGAAGGGGGGGGGGTCTACCTTGCTACAGTCGGCTGTGATGAACTGAGCGCTGAAGAGTTTTTCGTTAAAGTGACTCCGCCTCTTCATGTCATTATAACGACTCTGACACTGTTCCACCGAAACTTCGGCGAGATCTAAGGAAAGAACAAAAACGCATTCATCAGTTCATCTGTGACACTGGTATGTTAATCAGTTCATCTGTAAACACAAAGACATATATCAGTTCATCTGTAAACACTAACACATTCATAAGTTCATCTGTAAACACTAACACGTTCATTAGTTCATCTTAAAACACTATCACATTCGTCTGTAAACACAAACACATTCAACGGTCAACGATAACACATTCATGAGTTCATCTGTAAACACCAACATGTTCATCAGTTCATTTGTAAACACTAACTGATCATCACATCACCTGTAAACACTTACAAATTCACCAGTACATCTGTAAACACAAACACATTCATCTGTAAACACCAACATGTTCATCAGTTCATGCTGTTTCTGAACCCTGTCCTCAGACCTCTGATCCTGAACCCTGTCCTCAGACTGATCCTGAACCCTGTCCTGAGATTCTGATCCTGAACCCTGGCCTCAGACCTCTGATCCTGAACCCTGTCCTCAGACCTCTGATCCTGAATCCTGTCCTCAGACTCTGATCCTGAATCCTGTCCTCAGACTGTTTCTGAACCCTGTCCTCAGACTCTGATCCTGAACCCTGTCCTCAGACTCTGATCCTGAAACCTGTCCTCAGACTGATCCTGAACCCTGTCTTTAGACTCTGATCCTGAACCCTGTCCTCAGACTCTGATCCTGAACCCTGTCCTCAGACTCTGATCCTGAAACCTGTACTCAGACTCTGATCCTGATCCATGTCCTAAGACTGTTTCTGAACCCTGTCCTCAGACTCTGATCCTGAATCCTGTCCTCAGACTGTTTCTGAACCCTGTCCTCAGACTCTGATCCTGAACCCTGTCGTCAGACTGTTTCTGAACCTGAACCCTGTCCTCAGACTCTGATCCTGAACCCTGTCCTCAGACTGTTTCTGAACCCTGTCCTCAGACTCTGATCCTGAACCCTTTCCTCAGACTGATCCTGAACCCTGTCCTCAGACTCTGATCCTGAACCCTGTCCTCTGATCCTAAACCCTGTCCTCAGACTCTGATCCTGAACCCTGTCCTCAGACTCTGATCCTGAACCCTGTCCTCTGATCCTAAACCCTGTCCTCAGACTCTGATCCTAAACCCTGTCCTCAGACTGTTTCTGAACCTGAACCCTGTCCTCAGACTCTGATCCTGAAACCTGTCCTCAGACTCTGATCCTGATCCATGTCCTCTGATCCTGAACCCTGTCCTCAGTTCAACTGTAAACACCCACACACACATCAGTTCATCTGTAAAATCTAAAATCTTCACTAGTTTTTTATTCACACACTTGGAGTCGAGTATTAGACAGAACCTAAAAAAAAAAAAAAAAAGAAATACCCCAAAATAGATACTTTTCCTTTTCTTTTCTTCTTTCCGAAATATTTTTTTCCCCCTCCGAAGCACGTTTAAGCACCCAGTTCATTTAAGGATCATTCATGATAAATAAAAATTAAATATGGCATAACTTAAATGAAAAAGAAAAAGAAGGAAAAAAAAAGAGAGGGAAACTGAGACCCCATGCTTGATTGAAATCAGGCGTATTTAAGTCCCATTAAAACAGAAAAAGCATGGGGCAAGTATAGAGTAGGCTTAAAATCCGCTCATTAGAATAAGGTGAAGAAAGAAAAAGAGTCCTGTATTCTAGGCTAAAGTCTCGTGGCTGGCTACTGTCCTCCCATTCCTGTGTCGCTCCACTTAGGAGAAAGAGTGTGTTTACCTCTCCATTACACATCCTGAGATGAACATAAGGCCGCCGTTCACTGTAACTTCAAGTCCTTTTACAGTCCCCTCATAGCATCTTCTAGTAGGGTCTCCAAAGTCTCTCCATCTCCGCCGCTCCTCTGGAAAGGTGCAGATTGTGCTCCTTCTTTGCGCAGTGTGCCATGCTTGCCACGGTGCGCTCCGACGCACGGCTCTGTGGAGATTAATCCCTTGCCCCGTAGTTGCGTCTCCGCATCCTCCGGTGTGTTGTAAATAATGAACGATCCTTCCTCTTCGAAGACCTTCAGTTTCGCCGGGTGTATTATGAAGGACTTAATCTCTTTTTCTTTCAGTTGTAGTCTTAGTGGGGCATATCTGCGTCTCTCTTTCTGTACCTTTTCAGGCAGGTCTCTGTCAAAATAAATGCGTTTACCTCCAGCTGTAATGTCTTTTTTCGCCCATGCAGTTTTTACCACTTTCTCTCGGGTGTTCCACGACAGAAAGCGGACAACAATAGACCGAGGTGTTGCATCTTCTCCCGTCGGCTTTTTGGCGTGGGAGCGGTGGGCTGCACAAATGTGGAATGTGTCGGCTGGTATCTTCAACTGTTCCACCAGTATTGATTTAACGAAACCCACCATATCCTGTTGTTCTATTCCTTCAATTACTTGAAAAATTCGGGCGTTAAATTGTCTTGATTTTTGTTCTTGATACTCCAGCCTTTGATTAATCTTCTTTTGTTCACGCAGGAGGTGTTTGAGTGCATTGTTTATAGTCACCTCTCTTTCCAAGTGTGTGAATAATTTAGTTAAAGAGACGGAGGAGGGACATACGCCTGTACGCAGCCCACCATGCAAATATGGGCTCTGTTCAAGCTCATATTGGCCTCATGGGTTACCATGGGGCAGGAGTCTTTCTATGAAAGCTCCCTATTTCACATAAGAATATTAATGTGGAATATCTCTTGTTGTAACCATAGAGAGGTTACAGACCCTGGAAGTGCACATCTGGGTCCTTTGTTGTTGTGTGTTATGTTTTCGATACGTGCGTTATTTTTTCAGTTTATAGGCTTTGAATATGAAGCAACTGGTATCCAAGAGAAGAATAATGAGAAAACTTAAACTAATTTCCTTGAATACAAATGGTTTAAATAATCTAATAAAAAGGAAGAGAGTATTTCAAAAACTTAAAAAGGAAGGAGGGGAAATTATTTTTCTGCAGGAAACACATCTTGATAAAGTGGAACACGTAGTTTTCTCCTCCTCCTTTACATCGGCTAAAAGGGGTGTGGCAGTCCTAATTAATAATAATCTTATGTTTAATAGTGAAAAATGTATTAAAGACAAGGAAGGGAGGTACATTCTGGTAATTGGTCAAATAGAAGAACATAACCCTGAATACATAAACCTGGTCAATGTTTATAACCCACCTGGACAAGGAACAGATTTAATGAAAAAAATCCTAACATTATTAATGACAGAAGGGAAGGGTATGATCATAATGGGGGGAGGTTTTAATTTAATTATGAATCAAAAGGACACACAGAGCAAAATAAAACCTAAAGCAGAACAAGCTGCAGTGTTAATGAGGACAGCCCAAATCGAGTTGGGGCTAGTAGATGTGTGGCGCTGCTTACACCCCCAGGAAAAGGCTTTCACTTTTTTCTCTGGTGCCCATGACGTCTACTCAAGATTAGACTATTTTTTTATTTTTAAGAATGAGATTTCAAAGGTCATAAAATGTGAAATATTACCCATAGCAATAACGGATCATGCACCAGTTATAATGGAAATAAACCTGAAAAGGGAACAAGGGGAAACATTATGGAGGTTAAAAAATTCACTGCTGGAGGATCAGAGTTTCAAGGTGAAGATGGAACAAAGTGTGAAGTCTTTTCTTGAGATAAATGATAAGGAAGTGATACCTATTACTCTATGGGAAGCGGCAAAAGCAACAATAAGGGGTGAAATAATAGCATACTCATCTCATCAAAAGAGGAAAAGGGAAAGAGAAAAAAAAGTTTTGGAAAATAAAATAAAAGGACTTCAGGAACAGCATGAAAGAAATTTGAATAAAGAAACGTGGGAAAACTGGGAAAAGCCCTGGAAGTGATGGTTTTCCAAATGAATTTTTTAAGTGTTTTAGAGTTTTGTTATTACCTATCCTCTGCAGGGTCTTTAATTATATTTTAGAAACAGGAGTGTGGCCAGACACCTGGAATTCAGCAATTATTACTGTAACACCAAAAGAAGGAAAAGATTTGACAAATTGCTCATCCTACAGACCGATGTCTCTTTTAAATGTTGATCAAAAGATATTCACATCAATCATAGCCAATAGACTCTCACACAGACTCCCAGATAGAATGAATTTAGATCAAACTGGATTTGTCAAGGACCGTCTTTTCAGACTGTTTCTGAACCCTGTCCTCAGACTCTGATCCTGAACCCTGTCCTCAGACTCTATTCCTGAACCCTGTCCTCAGACTCTATTCCTGAACCCTGTCCTCAGACTGATCCTAAACCCTGTCCTCAGACTCTATTCCTGAACCCTGTCCTCAGACTCTATTCCTGAACCCTGTCCTCAGACTCTATTCCTGAACCCTGTCCTCAGACTGATCCTGAACCCTGTCCTCTGATCCTGAACCCTCTCCTCAGACACTGATTCTGAACCCTGTCCTCAGACCTCTGATCCTGATCCTTGGTTTGGGTCACCCGGGTCAGGTTCTGGTCTTACCTGCACAGACCAGGTGACTGATCCCTCCTCTTCTCCACTTCAGCAGGTCTCCACCTTTTCCACAGCCCAGATCCAGAACAGAGACCTGACGAGACCCCGCCCCCCTCACCTGCTCCAAGATCTCACCTGCCGAACAAACAGAACACAGATCCACTTAAACAGAACCTGAAAACCTGCTCAGGTCCAGGACCAGGTCTCAGAGCTCCTGAAAGAGGAGAACCGGACACGGGTCTCTCTTGAAGGTCTCAGTCCTCCACAGTCAGAGACCAGAGGCCTGTACTACAAAGCTGGATTAACACATCCAGGATAACTCTGCGACAACTTGCTCAACTTCGCGATCCCGATCAGCTGTACTACGAAGCCGGTTATCAACTCGATAACTGAATCCAGGTGTGGCCACTTCAGATCTGTGCGCGCACACGTAAAGGGGGTGGGGTCAGTACCACCAGACCAATCTCCACAATGGAGAAGGCTGCACGTCATTTTTCACAGCCGAGGAACAGAGCATCGTTTTACGAGGAGTACCGCAACATTATAACAGTGAGGAGCAGGACAGACACAGCTGCTAAAAACCGGAGGGACTGCTGGCAAAAAAAATCACCGGTTATGTAAATTTCATTTGTGCGTTCATAAATTTATGCCCCCCTAATATGTTGTCATGCAGCGTGTGTGATCACCTCCATCACTGACCTCATTATTTCAGATACAACAGGAGTGGGGAAAAGAGTAGGTGGGAGCAAATAAAAATAAATCTAAAAACATCCTTTAAAGTAGTTTGTAGGTTTATTGGAAGATTTTATTTGTACATATTTCAACGCGTAAACAGTGATTTCCTCACTCTGCCTTTTTTTCTTTTTTCCTCCATCATCTGATGGTCACATGTCATCTGCAGACACATTTGGGGTTAAGAGGAGTTTTCTAATCTGCTTCAATAAATTCTGAATGATGACTGATATGCCGCATGAAATTGGAACCTGGAGCTTGGCAAATATTAGTGCATTGCTTAGACTTCATGCTACCTGAATATTGAGGCCGTATGAGGAAAACCTGTAACATTCATAGAGAACGTCATCAGGTAAATCAAAGGGGTTTGAATGATCATGAATATAACGCTCTCTGCGAAGCGCTCCTCTCACTATCCGTGCAACGATGTCCCCGGGATCCGGCAAAAGTGGGCAAGCCATTTTCCAAGAGATCCGATTGGTCATTGGGCGGTTTTTTATACCTGCTGAGATCTTATCCTGAAACATAACTCCGGAGCAGGTTTGGCGTTCCGCGTAAGTTACCGGGGCAACGGACCCGGATAAAAAGAGATCCACCTTCGTAGTACAGAAAACCCAGAAGTTATCCAGAAGTTATCTCGCTAAGACCAAATCCAGCTTCGTAGTACAGGCCTCAGATGGAGTTTTTGGTTGCAGACCCCCTTATTGGCCGCTCATACAGGATCAATAACTGAAAACTGATCACTGATCAATTACCAATCAGGACGCTCTTCAGCCAGTTGTTGAAGTTCCTCATGAAGAAAATTCGGCTTCGACTTCGAGCCGCCAGACCCACTTCCTGTAGACTGTTGTAGTGACTCGCCACCTTCACGCCGTGATCAGTCACCTGATGGATCAATAACATGATCAATAACTCAACATGAAGTCCAGGAATACTGATCAATAACACACAATCAATAGCACATGAACAATAACTCTACATGAAGTCCAGGGATACTGATCAATAACACACTGATCAATAACACATAATCAATAACACACAATCAATAACACATGCTCAATAACTCAACATAAAGTCCAAGGATACTGATCAATAACACATAATCAAAAACTTACAATCTATAACACACAATCTATACCACACAATCAATAACTTAATGATCAATGACACACTTCAAACACAAGTTCCTTAAACAGAGGTTCCAAACAGAGGTTCTTTCAACAGAGGTTCCAAACAGAGGTTCTTTCAACAGAGGTTCCTTAGATAGAGGTTCCTGTAACAGAGGTTCCTTAAACAGAGATTCTTCAAACAGAGGTTCCTCAGACAGGGGTTCCTGTAACAAAGGTTCTTTAAACAGCTGTTCTCATAACAAAGGTTCCTCAAACAGAGGTTCCTAAACAGAGGTTCCTCAAACAGAGGTTCTTCAAACAGAGGTTCTTGTAACAAAGGTTCCTCAAACAGAAGTTCCTCAGACAGAGGTTTTTTTTAAACATAGGTTCCTGTAACAAACAGAGGTACCTGTGATAAATGTTCCTCCAACAGAGGTTCCTCAAAAGAGGTCCTTCAAACAGAGGTACCTGTGATAAATGTTCCTTCAAACAGAGGTTCCTCAGACAGAGTTTCCTCAAACAGAGGTTCCTGTAACAGGGGTTATTCAAACAGAGGTTCTAAACAGAGGTTCTTCAAACAGAAGTTCTTGAAACAGAGGGTCCTCAAACAGAGGTCCCTCAAAAAGAGGTTCATCAAACAGAGGTTCTTCAAACAGAAGTTCTTGAAACAGAGGGTCCTCAAACAGAGGTCCCTCAAAAAGAGGTTCATCAAACAGGGGTTCTTCAAACAGAGGTTCCTTTAACAAAGGTTCTTCAAACAGAGGTTCCTTTAACAAAGGTTCTTCAAACAGAGGTTCCTCCAACAGAGGTTCTTCAATCAGAGGTTCCTCAAAAAGCCACATGATCTCTGGTGTTTCTGCAGCCTTCCTCTGAAAAGTAGAGTGAATGAATGAGTGAGTGAACGTGTTAGTTCTTTTATTTACCAGTCTTTTGGTGGGTACAGTCTCCTCTTCCTTCTCCTCTTCACCGTGTTTCCTCTTTATTCCTGTCATTTGTCTTCCTCCTTCTCCTGCTGTCTCTGTCATGATGGCGGTCTGCTCAGACGGCGGCTCTATGCTTCTTTTTCTCACTTGAACACAAACAGGAAGAGATGAGGAGCTGAGACAGGAAGACGGGAATGATGACCGTGTGAAGGTGAGGTTAAAGGTCACAGAAACTTAAAGTTTTACTGTTTTCTAAACTTAGCGATTTTCTCTCGACTTTTGAGAGAAAATCGTTTAGTTTAGTTGTTTTCAATGTTCTGTTGTTTACTGACGAACCCTGACAGTATGTGGACTCAGAACAGCCCCTCTGGGTCTCCTCCAGCTCTGGAGACCACTGAAGCAGGATCAGTTTGTGGTCTGGACTGGGGGAGTGTGGAGTCCAGTACTAGTCCAGATTCAAGTCCTCAGACAAAGTGATGAATGTATGAACAGGTGAACGTTTGAGACCTTCAAATGGTTGAAGGACTGACAAAAAAACATAAACTATGATGGTCTGTGAAAACTCGACCTGAGACCTAAGTCCTAAAAACCAGGACTTCATCATGACCCTGGTCCAGTCTAAAGAAACCGGATGACCCACTTCATCAGACCTTCATGGACCACAAGACCGATGGTGGAGGACGGATCCTCTGTCTTCAGGTTCCGAAGATCTTCTGTCCCCACAAACATCAGACTTTAAAACTTTTAGAGACGACGAACGATTGAAATAACCTTTACGGATAAGATAAAGTTATTCTTATTATAACTTTGTTAAAATTACTATGACTTTGTTATTTTTAAAATAACTTTATTATTTTTATTATTACTTTATTTTTATTGTAACTTTATTTTAACTAGTTTTATTATAACTTTGTTACTTGTTCTATAACTTTATTTTTATGATAACTTTGTTATTTTTATTTGTTATTTCTTTATAACTTTGTTATTTTTATTTTTATTCTCGACTGTTGATAAAAAAAAAAAGTGTCTCCCTGTCTTCTGTCTGAAAGTTCATCCGTCCAAGTCAGCGTCTCCTAGGACTGGGCGATTATATGATCGTGATCGATGATTGCGATAAATTTCAGTTTGATCACGGTGATCAGCTGTGAGCATATTTACCCGATCAAACATGGCGGAAACGTGCGTCACAACAGCCAATCAGAGTCCAGCTTTTCCTGCTCACTTCTGTAAGTTTCCGGAGAAGTAAACAGAAAGACCGAACATGGAGCTAAACGCGGAGCTGAGGGCAGCGAGATAGATGTCAGCCATGACTTTGAGTCATCCTCAGAAGATGTTGTAGTTGAGAAGTTGTTCAACGTCTCTCCAAAGTGACGTCGAGCAATTAAGCCGATAAACCGGCAACATAACAGATCTGATCTTACCGAGTGATTATGCGGGTGATTATACTGCTGACGGTACGAGTAGCATTAGCAGTTTAGCCACAACTAGCCACAGTTGTGCAGCCACAGACCAAAACAGCGATCAATCATTTCCATACCTGCCAACACTCCCGTTTATCCCGGGACTCTCCCCTATTTCAGACGTATCTCCCACCCACCCCCCGTATTGTCATTTCTCCCGGGAATTTCTCGTAGCATGGTCCGCATTCATTCATGAATCGGATCACTATATTTGCCTAAAGTTTCCAGGTTTCCAGACAAACGGAGATAGTCTTCTGTTTCTGCTGAGCCACACAGACTGGATTGATACTTTCACTTTACAGTTTGGGATGATTCAGGTCGGTTTCAGCTGTAAACTATATTTAAAGCAGTGTTTGTTGGGAAATGAAAACTTCAATGAAAGGAAAACAAACGCGAGATATGCGAGAGTGATGCGTTCAGGGCAGCCCCGGATAAAAGAGTGCTGTATTTCATGCACAGATGTTCAGAGAGCCTCACACGGGAGAGCATGTAAAACAGATGAGGACTTCAACACTAATATTAGTGGACTAAATAAGTTCAAGGCATATGGTACCTTTTATCTTTTTTTTACCATTTGTTATTGTTAAAACAAAAGTGTGCAGCTTCACTTATACTTATTTGGATGAGCAATTTAATTACAAATACTCTCATAATGAGCTCATATCCACCATATGAGGTCACCCCAAATCGCCCAGGCCTCGCGTCTCCTCCGCTCTTTTGTGTGTTTACGCTTTATAACAGTTCCTGTTTGATAGAAATCCTCTCATAATATTAAGAATAACACAGTTTTCATTTATATTCATAATTACCTTTTGTATTTTTTCCTTTCTCATTTCAGATGACTAAGCAGAAATAGAAAATTGTGGCAATATTTAAAAACATCAATATATCTGTCTACATTCATTAAAAAAACAAACAACATTCACCTGTCAGCAGTTTAGTTTCTCATTTTTGAGAATAACAAATAAGAAAATTGATGTAAACCTGATTCATCATTATTGTAGGGCTGCAACTAACGATTATTTTGATAATAGATTCATCTGTCGACTATTTTAATAACTAATCGATTAATCGGATAAACACAGAAACTTTTTTTTTGCTTATTCCAAAAATATTTTTATTTTCCAAACACCTGAGCTTACTTCTGGTGCTTCCCCTGAACAGCAGCACGACACAACGATATAGAATAAAATAAAAATTAATAAAAATTAAATAAATCAAACCGCACACTGATTCCAACTGGTACGGGAGGAACTAGTGCAAAATAAACAGTAGATCAGCAGCACAAGATGAAATAAAGATCTATGCCTTGAGCTTGTAGATTATGGAATCATGAACATGTGTGCAAATCTCCCAATATATATATTATTTCACATGAATGTTAACAAATCTTTGCAACATTGTTTTCAACATATTTTCAGATGAAAGTTCCCCATCAAGTAAAGATGTTGCAGTAACAACAAATAAACAAAAAACAGTCGTGTGTCTGTGTGTGCAAAAATGTGAGTAAACTGAGGTAACATATTCAACTGAGGACTTGGACTGCGGCATCAAAAAGACAACAAAAATAAATGAGGGGGCGCTCACTGTGACAACAAACTCAATGAACAAACTTAAAGTCTTCTACCTCATGAACCTGGAATTGCAATGTAAGAAAGTGAGCATATCGACATGCTCCTAGCTGAGGCTTGCTCTTTTCTTTGAGGCAATGTTGCCTGCGGCTGAAAAGAGCCGCTCAGATGCAGTCGAGGTTCCCGGTTTCTTATATATGATCGCTCCGGTAACGTAGCGGACGCGAAACGGTAAAACTCAGATGGCGGCGCCCAGTCACCCATCCACTACCACGATAACTTGTTTATTTCTCTGTAGTTTTTAAATATATCGGCATGACTTTCCCTGTGTCCGCTGAAGTGCCACTGCCTTCATCCAGGCTAAGAAACACATGTTTTCTCTTCAGATGCTCACGCATCATCGATGAACTCCCGAGCCATGCAGAACGGTCTTTGCAAATGTTGCACTGAACGCCTTCCTTTTCAGTCTTGGTGAAGTTTTCCCACACCACTGATGTTTTAGGTCGGGATTTGGGTTGGGTTGTGTCCATGTTTTTCTCAGCCGCTGCCTCGGCCATGGCTGTTTCTTTTCTGTGCGTCCTGCTGATGTTTACATGCCGGTGTCCATGGACATATATAAAGACCCGACGAATGGATCACAGAATTAGTTGGCAATGGATTTTTTCGTCACTACGAATCGACTTAATAGATTCGTTGTTGCAGCCTTACATTATTGATCCTGTTTCAGACTCTTTGCATAGACTGAATGTTTCCAGTCAATGACGCAAAAAAAAGTGGTGATGAAAACCAAAAAAAGTTACTTACTGCGAAAATAAAAGGATGCAAATAAAATAATCCACAACAGAAGTGAACTGCTGGGGACCAATAATGATGATGCAACAGTGTTTTATGATCTTGGCACAGATCGTACGATCTAACTGGAGGATATTGGTGTAATGTTAGCTTCAGTTCGACTTCATATGGACTCAGGCGCTACATGGTCTATCCACACGACATAAAAAAGTTTATGAAGCAAAATTAAACAATAACCTTTCCACTTCTTTGCTTGTCTTCTTGCTGTGCCTAGATTGTAAGACACCATTGCATCATTGTTATTGGTCCCCGACAGCTCACCTCTGTTGAGGCTTTTTTATTTGTGTCCCATTATTTTTGCGGTAACTTTATTGTTTTTCCATCAACACTTTTTTTTTTGCGTCGTTAACTTCCGTTGTGGGTTTTTTTTTTATTTGAACCGTTTCTTTCTTATTAGCAGCGGGCTTCAGTTTTTTTTTTTGCAGAGGTCGCTCTCGGCCACCGTATTTGAGTTCGAACAAACAATCAACACACGAGTTAAAAACAAACATGTCTCTAAACAGAATCAAGTTTGTTTTTGTGCTTCTTTAGATTCTGTTCAAATAAAAGAGTCAAACTGAGTCACACACACACACACACACACACACACACACACACACACACACACACACACACACACACACACACTCTCTCTCTCTCTCATAGTTTAAAAGACGCACACACACACACACACACTACCTGTTAGCCGTTAGCTGGATTTCAAACCGGCTCAGATCGGAGCGGATCTCTCCACAGACAGAACCGTGACCCGGACCCGTCGGCTCGGTTCGGCTCCGTGAAACCGGTCCGCTCAGTAAGTCTCGGTTCGTTCCGAAAATCTCACAGGATAAAGGAAAGTCACTCACGCTATTCTGCGGTCAGGGCGCATGCGCTTCACAAAGCTTCTTCTACTTCTTCTTCTTCTTCTTCGTTTGGTTTTCTGGCGGGTTGCAACCATAGCTTATTAGGTGCATACCGCCACCTACTGTACCAGAGTATGTAGCATGGGTTACGAGTTACTTTATGTCATTTAGATCAGAGAAGGAAGAAAAAATAAAAAATACCCTTACCGTAAATTCTATAATACAATCTTGTCTCCTTTCGATAATCCACTGTGGCTGTCTGTGAGTCCTGTACCCCTTCTCCTGCTGTTCCTAGGATACCCTCAAGGCTCCACACTCTACCTGCCTTAATTACTCTTTGTGTTAGTTCTGTTCTTTCTTCGCTATATTTCCGACAGTGCATCAACACATGTTCTACATCTTCTGTTGTTTTGCACTCCGAACATTCATCTGAATTAATTTTCCCGATCACAAACATTGTTTTATTTAGACCTGTATGATCAAACCTTCATCTTGTTAATACAGTTTCTTCCCTTCTGTTGCCTCTATATTCTCCTTGTGCTGTAATGGACTTCTGTACCCTGTAATATTTCCTTCCGTTGTTATCCCTGTCCCATCTATCTTGCCATTTCTTCATTATTTCTTTTTTGAGTATTGCCTTAGTTTCTCCTTTTCCAAATGGTATATCTATAATATTTGTCATTCTGGTTGCTTTTTTGGCCATTCTGTCTGCTCCTTCATTGCCTTTTATACCCACATGGGCAGGTACCCAACAAAATTTAACAATCCTATATAATCGATATAAGTTTTGCTGAATTTCCAGCATTAAGTCTTCCCTGTCAGAAGTTGTAGTTTGTAAACTAAGAAGGACTGCCATTGAATCTACACAAAATCCTACCCTATCTGGTCTTACCTCCTCTACCCACTGTAGCCCCATGATGACTGCCATCATTTCTGCTGTATATACTGAGATCTTATCAGGTATCCTATTTCCAATATTGATGTTCATTGAGGGTATATGTATTCCTATGCCCACTCTCTCATTTTCATCCTTAGACCCATCTGTGTATATATCTAAATAATAATCATATTTGTGCCTTACATATTGACTTGCTAGAATTCCTATCTCACTCTCTTGCCATTCTTTCTTTAACTCTAAAATGCTTAGATCTATTCCAGGGAGCGACATCACTAATAGGTGTAGGGGTGCTGAACCAAATGTTTTCCAGCTTATATTCGTGTGCCTTCGCCTTTGTCATCCAACCAAATCCATTACCTTGAAATTTATTGTATTCCCAACATTCTTGAATAACACTCTTGGAAGGGTTTTCATTACCACACCCACGTAGACGGCTCCAGTATGTAAGCATAAGTTTATCTCTCCTCAGATCGAGTGGTGCTTCTCCTACTTCTACCTGTATTACTTTTATCGGTGTCGACCTCATCGCCCCAGTGCATAACCTCAGTGCTTTATTTACCATTCTATCAATCTTATCTAAGTGTGATTTGGCTGCTGCACCATACATAAAGCATCCATAATCTATTATTGACCTCATTAGAGCCCTATAAATATGCATCAATGCCTGTTTGTCTGCTCCCCATACTTCTGCTCCCACTATCACTCTCATTACTCAACTCAACTCAACTTTATTTGTAGAGCACTTTAAAACAACCACAGCTGTACAAAGTGCTGTACATAACAGGACAAAAACAACAAGATAAAAAACAATCAAGAAACAATTAAAACAATGGATAAAATAAAAGCAGAATTAATAATAAAATATAGCTTCAATGTTTTTAAAAACTAATTTAAAAACATAGAAACAAATAACTAAAAACAAACCATAAAACACTAAAACAGGAGTAGAGTCTCATGGAGGGTTAAAAGCCAATGAATAAAAATGGGTTTTAAGACGAGTTTTAAAAATGGACAGTGTGGGGGCTTCTCTAATTTGGAGGGGTAGCTTGTTCCATAAAATTGGGGCAGCAACAGAAAAGGATCTATCCCCTCTGAGCTTCCGTTTGGACCTCGGTACCTGCAGGAGCAGCTGATCAGCTGACCTGAGGCACCGAGCTGGGGTGTAGGGGTGGAGAAGCTCAGAGAGGTAAGATGGAGCCAGACCATTTAAAGATTTAAAAACAAGTAAAAGAATCTTAAAATGAACTCTAAAATGCACAGGTAACCAGTGGAGGGAGGCCAGGATGGGAGTAATGTGCTCCCTCTTACGTACTCCAGTTAAGAGCCGGGCGGCTGCGTTTTGAACTAACTGGAGACATGAGAGGGAGGACTGGCTGACTCCAAAATAAAGTGCGTTACAGTAATCCAGCCCAGATGTAACAAAGGCATGGATTACTGTTTCAAAGTGCTTACGTGAAAGGAAAGGCTTTTCATTAAATTAACAACTTGTTTACATTTTGATTCCACCTTCTCCACATGTGCCTTCCATAGTCCCTTTTGGTCTAGCCAAATGCCCAGATATTTAAATGTATCTACCTTCTCCATATCTTGTCCGTATAGCTTCAGGCTCTGTTCATTTATCCCTTTCTTCCTTGTAAAGAGCATGTAACAAGATTTGCTTGTAGAAAGTTTGAATCCCCACTCATACGACCACTGTTCTGTTTTCCTTATTGCTTCCTTGATCTTACCCGTTACACACGGCAGATCTCGTCCCCTTGCCCAGATGGCCCCATCGTCCGCATATAGAGCTGAACCGATCCTTCTATCCATATTCATGAATATATCATTAATCATTACGCACAAAGCTTCTTCTTCTACTGTTTCACTGATGGATGATAAACAGAAAAGGGATGAGTGCTGCCACCAGCTGGTGTGGACAAAGAATAACAGTCTTTTCTGTTTCTGAGGATGACATTGATTTTCTCAGATTTTTATTTTTTTTTTGTAATTCAGATTTTTATTTATTTAGGCACATGCAGTAACAGCTCAGAGTGGTACATCATACAGAATGCAAAAAAGAAAAAGGCAAGAAAAACCAGGAGGGCCTCCGTCAAATGGACACATTTTCTCAAATTCCAGTAGATCCTGTCAAAAGGAGTTTAACCGCAAAGAAGTAGTAAAGCACAGAAATAGAAAACAAAAACAAATAATATAGTAGTACATATACACTCACTGGCCACTTTATTAGGTACACCTGTCCAACTGCTCGTTAACACTTAATTTCTAATCAGCCAATCACATGGCGGCAACTTAGTGCATTTAGGCATGTAGACATGGTCAAGACAATCTCCTGCAGTTCAAACCGAGCATCAGTATGGGGAAGAAAGGTGATTTGAGTGACTTTGAACGTGGCATGGTTGTTGGTGCCAGAAGGGCTGGTCTGAGTATTTCAGAAACTGCTGATCTACTGGGATTTTCACGCACAACCATCTCTAGGGTTTACAGAGAATGGTCCGAAAAAGAAAAAATATCCAGTGAGCGGCAGTTCTGTGGGCGGAAATGCCTTGTTGATGCCAGAGGTCAGAGGAGAATGGCCAGACTGGTTCGAGCTGATAGAAAGGCAACAGTGACTCAAATAACCACCCGTTACAACCAAGGTAGGCAGAAGAGCATCTCTGAACGCACAGTACGTCGAACTTTGAGGCAGATGGGCTACAGCAGCAGAAGACCACGCCAGGTGCCACTCCTTTCAGCTAAGAACAGGAAACTGAGGCTACAATTTGCACAAGCTCATCGAAATTGGACAATAGAAGATTGGAAAAACGTTGCCTGGTCTGATGAGTCTCGATTTCTGCTGCGACATTCGGATGGTAGGGTCAGAATTTGGCGTCAACAACATGAAAGCATGGATCCATCCTGCCTTGTATCAACGGTTCAGGCTGGTGGTGGTGGTGTCATGGTGTGGGGAATATTTTCTTGGCACTCTTTGGGCCCCTTGGTACCAATTGAGCATCGTTGCAACGCCACAGCCTACCTGAGTATTGTTGCTGACCATGTCCATCCCTTTATGACCACAATGTACCCAACTTCTGATGGCTACTTTCAGCAGGATAATGCGCCATGTCATAAAGCTGGAATCATCTCAGACTGGTTTCTTGAACATGACAATGAGTTCACTGTACTCAAATGGCCTCCACAGTCACCAGATCTCAATCCAATAGAGCATCTTTGGGATGTGGTGGAACGGGAGATTCGCATCATGGATGTGCAGCCGACAAATCTGCGGCAACTGTGTGATGCCATCATGTCAATATGGACCAAGCTCTCTGAGGAATGCTTCCAGCACCTTGTTGAATCTATGCCACGAAGAATTGAGGCAGTTCTGAAGGCAAAAGGGGGTCCAACCCGGTACTAGCATGGTGTACCTAATAAAGTGGCCGGTGAGTGTATGTGTCCTGCTTCTCACAAAAGAGGTTTCAAATCATTAAATCCTACCCCTTGGCCAGCAGGTGACCAACTGTCCAAATAGGCGGAAATCTCTCCCCATTAACCCTAATGTATTTCTTCTCCAAGAAAATCCTTAGGCTCAGACTTAGGCTCAGACTTTTTTAACTCGCTGTTGTGGCCACATTTTTTGGAGTACAGACATGAAAAACACATCATTGTGTTCATGAAGGGCGGAGGATTCGTACGATGTTCTTATATTCATTCTGGGATTTAAGGAAATCGTGCTATGTGAAGAAGTTCAGAGGCAGCTTCTCATTCAAACAGTAGGTCAGTTAATGGCTTTGATCTCACAGCTGTAAAGGATGCAATAATTAAAGACACACACACACACACACACACACACACACACACACACACACACACACACACACACACACACACACACACACATTCTTGTACTTGTTGCTTTGTGAGGTCCACCTTGCAGTTCAGCTGCTTGTACACACAGTTAATATGTGTCTGCTTCACCACCTATCTCCACCCACAAACTTTGAGCTACAGAAACCATTCAGGGCTTCAAAAATTCAGCTCATTGAGGACATTATGGGGTGTTTTGAGGATTGTGATAATACATTGTATTAATGTGTTCAGCAGAGTCTTGTGTTCTCACAAGCTCCTTATGAATAGATACAGAGGATGAGCGTCAGGGCCTACTTGGAGTCCTGTTTCTTTAGCTTCAAGCCTTCT